GTATTGAGTAGGAGAGAGTGGTGAAGATATGGAGATAGAGAGAAAAAGAGAGAGAGAAAGAAAGAAAAGAAAGAAAAGAGAAAAAAAAAGAAAAAAAGAGAGAGAGAGAGAGAAGAAGAAAGAGAGAGAGAGAGACAGAGAGAGAGAGAGAGAGAGAGACAGAGAGAGAGACAGAGAGACCCTCGTTTCGTGATTTTAAAGAGGAATTTTATCTTCGCATCATCGCGACTCTTCCCTGAATAAGCACTACGACGAACCTCTGAATCAGGCATTCCCCAAGCTATCAAGAACTTTTAGCCTTAGCCTTATCCCCAGCTCCTTTTCCTCTTCCCCGCGTCCGTATGCGAGAAAGTGGCAGGCTGCTGGCTGAGGGGCACGTGCTGCGGCTATGTATATATATGTGTGTGTGTGTGTATGCAACAGAGATTTCGACTCTTCGCGGTCTAAAAGTCACTTCTCCGAGGTTGTAGGCCCAGACGAAGGCGGCGAAGAAGCCCTTACCGAATACCAGCTGCTCAAGGTGTACAGACTACGCCGCCCGCTAGACCCCAAAGTGGTAGCCGCTATCGGAGCAGCCGCTAGACTCACTGCTGCTGCCAGCAGCAGCAGCAGCGGAGGCAGCAAGGGAGCAGCAACACAGCAAAGGACGAGGGAAGGAGGGCAGAAGGGGAAGAGCGAATTCGCATATACCCAAGAATTCAGTTTCTGCCGCGTCAAAATCCACACCGGCAGGACTCACCAGATCCGGTACGATATCTCCCCAATGCACATACACACATGTACATATATATATACATATGTATATATCTACGCATACATATATACATATATATATATATATATTGTACATATGCATGCAAGGGAGCTAGGCCATAAAAGCAACCTCGGTACATTTTTTGGGAATGTCTGGAAATGAAGCCGACGGACGGCCTCGTTTTTGTCGGCTCTCGTTGCCACATGCCCTTGTTGTTGCTGTTCCGTCTGTCTTGTGCTTCGGTCGTTTGCTTTTTTTCGCTCTTCTGCGGCTGAATTTCTGCCTCCTTCCTTTTTCCTGACAGCCGTCTCGTTGCGCCTGTCTTTCCGGGGTGCTGCTGTGCGTCAGAGTCCACTTCCGTCACTTAGGTCATCCCTTAGTTGGAGACACGAAGTATTGTGATTCGGGGAAAGCTGCGGTCGATCGGAGTTGGTGCGGCCGAATGTTTCTTCACTCTGCGCTTCTCGTGTTTGACTCGCCGGATCCATCGGATTCGCGTCCAGTGACTGCCTCGTCGCCGCTTGCCCCAGAGCTGTTGGCGGTAAGCGGGTGGAGGATTGCTGCTGCTCAGTTTGCTCCATGTGTTTGCTGCTTTTTTCGCCGCGGAAGGGAGGCACTTTTCAGACGTTTTCTAGCCGCCTCATTGGCCTCTATAAGAAGGGGTAGGAAAAGAGGATTGCGAGGCATTCGCGTGCGAGGCGCTACGGTGATGGTGGCGTTGCGTCTCGCCTTCAGGGTGAAAAATGGGGTAGGAGGGTGTTTGGAGCGGGGTGCTTTTATTTTTTCGGACTGTGTATGCCCCTGGTTCCCTGCCGCTTGTGCTTCGTTTTTCCTCATGACCTTCTCGTCCTGCATGCGCGTCTGCTGACTTGCAACAGGCTCTAGAGCATGAGCTCGTCTGCATCGACGACTTCACGGCAAGTCGTGAGTCCGCAGATGAGAAGGGTGATCGGGCGGGCGATTTCTTCTTCCCTCTCGAGTGGCACTTCCCCTCCCCAACCTCGAAGGCAGCTGCGACTTGCACAGGAGGAGGAGCTGGAGGAACTGGCGTTGCGAGCAGCGGGGCAAATTCTGCAGCAAATGTAGGGTCTCCCAGCCTGCGGAGTGCTACTGGGGGGGCAGCTCCTGGTTCGTTTGCTGCAGTAGCCGCTTCTGCAGCTGCCGCAGAGGCGTCGTCAGCTGCAGCAGCGGCCACAGCTGGCAAGGGGAGCTCTTCCCCAGCATTGCAGCCTGCAAAACGTGAAGAAGATGCTCTGGCAGCAATGGCGGCGTCTCCCGCAGCGCACAGTGGCTCTCCCTCGCACGGACTAGCCGCGGCTCAGCAGGGAGACGTGTCTCCGGCTCATCAAGCAGCAGCAGCACAAGGAACTCCAATAAATGCAGCAAGAGCAGCAACGGGGCATGTCGCAGGCAGGGAAGAGGCCTCCTCCGAAAGCTGTGGGGGGGATACAGCCGGCGAGGCGACAGAAGCAGGAAGTGCTGGTACAACCCAGGAGCAGCAGCGCGGTGAGACTGCGCTCGAGCTTAACCAGCAGCAGCAACAGCAACAACAACATCAACAGCAGCAACATCAACAGCAGCCTCGTGTGGAGAAGCTGGATATGTCGCTGTACGGGTGGCCAGAAGAGGCGTCGCAACCTGCAAGAGGCCGTCCTTGGTTCTCGGAGTCTCTGTTTGTAGATGCTGCTGCAGCTCGAGTGGCAGCTGCGGGAGCCGCAACTGCAGCAGCAACTGCAGCCGATCCAGGGGGATGGGCGGAGGATAATTCTTGGGGTTTCAGAGGATATTCTTCGCAGCTCATTGGGCGCCTCAGACAAAATGCACAAAAGGGTCAAGGCCATATGGGTAATTCTGTCTTTCGTTGTGTGCTCGCGGCTGCTGCGCTCTGGCTGCTGGGCAGGAGGAGGCCATCCTGTCTTATTAGCGCGTAGAGTAGAGAGGCTGAGTGTTAGAAATGCCTTTAGACTGCGCTCATGCTGCCTTTTTGATCGCACGGGTGTGGCAAGTGTACCTGTGTGTCTGTATATGTATACGTATATGCATGCCACTGTGGGTGTTTCCCAGGCGTGATCGCTGCGTTGGAGTCGTGGTCGTTGCACTCGGCGTCTCCCTTCAGAAGGCGGGAGTCTATGGAGTTCTGCCTGTCTCTCTCTCTGCAGCAGCAGCAACAGCAGCAGCAGACTTTAGTCTTGCTGCTCATCACGGTGAGGAGGTGCCTGTACCGTCTCTTCCACATCTGCGGTATACGCAGCAGCGGCGGCAGCCGCCGCTGCGGCCGTCCACACGCGCGCAGCAAGAGCAGCCGGCGTAGCAACAACAGCAGCAGCAGCAGCAGCAGCAGCAGCAGCCGGAGTGCAGACAGCAGTAGAAGCGGGAGCCCCCTCCACCATCCGACAGCGCTCCTCCGTATCTCCTTCAAGAAGGCGTCAGGGCATGTGCGACTGCCTTTGGAGCTGAGGCTGCAATCCGAGGCTGCAGGAGCAGAAGATGTAGATCCTGGAACCATGTTACCTGCACCGAAAGGCTGGCGTGTGCTTCTGCAGGCAGCAGCCGCTGCTCTTTCCAGTGAGGTTCTCTTCTGCAGCAAGTCTCAGGGCAAGAGTGTGACCTTGCTGCTACTGCCCCCCGCCGAGGAGGAGTTGCAGCAGCAGCTGCAGCAGCAACCCCATGGCTTGCCTCCGCGGACTGCAGCAGCCGCAGCTGCAAATACTGCCGCGCTGTGGTCTTGTCTCAGTCAGCTCGCTGAGTCAGGCTTTGGGTGGCGTTGCCTTTCACGGGCAGTCCCCAATGCGCCTACTGTAGGCGCTGTCTCGGAGTCTCTCCTTCTTGCCTCCAGCCAAGTGCAGCAGCCTCAACAACACCCCGAAGGCAGCCGACTGCGGCCTGTGCTGCTGCCCTTTGCGGCTGCACGGCTGCTGGCGCCCCACCTGCAACCGCAGCAGCAGCAGCAGCAGCACCTGCTGTACATGCAGCAGCAGCAGATGCTGATGCAGCTGTACGGGGGCCGCACACCTACGGAAGGACGTGGAGAGCGACAGCAGCAACAACAGCAACAGCAACAACAGCAACAGCAGCAACAGCAACAGCAACAACAGCAGCAGCAGCAGCTCGGTTATGTGTCTCGAACCCACCACCAGTTGCCTCCGGGAAGAGCGCTGCGGATGACCACCATGGATGGCGTCGCTCTGCAGCCACAGATGCAGCAGCCACAACAACAGCAGCAGCAAACACGGCCTCCTCTCTTCGGCTACGGACGACACGGCAGCCCTGCGAGTCGACCCTCTTGGGCTCCAAGCCTCTGGGCAGGTGCTGAAGCCGCGAGGCGTCCTGAGCAGCCTCAGCTTCCGGTGAGACTCTGCTTTCCAGTGGCTACACGCATCCGTAGAGCTAGCTAGGGCGGTAGGCGGAGACAGCAGGCGAGCTAGCTCAACGAGCGGTGGCTTGAGCCAGGGCGGCCCGTCATTGAAAAACGATGCATGTGCGCCTAGACTTTAGCGAGTTGAGACACATTGTGTGTGTATGGGCGTCTCACGTGAGCGTCGTCCGCTAAGGTGAAGCGGGAGCTGATCTCCTCGGGCTCTTGTTGCCTTGGCTGGCTGGCTGTGGTGGTTAGTGATAGATTGTGTGTTTATTGCCTGTCCATGTGGTGCAGCAGGCGTCTCAGTTCATGTTCCTTTTCGAGTCCGAGGCTGCAGACGCTGCAGGGGCTCAAAACAATGAAGTGAGGGAGGAGGATCTCTGCGGCTTCCTAGACCTCTCCTTTCTTGCTGGAAGCACGCCTGTCGCATGCAGCAGCAACCCGCAGCAGCAGCAGCAACAACAGCAACAGCAGCAGCAGCATCTTAGGGAGACACACGCGTCTGCCGACCTGGTTCCAACGCAGCAGCCAGAGCTGCAGCAGCGGCATTCCCCTCTCCGCAGACAGCAGCAGCCGGCGCGGCCTACAGACAGTGCTTCCTCGGCAGAGGAACTGCGGCAGCAGCATCAGCAGCAGCATCAGCAGCAGCAGCATCAGCAGCAGCACTCGGGTCTTATGGGGAGCCCCATACGCCTGCCGCCTTTACGGCAGCCTTCCCAGGTTGAAGAGGAGATGCAGCGACGTCAGCAGCAGCAACAGCAGCAGGAGATCTACATGAACGGCAAGTGGTGTGTTCGTGTTGAAGTGCCGCATCCCCCCTCTGCTCCTCCGCCGTCGCCACACTTGCTGCTGCTGCACCAGCGCCAGGCTGCTGCGCTTGTTGAGCAGCAGCAGCAGCAGCAGCAGCAGCAGCACCAATTAGACGGGCCGATGCGGGGGGGCCCCCCCGTGATAGGGCATCCATACCGAGACGATGGATCCGACAGAGGGGGGAGGGGGGCCTGCATGGTGAACTTCGGGATGGGGGCCCCGCCCATGGGGCCCTCGTCGGATTACCCGGGGCCCCTAACATCCGCAGGTGGCGCTCTGCCTCCTATGCAGATCCACCCGTCTTTGAGAACGCATCTGGCATCGACTGGCCTTTCCTCTCATCAGGGAGATGCTGGAGGGCTTGGCAGCAGCAGCAGCAGCTTACCGGCAGCGAGAAGCAGCCACGTGCCGGGGGGCCCCACCGGTGCCATCGGTCCCCCCCCGCAGCTTCCGACCAGCAGCAGTACTGGCACTGCCGCTCTCCCTCTCTATTTACAGCATCCGAAAGTATCCTCCTCCGCGGGTTCTAGAGGCGCAACAGCCGCAAATGTGGGTCTTACCAGCAGCAGCAACAACAGCAGCACCCAGGCGGTCAGCAACTCCATGGAGCGAGGAGGGACTGCCAATCCACTGATGGGGGGCCCTCTCGAAGGCGACAGCCTTAGGGGGGGAGCCTCGGACGCTAGTCGCAGAAGTGCTGCAACGCCATGGGCTAACGGCCGCGCTGGCGAGTTCCCCTATGGCCGGCAACAATAGCAACAGTAGCAGCAGCAGTGAGTGCTGCAGGGGGAACTGCTGCGATGTCTGTGTATTGCTCGTGAGGGTGGTTGCTTGAGAGGGGGGAGATAACCCTCTTGATGGCTAGTGACGACAGCACCAACTCTAATGATTATATTTAGTCTACGCATGCTTCCATCAAGTATACCGATTGCTGCTGCTGCTGATGCCTCTGTTGTCGGCATCCCGACTCTCGGAACAGCGATTCGGCTGCTGAAAAATGCGGCATGTGCCCACCTCCCTATCACTGAGAAGTAGAAGCAGGACTGGGTGCTGCCATTTAAGGGGAAGGAGCCCCATAGGTTGGACGAGCTAGTGCGCAGACGATATTCCGCATGTGTTCTGCCCCTATACTGAGCGTCTAGAGTTGCTGCTGACGTACTCTGCACTGCCTCGGCTTTTATTCTTTAAGTTGCTGGGGGCTGCATACATCAGCAAACCACGGCTGCCGTGGCGAACCTCCAACCCCGCTGCGGATACTGCTTCGAGGCGTCTACAGAATTAGAAGGCCTTCCGTATAGCAGCCTTTGCTGCTATCCTGTAAAAATTCAAGAGGACTGACCACGTCTCGTGTACCTGCAAGCACCACCATGCCAAGGCATGTTTGAATTGTGTGTCGTTAGCGTGGCTACACGCTTTCGTCAACGAACGTGAAGTGTATTGTCCATGCACTGCATTAAAGCAGAACGACCGTCAACGGTACAGAATAACGCAGTCAAAGGCAGGCGACTTTCTTGGCTTAATGTTTGCTACGTTGATCATGCGTCGCTGCGGAAGGCTATTGCAGCAAGAGATGGACGGTACTGCCTGCACTCCGACCTGTTGCTGATCCCTTCGTATATGAAATATTATTACACTTGTGTAGATTTTCGAGGAGATCTTTTTGCAGATGCACATACAGCCGACCAATGAATCTCCTGAAGGGCATTGAGTTAAACACAGGAGGCTGAAGGTACAGGCATGACATACAGCCACGCGAGGGAGGGCAGAGAGTATTCGAGGTATCGTGTTCTTGCGTTTGTCACAACGCATTTACAGGTATACACATAGACTAAAGTGAGTATTTTCCCTGAATTTTTTCAGAAGGGCCCTCTGCGTGTGCGTGACATTATAAAACACCGACATCTGCAACACCCCACATATACGCATTCATGCGGTAAAAGCGCAGTTGCATCTACAGAACTCTCTAAACAGCTTTCATGGCCACTTGGCCCGACCCTATTTTCTGACTGCCTGCCATTCCAACATCACCCGTAACGAAGGGGACAGCAGGGCAACAACCACCCCGCTTTGCTACCACCCCCTATTCACCGCCCCTAAGTGGCTATATGTGATGCAGCTTCGCCCTTGACTTCCGTTGAAAAACTGGTGCAGCGCATTATCTAGTCCGCAGCTACCCGTGCAAACGGCTCACTATATGCATGCGTGTATGCATGCATACACGCATGCATGCATACACGCTTGCACATACAAATACGCCACTGATCCAAGAGACCCGCGCAGCCCATCTTGCCCGTTTCGCCAGCGCAAGTCACGAAGGACTCGGGAGTCAGAGAGGACAGGGGGGCAGGTACAGCAGCAATCTCTTGAACTCATTTAAATCTATGGGCTACATGGGGGGATGCTGCGCTGAAGGGACGTCCGTAAGGAGGAGGGGACGTCGCTCTCAAGCACCACAAAGAAGTTTGTCCCATAGCCGTGGCCAATAGGCATATACGGGCACCGCCAGAAAGAAGCGCCACTGCCACAGCTACGCCACATAGAGAAGTAAGAAGCCCTTAAACAACACCCGGAGCAGCAAGCCTCGTCTTGCCACAATCGAGGAGACATCGCAGCTCGCTGCCTCAACAACACCAGTTCTCAGTCCTGTGCACCATCTGTCAGCTTTCTTGAATAGACACTCGCCAAATTTGCGGTGGCATGCATAGCAACCCTCGTTCGTGTAGGCGCGACGATGCATCCTCTCTACCCTCTTTGTCTGTTTGACCGCACTGCAGTATCCGTGTCATGAAGGTGCTTAGTACTTTTATCGGAGACAGCGGAGCCGCCGAGAAGGTCGTGCTTCGTGTCCTCCTTGAAGAAACGAATAAGCGCCTTCGGCAGCTCCTCTGGATACAAGAGTGTCTTGATACCCTCGGGGGTTTGGACACCAACAAGCTGGAAATGACAGGCCCCCTAAGAGCACACGCAGCCACAGAGGGTTCCACACACAGCGCATGGACGTTCTAACGCAGGCCTCCCCTATCCTGACAAGCGAAGGCCAAAAATAAACGCTGCCTTTCGCATCTCAGTGCACATCCTTTGCGTTCCCCAGCTACTCCACAGCACACCAAAACCGTCCACCCCGCTAAGAAACGTCGAGGGTCACCTGCCCCACGAAGGTGCAGCCGCAACGCACCTTGAAATACAGGAGAACATACGCCTGCCGCCGCTTATTCTCAGAGCCCGTGACGTAGAACGTGCCCCTGGCCCCATCCAACACCAAGATACCCACATCCAATTCGTTTTCAAGCGCACAGATATCAGCCGCTGAGGAAGACAGCCAAGGCAGACGCAGGTGCAAGCACACTGGAGCCGCGCAAAAAATTCGCTGAGGGGAGACCTTCAGGGAAGCAGGAGACAACAAAGCACAGCCTTAACACGTTTCCTAATCCGCCCCAGCAGCCGAGAGAAGCGCCTCTTGTCAGCGGAAAATCCTCTAGAAACGTATGCTTTCGGACCGCCTCCCTACAGGCCGGCAGTCGCGCACGGCAGGTGTACAAATCCAGGCTGCCTAAGACCTATTTTAATGCTGTCGTCTGACAGTGGGGTTAAGCACCGTCCTGCCTTAGAAAAGCTTCTGCCGCCTCGCTTTTACCCCAGCCACTGCACTATTCACCCAGGACCACACAACAGCCAGCGAAGACACAGGGAGAACCGTCCCCCTTAAGCTCTCGAACGAGGGACGCACCTGTACCCCAGTGGTTGTTTCCTGGCCTTCCCAGCTCATGATGGACTGCGCGGACCTTCCCCATAGTGGAAGAAACATCGAAAATTACTCCTGAGCACACACCAAGCGAAGGAGACGGCACAAGCCCATGACGCGTGGAGGGGAGGCTGAAGGCAACCCGGGAGTCCCCTGCTATGGGCTGCTTGAATCACCGATAATTTGGCTGCATCAGCACGAAACATACCCACGCACAGGCCCTCACCTTTCCCCCCAAACACTGCCAGCGCACTCAACAGACTGCTCCGGTACCTCCCTAACTCCGCATGCCCCCCACCCCCCTCGACCCTCCCGCCGTCCACCCCTTGTGTGTGGCTGCAAAGGCAGGCAGTGGTAAATGTGGCATTAGGAGCCTAGCCTGCGTCTATCATTCCCTCCCTCCACACAGCCTCCTGCTTCTACGCAGAGGTCCCTCTACTTGACATTGAAAGCACTCCCCTCCTATCTTACCCCCTCAAAAATCCATCCCTCAAGGCGGTAAAGCACCCAATGTACGTATTTGCGGTAAATATGTATATATAGGTGCACATAGGCATATGGACACACATGCACGTAAGATGCAGGCATGCGGCAAGTAACGAAAATTATATTTTTTACCAGCAGAAGAAATGTAGGGTTCTGAGCCATCAAATATTACTGAAGGCGACCATCCATCATCCCAATCGCCGGAGTCCTCTAAGGCTGACATAACCGCAAGACGATCCAGAAAAGCAGCTTCCTCCTTGGGGCTGAGCTCTGCAAACCACAGGATGGAAGCCAACGACACGGAACGCAAATATATATATTTAGACTCCCGGAGGAAAGTAAAAGCCCGTCCATAGAGGTAGCGCCACATAGGGCAACAGAGAGAAAGAGGTACACACACACCACCCATAATAGAGCAGGCCGGCAAGTTTAATTCTTTCGACATTGACTTAGCGGCGCAGGTCTGCGCCGCTAAGTCAATGTCGAAAGAGTTCACGCCGAAAGAGACCAATGCGGGGAGCAGATGTGCAACTTGGATGCCACCTCAAGACAGTCTGAAGACACTCTGCTCCGGCGGGAAGAGGCCTCTTGAAGACGAAGCGGTCTCTCTCTCTCTCTCAATATATATATGTTGCACGCATCAATACCGGTTAAAACAGGAGGAAAGCAGCCGCCGAGGATGTGTGCATGTGCGACGATACGGGAAGGGCATACGTACACACCTACACACACACAAAGGGATAGCCTGCCACACGCGCGTCTCAAAAAGCCCGTGTGGGGTGAGTATACACGCACCAGCTTGCGAGTCGTAGGGGTTGATTCCCACGATTCCGTTCGCTGCCAGTTGTCTCAGCTTGAGCGCATCGCCAGCAACCTCCTTCATGCCGTTGAGGCCAAACGCCATGGAGAGGGCGAGAAACAAACAGTCTCCCCAGCCTCCAGCTTCCTGAAGAAGCCCACCCCAACGCACACAAATACGCAGCCCATATTGGACACACAAAAGAAGCAGAGAGAGTCACACACCCTATGCGACACTGCCATCCACAGTAGAAGTGCAGCCCACACACGCACGAAGGAAGATACGAAGAACAAGGGCACCAAAGTAGCCGCTGTAAGTCCGCAAAAAACAGGATCAGGGTGCTGCGACTTTAGGAGGTGCATTCCGGAGCTTATGCAGGCAAAGCACATCCAGAGGGTCGCTCCTCCCCACCGGCAGGCGCATGCACGATCAATACGCAGTAAATACAATGGCCCTCTGTGTGCACAGCCACGCTACTTCTCGCGCAGGTAGGTCGCATGCATGACCAAGGAAGCAACGGCACAGGACCTGAACGGGGGCATGCGGATTTCTCTGGGCAGAAGAAGTACAAAAAGCGAATTGCAAGCTCCGCCCTCGAGAGCCGCGACGGCGCATCCATCCATCAGCTCGGAGAGAGTCCCTTCGCACGCCGGGTGGGGTAGCAGGTGCTCAAGAAACTCACGATGCGCAGCAAAGTCAGATCCTCTTGGCGAAGGCGTTGCCTCCAAGCGAAGCCCAAGGGCTTCCACCCACTGAAAGGGCTCCATTGATTGAGAGTTCGGAGGGCGCGTCTAGCGTGCGTCTTCCCTTCGCCGTATGCCGAGGTTGCCTGCTGCGCTAAGGTGTTGACACACGACAAAACGGACTCTGTGAAGACCGTGGGGACTGCTCGCAACAGACGAATTGAGGCGCCGACGAGCCCATTTTGCTGCTGCTGCTGCTGGTGGATGAGGTGGCCTTCGATGCACTTGAGCATCCAATCCGAGTACTCTGCGAGGGTGCAGGCAGAGGCGCAGCCTTCCCTCGCTGCCGCTGGGTAGGAGGCACAGCCTTCCGCATCACAGTTCAGCCGATCCGCCTCTAGAGCAGCTACTGCGCCTTCCCTGCTGCCCTTGCTTAGCGCATCTGCCAAGGATGGTGCTTCCCCTTGATGAACCCCACCACCTGCTGCCGAACCCTCCACGCCTAGGCTCAGCGTGCCTGTGTAGAGGGCAGCAAGCGCAGCAGCAGCAGCGGCCGCTGCTGCTGCCGTGTTCGTCGCTACGCGTGGCATCTGGCTGCTGCTGGAGAAGCCGCGATCCGCATAAGAGCCTCCACTCGATCGCGGGGGGCCGTCCACTGCCCGAGCAGCCGCAGACGATGCCGCAGCTGAAGACGCACTTGATGCCCCCGATGCGACTCCAACTGAGCGAGAAATAGACACTGCGCTCGCAACACGGAGAGCCCCTTGGGCTACGAGGCACGCCATGAGCCAGCAGCCTCCCGCAAGGAACCACCGGCGCGAAGGCTGCATCGTCTGCTACCACGGTGCTGCGCTACTGCGGCTCCTGATACACCAACCATGCTGCGCAAGGCTTCCTGAAGCAGAAATCCCGCAGACCGTTTGCTCTCTTTCTCTCTCTCGCTCTCTATGTCAGAACACCATTCGCCCTTGCTGCCGTAGTGGCGGCATAAATAACAACTTTTGCTGTACGCCTCCTGCTGGCAGGTAGTACGGAGCACGCCTCTGCCGGCACTTCTGCCAAAAATGGCGAGCGCTGTCCTCAACAGCACACGCCGAGAAGGTGTAAAAACTGAAGCGCCAAAGCAGGCAATCAACGAACACGTAACTCTGAAGTTGAAGCAGCTCTTTGTGCAGATGTTGCAGGGGCCGCCGCAACTCCCGCGGCTGCGACGCAGCGCAGGCTGCAGTGAGTAGGGCTCCTAGCGCCACGACGCTTGCCGGAGCACCTTTGGCGTAAAATTCAAAGCAGATTCAACATAAAGGTGCTGCAGGAGCAACGACGGCTGCAGCAGTTTCAGGCACTGCTGCTACTATCGCCTCCCGTAGAGGGCTCGCCTAGCATGTCGACGCATGCAGAAGCAGACAGGACGTAAGTGCAGCGACTCCTTATAGGTCATAGAGCAGCAAACGCACTATGATGTGGCGTTTTTTTTATTTTAACGGTATCGCGCCTGCAGAACTGGCATAGAACCGCAGATCCGGGCACTCGTCTCCGTGATCCAGGGGGCCCTCCAGGCGACGGTGCACTCCCCGTGCGGCCGAGATCGGGAAGTCAGGAAGTGTATATTGTTCTTAGGTAGCAGCAGAATTATCAGAAGCACAAGCGAGCAGAAAGGGAGTAGCCAGCGGAGCAGTAAGCGTACATGCCCGAGTACCGGCTGCAGCACCAGCAGGCAGCCAGCCAGTTGTGTCGAGCGTCGGTTGCAGAGAATTCCCCTGTGAATGTCGCCATTTTCGCAATTCCCAAAGCATTCGATGCATAGGCACACCTGGTCTGCTGGCTCATAGGGGCTGCTCTCACGAGACTCTTCGGGGAGGCGCGCCACTTGGCCTTAAATCACAAATGCGGCTAAACGTGGGGTGGCCTTCGTGGGTTGTCAGCCGCTGCATGAACTCCAGGGTGTCTCTCACTGCTCTTTGCTGTAGCTGCATTCCCAAGCAACGCTCAAAGTTGAACTTCGTCCGTAGGTCAAGCGGTGTCTTTAGAGGGCCTGCTGTTGCCGAGACTGCCTCTTCTGGTGCGGCTCGTCCTCCTGCTGCTGCCGAGTATGCGCCTGTTGCTACCGCTGCAGCAGCAACAACTTCAGAGCATGCAGGGAGTGCAGCAGAAATCAGCAGATACAGCGGCAGACACGGCGACAGCGTTGGGGACACAACTGGCAGCGGCAGGCCCGTCGCCGTGGCAGTCAATACCCCGCAGGCGCTAGAAGGCTTCAAAATCAGGCAGAAAATTGCTGCGTCTCGCATCCCTTTCAAAGTACACCGCACAGGTAAGGCCTCGACTCCACCCTTCACGTGCAGCTGCGACTGCAGCAGTTGCTTCGACAACTGAAGAAGCAGGCGCGGCAGAACGCTTTTACAGCTGGAGTTGCTACAGAGCTCTTGTACTTGATCAGCTGCAGCACTAGGATACACGACGGTGTGAGGCACTGCCCCCTCTGTGTCTGCGTGATGGCGCAGCATCCGACAACCTGCCCGTCTTCCTGAGCTGGACTCAGGGCAGAAGCCGCGTGAGGACTGCCGTTCGGAAAATCAGTGGCGATAAGGAGGTATCTTGCGGCAGCGAAGGCTAAAACACGCCCATCAGGGGAACTTGGCAACAAGTGGGGTAAAGAAACAGAGTGGACAGTAGAGGCAGGGAGCAGACAGACAGACAGGAAACCAGGCAGTTCAAGTGAGGCAAGGGGGTTGTGCAAGGTGCCTTGGCGAGGCGGTAACGGGATCGGCTGGTCTTTCTGTGTGCGTATGTATGTGCTTGTCTGTCGATTTTAGTGCTTTATGGACGAACTGCGCATTCTCTGTGGTGCTCCTGTATGGGAGGGTGAGGGTTGCGTGTATATCTCGGGCAACAACAAGGCCCTTGTCAGGCAGGTCAGTTAGCCAGTAGCTTTACGAGCAGTGACAGCATCAGTAACTTTGGTAGTAGTAGAGGGAGACTCTTAAGACAGTAGCGACGGCACTCTCGGCAGAAGCAGAAATGCGCTTTGCTTAACTTGGGGTGTCAGGGGGTCTCGAGGAAGAAAGTTCGTAAGGCGCGGCGTACCATACATGCTCCTGCTGCGGGTGCTGAGCTTTTGTGCTGCTGTAGTGGCTGCAGGACCTTGGTTTTTAGCGTAAAATCCTTCCTTCGTGCCAAGTTTGTCCGCTCAGACGGCAGCAGCAGCACCCGCAGCACCAACGCTGTTGCGTGCAACGAGGCCTTTAGTGCGTGAGGCGGGAGCTTTGGTGCGCTCAGCAGTGCCGCCATCTCTTTCTGCTGCACATCAGCGCTCAGTATTTGCAGACATCTCAGGTGATACCTCTCTGCAATTTGAGGGCTAACAAAATTCATTCAGGGCTGCTGCCCTGAGTCTTGGAATGGGAAGCAGGGGTTGCAGTGCCCTCCGCCGCACTGGCCGTTGCTGAAGGCGCACGAGACCAGAGTCTCGGAGGTTTGCGCGAAAGAGAAATAGAGATATACAGGCGTGCAGGTGTGGAGGGAGGGCAGTCAAATGAGCAGCATAGAGATGCCATTAATAAATATTCGACTGCATGCATGGCATTCGACTGCATGCATGGCATTCAACTGCACGTTCACAGTGCCTGCAACCAGGCAAATCAAGCGTGCCCTATTTGGCCAGAGGTGGTAGCGAGACGCACTAATACTGTCTGCTTCACATCCAGTGTTTCTGTGAAAAAGAGCTGTAAGGCTGTGCGGCTGTCTCTTGGCCAGATCGTTATAAAGGCGGCGACGGGGTACAAGCGATCGAGAGCAGCCCACCAGAGTGTAACGCCAGGCACGTGTTTTTTGTGTGCGGGGGGCAGGAGGGCAAAAGAGATGGCGAGTGAATACACAGCAACGCTTCTGATTGAATACCGCCTGTCCGGGTAACGTGGGGTCATGAGCCTTGCTGTCATCTGTAGGTATAAGGGGCTTTAGCATTTCCTGTGTCCTTAGTTTTCGAGGAAAACCCATGGCCTCTATGGCAAAACAGACGCTAAGTAGCTGCTAGCTTGTGTGATACGGGGAATCGCCCCTCTGTCAAGCGCATATTTTGTGTAGCTCGCCCTAGTTTCTGTCTGAGAAGCATTCTTGAATCATTCCTTGAGCCAAGAGCAAGCAACCCAGTGTCCTCTCGCATGCGCCTTTGCTCTTCTTGCTGTCCCCCCACAAGATTCTAGCTTTGGGCGCGGATGGGGAGCTGGCTGCTTAAAGTTTGCGCTGTAAGCGTTCCGGGGACCCCCATTTCTCATGTTGGGGAGCAGACAGGCCATCTACCATCCTATGAGGTAGTATGTTTGTGGCCATGTGATAGGAAGCTACAGTGGCCGACTGAAGGCAGAGGGACGCAGCTAACCTGTCGATAGTTAAGGAGATTAAAGAGTGATATTTTCAAATATACCTCCTAGAGTCGCCGAAACTTTGTAGCTATTGCCTGGCATGCAACCCATGCCCATCCCCTTAACTTGGCATTTGGCCTTAGCGTCCCAAAGCGTCAAGTCTCATGACCACGACTTCTAACACCCGGTGTTCCTGGAAAAATGTGGCCTTGCTTTGCCCTGTTGTCACCATACGTGGGTAACGGTGCAGGGGTTAGCCAACGCCAAACGATAGTTGAAAAACAGGCCTCTCCTTCTGGGTTCGGACTACGCTTAGGTATACGGCACAGGGTTTTGCGATGCCCCAGCAGCAGAATCACTAAAACAGATGCGCCGCATTGCCTGTCACTCCGCGTGCGACGTTTCAAAGAACTTCTCCAACCCTACCAGATGCAGCGGCGGCTCTCAACTTTTAGCAGAAGTGTCGGCATCAGAGGCTTTTTGTATTCATAATTTATGTAAAGGCACCTAACAGTAACTATGTGAGTGTGTACGATAGTTGCTTCGAGGGAATTCGCAGCGAATAAACGGAGAGCGGCATTTTAGGACTTTTGTGTGTGGCGCGGCTGCTGCAGCCCCATAGAGGTCATCTGTGTATTGAATCGTGAATTGTTGAGGTCAAAAACACAGTTATAATTTTTTCTTAGATAAAGCAGCTGTATTCCACAAGTGTCTGGCAAGATGTCGCGCGCAGTCTATGCCAAGCTCTGGGCATCCACAGCCCAGTTCCAGCAGCGCCGCCACTACGCCTGGTATCAAGTCGGGTCAGTCTTCCATATACTGCGTTTACTTCAGCCTCTTCTCCACGAGAGGCACGAGAGGGACCTATCAGGCACTTAGAGGAGTCCCCGCTACAACATACCAGGGCCCTCCCCTTGTGTAGCATGCGCCAACTCCAGATTAATAGAGGCGCAATGTATTCTTCCGAGCCCCTCCGTGTATATCACCGGAATCATCTATCAAGGCACAGTGCATTCAGGGGTCCTCAAGTCTCTTCTGGGCATTACCAGTCCCTTTAGCTGAGGGCAAGCACATAAGGCACTCCTGAGTCATAAGGTTTGGGAGGCTGCGTTCCCCTTCCTTCTTTCTTTTGTGTTCCTGTTCCCTCTGTGTGCGATTGATGGGCCCTGTGGCTGCGTATTTTGTCTTGTCAGGGCGCGCGTGGGCAAGTGGGCAATGCCTTTGGGCGTCTGGTGGGCATGGCTCCTCTTTCCTGCCCTCCCGGAGGAATACCGCTCGGCAGTCACTCTTGGTATCTGGAAGAAGCCGAATGTCGGCACGCAAACCAAAGACTTCTGAACGTCAAGCTTAGAAGGGGCTTTAACGCGCCTTCGTGGAGGTGCATGAACATTCCCCAGACATGTTAGTCATTGATTCTGTGGGCATATATCAGCTTTTCGATAGTCTTTTCCCCCTTGCTGCATGTAGGGGAAAAACTCCGAGACGCTTGCGTCCGAAGGCACCCGCATGATGCGGGAGGACCCTTTGAGAGAGGCCCCAAAATTCCGGAGCGTGCGAGAAGGGGAGGGACTGGGTTGGATGGAAGGCACACTTTTCAACAGATGGCTCGCCATACATTAAGTGGAAGGGCCCAACTCAGCTCCCCTCACGTGCTTTAAGCCGAATCACAATCATAGCCTGTAAATCCTTCAGGCGAAATGCACTGTCCACTGGGGCCGTACCCGAACACTCCCACAGTCACTTCGGTTCTCGTGGCTCTACTGCAATACGTTGCTGCTGCTTGCCGCCATCTGTAGGGTGCCTGACCAGTTATTTGCCCATATGGTTAGGAGACACCATGGATTATTGAGAGGCGAAAGGCCCTGTGCGGCAGTAGAGCCTGCGCAAGCGCCCAGTGCCCTACACACGCTTCCACGGGGGCCTCGAGAAGTGTAGGGTCTTAGAAGACGAGCGAGGGGGAGGGAAGCGCCTCAAAAACTAAATAGCACTCCGTATCAAGAGAGAGTTCGCCAGGTTCTTCCCCCATGTGCCGTGCCGTGCAGGGGTGCACCGAATGCAGCTTTGGTGGTACATTGAGGTCATGAAGAGCAAGTGCGCCTATCGCGCCGCTGTAGAGCATTATGGAGGGGATTGGGGAGATGTCAGAATAGGGAAGCAACAGTGACTCGACACTGCAAAGGCTCAGGAGAACAAAGCCGCTTTAGAGCACAATACCTGGATTATTGACCAAACGTGAACACCAATGCTACTCCCGGGAGAGCAATCTGACTGGTTACTAGCCCCGTGACTACACTCCGCCCCTTGATGGCCACATGTGTGCTTTGCCTTTTCTCTTCATGACGCAAGACGCAATAGAACCATGGCATGTGTCGAGTACTTGAAAGCCGCAGGGTTCGTTTGCCACCTGTGGAACGCTCCATGGAGCAACCTCCGCTAAAATTAGGTGTTCCCTACTGCTCTGATTATTCTTAAAGAGTAGTTTGTAAAGAATTGATCAATGGGTTCGTCTTACTGCACAGCACAATAGGCTCGATACAAGAGGACGCAATGGCGAGTGCCTGTGTGCTAGAGACACTGTAAACCTTTGTGTAATCTGCTTTTTTTTTAGAGTCCCTACGTGCATGTATGCACGTCCTAGCTGTCCCTACCCCCGATGTGAAGTATATAGATGAAGGCGCAGTCTAGGTCAGGAAGACCTCGTTTGTGCATACTCCCTCACCAACTTGCCACAGTTAGAGTTGAGTGTAGAGTGAAGCGTTCTCCTACTGCGACCCTAGATGGAGCGACACTCCCCAAAGGACTAAAGAAGCTCTTCTCCAGCCCCTCTATCCGATAGCAGCAGATTATTTTCCAAAGCAGCGCCTTTACACCAAGCATATGGGCTCCCTTCGTGGCCGCTGACTGTATAGACCGGCTAGGATATCCTAGGCGCAGGTTTCAGCGGGAAACAGCAGGTGGACAAGGGTTTTCGAAAAGTCCTTGCTGTGGAATCCTGGACTCGCGCAGAGGAGAGTCTTGAGGGAATGCGGAAAGGACAGTGTCTTAGGAGGCGTGACTTAGGGGAACGAATTTGGAGGCACCGGAGAAGCCTTGCCCTCTAATTAGTGTAGCCTCTATTTGAAGCATTCGTCTCCGGCGTTGTCGCACTCTCTCGCCAGCTTGTTTTTGTTTCGCTCTGTTGCCATAATGGCCCCTCAGTCATCAACGGAGAACCTGCCTACCTGTGGGGCCCCTGACTTCCTTTCCCTCATTATTAGCCTACAACAACTCCCCAACACGCCTTGGAACCCTCCGGCTTCTACTTTCAGGCTAGAAAGCGTTTGCGCCTGAAAAGGCGAAGGTGGTGTAGCTGGGCAGATATCCAGTTTTTAAAAACAAGTCGGGAGGCCCATGTGAGAACGTTTCACCCCAAAGTTTCGCAGCAGCTAGGGAATTCCCTCCAACGCATGCACCCAAAATACCTGCGCCAGCGCCAACGCGTTAGGAGGCTTTGAACATGGCATGCGCCATTCGAAGGCCTTTGCCCCCTCTTCTTCCATTACAGTTTCCCCCTTTCTCTACAGAAGCCTCCTGATTAGACGTTCCCGACAAAATCAATCAACGTCGTTGATCATGCCTTTGAAGAGCTTTCGCGGCGTGAGGATTTCAGTGGTGAGAATAAGATACTGACGGTAGCCTTCTGGCTGTTCTGACTTGACGCCTCCCTTCCTCTCTATCTCGTTGAGACGCCGGACTGCTGCGATTTCCGAGTGAGAAACACCACCTAAAAAGAGCATCAGTATTAGCACGGGGGCGACTGCAGACGGTCCAGGGGGGACAAGAGGGCCGCTGGTGTGGCTGCTGGTGTTGGAGGCAGCCAAAGCTCCCGCTGAGGCTTTGCCCTCCCCCCCCCTGTGCTGCTGCTGCTGCTGCTGCTGCTGAGGCACCTTCGGGAGGGGCTGCTGCTGGCGAATTTCCATAGCAGGTCCCCACAGGCTGTTGAGAATGTCAGGTATCGCGCGCCAGCCCAGGGGGCTTTCGTGGAGGAGCTGAAGAAGCCTGTGGCAACAGCCCAATCATTGACGGCAGCAAACGGCTTTTGTGCTTCAGCTACTTTTGTTCAGGCAGCGACTGCGATGTCAAAGGCGGAGACACTACACTGACAACATGGAGCAACAAAATCCTACAAACAGCGGGGCGGCCCCTGGCGAATCGAACGAAGTACCGCATAGCATACATGGACGTGTTCCAGAAAGGAGCTAGCTAAGGAGCCCACTCGCCTTGTGAGACCACGCCTACTTTGCACCAAGATGCCTAGCCAAAGCAGGGGATCTACTTTGTAGAGATAAAAAACCACCGTAACGGTCGACAAGGCAAAGCGTGCAACTGATGTCGTGCAGTTTCCGCGATAAAAGATTTAGAAGCACCAGCAATACGACTGTTGTCGGGGCATGCCCTGCGCGGTCCACCCCCTACAAGTCTGATCTGCACTCTGTGCCTTTCTGCCTTACCTGATAGAAAGAGGAGCGTAGCCGGAACATGCGTATGCGATATCCCTAGCCGCTTGGTCTTCCTCCACCATCAATCTGCATTTGTCCTTTATGAGCTTCCACCTCTGCAAGCCCATGCCAGAAGCAGCGGCCTTCCCGGATCGCTGCGCTTGCTGCTCCCTAAGTAAGCCGACCTTATGGAGGGCGGCTATTCTCCGAAGCTCTGGGAGTCCGTGCTGCTGAACAACACTGCGCAATAGAGGCTCCAAATACTTAGCCTTAAGCCCCCCGTTGATCACCGATGCCAGACACATCAATCTGTATACGTCATCGAGGGTTGCCGCAGCAGCAGAGCAGCACCCAGAGGCCGCTGCAGCTTCTGTGGCGGCAGATTCGTCGATTAACGCTTCAAACATCTCCACACTGCAGGCCCCAAAGGTCCCCGAGGGGCCTGTGCCACCCCCTTGCAGTATCTGATCTTCAATGCAAAGTCTGTGGTGGTAGGCGGGATGCTTGGCGACAGCCGACACGAAAGATGCGAGCTTCACGTGAAGACTCAAAGAAGAGTGCTCTTGCTGCTTTGCCTTGAATTTGGGCATGAACGAACTGATATCCGCAATGGTTCGCAAGCTTTCCTTTTCTCTGTACGTTTGCTGGATATCGCTAGCCACCCGATGCAATGCACCGCCAACCTCCGATTGGTGCAAGTTCTTGAGAGCCGCATACAATGAATCACCGACGAGGGAAACTCGCTGCCGACGGGCTGGCTCTATCATCACCAGGTCCCTTTCCACGCCGCCACTTGAAAAAGACGCCTCAGATGCAGAAGCCTTGGAGCCTAAATGGTGCTGCTGCTGCTGCTGTTGCTGCTGCTGCTGTAAAAGATGCTTCGGTACCTCTATCCCGCTGCCATCCATGCCAAGCATGCTGTCCAAAAGCCCCTCGTAGGTGAAGGTGGTGCAGAGAGGCGTCACGAGATCTGCGCGTCTATCAAATACCACCAGCATATCCGCTTTATGGGGCATTACGGGCCTCCCGGGAGGCCCCCTTGGGGGCCCCATCCCCAGGGCAGGGGCCCCTATGGCCCCTGGGGCCCCCTGGGGACCGTTCGCTTGGGCCGTAGGGGGCCCCTCAAGATCGGTAACGTCAAGCACGGAGTGAACGGGGGGCACTAAGTCTGCAGGGAGGCCGGTGCCTGCAGCAGCAACCCCTAGACTGGCTTCCTCGAGTTGCAGTCGTTGCTGCTGCTGCTCGCGTCTCCGCCGTATGAGGAAGTCTGCAACGCTTTTGGCTGCGCTGCCGATACACCGGAGGTTGGGAATGAGGACGCCCTGCTGCAGCTCCTCCTGCAGCGACACCACTGTGTCTGCGACTTGCTTGCAGAGGGTAGGGTCTCCCTGGCCATGAAAAGCTCTGAAGAAGTTGGGAATCTCAAGAGACAGGAGGTCCTTCTCTACGGGGAACAGACGGAGAGGACAGTGCGTCACCAGCACGCAGTCGGAGCTGACGCTTCTGAGGGAAGCGTGGCTTGTGGCGGTGGTGGAGGGCGTAGAGCCGAGAGGCAGGAGGGTGCTGCTGATGTTGGAGATGAGGCTCGCAGCGGCGGCTGGTATGAGTGAGGAGGAGGAGGAAGAAGACGCACTGTCTTCAGCTGCACTTTGCTGTGCAGTGGAGGAGGAAAGAAGCCGCCGCAATTCTCCTGCAAGGAACTCTGAAGGATTGGGGATGAATGCCACAACATACCTCCGGCCGCTCTTGGATGTGGCTGGGGGCAGAGGGAAACTCCACAGGGCTTCCTCCGCTGCAGGAGGACAGTTTGAAGACTCTGCGTGGGCGGATGCAGGAGCCTGCGCCTGAGGAAATGAGCCCTCTATTTGTGCCATGTGGCGGATGATGAGAGGCAGACGCGAGAGTCTTGGACGGCAGAGAAAGAGAACCGTTGGGGCTAGAGCCGTTTGCGAGGGGACGGAAGACACTGAGAGCGGGAAGGCACCCAGTGCAAAGCACCGTTCCACCCCATGTTGCTGCAGCGCTGCGGCGTCTACCAAGCAAGAGACTGCAGCAGCAAGACTTTCCTCGAGGAGCAACAGTTTATGCCCTTCGATGCCACTCAACGCGTCCAGCAGCTTCCGACGGTAATGCGACCCTACGGCAACACAGGTCTCCTCTACAGCAGACAACAGGCCGCTGTCGGGGGGTATTACAGGATCCTGCTGTCGCTTGTTGGGGAGTGAGCCATCGTCTGCAGTGTCTTGGGGGATATTGAGGCTGAAAGCGGTGGACGCCATCAAGCTAGAGCCGCCTCCAGCAAGGATGCGGCAGATGCCTGCACCACTCGGGACGAAACATAAGAATGCCCGTTAGGCAGCAGCGGACTCCTGGGGGAAGCCAGGGGAGCATGCTAAGCGGCGCTCAGGCGCACTGAGGCTATATATATGTATATACTGTGGAAATTGAGCTAGCATTGGAGGCAGCGGCAGCGGAGCTAAGTTAGAGGGGCCCGCGAGAGCTGTACGAGCAGCGCCAGCCTCATTAGACTTTTCACGATTAGAATATTCAACCTTGATTGCGGCATTACACAAGAAGAAGAGGACGGGCAGGATGCCCTAGGGGTCGAGGCAGCAACGGCAAGAATCGGCTGATGAGACAGTGTGTCTTGGCTCTTCTTCGACCGCGTTCAATACAAAAAATGCTGAGAAACGGATATTCCTGAGGAGTTCCACACACGGAGAGGCGAAGCTGCTTTCTCGTTTCCTGCGTTTACCGTGTCTTGCTCATTTGTCCCCAGTATGGGGCTGGTGGGATCATGATGGCATGCATGCAAATGTGCCTTTTAGCGCCTCAAGTGAAAAGCAGAAGCGTGGTTTGTTGATCCCTTATTTCTCTCTCCGAAGGCAAGCTAAAAGAGGCATGCCGCCACCTGTAGGGCAACAGGACCCCTAAAAACGTCACCACGTGGTCGTGTGATTGGGAACCGCGCGAAGAAATCTGAAGCACGAATTGTGAGGCACAAGAACTTTTGCCCGAATAGTGTAACAGCTAATGCTGATGGCTGTATCAAACGGGGAGCAGCGCACTGCTCTAAACGCAGCAGGCGAAGCAAGCTGACATGTACAGGGCCACTCCTATGCTGTGCAGGCTTGAAGATGACATAGGGATTGTGAGATGTGATCTACCGCCAATAAAGCACACCGAGAGTTTTCTGAGGACTCTTAGTCATCATTACCATTTAGTCACCATTGTTTGTATATCTGCCCCTCGTAGTCCTCCCGGATGTGCTACATTTCTGCCTCAAGGACCTAAAGCTGCACCTACGCTCATGCACACTGTAGCTGACACCCCGTTCCTGTTTACTCGGTGGAGGCTTCGCTCCGTCTTTGTGCCGCGCATTGCACTTTATGGAGGCTTCATGTGCTGGCAGATTCCCCCCTCACAGCCATACACACAGACAGACAGCCATACATGCACACAGACAGACAGACATGCACACAGACAGACAGACATGCACACAGACAGACAGCCATACACACACACAGTCAGACATACACCCACACCCCCACAGACAGACACACATCGCGACCTCACATCTGTTCCTCCCCTCATTGCGTGCATGTGTATACCGGTGTCGATCCCTTCGCGCGTTTGATGCCTTTCAGTCTATGTGCTCGGCTTCTCATCTCGATGTGCTTTGTCGGTGTGTCTGTCAACCATCAGGGCAAGTCTGCGACCAAGCAATATCTCGAGATCCTCTGTGCAGCGTCAACTTTTGGACTGAGGCCTTCTCTCTCTCCCCCCCTTTGCGAATGACACACCCTTTTTTTGCAGTCTGAAAAGTATCTGCGGCTGCCTGCCCTCATCTCTGCCTTATTCGCAAGCAGCAACAAAAGCGTAGCCTCTGCGCAAACACCTAAGCACGACAGTTCACAAATACACCAACGCGATTCCTTGGACCTTGGCCAGTTTTAGGTCTTTCCCCTTGCGGTCCTCATATTTCCCTCTGAGGGAGATAAGCGGCTCTACAGCCACTCCAACAGCCTCACGTTTCTTCGCCCTCCACAATGTCTTCCTCTGGCATGAGTCTCGAAGAGCTGCGTGCAGCTGCTCGAGCTGCGGGCTTGAGCGCTGCAGAGGAAAAATTCGTGTGCTTTGACTGGGCAAACAGCGCAGCCTGGCAGGAATACTTGGTTAACCTCTACCCTACACCGCCTTTAAACAGGCTGCTCAAGTGGAAGAAGAAGTTCTACAAGGCGCATCAGGTAAAGAATGAAAAAAACTCGACACAAGCGGAAGTCCGTATTGCGTTCTCTTGTAAAGACTTCGCTCAACAGTGAAACTGCGATGGTTTTGAGGCGCTTAGCTTACACTAACTCTCCAGAGTAATTCTTCCTGAAGCTAATCACTCCCCTTATCGCAGTTCCATTTTGCTGTGTGCGTCACTAGCCGTTCGCTTTCCTTGCGGCCCTCTGCTTGGTCGGATTGCTCACTATACGAGAGAGCATTCGTGTAAATCTTTACAGGTTCTGAGATACGTATTCATATATCTACATGCCCGACTAGCTGTGCTATTCCCCTTCCTCTGCTACACTCATCGCTGACTGCGCATCTCTGCAGGATCCGTCATTCGACGTAAATTGCGTGAAGGTAGATCAAGTTCTGCGTGGCGAGGTTCCTTCTGCTTCCAACAGGCCTTCTTCCAGCTACTGCCCCTCTGGTTCGCCCACCTTTATGCGCCCAGTGGGCAATCCTCCTTCCGCCGCTGCTTTGCGCTTTCTCTCTCCGCTCACGCTGCTCTGCCTGTCTGCGGGCATGCTGAAGATTACAGTGGCAGCGGCCACTTCGGGAAAGGTGAGCAGCTGCGTGGAGCAGCACAGCGCATTCACAAGCAAAAGAGCTGTGTGTGGGGTGGGATTCGTGCTGCCGTGGACGACTTCCCCGTAAGCCTGTCTGCACGCCAAAGGATAACCATGCACCCATACTGCCCCTCGCCTCTCCCCATCAGGCACTTGTCGCGCCGTGTCTTGTTGCTGCAGGATCCGATGGCCTCTTTTATTGTAACGGGAGCCTTCATGCTGCGTCTCTACTCTTGCTTTGGTCTCCCTCCCGTGAAGCTGTGGCCCTTGTCGCAACTCGGCGACTCCCTCGCGAACGACGGCTTCCCATATTTCCAGGTAAGCCGCTTATGAGCGACCTCGACTCAAGGAGCTATGGGCTCGTGTGCGTGGATACCGTGTATATCAGCTTCATCACCTTTCGAGTTTAATTTTTCTCCGCGTTTCTCCGTTTCGCTTGCTGCGCGTCAGCAAGTTCTGCAGAACGACGCAATGCATGGGACCCTATTCTTCCTCCTGACGGGTCTCATGCCCAATTCGCTGCCTCTCATGGCTTCTCCCCTCATAACAGGCAGCCTGGTGCTTGCACAGATTCTCAGAGAAGGCAATGGCCTTCCTTCGTTTATTACCAAGTGAGTTTGGGGGCAGGCCTGCACATGGAGAGAGGGGAAGGCGGAATGCGTGTTTTCACACGTCACCTCCACGCACGCAGTACAACAAATCCCGCTGCTACGGGATGAGATGCCGACGAGTGTGGGGTAGGGGCGATCGGCGGGGAGAGGAAAGCCTTCGAATTTAATTTTTCTCAACAAGAGGCATCAATGCGCAATAGCCCGCATGCCTCATGGCCTCCACTTCAGTCGGCAGCGTGGATGACAGGCCGGACCTGCTCTCTTCTTGCGCATCTCGTAGTACATCACGTGCATACAGTGCATCGCAGCTGCCATTGAGAAGTTTTGCTTCTTCCAAATAAATCAGGCCTTCAAGGGGAAGGTGGCTTTGCCAGTCCTGGGCTGTACGGAGTAGGCAGTGTTCCATTTTGCATCGAGGATCGAGACTGAGTGCTTCCAGCCTGTCCGTTTGTGTTTGGTGGCTGCTTAGCCTGCGCTTCATGAGGAGCTTCACCTCTTTCTTGGACCAGAAGGTACTCCTTAAACTGAGTTCATCCCGTTGGGGGAGGAGGCCGCCTTGGGCTACCCCTTGCGTAGACGTCAATTCAGGCATAGAATGTCTGTGTAGAATTCTGATTCGCTCTCCTGTGTCTTCTCCGTGTTAAGCATCCCGTGCATGCGTCCTTCGATGCTCCGTTGTGAGCGTATGATGCGTTTTAATGCGTGTGCTGCTCTCTGGCGCTACTGCCTTGCTTCGTGGAAACTGCGTGTCTGCTCGCATGATATCGGCCTTCTCCTCTCGTGGCAGTCGTGCGAACTATTTCTACAAACCTTTTTTCCTCTGTGTGTAGTCCTGTTGTTCCCCTTGTTCAGCGCTATCGAGCTCTTCAGCTAAGGGCGGATCTTGAGGTGTACTACGGTCTCTTCTTCTTCATTTGGTCTTTGGTGCGAATGCAATTCTCCCTGTCCGACTTCATTCTTCCGGCCTACCTCTACTGGCAGCTGCAGAAGCTTCGGTATGCCCCTTCCACTGTCGTTCGCTGCTAAACTTTGTGTTAGAGATTTCGTCCTTCGCTGATATTCCTCACCCTTCCGTCTCGATCTCCACTCATACTCCGCTTTACGATATATATATATATATATATATATATATATATATATATATATATTTGTTCTGCCTCGCTATACTCTACTGAGGCCTTTACATCTCTCCCTAATGCGTTTATCGATCCAGCTGCCAAGAGGTTTTTGATCATCATTCACCAGATAGCGCAGCTTGGGCTGTCTGCCGGGGGCTCGTGACACAGTCCTTACTGTGGGCTTTGAGGGGATGGCTGCTACTGCAGGCGGTGGAGGGTTGCAGATTATCAGAGGAACCCAGATGAAGGGACACTGGGAAGGGTCAGGGGGTACCCTTCAAGGAAGTTCCATGGATAGTTTGGTTTCGTTGTGTTGCTGCAGATATCAGATGTGCCCCTATAGCCAAGCCAGCGTCCGGCGGGTGGACGGTGAGTTTTGACTTGCACCTAAAGTCTAAACTCAAGACGGCTTTTCCCAGACGCATTGATTCCACCCTCTGTGCAAGCATAATCACATTCGAATTCCTTTGTTTTTTTGCAATTCGTAAAGTAAAGGTCATTGGTTGCTTGAGCTCAACAGTTGATGCCTCAGGAATCGCATTTCTTATGGTTTTTTGTTACCTTACCTGTGCTCTGGCTTCATAACGCCACTACATGACAAATACTACATTGCGTAGTGGCTGCTGCTTTTGTCTTGTTGCACTTTTAAGAAAATCACGGTGAAAACCTAAATAGGCTATCGCACATATCTGTGGCATTTCCCCACAGGTCTTATTTTGTCCTTCACCAGCCATCCCGCGTGTCCCGGGGTTGTCCGCATGATTTACGACAAGGTCAGGATGATTGAGTCTATGTTTATACCCATTTATATGCGTACACCTGTTTGGTATGCTTGTAGTGCACAGCTCTTGTGCCTCAGTTTTTATTCAGACTTCAGCCCGGGTACATTTTTAGTTTTGTTTTATTAGAACAATTCGTGTGTGTTGCGTGGCAGCTGATGCCAGAGCTGTATGTATCTCTGTTTCGCTTGGACATTGCAGATCCGCAACTTTTGTATTCGCCAAGTACAGCCCGCAGATACTTCCTCTGCCGCACGGTCGTCATCATGCACCATCATGTGAACGACGCAAATGACTGCGAATAGCACAGAGAGCTCCGCACACTTTCATTGTATTCCTAATTGCTCTGCGGAGTAGCATTGTCTGAATTATATTCTCGTGTGAAATTTCGAGCGGTAAAGACGTAGGGTCCACAAACGTGCGGTCGGCGAATAAAATACAGAGCCAACGAAGCGGAGGCAAATGTCTTGTGCCACTCCAGAACATTAGTGCCTTGTTTCGCATGCACTCTTCTCCGCTTTCTCTTCGCTGCACCGTGATGAATTCAAAGCTGATGGCCGTAGCAGTGTCCACTCCTCCGCCGCTTCGTTGCAGTAACGCTGATGGCGCTAATTAAGAGAATAAGGCAGCAGCACGCGAAGAGCCTAAGGTTCCTCTACGAAAGGGTGAACTGAGTTGCAGGCAAATACCATGATATATGGCAGAATGAACATGGGAAATATTACTCGATCTTTCTGAGTTTCGCTCCTTTATTTCTTTGGCCTTGTGTCTGAAAAGATTACCTGGACTTGTAGGCTCCCGAGCGTATGGAAATAGAGGGGGAAAAAATTGTATGTAGTTTAAGTGAGTACTTCGTATATCAAAAGGGCATTCATTGGTTTCTAATGCAAGTAGAGGCACGCTGCGGTAGAATACAGCTGGTTTTAGCTTTGCTATGGAAACGGCGCTGAGGGTGTCTTGTGTTCCAAATTTAAGCTTATGATGCTTTTGTCCTGCTGTGGGTTTATATCCCTAAGCCTTTGATTATTTGTTGTCTACGATCACCGTCTTCTGGGCAAATACCAAAGATTTCTCTTTGCTTGTCACCATGGTTGCAGCAATTTTACGGCCCTTACACAAGAACAACCTGCGTAGGTAGTGTGCAGCACCAGATTAAAGACATACATGATACGGACTTAATTCATAAGCAGCAACTCCTGGGGACGAACTTTTGGGGAATTCAGGGGCTGGTTCGCTCATACATAGCTTTGGATCATTCGACGAAGTGCTTATTTACCGTGAAAGAAGAATTCGCAACACTCCCAGCAGCCTGTTCTTGATGGAACCAGACATAAGACAAATAGCCATATGATATTACTCCCAGTTTAAAAACGGCTTATGGAGCAAGCATGGTTTAAGGACTTCTCATGTGATACGTACCGACCAAATTGTGAACTACAAAGTGAAAACAACGAATTGTGCACCTGTTGTTTGTGAATACAGATCACAGGGATATGAGTGGTCGTGGTAGTTTCTGAAATAACTGAAATTGGTTCGATTAATGCATGCAGACAATCACGTATGCTTGCCGTTTGTGCGGGAGCCAGACTTGCCCGTTCTAGCTGAAAGAAGCGTACAGGCTGCGACGAAAGCGCTTACTGCCCATGAGTCCCAAGACTCACTTTCTGGATATAGAAGGACTTTTGCTCAATTATTTTCATTTTTTTGTGCGCATGCCTTCATCGTGTCCCTTCAATGACCTAATGAGGGCCGCATAAACGTCCCAGTGGTCCCCATCAGCGGTGATCACAACGGCCTAGTGCATGCGAATCAGGTCGAATGTTTCGTTTCCGACATATCTTGACTCATTTCCACTTTTGGAGACCCCAGGACCTACGTAATTGGGATACCACAGCAACATAGGTCCCGCGCCTCCAAGTGCCTCAATCCGAGGGAAATATTTAACGTACAACTGGCCTCGGTATAGGCCCGAACTAATGCACTGGAGAACCCAGGTACCTCCTGGCAGCACATCCCTTTTGATTGGTAAGACATATACCCAAGAAAGGGGGCATATGCCTAGGGCTTGCCTATAGAGGGGCCCCTAGTAGACACCACCGTCCGTTACCCACGATTCAGCTGCTACAATGCTGTAGTGGGATGTGGACGAAACAGGTTTCTTTCATCCGTCTCCAGATACGGCACTTCAGGTGCCACTTGTCAAGTCCTCTGCCGCAGCCACAGCTTCCTGGATCACCGTCTACACATTGGAGCTAGCCATGGCAGTCTCAGCAGTGGCGTTCCCAGGAACACAGTCCTGGCGGCCTCTGCACCAAGGCATGGCAGCTTCCAGCCGTGAAGACATCTCAGTATCCGCTTCACGGCGCAGCAGAAGCAGCGTGTCCAATGCAGCGCCTCAAGAGGCCCCCTTGCCTCCCCCAACACGCCGAAAGAGGCTCTCATCGCCGTATGAGCTGCAGCATGCATCGCACGGCTCATCAGCCCCAGTGGCCTCACTTCGTGACTCTATCGTTGCTTGTCTGCTTTTCATTTCAAAAAGGCCTCTCGGGCGTCGTCGCTTCAGTCGTTGCCTTTTTGCCTTGTGTGTCCTGGCGGCTGCCCTTAGTCAAACTGTTTTAGTAGCACTTGCGGATCCAGAAAATCTTTCTGGCAGCAGTGTGTCTCAGAAGGAAAGTCATGGCAGGCCTAATGGATCGCGCTCTTCTGATAAGGGTACGCCTACCTCAATCCTCTTTGGTTGCGTGTCGTTTGTCTCATGTCCGCCTCTCATGAATCCCGGCATAGGGGCTACTACTACTACCATTTTCCTGCTGCGTCCAGTCTTTTCTGCATCCTGGGGTGTAGTGAGGTGATTCTAGCGTAGTGGTTGAAGGCACTTATCTACAAGGCAGCACGCGCGAGGGGGGTGGGAGGAGCCAGCGTGCAGTGCCTCAAGTGCTCGTGCCTACTAATTCCTCCCATTACTTTTTCTCGACTAGCCCTTCCCCTCTGTATGTGCCGCCTTTTTCTATGGACGCGTATCGGCTGCAGCGCAATGTGCGATGGCTGGCGGTTCGCCTTTCAAGGGAAGGGAGGCACCTAGAGGCCTTTTGTGCCGTGAATTTGCAGTTGGACTGGGTTCCGTGTCGTCTCTGATGGAGATTGTAGAGGAGAGAAAGAGAGCGTGGGCTCTTGAAGTCGCGAAGAGGGCGAGGAGGGCTTCTGCTATATACTGCGGCAGCGCTGTATTCGGGAAATTGCAAGCGGACGGCAGTTACTCTATCAGTCCAGAGGAGGCCCCAAATTGCAGGAGCCTGTGTCGTGCCCTGCTGCACAAGTCAGCCTTCACTAAGTTGCGGGGGCGTCTTTGACAGCTTCTCGCTTGGTGTTTCTTTCTCTCGCAGCAGCTGCATGCATTCGGAGGGTTGGGGACGCTACGCTGTAGGGGGTTGAAAAGGCCGCTCTTTCGCCGCACGGCGGATAAACGGTTGCGCTTGAGCCCCCTGGCTAGAACTCATTTGTTCCGGCAGCCTTCAGTGGTTCTCGCGAAGTCTGTTCTGGTCGGAAATTCATGTAGCCTTTGAAAGCCTTTTGATTTGGTGTTTGCACGTGCAGGCACGGCCCTGCATGCGACGACTCCGCCGATCCTTATTCGTGTCTTTTGGGCTACCGATCTGACCGATGGTTCCCAGAAGAATATAAGGAGCACTGTTTCTATAGCAAGCCCTCTTTGCAGCAGCCAGACTTCGAAAGGAGCGTTGCTAGCGAGGATTGCATGCGCAAAGGCATGGAGGCCTGGCTGGCCCTTACCCGGCGGGGCGGCGACTCTTGGGAAGCGTTTCTTAGCGAAGTGCCCCCCTCCTGCACCTTTACGAGAGCGAGGCCAGAGTGTAAGGCCTTTGAAGCCCATCGGCTTCTTACTGCTGAGCCTCTGACTATGCATTTGCTGAGATGGCGATACACGCGGTTCTGGTAGAGGATCCAGCTGCCTGTTTGGTCCTTGGCCCTTCGAGCCCACGGCTCATGGAGCGTCTTCGCGCCGTAGCTGTGTGTTTTACAGAAGGGGTGGTTCGTTGAAGCCTCTCTCTAATTTCTTAGAGCAGAGAGGGTGTCGGCATGTCTGTCGCGCCGTGGGGGGTCTTCAGCTGAAGGCTGTTTTATGGGTGTATCGTCGTCGTCTTAGGCTTCCGTAGGGTGTGCCGTTTGTTTGTGTGTGCTGCAGCATCGCGGGTGGCTGCGCGGGCGCAGGCCACATTTCCAGAGAGTGCGGCGTTGATGGCCCTTTCCAAGGTTCCTGTGTCTCGCTTTTACATCATCAGCCGTCGCCAGGTGTCGGGGAGTGCAGCGGAAGACGCGGGGCCTCTAATGGAGTCTGCAATCGTGCCAGGGGACTATTGGAACGCGCTGGAAGACGGAGAGAGAGCAGACTGGCTGGTAACCACCACCTTTGTTGCGCCCACAGAAGTGACTGCGCTGGAGCCGCTGCAGGAGGCCTTAACAGGACGGCGGGAGGGCAAGGCGATTTGCCTTTTTCGAGTGGCAGACGTTGAGCGCGTTCGTTTTGGGATGATTCCAGGAGACAACTGCAGAGGCTTTATTGGGGTGTTATACGTGGCTGCCTTGGAGGCCGATCCTGCTCCTGGTTTTGACGCTGCTTCGCGAGGGTTCGACCTCTGCGTTGCGAGACGCGTCTTCCAGCGCAAGGTGATGCTTGATGGCTCATCCGTGGAGGCGCTCCAGCTGCGGACTCGTGTAACTGTCGGATCTCCTTGCGGCGTCGAATCGGGGATGGACAAGGGCTTCTGGGAGGTGGCCTTTTATGCATTGCGGTACCCCCAGGCAAGGGGTGTAGAGGGGCAGCCTCCTGGGGGAGAATGCCCTTGGAAGGGATCGATTCAGCTGAGCAACAAGTGTTTCTTGAGGCTCAAAACAGAGAGGGATATGCACCAGTGGGACTTCTTTTCCGCCAATGCCGTTTGCAGGGCCTTTACAGTAGGTACCGGTTTTACGTCAGAGGATGCGAGTCTAGCCCACATTGAAAATTCCATGGAAATGAAGCTCGTCGGAGTAAGAACACACACACTCGCACAGACAGAGAGACACACAAACTTTGGGGGTCGGCAAAGGACGGGGTGGGGAGAGGGGTAGGGGTTCTCGATCTTCGCATGTGCGAGCGCAAGAGCACGTTGAGGGCCTGGAGGCTTGTTTCGAGAGGAGCTTACCTCCCTCCAGATATGTTTGTCCTCCTTCCATTTGCAGCAGGGGTAAGGGAGGGGGCGAAGAGAGGGGGAAGGGGGTTTGCAAGGGGCGTCGCCGCTGTGCGGCATCGGCTTTCCTTCTTCAGAAGGACACCTTTGAGCCTCCTTCCTAACGAGTGTGTTTTGACGTGGCTCTTGTTGCTGAGTTGCTGGCAGCCAAATGGTTTTTATAGGCTTCTCTGCGCACTTACAGCCGCGTGTCAGGGGGCCTCGTTGGGTCGTGTGGGAGTGCCGCGAAGCGAAGGAGGCGCAGAGACACGCTTCTTGTCTATGCCGTTCTCGACTCAGGAAATGGCAGCGGCGAAAGGGGAGGAGGGATCGTGGATCGGTCTGTTTCAGGCTAGCCAGCTGCCTCTGGTAGTTCCTGGAAGGAGCTCCGCCTTCAGACGCAAGGAGGCGGAGTGCCCAATGGAAGCGCCGCAGTCTGCGGACGGCACGGGGTCTCTTTACAGCCAAATTCGCGCCGCATGTCCAGCAGCAGCGATGTGGCCTCAATGGCGACCTGTGTCTGACGGCTTAACTGCACAAAGGTGAGTCGGCACAGGGGGTGGGCGCTTCTGCAGCTCGTTCGCAGCAAGCTGGCGGCTGCGCTTTCCTAGAGGGGGGGTTTGGAGGGGGAGGAGGAGGAGGGGGCCTCCCTGTGAGCCTACACAACAGGCCAGCGAAGCTGTTCCCTGTCGCTTTCTTCTCCCTGACGTGTGTTTCTTCTCTAACAAAGCGGATCTGTGAAACAGATTCTCTTTCTTGCGCCACGCCGTGCTCTAGGTGGGATCCCCTCTTCTGCGATGGCCAACCCCAAGCTCTGGACGGCGCGAAATTCGCAGATTGCGCGGTGATTAGCTTCCAGAAGCAGGGGGCCCCCCCCTGCCTAAAGGCCCGGAGCTGCGACGCCCCCCTTTCGGCAATCTGCTCTGTAAAACTGAGGACAGGTGAGAGGGGGAGAACAAAAACACAGGGGAAGGCAGGGTGCACGGCTTGCGGTCCTCCCCTCCCCCTTATTTATCGCACATGACTAAAGGCTTTCACAGACCTTTTCACCTCGCCGTCGCTCTGGCGAGACGCTTCTGTGCGAGCGTGGTAAGGCGGGACGGCGGCGGCACCGTTAGGACTGACTACCAGACGTGTGGCCTTGCGAACGTACTACCGCCGTAGCAGCTTGCCCACGCCCATTAGGCGTGCTCTTGCCGATTCGCTCTTGACGCGAGAGATGCTGCTGATATATGGAGAGAGTCCTTTCTGCCTTCTTCCTAGCGCGTGAGATAAAGGGACCGTTTGCGCTGTGCTGTGATGCGACCCAGGCCCTCAAGTTCTCGCAAAGGGCAGCCGTGGAAGCGGCGAGCTGCCCGTCGTGAGTTGCAGCACAAAGAACAACGCAGCATGCTGGATAAGTCTGGCTCTGCCCGCTGTGGACTGGTGGACAGACAGCCTCGCGCTGGGAACTCCCAAGGGGCGGCATTCCTTCCCCTTTGGTCACTTAGCCCTCATGGCCTTCTGCGGATCGGGGTCTCTTCTGGCAGGCCCTTGGACGCCTTCTCAGCGCCTCAATTTGGCGAAAGACAAGGCTTTTAGGGAGCTCGATGCGGGATCCTACGAGCTTTGCTACTGCCCCTTAGTGCGGGGCGGAGAGGCAGCGGCCACATGCACCGAGGGAAGGGAGTTCGTGCATCTGCGGGCTCTGCTAAATCTCCTAAGCGACGAGAAAGGCGAGACATGGCCTCGCGTTCAGATCCTGCCCGAGGTTCCTTTGAAGGCGCTTCCAGGGAATTCGAACGCAGGCACTTCGCTGATCCTAAGGCCGGAAGCGAACGAGATCTCGCCAGGCGTAGTTTTCTGCACTGTCGGAAAGGCAGCGAGGCGGAGGACAGACGACACGTGCCGCTTCACCCTCGAGAGTCCAGACGCCGAAGAGAAGCTCGTGACTCTCTCGATTGTACCGGTTGGCGCAAACGATGCCCCCTACGAGCCGGCAGCGCTGTGCTCTCGGCCTGGTGCAACTATGACGGTGAATGTCAAAGGAATTACGACAGTCGATGTTAGGCCTTTTCTTCCCTTCAGCCACAAACACGCGATCTGTGCGCAGGGGTCTCTCATTGGAACCCTCATTACTTCAGGTGAGTCCATTTAATGCAGCTACGCCGCATCCTCTGTCACACGCCACCCACCCTTTCTCTGCCGCCTCTTCCAGTCAGGCCGCTGTCGTGCAGCCTCCCCGCACAGAACGTTTTTTCTCTCTCCGCGCTGGCGCTTCTACTTCTCTCTCTTCACGGAGGAAGGAGGCTGTTCCGGCTTTCTGATAGCCCTCTCTTCATAGTACACTCCCTCGCATGTTTCTTTCCGCCACAGCCAAGACAAATTCAGCAGCCGACTTCGTCAACGGTAAGCGGAGGCGGGAGTTCGGCATACGCAGCGCATGTGCCACACTGGGGGGCCTAGAGAGGCTTTTTTTTGTAGCATACCTATAGAAGAGGAAGGGGCATGTTGCCGTCTTGGGGAAAGGCTGCGGTTATGCCAATCGTCGTAGAAGCCAATTGCATATTAACAATTTTAGCGAACTCTGATTCCCTCCTGGTATCTTGCACTTGCGCCTAAAAACATGTGTCGCCTCCATATGTATGTGTATGTGCATGTTTGTGTATGTGTGTGTATATACTGCTGCTGTGTTGTGTTTTCTTCTCTTAGGAGGCGTTAGCTTCGTTCAGACCAGTCAGTCTCTGCCCGTTCATTCCGCTTACTGGCCCCTGCCCCCCTCCTCCTTCTGCGGGCTTCTTTTCTTCTCGCAGAACGAGGGGAGGGAAAATCTTGTAATCAAATCAACGTGGCTACGCCAGCTTCGATTCCATAACCCCGATGTCAGCCCTACCCATCCAAAATTCAGTTTTTTCGTTGGACTCCATGCAGCCTTCTGTATGTGCTTATGTGTGCTTGTGTCCTCTCTGTCTCTCTCTCTCTCTCTCTACAGGATTCTTGGAACTAAAGGTCGATGGTGCGTATGCTTGCCTTGTCTTATGCCCTCCAAATTCCTGCCTTTTCTCGTTTTTTCCCGCCTCGAAATTCCCTTTTCTCACAGGGTGTGCGTCAGGCACACTCACCCCGTGCTTGGAGGGTTTATGGTTGTTTTTTGGCCTGTGTGTGTGTGTGTGTTTCCGTCTGTCTCTGTGCCTCCTTCTCTCTGACCTCATTACGCTGTCTTTGCAGGCCTAAAGCTCAAGTTTCCGCATGACACAATCAACCAGGCCGTCTTTGAGGTGTCCGTCTCTGGCTATTTTTCCTACACCGTGGGCAGCGCCGTCTTGTTACTCGTTGAAGCTGTCTATGAAGATGACAAGTACTGCTCTTCACACTTAATCTACGATCAGTCCGCTTACAAGGAGTACATGGGGGTATTTGACAGCTTGAATCTACTCTTGCTTTTCACCGTTCCGGCCCCCACAGTACGCACAAAGCTCTGCCTCCTCAACCCTAACTCATATTACCACGTCGAAGTCGTGAGTCTGGGCCAGCTGCCGATGCCATCCAAGCCAATGAAAATAACTGCGAGAGAAGCCCGGTGCTCGCTCTCCCCAAAAGGCGACTGCTTATTCAACCTTTCTCCCGATGGCGCAACAATCAGTCAACCCTGGGTAAGCTTGGCCTTTTGTCCCCCCTTCTGTGGGGTGCCTTGAGCTCGTCTTCCTCGCAATACAGCGCGCTGTAGCTAGCGTTGTCTCGAACGCTCACCGCTGCAGGCTCCCGCAGCTTGTAGAGCAGTCCCTCTGAAGGGAACTTGGTTGTTCTTTTCGAACGCGGAGGAGGGGTGGGTGCTGTTAGGGAGGAGGAAGCCTGTTGGGGGATCTCACTCTGCAGTGTATCGTCTCTCACACACGGCGTCCCTCCTTTTGGAAGTGACGACGCAGTCGCATGCCCACCACATACACACATGGACGAGAGAGAAAGAGAAAGCGTGCAAGGAAGAGCGGAAAATATAGAGAGCTATTTTTGTCCTTGGTGTGTGGCAGGCCGCATTCTTTCCCAACACGATCGCTGTGAAGCTCCTGCAAGGAACGCAGCAGTGCCCTTTCGACCCAGCCGATCCTGAGTATTCAACCTTTGAAGGAGACCCCTCAGACATTGTAGCAGTGCTGGAGGCTGATGCTATGGATATGACCATGACATTTGCAAGCACCACTATTTTAGAGTTTCAGCTGGCCGAACAGCTGAAGCCGTGGCTGGCAGACAGGGGCATCGCAACGATATGCATGACTCAGGAGGGGATGGAAGATTCAACTACCTCCTGCTGGGAGAACGAAACGTGCACGATGCAGCTTGGCTACATGCGTTGGGTTGGTGCGTTGCTGTGTGGAGCAGCGCAGCAGACGCTGTTGTTGTCTTTTTCTCTGCCCACGAAGCGGGGGTGGGGTGGGGGAGAGGCCGCGCAGCTCATTCCTTGTTTTTGTGCTTTGGTGGAGGGGTAGTCGCACTTTTTGCGTCTGAGGAATGAGGATGAGTATGTTTGCTCACCTCTAGCGTGAAGCAGAAGGAGAAGAGGGGAAGGAGGGGGCTGGTGGGGTCTAAAGAGAGTGCCGGCCTTATGAATCTGCGGTGCACGGTATCCTCGTCGACTGTTGATTACAGGCCCGACCGAATCGTACGACAAAGCGTTTGTCTGCAAGGAGGAAGAAGAATGCATAGTTGACGTAGAAGGGAAGCACATGGATTTTCTGAGCATGCACTTTAGCCGCCTTGCTGCCCTAGAAACCTGCGGGGTGAGCGGGAGGCATGTCACAACATGTCTGTGTGTGTGCCGAGCAGAGCTCCTAAAAGGGCGCTGCAGGCCTGACTGTAGATACACCTCGTGGTATCGTCAGATGTGCTTTTTATTGTCAGAAAGATTCGCAACTGAAGCAGCGCAACCTGGCACTCCCAGCAGGGTGCAGAGAGGATGCGACAAAGACCAGCAGGCTTCAACCGGCTGGCTGTACTCAACGGTCTCGTGCTTAGAGTTGTGTGTGTATTTCGCCTCAGGAACTTAGGGGGATAGGCACGCTGTCTGTCTTCGGCACATATCAGAGCGTAGATCTGTCAGCTCCCTCGGACGACTATAGTTGGCTGCAGGTGGCTTCCCACTCTTCGCCGCTGGCTCCTGTTTCTTCTGCCTCTACCGGTAAGCAGACCTAATTTGCTCTTGCGCGTATATCTCTGGTGGCATGCTGCATTATTCGCATGAGAAAATTCGCTTCGCCTTTCGCCTTGCGACGTTCGTTCTTCTGCGTGTCATTGGGGGTCCTTCGAATAGACGGGTTGTTCGAGCTCAACATGCATGTCTGCGCATGCATATTCAGCATGCATTTGTTTGTATGCCGTTTGTGAATGGGTTTCTTCTTATTTCAATGCGCCGCAACTTTTAATCACCGCGTTCACCGGGGTAGCTGCCGATAAAAACGCGACAAAGTGGAGGGAAGCCCCCCCCAATAGGGTGCTGTTGCGGTAGAAGGGGAGGGCAGTCTGGGCTCGCTGCTGCTGCTGCTGCTGCTTCCCTGCCTTCTAAACCCTTACATGGTTGCGGGGATGGATTCAGAGACTGCCTGCTACTCTGCAGCAATAAAGCAACCGCGCGCGTGTTGCATTGTGTCGTGGACAGAGTCTCCGCGCCACCCTTCTCTCCCTTCACCCGAAGCCTTGCTCTTCGTTACAACTCGCCTTTCTTAACACGAAAATCTTCCAGGGGTTTCAGAGCATGCTGACTCGATCTTGGCAGTCGGTTCCAGGGGAGTGCAAGGAGCCGCTTGCATGTCGCTGCTCTCTCTGTGTGTGTCAGTTTTTGCCGCAGAGGGTTCTGCAGGTCTTAAGGCGCAGGATCACGCGCAAGCGCGACTATCCTTGCTAGAATCTGCGTCTACCCACAGCTCAGCATCCGTCTCTTTTGTGCTGAAGACAGACAAGAAGGGAGGCACGCAAGAGCTGTGTTGGAACCCTGCAGCGGGTTCTTTCTACAACCTTCTGGATCACACGGTGTATGTGGGTCGCATCGTCTTTGTGAGCCGACCAACACTAAAGAGTAAGTGCAACGCTGGGAGAGGAGAGGCCGAATATATATTTGCCTGCGTCTCGTCATGATGGTGCATCCCGCCTCCGCCACGTCGCGCAGTGCTCAGCTCAGCGGCGATGTGCCTGACGGAGTGGCTTGAGCGTTGTTTCTTTAGTGGGGTGCAAAGAGAGGAGGCGAGCTTGAGGCTTTGGCTGTGGGGTGGGTAGGGGAGGGGGTAGTGTCTGACTTGCGGTGAGGTGCAAGCACGCTGCAATACAAGCAAGCATACTGCTTGGAAGGAAGGACCACTCCAGTGTACAGGCGTGTAGAGCTGTGCTTCGTCTGCGCGTCCTTGTGCAGCAATGGAAGTCGTGCCGCAGAGCGTAGCAGGAGGCACAGAGGGGGCACAGGCGGTGAAGATTGAGGCAGAAGTAGGGCTAGATCGCGCTGACCTCACCGGTTCAACGAAGGTTTATCTGAAAAACGCTCCAACAACGGATACGGCCCTAGTTGACACATGCGACTATACGACGGATGCAGCAGGAGATCTTATTACCGCCATTAGCGCGATGTCTGCAGTATCGAGCACGAGCGAGAACGTGAACTTGGCCACAGCGGTGTTGGCGAATCCACAGGTTCCCTCCTCTGTCTGCTTGGTGCAGTTCATGATGCCCACCAGTTTTTCCAATGACATCCCTTACGCGTAAGCAGCGACAGTGTGTTTTTGAGTCCCCTCTTCTCCTCGGATTGCTGAGTTGGCGCGGTTTTTTCTCCCACGGTGCTCTTGCGTAGAGCCCTGCTTGGCAAATATGCGGCCTGCGAGACAAAATAGAGGCTGTTTGGCAGCCTCTATCTTGTTGAAAAAGAAACCTCAGAGGCAGCGCGCTTCTTCCCCCACCCCCCTCCCTCTCTTTGTAAGGGAGCCTTGCCTCTCGATTTTTACGCTCGACGAGGCCTCTTTATTATGGCCCCTCCTCCTGAGCGGTGTGTGGGTGGTGACGTGCTTTGCGTGAAGGTTCTACATGGGGAGGCTGCCAGGAGCGCACGTACCGTCGGCAAACTTGGACGCTACTTGTACACTTGATCGAAGCACGGATTGCACAGCAAAGGGGGCACTTACGAATGTCTCGGCTTTGGACTGGAAGGGGAATCCGTGGCCGTTGGTGAGTTGGTGTGGCTCCCTTCCTGCAGCGTGCGGAGATTGCCGTGTGCAGGCGAAGAGGCCTTTCTGCTCCCCTCAGTGCCCCTCCACCCCGCTTTCGTTGGCGAAAGGAAATGTCTGATGCCCTTTTGCGCCGAATTTCTGTTGCTGGTGCTCTGTGTGCTCTGCGGTGGCTGTCTGTCAGCAAGCCTCCCCTCCCGCTAAAATGACAGTTCTCGCAGCGCCCTTCGATTCTTGTCCTTCGAACCCCAGGGAATTACTGAACGTGGTGTCTGCAACGGAAAGGCTGACCTCCGAGCAGATACTGAGCGAGTTCACAAGGAACACCGTGAGTGTGACCTTGGAGAGGCTTTCGCCGCTGCTAGCTCTGAGGGGGAGGGCAACCCTCTGCGTGCTTGACGACAATTGCCAAGATCCCAACACCGGGGAGTGTGTTGCTAGCCTGGGCAAGGCTCGCTGGATAGGACCGACTGTCATCACGCACGTCGACACGCTTTGTACGGAGGTGAAGGGGGGCCGTTGCAAAGTATCCATCACAGGATTCAACATGAAGAGCGTAGACTATTCGAGACCGAGGCTCGCTGTGACAAGTGCCTGCGGAGTAAGCCTCTCCCCTCAAATTCTGCAGCGAGGGGCGTGCCACGAATATCCAACGGCGGAAGGAGAGAGAAAGGGGGAGATAGAGAGAAAGGGTCATAGAGAGAGAAAGGGTCATAGAGAGACAGAGGTAGATAGAGATAGGGGTGGAGACAGCGTTAGAGAAACAGAAGAGACAGTGCTTGAGAAACTGAGACAGCACCACAGAAACAGAGACACAAAAGCAGAACGAACGGGAGAAAAGTGCAATCAGCCTCTTATCGTTGTTTGTTGTGCACGTGTGTCGCTCATGGTTTTTGATGGTAGGGAGTGCTGATTCTGCGTATTTGTGTTGCCTGCTGTTCGATCAGGACGGAACTACTGAATTGTTCACAGAAGCGGATGAGGTAGACGTAGAAGACGACGTTGCAGTTTTTTCTGTTCCAGTTCTTGCAGGGTGGGGTCTTCACCTGTGCTGGAATCCTGTGGTCATGGTGCTGACTCCTGGCTTTGATAGTGGTGGCTTTACTCTGCAATCGGAGTATACTTTCGACATTGGAAGTTTTTCTGTGTTGCCGCTTCCCATCGTAACAGGTACAGCGCGAGATTTTTTCAAGCCGTACCCTGTTCTCGAGTCTTTGAGTAGCGGCCTTGGGTAGCTGGCTGCATGTTGAGATGCTGGCTTCAGGCTGCCCTCCTGTCTGCCCCTCCCCTCGCGTTATCTGCAAGGTAGAGGCTTCTCCCCGCTAATAACAAGGCCCCTGCGCAGCCCGCTTACGTGTGCAGTCTGGTGCTGTCTACGATTATCTGCGCGCAGGCCGTTCTGTATCAAGCAAAACAGTAACGACGGCTGTGGTGGAAGTCGAGCTCAACGCGCTTCTTGATCCAACTTCCGTGGCGGCTTTCGGAGGGCCTCTGCCATCTCAAGGGCTTTGGAACGGCATGAGCAGGGAGCCTTACAGTCCTGGCTCTACGTGCAGCATTTCCAGCTCCACAGTGTACAGCTTTCGTGCCACAAGCGTGTCGATTGAGACTGTCAACGTACGCAGCCGGGAAGATGGTTCTTTTCAAGAGACGGGCAAGGAGTCAGCGGAAGCCGCTGTGACGCAGATATCTTTTGAGTTCGATGCAGAGGAAGTCTCATACACATACTGCTGGCATACAGCCGTCTTTGACGCCAATCACCAGATCGTGAGGGAATCTTGGTGAGGCTCTCTTATCCACTACACAAGCCTGCGGCTTGTCTCTGGTTGCTGCCTCTTCCCGCCTTGTAGTGATCTCTGCTGCCGTGCTAACAGCAGCGATAACGGCCTCAGCCTGCTCTCGCAAGGGTCTTGCCTGCCACCATGCCTCATCACTCCCTTTATCAAGACGCACATTTGTGTCTGCTGGTCATGTGTCTGTCTGTCTGTCTGTCTGTCTGTCTGTCTGTCTGTCGCCCTATTCCTCTTTCGCTCTCTATTTACGCACGTCGAGTTAGCGCACAGGGCACTTTTACCCCCCATCCTAGTCGTGTCGTCAATGGCTAGTGTCGTGTTAGCAGTGGCAAATGCCATGTTATCAGTGGCTAGTGTCGTGTTAGCAGTGGCAAATGCCATGTTATCAGTGGCTAATGTCGTGTTATCAGTGGCAAATGCCATGTTATCAGTGGCTAATGTCGTGTTATCAGTGGCAAATGCCTCAGAAGCTTCGGGAACTTATACTGCGCCTCAGGACGCCGCTAGTCAACATAGCAGGGCCTTCGGACGCGCAGCTTGGAGGTGTTTACGCAACTGCTGCGTTGTCTCTAGGATTTGTTCCGTGCATGTCTGGCACATCAGATCCGGATGCCTGCATCTTCAGTGTAGTGGCCACGGCGCCTTCAGAGCCCGATCTGTACCCTAACGGGGAGGTGAGCAGTTTCTACGAGCAGAAAATGTACTGGTCTTGGCGATTTGTTTTGGGGTTTGCGTTCACCAACGCGCCGAAACGCTCGTGGGAAGCGAGGCATGAATACCCCGCATGCGTGCTACTGCTACTGCTGCTGTTGCTGCTTCCTTGTACTGCTGCTCTTGCAGCGGTGGATTCTTCCTTCGAGAGCCACCGTCGTGGTGATACCTGGGGAGGCGGACTGCAGCAATACGGCCATATCTGTGTTTGAGACTGCGCCACTGATCAACGCCGAGACTGTAGACCCCTCAAAGCCCATGCGTCTGCTAGAGCCGCATACGGTTAACGACTGCTTGTACTACAATCTTGGTGCAGGCCGAGCCTGGCTGTCAGAAAACGGGAAAGGCACCATCTGCTGGCATAGCGATGTCACGGCTAGCCGAACACCCGTCAAAATCGCACAGGCCCTCTGGCTGGGCCCACCCTTCATTCGCAACCAGCCTATGTACGTCACCTGCTCGCATGTGGCTGTCTGCAACGTATCCGTTCACGGCAAAAACTTTTCCTTCATGGATCACTCGGTGACTCGACTTGCTGTTCTGGAGAGCTGCGGCACGGCGAAAGGGCTTGGTGTCGCGCAACTACGGACTGTTAAATCGGAACACGCAAGTTTTCTCATGATCCGAGAGACTCCTTCCTACGAGCTGGTTACAGAGGACGACCTTGAGCCTGGTCAGTATTCTCTTTCTTTCAAAGCAGCTACATACAGACACACACCGCTAATACAGAACATGCAAGTCTCTTCCAGAGGCTCTCAGAGCTCCCAGCTTGCTTGCTTGTTGTCTGTCATGAGCGAAAGCAGCCGGGTTCGTCGCACTGCTGCTAGCGAACAGGGTCAAGGTCCTAACTCTCTTCTGATATACGAGCGAAAAAAGCCCCTTTCTTCATAATGTGCTTGTGCTTTTCATATGTATGTGTCCACATGTCTTTCTGCCTGTAGATCACTGTGTATGTCTATATGTCTGTCTGTATTGCTATATATCTATTAATATTTATATACAGATATGTATCTGTGTGTCTGTATGTCTTTATATATATGTTCCTATGGCTGCTATCCCGCCATGTACATCTTTGTCGATATCGCATCATAAATCTCTACGTCTCTGTCTATGTGCTTCTCTATATCTTTATTTACCCATCTGTCTGCCTGTCCGTCTGTATATGGACCTCGTGATGCGCAGTGCACTTCTGGACACTCTCCGAGAAAATCTTTCGAACACGCTGCAAGCACGGAACAACCCCAGAGTTCGTAGAGGCTACATGGGAAGATCCACATGGTATCTGCAAAGGTGTTGATGTTGCCGATCTCTTGAACAAACACTGCAGCGGCAGGCAGCAGTGCACCTTTATTCCAACGGGCAGATCTCCCCGAAGCCACGCAACCACGGACTCCCCTTCTCTGTATCTGGTAGTTCCCAACAACTGTTTGGACGGAAACGAGCAAAAGCTGCGAGGCACATACCGCTGCCTCGGTATGTCTGCTCGCCGCCTTGCTTAGCGAGTTGCCTTTGCTCACGACAAGGAGCAAGCCTCTGCAGGGGAGGGAGGGAGGGGGGATAGGGGGAATGGAGGGAGGGAATGCAGGAGAGAAGGGAACCGAATCGCGTAGGGAAGGAGGGGTCAGAGGGGTCGTAATCAAGGATGCAGCTAAAAAAATTGACACTCCTGCATTGCGCACTGTAGGGTGATCTCTGCGTGCTCTGTTTCAGATAGGAGAGATTCATCCTCGCGAGGACGCGCTACTGCACCTATCATGCTTCAACTGCTTGGCAAAACTGCCGCTCCAAAAGACGATTCGTCAACTAAAAAGGAAGTAGGGGCCGACCAAAGTCTTGCCGATCCAGCGTCCTCTGCTGGCTCAGGGGTCTCTTCTGACAAGACTAACGGCACAGGTGCCTCTGACTCTGCGAATGCTGCGAACTCTATGGATGCTTCGAACTCTATGGATGCCGCGGATGCTTCGAACTCTGCAAATGCTTCTGACGCTGCGGATTCTATGGATGCTTCGAACTCTGCAAATGCTCCTGACGCTGCGGATTCTATGGGTGCTGCGAACTCTGCAAATGCTTCTGACGCTGCGGATTCTATGGATGCTTCGAACTCTGCAAATGCTTCTGACGCTGCGGATTCTATGGATGCTACGGACGCGTCTAGCAGCAAGCATCAGCCACAGGATGAAACGATATCCTTTTGGGTATTTCGCGGGAAGCCGGGTATCTACGAAATATGCTGGAATTCAGATATTACACCTAACGCAGATGCGTCAGCGTACTCCGAGTACTTGGGAAAGTTCGAAATGATGCCCATCCTCTCTGTCACAGGTATCTGTTTCCCTGCTGCCAGAGTCAGCTGCACGTAGACGCATGAGCGGTTCTTGATGGATTTGGACAGCAGGCAGGTGTTCTCAGTGTCGATATGCGCCATTACACTGCAGAGCACTGCGCAGGCAATTCTCCTGCCAAAGGGTGTGGAATAGCGAGTATGGGTTCTGCGATGCAAATTTTAATATGCAAATTCTGTGCCGCCTGAGAGGCGCTTTGTGTGTGTGCCTCTCAATGAGGGGCCTTCCTTGAAAATAGCCAAAGCTACTCTTGATGAAAACCCCTGTGCTGCAAGGGTATCCATCTCTACCTATCTATCTCTCTCTATATCTATGTGTGTCTCTCTGTATGGGTGTTTGTGTGTGACGCCTTGTGCAGATGAGGCTGTGGTGTGCGTATCCGATGATTTAAGCACCTGCACTTTAGAAATCACGATCGAGGTCGAGGCCATTGAGGTGACAGATGGTTCTGTGGTACTTATTTTAGCCGCGCAGGACGGAACGGCTGAGTGTGCACCTGTGACTCCAGCGGATCTGGAGGTACTTGCCATAATGCCTCATCGGTCTTCATGGGATGCAGCACATGAGATATCCGAATTGACATACTCAACACCGCTGTCCAAGGCCAGCCGCAAGCTGTGTCTCGTCACCTTTGACAATGCAACATCCACCATCGGCACTGCGTAAGTCGGGAAGAACCCCTCCTTGAGCATCTCTCTTTGTCTCTCTCTGTCTCTGTCTCTCTGTGTCTCTGTCTCTCTGTCTCTCTCTGTCTCTGTCTCTCTCTCTGTCTCTCTCTCTTAGAGCCTCTAACTCTAGCTGTTGACTGGAGTGTCCTCGCGATCCTGCACCCGATCTCTCATGCACCTGCAGCGAACTGATGCTACATTACCTGATGCAACACACCCCTCTTCGCGCGATGCCCGTGCCAGTCTTCTGAGCCTCTCCCCCCCTTTACATTTGCTGTTTTTACCGTCCCCCCATACGCGGCGCTGCGCGACATTTCAAAAGACTCCAGCCTTTGTTCTGCAAGCTGCTCCTTTAGTTTGTTAGTACTCGATGCCGGCAGAGACTCCAGGAAGCCTCTCAGAGTCTGCTTTCGACTGGCATAACAGCGGCGCTTGGCTGCGGCTGCTCTTTCAGGCAGTACGCGGGGAATATACCTGGTTACTCTGCACCCAAGGAGCACGCTACACACGAGGATGTTTGCACAGCAGATCCTACACGGCCTTGTTCGGTCACTCTGGAGCCCTCTCCTGTCTCAAGCTTCTTTGATCTCGACAATCGCATCCCCCAGGAAGGGGAAACGACCCCATCCTTTGATGCATTTCCAGATTTGGTAGAGCCCTTTGCTGCTGCTTTTCTCGGTGCCCCTCGTTAAAGCTCTAGCAACTGCGCAGTCTCAAGAACCTGCAGCCTTCTTAGAGAGGGCGCTACTGGGCCGGGTATGCAGCTCGTCAAAGCCTACATTTGGAGCGAGAACCAGCAAGACAAACTTTCCGACCCTCGTGCCCTGTGTGTGTCTGCATGCGACTCTCTGTCTCTCGATGTCGATGTTGCAGCGGGCCTACCTGCCTGCTGAATCGCGTCTCTACGTGCTGGAAGGAGACGTCTTGTGCCCTGCAAGTGCTTCTGATAAGCTTTACACGACTGCTACTGAGGACCCCGCCAGTGGCATTGCTGCACTCCCGCAGGCATTCGCGGAAATCGGTTCTTTAGTGTACCAACTGACGGACGCGCAGCAGAGGTGGCTTATGGAAACACTTGTAGCCACGCTTTGCTGGACAGCTCCTGACTGCACAGAAGACTCCCAAATGCCCACCTCTAGGCCTTGCACAAAGAAGGTTGGAGTGCTGACATGGGCAGGCAAGCGCGCAAACGAAATCTCCAGCAAGGCAGCAGCAGTCTATGATATCCCTTCAAGCCGGAGCCGCGCAAGCAGCCTGCATTACCAGTCTTATATACATACATACATATATATATATGTGTGTGTGTGTATATGTATCTGTATATGTATATATATATACGTATATACATGCATGCCCGCACAAAAAGCTAGTGAACGCTGCGTCCTTCTCCATCCAACAGGGGTTTTTATGGCGGTTTTTTTGCCGCTCCCCAACTCAACTGCCGCTTTTCTACGCGGTCCGCTAGTCCTGTGCGGCATCCCGTATAACGCCTTATGCCCATATGCGTTCCCTTGATTTGCACCGTGCAGGGCCCCTCGTCAAGGAGCCTTTGGCCACTATCACCTGCCGATTGGAGATGCCCTGCACATTTGTAGTACAGGGTATCAACTTGGCGTTGATGGATCACCAAAAGAGCAGAGTTGCCTTCCTCAAGCAGTGCGGAGTAAGTGCCGCTCGTTCGCTGGCTGCCGTGGGGAGGCCGCTATTGCGGGAGTTACTGCCAGCTTTTTGCCGCCTTCCCCCTATCCTTTACCGCGCGTTAAAGACAGCCAAGACATGTTCAGAAGGACTAGATTGCCCAGTTAAACGTGTGTTGTCGCAAGACGTCTCAGAAAGCTCCCACTTTCAAATGTGTGTCTGCGCCTACATCCAGGGTTCTGAAGGTCCTGGAATCGCTTCTGTGAAAGAATATCCGGAAAATTATTCCCCCGCTCTCTTCAAAGAAGCCGCAGGTGCGTCTGTGCAGCTGCTCTAAGCGTGCAGCTTTAGGGAGACGCGGGAAGGGAGTCGTGCCCTTCGGGGGATCGAAGTCTCAAAGGCCTTTAACTGTTCAAGATGCGTCTGTGCTTGAGTTTTCGAGCTGCGAGCTGCTAGTTCACCTCCACGGTTTCAATAAGCGCTCTCGGCTGTGTGAATTACCTTATCGCTCTAAGACGCTTCACCTCCTTCCCGCATGCCTCCCGCAAGCGTTTCGTATCCTTGTTTTGCCGGCTGCTCCTTCCTGCTGTTGACTGCTTATTTTTGGCTGTATGCGGTTGTATTTCCAGGAGCTGCAAGCGGCTCGGGGAGCTTCCTGGCCGTAAATTCACGTGTCACGCGACACTGGAGGGATATTTCGATGCATCGGCATTCTCGCTTGACAAAGCTGCGACATATGCATGGAGACCCCTTTGCTCTGCTGCAGGGAATCCCTGAGAATGCGCATGTTCTAACAGACTCGCTCACTGTTGAGGCATCACAGCCCGTCGACGATACCGTGTCCATCTGCTGGAATCCTTTGACAGTGCCTACTGATAATTTAAGCGACTTCACAATGACCATAGGAAAGGCCATTGGTTACAGTACGTACCTCGTGTCTGTATGACCGACCTCCCGCAAAAGCCGCATCCTGCCTTTTCCCCCCTACTCCTAAATCAAGCTGCGCCAGAGCGGCTCTGCGTACGGCTTAGAGCGAATCAGACTAGGTCCTTCTGCTACCGCTGCGAGAGAGAGAGAGAAAGAGAGATTGAAAATGAGAGAGAGATTGAGAATGAAAGAGAGAGAATGAGAGAGAGAGAGCTGAATTGCGGGGCTATTGGTTTGCAGCCATCACGAATATTGCTGCCTTTTGCACCTCCGGATCCTTGTGTGGCATTCAAGTGGAAACGCGTGGAGCGGCTCTTGAAGGAAAGCAGCTCAAGCTGAGAGCTGTTTGGGGTTCATGCAGTTCTGTTTTTGACAGCCCAGCTGAACTGCCTGATGGAGGTAGGATAGCGAGTGGCGCCCCACGGGGGATTCAAAAGTCGCCTCCTTGATATAAGAAGCTGCTGTTTTTATCTGCATCACGATTGCTAGAGGGCACCCGAGGCGTAGCCTCGCTACAATAGAACAGCAAGCGCGATTTCGGGTCGGGGAGGGGGGGAAGTTCCCGATTGTGGCAGGTCATGTCAATAAGAATGCACTGCTGCCGAGGCGTTCTTGCGTTATTGCGTGCTGCTTCGAACTCTATAAAACCTCTGAGAAGGAAAGCGCGGCCTTATCAGGGGGCTCTGCTGGCTGTGTGTCTCGGCTCGTCGATTTTTCTGCAGGGATGTTTGCGTACGTCGAGGGCCAGACGTATGCGTTTACCTCTCCCGTAGCAGCCCGGTCCGACTCTCTACATGTCTATGAGTTGTGCTGGTGTGATGAGCGCTTCTCTCCGGATTGTGGCAACATGGACTACGGGCTGACTGTTGGATCCCTTTCGGTTCAGAGTGCGTGGCTGCGGCTTTTTTGCTGAGACGCACTGCCTGTAAAGCCTTTTTGTTACGCAGGCAGATGGAGGGAGGGGCTTTCCCGCGATGAGCCAGGGGGTGTGAGGGGAAGGGGAGTGCCTTGAGAGGGCTGCGCAGATGCTGGATCGGGAGATGCTGAATGGGGAGATTGCGGGTTGCCACGCGTCTGCAGCAGGTAAGGGGACATGCAATTTGGCTGGAATGCGTGGGATGTGTCTGGGAATTGTCTCTCTGTGCAGCGATGGATCGGGAGAATGTTGCGTGTCTCAAGGACGACAGCGCTACCTGCGTGGTTTCTATCCCCGATACGCTGCGAGATAAATCTTACGTATACGTGTCTGAGTACAGAGAAAGCAGCCCATACACCTGCGTCACACCCCTCTCTGTGGTATCGGCAGATGGCACAAAGGTTCAAGGCACCGATGTGGAGGTAAGTATTCCATACAGTGCTCTGGAGTCTGCGGGACTGATCGACAAACCCGTGGCGATCTGCTGGACTGGAAAGGAAAGCCCTTCTGGCAAAGCTTCCGTGCCTGTGTGGGAAGCTTCTTACCTCGGAAACATCATCTTTGTAGACGCAAGGGCGGATACCAACATGCTATACGCTGGAGTTCCCCCTCAAATCTCTATCTTGGCAACCGGACTCATAGGAACGCAGGCTTCCCTCGCTGGGCTACCCCTCTCCCTGAAGCAGGTGTATCTTAAGGACAAGTCCAAGTGCTCTGCTACCTCGAGAACGACAATCTCCGTGCCGCTTCCTCTAGAGAGGCTATCTGCTGCCAAAGGTAAAGCCCTAGCAGTGCCACATGCCATGCAGAGATCCCCGCGTCCAATATGTGTGTGTGTATGTGTGTACCCTACAGAGTGCATCAATTGGGCCTAGTACTCTTCGGGTTATTTCTGAGTCTTTCTCTTCCTCTGTGTACGGGGGGAGAAGGTGCGGTGTTTGCGTCTCTGTTTTTTTTTCTTTCACGCCATGATCTGTTCACTTCCACGCGTGACGAGTAAACACACATTTTTCCAGCTCCCCGCCGTGTGTAACTCTGCAGAGACGCCAGGCTATGAGATATCCTTTGCGGCATCCACGGTCCTCACGCGTATCCTCTCAAAAAGCACTGCAGGTGTAACGAAGCTCTCACTCTGCTGGTGCAACGCCTCCCAGACGTGTGTAAAGGCCGCAGAATTCAGCTCAGAACTCGCACAGCTTGTGTATTTCCGTCCAGCAACTGGCGTCGAGCACCAATGCACCTATGACAGTACTTGCCTTATGAACATCCTTGATTTTCCTGGCATGGGAAAACTTCCCTTCACTGCGCAGTTGCTGATCCGCACCGACTGCACGGGTAAGTGCTTTTGTCGCATTCCTTAGGTCGGCTACCTCTCCCTGTGGCCGCATGATCTGCTCGGCAATTCGCTCCGCTGTGTTTCTCCTCCTGGAAAGAGCGAAAGCTGAAACTAAAGAGTGAACAGGAAGCAGGATGCTGCTGGTAGTGGGAGACGTATACATGTAGATTTCAGCGTGTGTTTGCCGAGCTCTCTATGCGGTGACCTCCACTGCGCAGATCCCACACCAATTCCTGAACTTCCGGATGAAGGCACAATGACGCTCCGAGAACACACAGGGATTGTTTCTAGCGAAGAGACTGGTGCTTACAGCGGCCTTGAGCCTCACGCCTATGGCTTTGAGTCTCTAGTCATTCGGGAGCAGGCTTTGGCAAAAACGCAGCAGCTGCGAAAGAGGATCTGTTACTGCTCGGACTCCACAGACTGCTCGCCAGAGCGCCTGATGGATATAGGAGAGCTTGTGATCACCGGTAAGTGTGTCTCACACGCTCACCGTCGCTCTTCTAGATGCATTGGCCTCATTGGCGCGAGCGCACTCAGCACTGGGAAGCGGCAGCAGTCCCCTCCGTCTGGGCGTTTTGGTGCTCCTGTGAAACATCACGTGCATAGTCGCGCTTAATTATTTCTTTTGGAATTATTACGGTTCGGACAGTTCTTGAGCGGCCTTTTGGCACCTGACTTGTAAAAGCCTCGCCCTCGTTCCCTAAAGATGCCGCAAACGCTCCCCCCCCTGCTTCTTCTGCTCGCGCGTGATTTGGCAGATGTGTGGGATACCGACTTTCGCATATCTGTGGTTGCACGCATTGACGTGCCGCTGACGATCAAGGCTCCGCTTACTCAAAAAAGCGACCAGCGGCAGCTAGTGGTAGCCCGGGGAGACTTTCTTGAGCCGTGTAACCTGGAAAATGATGCAACAAAATGCAGCATCAGTCTTCGAGACTTTCCTAAGGAGACTTGGGAGTCTGAACAGCAAGCCATCCTGCAAATTTACGACCCAAGCCTCCCCAAGGATCCTCTTGACTCACGCCCTATTCCTTTCGTCCGCATTGCGTCTCTTACGCCTGCAGGTGAGCCCTTTCTTGCACTGCCTACTGCTGCACATGCTTATACGCATTTATAGACGTCCGTATATGCATGCACATGCATGCATACATATACATTTATATATGTGTGTGGATGTTCATAAATATATATTTCTATGTGAGTATACATACATATGTATGTATGTATTTATGTTTTAAAATATGGCTTTCCGCACGCACTGAGATGCCGCTCCAGCGTGATGTGATGCGAGAGAGCTTGGCATATTTGCATGCCTCTTATCCCCTGCTGACTGCAGCACGGAGGCGTCGGTGTATGGCCATGAGACGCGTAAGAAGCGTCGCTTACGTAACCGCAGGGTCTCTGTTCATGTTGCTGGCTTGAACGATATGCGAATGTCTCCTCGTGTGTCTGCTTGTGGTGTCTGTACGCTGCCTGCGTTCCTTCCTACTTTTCGTTCTCAGGCCCCTGGGAGCCAGATCAAAGTTTTTTCTGTCAGATAGGGGGCCTATGCGAAGTGACTGTGGAGGTTCTAAACAGGCGAGCGACAGACAGAATCGCCCTGTTGCAGCGGTGTGGAGAAGAATCCCGCAACTCTATTGGTCTAAGTGCCGCAGGGGAGAAAGTAGAAGGCAGAGCCATAGCTGCACGCTTCCAATGGACCGCTCGGCTGAGTCTCTCACCTGCAGAGATGGAAGCGGGGATGGAGGTGTGCTGGAAGGCCCTTGAACGTGCGACAGAAGGCACCGACGCCCTCGTAGATTACTCCGCTAAGTTCGGCACCGTGTCTATTAGAGGTAAGCATATCGTCGTCGCAATACATCCCTTTTGCGAGCTGCTTAGAGAGACAGGGATTCCTGCAGCTTTTCCTTCAGAGGCCTCTTTGCCAGCATGGCGAGAGCGTACCTTCGCTATTATACCCTTGTCCCTGCCATGTGTCTCTTCGCCTGCTTCCTGAGTTTGCCTCATTCCTTTTCTTCCCGTTTTTGCGCTGTCTTGTTTCACCAGGGATTTTCCCAGGCCAAAACGCGCTGTGTTTCATCGGAAGCACCTGTACAGTAGACGGTCTTAAGGCGCAGCACCTTGTCAGCGGCAATCAGGTGCTGCTGCTCAAGGGAGGTTGCGGTTCAGAGGGAACCGAATTGCCAGTCATTCCTAATGGGGGCATCATGACAATCAGCAGCTCTTCGGAAACCAGTGTCACGTTATCCATCCCCGAAGTTCTGCCAGGTAAGGAGAGTTGAGTGTGTTTCCGTATTACATGTCGGCGTCCTCATTGTGAGCGCCATGCAAAGCCGAAGTCTTTAGATGCGCACGTGCATGCGTGGCTTCTTCGGGCTCTAGCGGGTAGGGGGGAAGGCAGAGGAATGAAGAGGAGAGGGAAAGGGGGAAGCCAGAGGAATGAGAGTCAGGAAGGAGTGGGGAGGAATAGGAAAAGGATCGAAGGCAAGGGGAACGGAGGAAGGGGTCGTATCCAATATATTAAAAATATATATATATGTATATATATGTATATATATATATATTGGCCATGACTTTCTTAGGCGCCCTGAGGCATTCCCTTGGACGATGTGTCGGAAGCGTATGCTGTCACTGCGGCTTGTGTGCATATGTGTGTGTGTGTGTGTAAAGTGCTGTCAGCACGGTCCTTGGTGATGTGCGGTTGCACGGAGGCGACATGCAGAACGGCAGCAGACTATGGCTGGAGAATTGGCGAGCTTTCTCTTAAAGGCCCAGACTCGCAAGCGCCGCACTTGGAAGTTTCTGCAAGAGTAGATATTCGGATGACCTTAAGCGGCGATTTTGATGACAAGTTCTTCCTGCAGCTGAAGAAGGGGACGTCCTGCACGACAGGAACGGCTGACGCTACATGGCCGTCGCAAGGATTTGCACCGATCTTTGAGAATCAGGCTACGTGGAAAGCCTTTGACGAGGGGTTAGGTCCCCTTTCTGTCTGCCTTTGCCACAACAGCGAGGGAGAAGGCCTCTCAGACTCTTCCAGCGGCTCCCAGATACCCTTGGCGGTGTGCGAGGATCCAGACAATTACGTTACCAAAGTCGGCCAGATTTTCGTGAGCGGTCCGCTCAAGCAACACGAGGCGTTCAGTTGCCGCACTGGTGCTATCTGCATCGTTCAGTTTCGTCGAATCGGCTTGGATTCGGATGCGGCAAGAAAAGAATGGACTTCAACGCAGGTTTATGCGCAGAAAGTGAGCAAAAAGAATGCCCTTTCTATGAGATCTCACCACACCCCCTTCTCTGCATCCGCTTCCCTTTGCCCGACGTATTGCTAGCCTGGCTTCCCTTTCCCCCTTTCCCCTTCCTCTCCTAGGCAAAAGCCTCGGTTTAACTGCCTGTAGGGTGTGGCTCTTGCTGCAGGAGGACTGCAGCATTGCAGGCACTGTGCTGCACTCCGGCGGCATTTACATCAGCGACACTGAGGTGGGAGAGAAGATCGCCTCAGATGATCCTGCCTACCCCATTGTCTATGAAACGCGAGAGTCAGTCTTCTTGTTTCGTCATCCTGTCGAGCTGGGGGCTGGTAGTTACAGCTTGTGTTGGAAACCTGAAGGCGGCACTGTTGGCATAACCCTCGGCACGTTCAGCATTGAAGGTAGGCCATGCGAGCGATTCCCCCTTTTTCGAAAAACAAGACATCATATTCCTCGCTTTCTTTAGTCAGTTGTGCTCTCTCTCGTCGGTGGCTCTAGGGGATTGAGGTGCAGCTTTTATTTCGTGCGCTGCCCCCTTTTTCCTTTTCGAAAATGGAGTATAAAAAGTCGATGCTTGTAATTTCCAGTGGGCAAGACACTTTACTGCACACTTTTCTGTACGTGCCGCAAAAGAACATGCGCTTGAGGTGGTCCTTCCGCTGTACTGTCGCTTCCTTATCAGGCCCTCTAACGGAGCACAAGTTGGTTCCAGTGGTCATTGGGAAGAAATTTGATGTATCTGTGGCCATGAACTCGGTACTGAAGGAGGAGGACCTTCAATATTATCGGATTTGGGCACATCCGTATAAGGGAGACGATGTCTTTGAAGACTTCGATTGTAAATCGCAGATGAAGCTAATTGCCCCTCCAGATGCCGCGGACTGCACCTTCAGCAACGGGCCTCCTACTGCCCTGAAGCTTAAAGACACTGGCAGTGTCTTGGTTTGGGAAAACGTTTGTGTCGTTGGAGATGAGCTAGAACCAGATGCCACCGCGGGAGATAAATACGCAGTCTGCTTCTGTGATGGACACCTCATGGGATGCAGTACGGCGGACCGCTTTCAGACACTCGTGCAGGCATGGCACCTTACAGGTAGGGAACTGTGCTTAACAGGGTACATGGTATAAATATATATGTATATATCTATATTTATACATATCTACGACCATGCATTGCAAGCCATGGCTGTAGATATATATATATACATTAGACATGTACTGCCTACATTGGAAATGCAGCAGGAGGGCATATTTTCATCGCTCTTCGGATGTAGTGTGTGCTACACCTTACAGCGGCCGCACAGCCTACAGTACAAGTTTTCCTTTTACAGGTTATTATGTACATTTGCACTGGGGCGCTAGCCATGTGGTTGTTTGTTGTTTCTTCACCTAGTCCGCAACTGCTGACTGGAAGGAAACGAGGACGAGGGGCAGGCAGACAGGCAGTCAGTCAGGCAGGCAGACAGGCAGGCATTCAGTCAGTCCCTGATGCGTTCTGCTCGGTATGCTTCAGGCCCATTGCCTATTGTGCGAGAAACGCAGCAACGGTATCTCGCTGGAACTCGATTTTCCTTAGAGATCGAGGGCGTTGGGATGCAGGGCACCCCAGTTATCGGCCTTGCACCTGCCTTTAACGTGGTAACCAACACCAGGTACACCTGCCGCAGCTCGGAGAAGGAGGTTTTGGGGAAGTTTTCGGGCACTGTATCCGCTGATGGAACGCGCGCCACGTTTACAAACGTCTATGTGCCGTTTACAGTTACAGCGGGACTCTTGTGTTGGTGCGCCGATGGCGAGTGTGAAGCGGCATCGGATTTCCTTGTGCAGCTGTCTCGCTATGGCGTTGCAGGTATGCGTAAGCGCGTTTGCAGTGTGAGAAGTGTTTGAAAAACGGGGCGGGGGGGGGGGGCGGAGAAAGGGGCTAAAATGACAGTGTGGATCAGTGTTTCTTAATGCGTCGAGCATGTGCGCTGTGCCGAGAGGCCACCATCTTTTTTCGAGGTTTTCTTGCGACTTGCCGGCAATTGTGTGCCACCCTCCTCTGTCAGGGCCCAGCTTCGTGATTCTGCAAGCGATTGTCAACAGCTACTTCAACGTACAGCTCGTTGGAAGCACTCTGAACCGCAGTGACGCCATCACTATCCGGAAGCCTTCGGAATCGTGTGGGGCCGCTGGCACCGAGTCCATGGATGCGACGCTGATACTCCCGGAAGAGGGGCGCACTTTGAACAGTCTGGGCACAACAAAGGGCTTCACGATTTCAGAAAACGCCCTCTCTGGGGAGACAGAAAAGACGTGGACTTCCTGGCTAATGCGCATCGGGGGGTCCGTGAGTGGATCGCTGAAGATCTGCTACTGCTCCTCGCTGGAAAATTCATGCGGAGAACCAGGCAGCGTGTCGGCGCTGGCTGGCTACATCCAGATACGGGGGCCTGCTAAAGGCGATTTAGAGCTCGTTGGTGAGGCGAAGCGCTCCTGCGTTTTTTTCTTTTCGTCTTCTCCCCGAATATACCTACTTTTTCCCCTTTCAAGTGGCAGCTGTTCACGACTAGGCACAGACGATCCAGGGGCCGCTCTGCGCTTAGACCCCCCAAAGAACAACCGAACATAGGCTTCCTGTCTGGAGGCGAAAGGGGACGTTTTCATGGGTTTGTTTCTCCTCGACTGATCATTGCGTGCCTCATTCTGGTGGCTGGACACCTCCTTTTGCCAAATGCAAACCTTGAGATTAGGCACGCTTGGTGCTGCCCCTCTGCTGCAGCAACCGAGGAATATGGCGAATATCTTATCGTCCGTGGCACAAATCTGTCGACGCGGAACCTTTTGCGATACTTCCAGTACTCCTCCAGCGAGGTGGCCCCGACGGCGGAGGAGGAGGCAACGATCTGCTCTAACCGTAAGGGGCTGAAACGGGCAGACAGAGAGACAGACAGTTCTTGAACCTGTCCTTTGCTGTCTGGTTTTAGCACTGCTTTCTCTTCGATTCGAGCCGCTGCAGATTTTCCGGGTAGCCTTTTAGGAGACGTTCTTCACGCGTTATCCGGAGGCTAGAGTTCTTTGGCGGCTCTCCCTCAACCTCGGGGTTGTGCAGCAGGCTGCTGTTGTGGGGTTTGCGGGGGGGTCCCTACTGTACATCCTGTTACATGTGCATGCGCATGTGAGGATGGGCAACTTGACAAGGTCTGACTCTCCCCCTGCTTCCCCCATGCAGTGCGCCGTCACTTGTATTTTGCGGCAGCCTTTGTGAATGCTGCCCTTCGTCCCTACCGGCCTTCCTCAGTCCGTTCGCGTGTGTCTGCATGCAGCGATAAATGTAGCAGGGGGGGTTACGACGTACCCCGAGGTAGTGAACGCGTCTGGCACGGAGCAGTATTTCTCAGTGACTGTCACCGTGGGAAAGCAATACGTCGCCTGTTGGTCCTTTGGAGAAGACACGACCTCCGTTCCTGACACTATGACGCGTTCTCGATCAGCCCCGATTTTCGCTTCCTCAGAGGCAGAGGACCCCATAGACATTCGGCGCAGTCTGCTTCAAGACGACGAGGTGACTGAGGGCAGCAGCGGTGACGCGGCAAGCGGAGATGTTCTTCTCGATGCAGATGACAGTTCCCTGTCAGCCGTGTCCGCTCCGAATAAGTGGTTCTTCATCTCCTTGTTCTCGCAGACGGGTATGTGAAGGGGCCTCATTTTTTTGCATAGCGGCTGGCTGCGCACAGCAGGAAGGAAGGGCAGGCAAGGCAATAGGTGGCGAAGGAGGGGGAGGGAGGGGGGAGGAAGAAGAGGAAGAGGAAGAGGGTCCCTGCTAATGCGGGGGCTGTGAGGGGGCTGCCTAACCTTAGTTGCTGCTGTTGAGTCTGCTTTCTTTTTCTGAGAAGGAGGTGTTTCCATTGTTGCTGCTGTCGTTGACGCCTCCATGTGGTTGAGTGCAGGTTTCCAACAAGGCGTCCACAATATCGTGAAGGGACATGAAGACACGATAGTCATCCATGGGGTCCTCAATGCCACGGATACATACGAGGCAGTGCTTGGCAAGAGCCACGAAAGCAGCGAGTGCAGCGACATCCTTAAGAACGGAAGCCTGAGGAGTTCGATCTCCATTACGACAGCTTCTGTCACTGAGAGCCGCATGGTTCTGCAGTAAGCTTTGGATATACTTGCATGTTGACTCCCCCGCAGTGCCACATCCCCCGTCCCCCTTTCCTCCTCCCGTGCGCTACCCACCCACCCCTCCTCGCACAGCCGCTGCGAGGTTGCAGAGTAACAGGGCCTTCTTCATAGACTGCTCTTAGTAGTCTATGAAGGCAGCTAAAGGAAGGAGGGGGGGCAAGCTGCGTGCTGCATGCTGCGCATGCATGCAGGATGAAAGCCACAAATCATCTCGGCTGGCACAAGCTGTGCATCAAGAATTCAACGACATCTGGAATCTTCGATGCCGGAACGGTGGAGGTGACCAAGTTCTTTAAAAAGTCGGGCAGGGACATGTACGACACACGTCGCACATTCGTCCTCCCTTGCCTCACAAGCGTGAATAACTCAGCAGGAGAAAAAGTCTGGGAGAGCCCGCAAGTGTGGCTTCCAGACGGCACAGGGCTGTGGAGTGCAACGATCATTGGGGGTGTTGGTGGTTCTGATAAGGAGTATGCGACGCTTAGAGTCAAACCCTCGCCTATGGACAACTTCACAGAGTTGCCGGTATGCGCGCACAGTCACCTTGAGGCAGCAGTCTTCGCCGAACCCTTTCCAGCCCTGCAGGAAAAATGCCACAGTTGTGTGTTTTGTACATCCTTCCATTCACTCTTCAGAGCCAGTTCTTTGTTCTGCTAGTCATAGAGAGAGACAGAGATATATATATATATATATGTATATAGCGAGTAATACAGATAGAGATATATATATATAGCGAGTGATACAGATAGAGATAGGGCCTGCGGCGGCCTGTGGAATGTGCACTCGTTAGAGAGTTTTTCTTTACCTAAACGCCTTATACACAGCTGTTGAAAGACAGGAAGCAAGCGAGTAGGACTACTCTTTCCGGAGAATAGGGCCACTAGAGCATCCAGTAGAAGCTGTTACTCGAGCGCATCGCATGTGTTGTACGGAAATGCGTGGGGGGGTATTTCCTGCAGCAACTGCGCAACGTGTTGGCGTGCGATACCACGAAGAATCAAACGGTGCTGGTATTGGGGGCTACCCACATGTTGGTACTGTATCCGGAGAGCTCACGTTCCCCGGATATCATTTATCATGGAGTGCCTTACCCTGCGGACTTGACCATCGCTAGTGATCAGGTGTTCATCACCAGCTTCGACAGCCATCTGATTACCTCTTTCAGCCTTAGCGATCCTCAAAAGGTCATCTTTTACGAGCCTACCCGTCCAACCCTGCTCTCAGCGGGAGGCATCCAGGTGAGACTTCGTCCAAAGGCAGAAGCGCCGTGCGTTGCCTTTCGCCGTTTGAGGCCATCCGACTACTGTAGAAGTAGTAGTATAGTACTGTTGCGGCGCAGTAGAATATATGAGGAGTCGACTTCTGCTGGAGGTGGCTTCGGCTGCAGTTTTTGACCCTGCGAAAGCCTCGTCTTTCCCCGCCTCCGAAGAGAGCGATCAAAGGCACACGAGTGCGAGTGCCCTGCTGCGTCAAACCTTTTGCATGTGCAGGCCGTAGAAAACATTGACGGCGGCGAGACGTCAATTTTTGTGGCGGATACGGTAGGCGGGCTGATCGGGAGGCTCAAGATTCTGCCTGAAGATCTGCAACAAGCCAGCAACGGAAGCACAATCACAAGGGAATGGACTGCCATCTTCGGCGAGCAGAAGTCAGATTTCCGAAATACCGAAGGCGTCAACAGACCGTTTTGTGTCGGGGAGTTCGTCACGCCGTATTCCACGCAGGAGAATATGAATCCCTTGCTGGTTGTTGGAGAGGTGTGTTTTGCCGGGAAAAAAAGCTTATTCTGCATTTAGAATCGTCCGAGGCTGTGGGGCCTCCTCCTGACCGCCGCGCTGTACGGCGATGGTGCCTTCATTCGACGTGTCTGCCGCCCTCTAATCGCGCTGCATGCATGCCAACACTGGAGACCGCAATAGTACTCGATAGGCCTTCTTTAAGGCAGATTTCAGCGGCTCTCTCTCACATGATGCGTCTGTCTGTGTAGATGTATTTGTATGTACGTATATGTACATGTGTACGTATGTATGTATGTATGTATGTATATGCGTATGTGTATGCGTGTGTATTTGTATGTATATGTATGTATTTGTATGCGTGTGTATGTATTTGTGTGTATGTGTATGTATTTGCATACGTGTGTATGTATTTGTATCTATGTGTATGTATTTGTATGCATGTGTATGTGTATGTACGGGTGTCTGTATCTGTCTGTCTGGCGTTTGTCTGCAGCTCATAACAGACCGCATAACATTTTTGAGTATGGACGACAACAAGCTGTCCTTTTATCGCCAGATTAACCTGGGCGTGTCCAAGTTTATAACAGGTCTGCGTCTAACAAATGAGGTCTTGCTGCTTACCTCCAAGCAGTGGTCTGTGGAGCAGGAACTTGGTCGGGCAGAAGTGGCTTACATTAAGCTCAGCCAGCTGATCGACAACGTGTACTTCACGTATCCAGATTTTAGCAAGAAGCTTCAGGCTGGGCTTCGCTACCGGTTCCTTCCCTTAGTGACAGGTCCGCATCTCCAGTGCAACCTGCCTCCTAGCCTCACCACTCTGCCGTTCCCCTCCCTCCCTTGCCTCCCCTTCCCGTCTCTGTCTCGCAGCTGCTGCCTTCGAGACTTGCCTAGAGAGCCTCCCTGTGTGGCGTTCGTTGCCCAGTAGCTGTGGGACTGCACCGGCACGCATGCAAAACTAGAGACTCACAAGCCCTACCGACGCGCTTGCCTGTGTGTATATGTGTGTGTATGTGTATGTATGTATATATATATATATATATGTGCCGCTTTGTTGCATGCCTGTATATTTACAAACAGGTCAGGATATCCAGTTCTTCAAGGAGGATGCAGAATCAGGAGACCCTCTGCATTCGATGGGCTTCACGCTTGACTCAAAGACGGGAGAAATCGAGGGCATGCTGACGGCAACTGTGACATCCCGAGTGGTCATTGTAGGAGGTGATCTCTTGGGGTCCTATACATGGTCCTTCGAGTTTGAAGCTGGCTGTCAGTCTGGCGAATACTTCAACGATTCCTCCAACAATTGCGAGCCGTGCCCTTTGGGAACCTTCCGTGACGAAGAGACAGAGCTTCAGACCTGTCAAGAACACAAAGCTAACAGCACGACGCTGCAGACAGGATCTACAAACCTTTCGCAATGCGCATGCGTAGAGGGCTACGAAATAGGGCAGCTAGGGTATTGTCAGCCGTGTCCAGCAGGTGCGTGTAGCCGCGTGTGCGATCTCCATCTGCCTTCTGAAGTGATTTGATCTCTCGAGCACTGTCCAGCATAAACGCATGCAGGCGTTCAGAGCTTCGTGCATGCGTTGGGGGGGCTGGTGCATTGTAAGGCCGCCGCTGTGGGGTGTAGACGTGCGGGTGTGCCGAAGGGACCTACAAGGCCATCACAGCCGACGCAAAGTGTACAGGCCGCTGCCCACAACACATGTACAGCGATAAGACTGGAGCCGATAGCCTCGAATCGCTACGCTGTCAGTGGTAAGTCGAATGGGGTCTTGACACCTCACCAGGGAAAGAAAGGCTTTATTGGGTGCCTTCCGGTGCCTTGTCTGTTAAGAGCCTTTTCCTGTTTATCTGCTTGGTCCTACATATATATACATATACATATATATAATTATAGATATTCATATACTTATCTAAATATTTATACATATATACACACCTTTGTCCATATATATGCATATGCGCGTACATACATATACACATATATATACATGTATAAATATCTATATATTTATAAATGTATATGTATATATATTTTTTTACATGTATATATTTAAATATGTATAAATTATATATCACACTAAACCATATACATGCATCTACGCATATACATATTTATATGTATGCATATACATTAGTTGCTGCGAACACGACTCGCCCGTGTCGGTGGTGACGTGTGCCTGCGCATGTTTGCAGCGAACCTGGGTTTTACTTGGCAGAGTCTGGATGCCAGAGCTGCGAAGTCGGGACCTATTGCGCAGGGAACATGTCTCCTCCCGTGCAGTGTCCTGAGTACCAGACGACTGCGAGCGCTGCCAGCTCAAGCCCGAGTAACTGCGTTTGCACCGTGGGATATTACCGCAGCGGGGAGAGATGCGTGCCTTGCAATATTCTCACGTACAAGCCGACTATAGGCGATGATGCCTGCATGCAGTGCCCCCAGCCGGCAGTCAGCGTTGCTCAAGACCAGAAGATCCTCTCCTCCTCATCCCCAGATACATCCATGTTCTCCATAAAGAAGGGCGCTACCCAGCAGTCCGAATGCGAAATCTGCGCCAGCGGATACTATTTTGATTTCGTCTCTATGGGAGGCTGTGTCCCCTGCAAGAAGGATTACTATTGTCCTGGTTTCCAACTGGGCATGCTTGCCTGTAAGAACCAATCCGTCACTTCAGGTATAGGAGCAGAGACGGTATTCCAGTGCGGGTGAGCTTTGGCTATGTGCCGCACAAAGCGGCACCCTAATCTTTCGCGCGAACGTGGGGATTTGTACAGGCCACGGCGTGAGAGTGTCAGATCGGAGGGTGGCGGGATGAAATTGCGGGGAAAGGAGATGGAAGATTGGGGGCAAAGGAGATGGAAGATTGGGGGAAAGGAGATGGAAGATTGGGGGAAAGGAGATGGAAGATTGGGGGGAAAGGAGAGGCAAAAGGAAAGATTGGGGGGAAAGGAGAGGCAAAAGGAAAGATTGGGGGGAAAGGGGAGGCGAAAGGAAAGATTGGGGGGAAAGGAGAAAAATGATAGGGGAGAGACGATTGAAAAAAATTGGGGAGGTGCCTACCTACCTACCTACCTACCCACTTTGGGTGTTTGGCGCACTGTGTATTCGATGTTTTTGTGCCTCTACATATTACGTTGGTGTGTTTGATGAAGCCTTTTTGGATCCTTTTTGGGGGGTTTCCTGTGGAGGCCTTTGTGCCTATTCTATAGAGCCTGCCTGCCTGCCTGCCTGCCTGCCTGCCTGCCTGCCTGCCTGCCTGCCTGCCTGCCTGCCTGCCTGCCTGCCTGCCTGCCTGCCTGCCTGCCTGCCTGCCTGCCTGCCTGCCTGCCTGCCTGCCTGCCCTTGAGTGGCGTATGCCTTAGGCAGATCGTGTGCATGTGCCGTCAAAGCCACTCCCCCTTCCCCCCCCGCCACCTTCCACCCTGCTTCTGGAAGCTGAGTCTGTTACCTTGGTGTATTGTGTGTCGTGCATCGTGCATTTTCTCAGGTGTCCTAAGGGATATGGCCGCGCAGTAAGCCGTAATCCGCTGGACCTCTCGATTACATGCAGCCCCTGTCCGGAGAATTTCTTCCAGCACATGGATGGCGCGGATTTTGAGTGTTTGCCCTGCCCAGCCAACTCTTTCACGAAGACAGCGATGTCTTCGAGTATCACAAGCTGCGTGGCAAAGCCCGGGTATAGCGCCCTAGAGAATCTTCAGGCTCTGAGTTCTCAAGGCGACGAAGACACCGGAGATATCGAAGACTCTAAGAGCGACACCTTCTTAGAAGCTCTGGAACTCATTAAGGAGGTTGAAAAGTCGTATGAAAGCGTGAGTACAGAAGACCTGCAGGAGATCACCGTTTTCTGCAAGGAGGACACGCAAGCGATCCAACACTACGATATGCCCGAATTCATGACCACCCACTATGCCTCGTCCCTGGCGGAGTGCCAAGAAGCTTGTGTAAAGAACGTTTACTGCACCAGCTTCGCGTTTTCGAAGGAAGACATGTATCCTACGCATACAAACAGCGTTATGAACTACACCGGCGTCTACGTGTATGCGTACTGGCCATGCCAGCTCTTCATGTTCGGATCAGCCGCTGCCACGGATGTCGCAAAGTGGAACGATATTTGGGAAGGCACCGAGGCACGTCATTAGGAGCAAAACTTGCATGCTCGAAAAACCCCTGTATTTCCCGAATTCATCGTTGCAGAGTACCCACAAACGTGCTTTGTTCAGGGCTGTCCGTCGTGTGCATGCATGTAGCGGACCTGCCTGCCTGCCTGCCTGCCTGCCTGTTCTGTTGCCACCTTTTTGTTGCCCACATACACACAGAGACGTAGATACAGAGAGACATACATACATACAGACATACATACGGAGACACACACAACCTGAGACGAGTGTTTGTTGTGCAACTGCACGGGTTCGTCTAGGATTTTGTCAAGGGCGCGCATAGCATCTGCGTTGGATGTCAGGGGAAATTGTGTCTGCTTTTTTTGCAGGTAGAACGAGGCAAGGCCGTTGGATGCGTTGTTGGACGTGTGGAGGACGAGCTCACGTGGCAGCGCCTCCGGTTTATTGAGTGTCCTTTGAATGCATACTGTCCAGGAGACAAAGCAGCCAATATCTATGAGTGCCAGGATTACTCCGTCACGCTTAGCACTGGCGCATACTCGGGGGAACATTGTCTGTGTGTGCCTGGACACGAGCTTGTGGGACATGTGTGTGAGCAATGTAAGTTGGGGTCTTACAAAAATACAACTGAGAACGTCGCATGCACGGAGTGCCCGCAGTTCTTTACTACGAGCATCACAGCCAGCACAAGTGCCTATGAGTGCACCTGTCAAGCGGGTATGTACATGGCACCTGCGGGATCTGATGAGGAGTTAGAGAGTGATGTAAGCAACGCAGCCGACGAGTCACCTATTTACAGCGGCGAGCTTGACCCCTCCGCGTTGCAGACAGTGGCAACAGCGCGTTCTCTGCGGGATTTTCACAAGCATAGGGAGTTGGCGGTAGCTTCATCTGGAGGAGTTTCCATGACAGAGGTGCTGCATCTGCCATGGCTCGAGCAGGAAGTCCGAGAAGAGCTAGAGAAAGTAGTGGAGTTGGGGGTTTGCATGCCTTGTCACCAGGGCATGTTCTGTCCTGGCTTGTGGAAGGATCCCCCAACCAACTCTACCCACATGCCACCGCAGATATGCATCGAAGGATCGAGCGTGCCCCTTTCTACCGTCAATGCAGACAGCGTTGAAAAGTGCTTATGCCTCGCAGGCTACGCCTACGGTCGTTCTTCAGACACCGCAGTGACATCAGATTCATACTTCACCTGCAGCAAGTGCCCCCCTGCGACGTATAAGGAACTGCAGGAAAACTCCCCGTGTTCGGGTCGGTGCATGAGAGACGCGGAGACGTATCCAGGGGCAGTGAGCAAGAGCCAGTGCTTCTGCCAAGTGGGAAGATACGCCATAGAAGCAGGAGATGCGGAGGGATCATTCAGTTGTGTCGAGTGCGTCAGCGGGGGCGTTTGTACTGGCGGCTTTAAGGAAGATGTCATCAAGGCTATCGAGGACAACCCCGAATACACCAACATCTCGATTGCCGATCACACAATCCCGTATCCGCAAAAGGGATGGTTTGCCGTATTCAAGCATGCCTCAAATGAAGCGTGGCAACCCGGGCAGCTATCCGCGTCTGAAGAGACTGGGGAGACCGCTGCTTTTAGCGCTTCCGCAGGAGAACTCTCGACTGCGCCCCTCTCTCTCGTGCAGCAATCCACGGATCGCGTGCCTGACATCCACCCATGTCCGATCGATTATCGATGCCACGGCGGTCCTGACAACGAGTGCGCCGAGGGGGGCACGGGATACCTCTGCAGCAGATGCGTGCGTGGATACGATATTGCACACCATGGGGCTGTATGCACGGAGTGTGAGCCTATGTGGTTCGGTTTTATGTATCTATTTGTTGTTCGACTGGTAGTGTGCCTGATTGTATGGATCATTGCGGCCGTCAGCTGTCTGGCCGTGCGGAACCCCTCCTGTATACATCCCATCTTGATCCGCATTTGGCTGTCCAACGTATTTCTATTCTTCCTATTCGGCTTCTTTCCGGAAAATAGCGTCTCTTCCCTCGTTGAGTGGGCCCCCATCTACCGTGTTGTGTTTGCATACCCCGTCTTTGTCTTCATCCGTTATCCGAAGGTCTTCTGCATCCTGGAGCAACTCGGCATGCCGCTGGGCTTTAGAGAGTCCTGGTATTTGCAAAAGTTCGTGCAAATACTCGTCCCCGTGCTAGACACGTGCATCCTTGCACTTCTCTGCGGGGTGGCTCTCCTTCTCTTCAAGCTCTACAAGCGGTCCAAAATTCAGAGGGTCCAGCTTGTCTTGAACCACGCCAGGCAAGTGCATGCAGGAGACGTATGGGCTATGCGCACCATCGAAAATATCCAGGATACCCGTTGCTTAGGCCTTTTTCATTACATCAGTCCCCCAGATGCCACGACTTCCCAAAAGATCGTGCGCTTCTTCGGAGACCTCGTACCTGCCTTCATGATCATCTGGTTCTGGAGTCTGCCCTTCCTCGTCATCGAGTGCACCCAGCTCATAGGCTGCGTTTCTACCTCCTACAAGGATGAACCCGCCTTGACTGTCCTCACGGCTCTGCCTGAGCAAGAATGTTCGCTCAGCGAGCCTTGGTTCCTTGCAGGCTTCGTCCTAGGGGTACTTGGAATTCTGGTATGGGCTGTCGGTAGCATCATTGTCTTCTGTGTGTGGATGCTCTACACCGACAATGCCGATAAACTTGAGGCCCGCTTCCGCTACGGCTTCCTCTCTAACGGCTACGAATTTCAGTACAGAGCGTGGGAAATGCTGCTCATGGGTCGGAAGCTGGTTTGCGCGTGTCTCCTCACGCTGCAGCTTCACATGAGTGCTGCTGGCACGCAGGAAGTATTCAGGAACTCGGTGAATCTCCTTATCGCTACAATGTGCTTGATTCTGCAGCTCTTGATCGAGCCGTACGACCGCCGCAGCCACAACTTGACGAACCGGATAGAATTTCTGGGGCTCTTAACCAACGTGGTAAACTGCATGGCTATTCAAGGCAGCTATTCGTTCACGATCTTCAAGTGGCTAGGGCCTTTGCCGCTCATCACTTGTGGGCTGTTTCACATGTGTGTCTTCTGGAGTCTCTTCGTGGAGGCCGGACGGATGGTGCTAATGAGGCCCCACTTGGCTCGGCTGCCCTCACCCTGGCGGTATTTCAACCTAACGGCGCGATCTCTAGCCCGCCTTTACACCCGCGGCAACGCCAAAGTATACTACAACTACATCACGAAGGAAATGGTGTTGGAAGCTGCGGCGAAGTCCCGCGTGTTTCACATTCGCAGGATGATCCAGAGAAAGAAGAAGCTCACAGACTACAGAAAGATCAACTACGAAAACAGGACGTACTTCGTGTCCGCCCTAACAGATTCACTCTCTCGACTCGTCATTTCGTGGTGTCAGTTCACAATTCCTGGCGATTGGTTGGACTTCACCATTCGCTATTCTTTCTGCTACTGTTTCTGGATGCGGCATCGGGCTTCCAGCCTGAGAGAGCCGTTAGACCTGGAGGAGTTCGATGCCTTACGGCCTTCCCTCTTCAACGAGTGCTATGTGGAGATGGGTGAAGACGACGATGGCCTCTTGGGCTTAGACACACAATGCAGCGCAGTGGAAGCGGAGTTTCTTGACATGATGGTTGATGATGATGTCTATGATGACAGCCCAATCACCCTTATGGAACTGTACGTAGCCGTGCAGTCGATGCGTTATATCCCGAAGGGCCAGCTTCGGCGGTTGCATATGTGGTATCGGGAGCGCATGGCTGCGGCTGCGAGCTCAGACGTGCCTGCGCTACGTAAAGAAAACGAGGAACTGGAAGTTGAATTGCAGCAGCTGAGTGATGCCCTCTGCAGCCGCTATGCGCAGTCGGACGTAGCCCCTGCCTTCAACGTTTTGGACTTCTTCTTTACTGTCGAAATGATGCACGAAGCGGAGGCAGAGAACGACCGCATGAGAAAGGATATAGAAAAGGAGATTCAGAAGATCCTGAGCGCGAGGGCCGCCCGATCTGTTGCTGAGCGGGTGTACATAGAACTGGAGAAGGCAGAAGGACAGGAGTTGGAAGACGTGCTCAGGTCGATCGAAGCAGCGACACAAGAGGAGGAGAGTCCAAAGGACCGTACCGAGTATCTGGAACCGGCTCTCGGGAAGGGACAAAAGAAGGTAAAGACTCGAGACAAAGAGGCTGATCAAACCGTAAAACGGCATCTTCTCCTGCCTGCAGCGGGCCGTCCAAGCCACATGAACCTCCCGCGCAAGCGCGTATTGCGCCCGAGTTTTTCAGGCCTTGAGGAGGACTCCGGAGGCAAGTCGCGTCGTTCATTATCGCGTGCGATGCTGCACAAACCTCAGGGAAGCCGCACCATTTCACCCGTTGGCTATGGTGGCACCCAGGAAAATGGCGGGGGGGACGGCTCTACCCGCCGCCGCATCAGCGTAGAGCTCGACGAAATCAGCCGAGATGGCAATGGTGTGAAACGGCCCGTGAGGCGCATCTCCTTAACAGCTGCTTCGTCAATGACTGCGGACACTGGCCGACCACGCACTGTGCAAACGCACAGCAGCTTCAGCTCAGAGGATGTCGGCGGATCCGTTGCTGGAAAACGAACTCTTAAAAGTAGCTCCTTAGTAGCCACACCTTCCGACTCCGCTTCCTCAGGCGAGGAGAGAGCCAGCGGAGCTACCAAAAGGACAGCCAGGAGGCCCTCCTTGCAGCAACCTCACGAATCCACAAAGGAGATCGCAGAAGGCAAAACCGCAGAGAGCGAGGCCGCCACCACTCGTAGAACACTGACAGTTGGTAGAGGCACTGCGCGACAGGCAGATTCCCCAGAGCCATCTCAACCCCCATCCAGGCGGACTCTGGGCATACGGAGATCTGGGGAAGCTGAACCCAAAGACTCACGGCCTGAGGCATCGCCCCAAGAAGGCTCTAAGCCTGAACCTAAGCGAGCTATCGGCTTGCACAAGAGGCCACCAGGGGACAAGCAAGACAAAACTGAATAACTGAACAGGATGACACCTAATGTAGAGAGTTGCACCTGTGTGCCGTTTTTAGAGCCCTCCGGCCCAACGGACGCCCCTGGCGGGGTGGGGAGCAAGGGGCAGGGATTGCTCACAGAACCGCGTTCCCACAGTGCCTTGACGAGTCAAGGAACTGGCATGTTTGAAAAGACTTCATTTAGTACTTTATTGAATGCCGCCGGCACAAAGCCAATTCAGTGTCAAAAAGTCACCCCCATTGCTGCACGTCTACTTGTCCGCAGCTCTATCGGCTGTTATTTTGGCATGCGGGGGTGCCGGACGAGTTTTTAATTTCTCATTGCTTTCCATTTGTGCAGTCGCGCAATGGATGTGGGGACGTGACAGCTATCCTGCGGTATATAGGGGTGATTTAGTCTATTGATGTGGTCAGAGTTGATGCAGTGCGGAGCAACTTGCATGGGGCCTCGCTCTCTTGCTGCCGCTCGGTTGTGCCCTGTAGTCTTTGCACGAAGAAGAGGCGTCAAGGGGCCCTATTTAAAAGTTCTGTTTGAACTGATTGTATGTAAACTATACGCAGGGGGAAATTCGCGCGAGGAAAGGCACGAAGACGCCTAGCCATTCGCGAGACTCTCTGTGGAACTGCGGAGCAGACTCTACCGCTGCACTCCCCCAAAGCGTCAGAGGATGCATTATTGGATGAAGTAGTGCCTTAAACAACCCTGCTACATTGGGGGGACTTCTTCAGAAACTGAGCGGTTAAACATGAGGGTACAGTGGGGAGCTGGCATGCACGGAATGAGTGGAAGCTTCGGGCGATTCTCTGTCTCAAACGGAGCCAAGGTGCCAAGAGAGTTTGGTGGCAGTCATTACTGCATTAAAATACTGCAACTTATCAGGATTTGTGCAAAAAGCGAACGAATCCATCCTTCCACAAGGCGTGTACAACTGCGTAGGCGATGATAGTCAAAAGCTAGTACGTACTTCAGCGCGTACAAATAGCCGTAATAAGCTGAGATCGAAAAGCCATTATGGGCATATGTAAGCATTACGGCGTGTGCGTACCTCCTTGCCACTGTAAGCGTCTGTCGGGTTCCTGCAGCCCATCTCGGTAAGACTCAACTCAATTCGCCTCGCACTTGATACTTTTGGCCGTCTTCACGCTGCATGAAGCAAGAACAGTTCAATTGGTGTGCGACACATTTGTACTCCCACGGGGCAGTGCCGTTCCCCGCCTCCCTGGCTTGCGGCTTCCCCTGTCGGTAGGGGCGTCTCGCCTTTGTAGAGCCGAGCATGCCTTCAGGTGCCTCGACTTAGTGGGGGTTACTAGACAACCCCAAATCAGCACTGTTATTTGCAGCCTAACACTAAGACAGGCACCGAAGTGACATTGAAGTAACGGTCTTGAGACGGATCCAACGGAGTGTAGAGTTGCTGAGCCAAAGAGTTCTAGTTGTTGCTGTAGATGCACGTGGGTAGAGGAGTGCGGCTCGCCGACAACTTTGAAGACACATCAGTGCTCGCTACTTCGTCTAAACGCCAATATTGCGTAGAGGCCCCTAGGCCAAACATGCAGCGAAGTGTATTCGGAGTTTCATACTGGTGAGTGCACAGCTTGGCCAGTTGTCTGGTGTGGGGAACGGACGGCTCACGCTGCAGCAGCAGCAGCTAGCAGTCCCAGCAGCAGCAGGGATCTTTCATCCCTGTCGCATGCAGCGTGGTCTCGAAGGCTTGCACCTCTCTGCCAGCCTTTTGCAGGACTCACCGTTTAGGAATATCTTATATTTTCTGTTTTTCGGAATATTCTGGTGCTATTCTGTCTCTCGGGGCACTACAGCAGAGTCCCGAAGTGTGGCGGGAGCCCTTGGATGTGCGGCAGATCCTCTTGTTCTTCATCCCTGGTTCATGGGTTGCCGTTAAACGCACCCTTTCCAGACTTATAATAGTCGGATTTCATTTGGGGGTTCGCCACGCCCATAAATCCCGCTTATCTGCCACCATCCTTCCTGCCTCCGCTGTGTGCAGGGGGCTGCAGAGACACCTTCCCGCGCTGCGCCGCTACCGTCTTGGTCTTCCGCCACTGCGGCCTCCTGCAGCCTTCCTTCGGGGTGTCCTTAAAACTCTAGGAGTCGCCTTCTGCCCATATTGTGGGCACGTCTGCAGCCTCTTAGACCCTAGCAGGCAGAAGCAACTCGAAGAGACGACACAGTGCAATGTTACTCTTAGAGGAGGCCACCCTGAGTACACCGTGAGGCACATCCTGGAAGAACTGCACTCCGGCAGCTATTAAAAGCGTCCAGATGCTGGCGTTGCTGCACCGCGTCAGCGTCTGGCACCTGCTGGACCTCAGCAGCAATGCAGCCTCCTGACCAGGCGATGGCTGCTCCAGACCACTCAACCGGCTTTTGTGATCCCTGTGACGATCACGCCAATCCCAGGAAGCAGGACCAACAGCACGAGTTCGACTCCGATGGTAGCTTTCCCCCACCTGCGCGGAGTGCCGACAGGCCCGAGGCCTCCAGAGACTCGGAGTCTCGGAGGCGCCGTCGTATGGAGGCTACGCAATCCCCCCTCCCGGAGGCAGACTCTGTTGCCCCTTCGAAGAGGAAGCGCACTCCCAGTCGGCGTGTTGTGGAAGCGGCAGAATCAGCCCTCCTTCTGGAAGAGGTCATGGCAAATGAAGGCCTTCCCCGGACCCCTGGTCGCATGCACGGCGCAGCGGAGGCCTCCTGTCCTTATGGAGGTCTAGGCGCCTCTCTCTCTATTCCCCTGACGTTCCAGTGGAGAAATCCCATGGATGCCAATCCTGGGGATGTTTCTGCGCGCGTGGCGGCGCTCAGGGAGGCCCTCCAACAGCAGTCCGTGCCCTTGCAGCTGTCGGAGCTTTCTCGACAGGGTTCACGCGGCGTGGACTCTCGTGTGGAGCAACAACCGCCTCCCAGAGCTTTTCCTGAGGAGGGCTTGCATCAGCGGCAGCCTCACGCTAAGGCAGTCCCCCAGATTCCAATCTGTCGGCGGCCGTGTAAGCGCTGAGCCGAACAAGCGCCACCATGAAGAGCCCTTCCTCGTTGAACCTGCGGCCGTTTCCCGTGGAGGCATGCGCAGACCCACAAAAGACGCTCAGAATCGCACTGAGCGCGTTTCTCGACTAGAGACCTTCGGCGCACAGCTAGCTAGTTATCGCAGGCGTCCGTGTGCCTTGTCTGTGTGACTGTTGTGGCTTCAGTGTTTGACGCTGTAGAGCCTAAGGATCTCTTGGGCTTCGGTGTTCCTCTCAGCGAGGTCCTTTGCGCCGACAACGGCCAGAACGCACAGCAACAGCAGGAGTCTGTGTTTGCAGTTGATGTAGCGGTGGTTGGTGCCGGCGTTGCGGGGCTTGCGGCAGCTGCATACTTGCGGCGATGTGGAGCCTCCGTTATTGTTTTGGAGGCGAGACAGCGCGTAGGAGGCCGCACGTTCTCCTCAGTAATGCCGGAACGCGAACTTCCCGACGGGCGAAAGGTCCAGCGTAAGCTGCTGAGAAAGGGTGGCTGTAGATCTCCGCCTTTGCAGCACGTGCGAGAACTGCGATATCGAGGCTTTTGTAGCCGGGAGGGGGGAAGGAAAGCGAGGGGAGAGGCGTTTTTGGCGTGTGCATGCGCAAGCGCGCAGGGGACGGGGGGTAGGGGAAGGCGTGTGTTTCTGAGGAGTGTGAGGTCTGTCGCATGGGCTAGGGAGGTCTCGCGCGTAGGTAGTAGTGGAACGGTACTAGCGATCGAGTCATCATCCTGTTCTTTCATGCGTCTGCTGGTTACTCTTAGCTATTACAGGGCTTATGGGGATTTTTAGGGATATTTGGGAAGGCCGGGAGGCAGGGGACCCCGTGAGGAGAGGAGCATGTGAAGCCGTGTTAGTGTTTCTTTAGCGCCTTTTATTCTGTGTCTGCCTGAGCTTTCATGTTCTGGCTTTCTCGGGGAGGAAGGGGGGAGGGAGAAGGGAGGAAAAGGGAGCAAGGGGTTCGCGGTGTTCGCTCTTGGAGTGGCGCTTGCGGTGAGACTTTTGCCGCTCTCCCGCGAGGCAGCCGCCGTGTCTTCGAATTTCCTCCTTTTGTGTGTGTGTAGCTGTTCTTGCAGGTGTTGTCATTGACTTGGGGGCCTCATACATGCACTGCGTGACCGCTCAACCAAAGCAGGAAGGTTCTACCCCGGACTGCCGATGGCGGCGCGAGCCTTCACGGTCTGTTAGCGGGATTGCGGCTGTGCTGCAGCCCATCGTAGCAGATGTCGCAGGCAAGCAGAACTGGGAGTCCACACTTTTCGCGAGGTAGGAGGTGCAGCAGCACCCAAAACAACACGCTTGTTCCCCCTCCCTGTTCGACTGGGGTCTCTTTTACTCGCCGTTCCCTTCCGTCCCCAAAAAGACATCCGCGCGTCTGTCCACCTCCGTGCCTTCGGTGTCTAGACACTGCATTCCGCATGCATCTTCATTTCTGAAGTTGCAGTGCAAAGTTTAGGGTTCGCTTGCTTGAGCTGCCTCGGCATCCACTGTGCGCTTCATGGCATTTGCGCGTCTTTGGGATGGGTGCCGCAGCTGGAGTGACGAAGCCTCAGGTCGGCAATTGCCCTTTATATCAGTCCTCAAGGTACACCAGGTGTTGGATCGCTTGAGAGAGAGAACTGCAGCCAAACTGCTTCACTTGCCTCCGCCCCTCACCGCGGAAGGCGGACCCGGACCCCCAGCCGCCTCCCTGTCCAACACCATTCCCGCTGCCGAGTTTCTTTCCCCGTCTCTAGACGAGATCCTCGACGGAGCCTTAAGGAGGCAGCAGCAAGAGAGCAGCAGCAGCAGCAAGCCGTGCGGGGGGCCTCGGGGTGGGAGCGACGGCAACCCCTCCATTGATACGCATTTTTTGTGGCATTCGCGAAAGGGTGGCGATACTCCTGTTGTGCAGGATGGCGCTCACAGTGCGGCTGCTCTCAGCTTGGTGGGCAATGTTACTCGCGGCAGCGGCAGCGGTGCAAAATTGGAGGGCAGCGCCAAGCTGACGCAGCACGATGCAAGTGATCCATGTTGCTCCGTGGGTGTGGGTGCCGCCAGGAAACGAGGCTGTCATTCGCTGGGCAGACGCATCTCCGACTCCCGTTTTGGCAAGTATTACCCTCTAGGGGATGCTTTCCTCCAGAGAGTCATCAAGGCTTTCGGAGGGTGCCCTAAGTGCTGCACTGGAAGCTGCGGGGGAACGTCGCGAAGGCTTGAAGACAAGCAAGCAGCTGGCGGCTGGGATAATCTTGGAAAAGATGGAGGAAATCCGCGGAAGGGGGGTCTCTGGGGCCTGGCTGCACCGCTAGTGCCTGTGAATGGGAGCAGCAAAACTTCCGAGGCACTTGAAGCTTCCGGAGTTGACGTCGACTCTCCAAGTGCTGGGAAAGAAGCACATGCGAGCTGCGGGACAGACTCGAAGTCCGCTGCAGCCTCCAGCAGAACGCGCGAACAAGGGATGCAAGGACCTGTGGGTACTCCTGAGGATCTGAGCGAGAGGGGCGCTGTGCTTGGCAGGCAGTCTCGTGGCTGCAGCAGATCTCGGAGGAGCAGCAGCATCAGTGGACAGCAACCCTCGGTGAAGAGCAATCGTTCAAAGAAGGGCAGTGGTTCGGCAGGGCAGCAAGCGCAGACGCGTCTGGTGCCTCCGCTTTCTCTGCATGATAACAGCGGCTTCCGGCGGTCTGCGTGGGAAGCCTTGCATATATCCCTGTGCGAGCTGTTGGCTGAAGATGAAGAAGATGAGGGGCCTGTGTTCTCTCCCGTTAGCGCTATCACCAAAGACGGAAGCGGCAGGGAATGTCGCACATTGAAACCGCGGAAGATGCCCCTTCTTACTCCTGCAGAGGCTCGGATGATGCTTGTGGTGCTGCAGTCAAGACTGGGCTATGTGGGGGATCTGAGAGAGCTGCCTTTGTCAGCGGTCAAGAGCTATCCCTATATCATTGCCGGAGTGAAAGGAGGCCTCCGCGAGCAGCTGCTGAAGCACAGAGTGGGGCCACCCCCAGTGCCCCTGTCTGTGCCCCCGCCAGCGAGTATGCAGCGCCTTCGCATGCAGCAAGCCGCACTAGAAGCAACCCTCCAGCAGGAGCAGCGGGTAGAGGTGTACCCCTTCTCTGCGACTGCCGCTAATTCTGCCGACAAGATTGTCGTAGACGGCTGGGGCTGGCTTCCCTTGTTCTTGTGTCTACAAGTGTCTCCCTTCGTTGTGACGGAGGCCACCGTTCAGTCCATATACGTTGGCGGGAGGCAGCAGCTTAGTGGGCGCCTCTCGCAGAATTCTATCCCCGCAGAGCAAAATTCGTTGGCTTCTCCGGAAGGCTGTGCAGACCCTCTCGGGTGCCGAGGCCAAGGTGATGCAAGCGCTGCCAACACAGAAGTCGTGGAGGATCTCCCGGCTGCTTTCGAGGATGACGACGATCCAGATAATCCCCTCGCTGACTCACATCCCGTCCGCCTCCGGGTGGAGACAAACCGGCGTCTTCGTCACAGCGCGTCTCATGGCCTTCCACAGGCAGAGGCGCAGGAGGAGCCTCCAGTCCACGTTTGGTACGTCTGTGTGTTGTGTTTCGCGTTCCATTTTTGCCCGTGGAGGCTTTTTTTCGTCATTTGCTTCCTGTTGGGCTGCTCATTGAAAGGGGCTTTGTTTGTGAGAAGGGGGCTTTCGTTCTCCCCCATCCCCGTCGTGCTGCGGCCTCGTGCATCTGCTCCTTTCGCTGAGAGCAAGAGACTAAGTTGCCTGAGCGGCGGCATTTCCTCTGCAGGGTTGTTGTAACTTAGCCTGCGCTGTGCTGCTTCAGGATCCGTGCCAAGTACTGCGTGGTGGCAGTACCCCTGGCTCAGCTAGCTCAGGCGCCTCTGCCCCGACTTAAGGCCTCAGCTGCGGCTACAACGCCAAAGGCTTCAATTCCCCAAGCGCAGCTTCCTCCCACCCTAGGCCTCATTGATTTTTCTCCTCCACTTGGCCCTGATAGGCGACGTGCCCTCGCGCGATATCGGATGGGTTGCCACAACAAGGTGCGTCATGTAGTGGCGCGGCTTGTAGGGGCTTTCCCTGTTTCCGCGGACTGTTCCTATCTCTTCACTTGGGAGAGGAATCTTCTCAGAATCATGGGCCTCCATGATGTTTTAGAAGCACCAGGGAACTTGTGAGGACGGAGGGTTTGCCGGGGTTGCGGCTTGACTTTGTCGTGTAGTACAGCGCTGTTTCGTGCGCAAGTCTGCTATGTAGGGGCGATCTACATAGAGAGATATCTGTATATATGAATATCTATATATATGAATATATATCTATATGTATATCAGAAAAGGCCGTGTGTGCAGAGGAGCTGGCACCTCAGAGTGTCGGGCCTCCGAGTTGTCGATATATCTGCGATGCTTTGCTGTATTGCACAGGTGATTATTCGGTGGCATCCAGACGACGTTTTCTGGGAGGAGCGCGGGCTTCAGTTGAACTGCCTCGACCAGAAGTTTCAGTTCTTGAATCTTCATGCTTATGGAAAACCGGGATGTCTGTTGGCGCACTGTTTTCCGCCGTTCTCGAGCGGCTATGGGGGCTTGCAGACGGACCAAGAGGTAGGGCGTCGCTGTTATGCCTTCGGAAGACGCTGCCGCCGCTGCTGCTGCTGCTGTTTGCTTCGCGTTCGCTGTTTCTGCTCCTACCCTGTTCGAGGGAAGGGAACGGCAAGCTTCATGCAGGGGCTGTGGGGTCAAGCGAGGAGAAGCGTTCCGCTTGATTCTGGACAGATGTCTGCGGCCTTGCTCGGAAAGCGCAAATAAGGTGAGGCTCGCACGAAGAATTCGGCTTTTTTCAATTTTTACCGCGCTTCGCAGGTGGTGGCAGAAGTCCTGGCTCTGCTGCAGCAGATGTTCGACATTCCGGACTCAGCCTTCCCTCGACCCGTTGATTTCGTTGTTTCGCGATGGGATGAAGACTGCTTCTCTCGGGGATCTTACTCGACGCCGGTATGCGCGTGCCTCATTATTTTGTTGCTTTTCATGTGTCGGGGGTGCAAGGATCTGGTAGGAGGGACTTCCTTCCCCCCGTCACGCCAAGGTCCTGCGCTCTCTCCGCGGTGTCTCTCTGCTTCACCGAAGAGGAGGGGAGGAGGAGTTGGGTGCTCGTTTTTCGCCGTGTGAACGCGGTAGCCGGAAGCAGAGAGGGGTCGATCGATGGAGTGAAGAAACACTCTTTTACTTGAAGGCAGAGGAACGCGCTGGTTGTTTTTTTCTGCCGTTGCGTCCTCAGGGGGTGAACGCCTATGACAACGATCTGGACATCATGAGGGCCCCCCACCCGATAGATGATCCGCGTGTCATCTTTTGCGGGGAGCATCTTAGCAAGGCCTACTTCCAGTGCGTTGATGGCGCGTTTGACACAGGTGTGTTCACAGTATACCTTTGTTCCGTGGACTAGGATCCTCGTTGACAATAGGGCCGGGGTGTGTCTTCATTGTAGCTGGTTTTCAGCGTGGAGGCCTTCCGGGTTGGTGTCCATTGCGCCGTGGATAGTGGGGTAGAGCAGCAGATTCTTGAAAAACAAGCGGGAGGCGGGGGAGAGGGAGCGAAAAGGGAGCCTGCTCTCTCGAAGTTTGTTGCGGTTTGGCTAGTTGAAGCAGTGTGCAACTCACGGATCTTCGTTTAGATATCAGTGGGTTTCGCGTGTTGTTCCTCTGGCCAGAGTAGCGGGTGCGCTTCTGGCAAGGGAAATGTGTATCACTTTGAGGTTTGAGTTGTTTTTTGCTAGATTACCCTACTTTCCTGCTTGGGATGTTGCTGTGGACGCTCAGGGTTGCGCGCGGGCGAAGCTGTTGCTCACGAGTGTTTGCAACTGCCGCTGCCTCCCCGCGAAGATGGCAGGAACTTTTCGCTGGATTATTTTTGTCTGCCGCCTACATCGACAGGGCCAAGAAATGGTTGCAGGACGTCAGCTACCATACCAGAGGCCGATGGGGAACGGCAAGAGGCATGTGTGCACCCGGCGGCTTGTTCGAGAGAATCTTCACCCAAAAGGCCAGAAGAGGCCTCTGGGGGAGTCTCGAAGGATGGACTGGAAGCTCGGCAGGGGAGGGCTTTCTTGCCTCAATGCCCCTTCTCAGGTTTTCCAATGCCGCCCCTTCCCCGTGTGCTCCGGGGGCACTACCTAACGGATCAGTCTGACTTAGGCCTTACAGATGCAGAAGGGGTGGACTGGGCAGAAGTCAGCGGCTCTTGGCGGGGTGTCCAAACGTGCGAGACTGAGCGCAGGGCCCCTCAGGTTGCCGCAGCAGAAGAGTGCTTTCTTATGCGGTGCCTGTCTTTTATCCGGACGGGCAGCAGGCGGCTCCTTCAGGCCCTGGCCTTGCAGCAGCACGACAGTTCCCCCCGTGGCTCTCCCCTCTTGGAGCCGTTCCTCGAAGATGGCGTCTTTGACTCTGAAGACTTGCTTTCTCAGGGGCTTTTTAAGGCAGGATCAGCCTGCGAGGGTGAAGCCCAGGCAACAGTTGCTGCAGACACCGTCCCTCCGCTGCCACCGTTGCAACGGCTCTCCGATAGGGCTGTGGATTTCTTACGGCGCCTGCCCACGGCTGCCCAGCGACTCTTTTACAGGACGTTTCTGTCGGAGTTTCCTTTGACTAAAGAACCTGTCACTGGCAGTACTTCAGAGGATCAGCAGCAAGGGTGTCCAGCCTCGCCCCCACAGGAGCAACAGGATAGCACTGTACATGAACGTGAGGAGGAGCAGCAAGCCCAGCAGCAGCAGCAGCTTCAGCAGCTGCAGCTACCCCTCCTCGCTGATCTTCTTGACGCTATTTTGATCTGCACCAGCAACAACAAAACCCTCATTCTAGAGCCGCCGTTAAACGAGGCGGCCCTGGTGTTGTCGCAAGGTCTTGCTAGGCGCTTGAAGAGGGGGAATGCGGGCAAGGTGTTGGACATGGAGGGCTTTTTGTTGCTTCTGGCAAAGCACAACAGCCTCATAAGAGATTCTGTTCTACTTCCCATTAGAAAATTGGCGCACAACTTCCCCCAGAGCGGCGAAGCTCCTGAAGACACCCAGACGGTTGCCGCAACAGAGGACCCTTCGGCAAAAGGAGAGGCAATGTATCTAGAAGGGTTCGTCAAGGAACTGATGCTCCCTGCCCTTCCTGCACACGCGCGCAACGCCAGGCCTCCCCGCATGGCTGCGGTATCCGTGGGAGTGCTTCTGATGGAAACTCTGGAGCGGCTGTGCGCTGCTGCCCCTCGAGTTGCGAAAACAAAACTGATTCAGCAGCAGGCTGCCTCCGTAGAAAACCTAGTGTTGCAGTCCCTAGCAAGCAGCCAGTTTATCTCGGCCATGGGCAGCGGTGCGGTGACGCAGGGGGCGGCGAACACTCAAGGGCAAGACACAGAGAAGAACGCTGAACCTCTACATCATGAGCAGCTCTGCTGGCTCTGTCGAGGGGAGGGGGATCTGCTACTGTGCGATGGCTTGCCCCCCGCAGAATCATCATCTGGCGCTGTCTCTGATGACGAAGGGCGACTGCAGAGCATGCACGGCTCAGCTGCACGAGGTCCAAGGCCGTGTCATCATGTATTTCATATAGGCTGCGCTTTCCCTCCTCCAACGCCCGCAGAACTTCAGCCAAACGCACACTGGAGCTGCCCTCTTTGCAAGGCTAAGGCCTTCAAAGAGCGCAGAAGCAAAATGAAGCCAAGCGCAGTCCAGCAGCCCCCGCTTAAGGACCCCGCAGGAGATCAGCCGCGGCTTGAATGCGATGACGGTGAGGAGCACTGCGAGCAGCCGCAGCAGCAACAGGAGCTTGGGAAGGAAACACAGGAGCAACAACTTTGCAATGGCGTGGAAGGGAAGCAACAGCAGGACAAAGGGGCAGGCAGCCGTCACGATGGAGGTCGAGTTTGTGCCACTGCCCCGGGAGAAAAGTTGCTACATCATATTTTTGACTCTGTAGATAACCTCGCCCAGAAGGGCACTGAGGAGAGGACTGCGCGGCAGTCTCAGCTGCAGTTGGCGTCTTGCGAGGAGCTGCAGATGGCCGCTCTGAAGCGGTTGTTTGTGGATAAAACTCGAGGCCTCTTGGCTCGCACCCGTCAGCTCTGCAAGCGGCTGGATTTTCTCCAGTCCAAAAGAAAGCGGCTTTGGATTGCTGCAAGGCGCAGGAAGTGGCGGGCTGCGCGTCCCCGCAGTGAGCCCCCTAACCCGCAATCGGCCACAGTGCTTGAGTGTCTTGACAGGAAAGGTCATGGGCTTCTCAAGCGGGAGCAGACACCGCAGTATGCAAAGGCTGCAACTTTGGCTGGTCCTTCCTCTGACGAAAGAGCTTCTTCATCGGACGGAGGCGGTTCTGGCCGCACAGGTGAGGGGGGGCGCAGACGCCGTGGCTGCACAGAATCGGAGGGAGAAAGCCTGGGCCGTCGCTCTCACTGCTCCAGCTCTTTGGTGAGAACTGAGCAGCAGGAGCGTCGAGGTGCAGGATCACCTGCTGCGGGATCGGGAGGGCATTGCCGAATAGAAGTGGATGGTGCAGCAGGTGAGAGGTGTGAGAATGGCGCGAAGGAAGCTGCAAATGAGTCCCCATATGAGGCTTCGTCTGAGGATGAGAGAGAGCCATACCTGGACCCATTCGCTGCTGCTGCGCAAACACCTTGGTTCGCAAAAGGTCTGAGTTTGCTCTCACGTGTCCAGGAAGTCGACGTGGCAGGACTCCCCCTCAGCGTGTCGGCGCTGCAGCACTTGCGTCATACAACCTTGGGGTGCTGCTGCCTCCGGAAAGACCAGCACTCAGCGAAGGGAACGCCTCAAGATGCAAGCACCAGCAACGCGTCATATTTTTGCAGCTGCGGACGAGCAGCAGGATCGTTGAAGAGCAGCGACTGCCTCTGTATACAGGCGGCTCGCAAGGATGCCACCGCAGCACTCAGGGACTTGTTGATAGATCGCGGATGCAGTCCACGATCATCGGCTTCCCGCCGTTCGAGGGGCCCCATGCGTTGTTTAGCGCCGCATGTCCGATCTCAAGATGCCATTGTTGAGGCTCTAGCTGTCGGGGAGCCGGCGTGGATGAGCCGCCTGCTAAGGCCCTCTAGGAAGCGTAGGACTTCTTACCCCCGTAGGTGCGCGAGGGATGTAGGAGAATTAGATGCTGTTGTCTCTCGCCAGCAGGCTGCATTGCATGCATCACGGTTTCAATTACAGCAGCAATACAGACATCTCATTTTGGCACACCAGCAGCAACAGCAGCGTGTGGTCGATCCGCCGCGGAGTGCTGCAGACGCACTTCTCCAGAGGGAAGGTCTTGGATCCCGTGCGGCAACACTCACGGAGAACGTGAGGCAGTTTCCACGCTCTTCTGTTCAGAGTGAGTTGGCCGCGCTGGCTCAGCAGCAGGTATACGGATCCGCGTCTCCAGTACAGCCGCGGCAGCAACCGGCGATTTCCAGCGGGGCCCTTTGCTCTCTGTGGCAGCTGGTCCAAGCAGCAAAAGAACGGCAGGAGCAACAAGAACAGCGCTACGCGCAAGCTGGCAGAGCGTCTAGTGCCTCAGCGCATCAGCTGCAACTGCAACTGCAGCTGCTGCAGCTGCAGCAACTACAACAGCTGCTACAGCAGCAACAAAATCGATCAGATCTAGTCCTGCAGGCGGCTCAGTTCGGTCAGCGTGCCCCGTCTCCGACTGCCAGCGCTGCAGGGGCCAGCTACCGCTTGGCTCAGCAGTTGGCATTTTCGCAAGCGGTCCAGGCGCATGCTGCCCTAGCGCCTCAACGCGCAACCAATACGAGAATAGAGCAAGAACTTGAGCGGCAGCTACAAGAGCTTCAGCAGCAGCAGCGGCTGCAGGATCGCCTTCGCGCTCTGCAGCAGCAATCGGAATCAACTCTATTGCAGCGCCAGTCCATGTGCAGCACCCCACATCAAGAGTCTCACCAAAGAGAGCAGCTGCTTGAACTGCTACAGAAGGCACAGCACGACGTAGCCGAGGAACAGCGCGTGCGGGAGCGCATGGTTCGATTGCAGCAACTCCACAGGCAGTTACTCCAGCAGCAACAACAAGACGGATCCCTCAGTGGAACGCAGCCGCAAATCTAGCCCTGTTATCGAGGATATAGAATCGCAACGCGCGAGGGTAAAGCTCCCACCGCTATTGCGACACCTTTCGCTTCAATTCATTCATAGGGGACTCCAGCTTGTGGCAACGCTCAGTGTCCGGCTTCCTTAAGGGAGACCGATAGATGTTTTCGTGGATTGCTAAATCCAAGCAAGTTTCGTAGCTTTTGAATTGCTTACTCTTGTCATTGAGTGACATATGTTCTGACCGAAATTTCTCCATGCATTCCGGTTTTTGTGTCTTCATGACGCAGTATCTTCGTTTTCTCCTTCCTCCCAGCGGTGCCGTGCTGCAGCTGGGAAGGGTCTCCGGTGCCCTCAGTCGCATAATGGTGTTGTGCAAGCCGTCAGAGGCTGCCTCAGTTTATGCAGCCCATGTGCGTATTGGCTGCGATCAAGTGTCATTTATTTCGTTGGATCTATCCGCCAAGGCGGAAACAGGCTTTGGGGCCTGTCGGCATTTTGAGCCGTGTGCTGCACGGATTCTTTGTCCCTGTAGTACGAACAGTTCTTGTGTAATTGCCAATCCGTGGCTATTGCTGTTTGTGCCTCGGTCTAAGCCACAGAAGCTGCTAGGGAAGCCGCAACCCAATGCAGGGGCCAGGTCACCTGCAACTTCAACAACAATGAGCAACCCAGCCGTGAGCCTTGAATCTGCCTACAGTCTTAGGTGTGCCTACTCGCGCCTCACCAGGGGACTTAACTCGATACTGCTTTGTTTATTATGGATACTCTGTGATTTAACCGAGCTGAGAAGAGGCACTCCAGCGAAACAGATCTGCAGCCCTTTATCCCTGGCCTTAAGCAGTGGATTGTTGCAGCGTGTACTAACTGCGAAGCGCTACTCGCTACTACGACTGCTTCTCCGCACTCCACTCTGTGCCCTGAATCCTATAAGGTGGTTGTATGATGTTTGCTGGTCACTTTTTGTGTGTCTGGCCGCTGGAAGGGAACTTATCAGCATATGGGTCAGGTCAGTGATGCCACCCTCCTGTGCCTGGCAGCAAATAGGTAGCACATCTGCAGGAATAAGTTCAGACGGTATCTAAAGGGCTGCTCTCAGTAGCCATGCTGCGTTGTGGGAGGCTTACAGGCGAGCAAAAATGCAGTGGGAGCCAAACTAGTTTCCGCACCTCCAGGCAACCCCGAGCGGTTGCTTGACTACTCGGAAAACTGTCACTAGGGCGGAGGGGGGAAAGGTTGTTTTTGTCGGGAAAAAGTCAAATATGTAGTCCGCTATAACACTACCTGGTGCATTGTCAATGATTCAACACCTTTGGCCAAGGATGGTTTGTACCCAATAGCGCTTGTGCATAGGTGGATACAGTTGTGGCGTGCATAAGACTGGACTGCCCTTCTCCGCTGCGCATTACCAAGATATTCCTCAACAGCGGCTCCAGCTAGGAGGAAACGGGGAAATGTAGGCTTATATGTCGATTGTAGAAAAGCACTTTTCCACCGAGGGTCGGCAACACAAGGCTCACATTTGCTTTCATCCGAATTTCATGGCACATCCGCGCTTGCAAGATTCAGACCTTCTGCATAGTGCTGGGCAGACAGAAAATAGTGACGAGTGCGATAGTTGCTGTCTCAGGGGTAGCAGAGCAGGCCAGGAACAATTCGTTACCAATTTAGTCTATTGCCCTACTTCTATTGAACTCGGTACCTTTATCCGCTTAAATTTGTGGCTACGTCGGGGAATAAGTAGATGACTTCATCTTTGCTCTTCCACGCATTTGCGACCGCAAAGCCATAAACTAGAGAGTGAATGACTGGGGAAGGACGCGTGCTGATTTGTAAGTTCATTTGGACTACCATGTTCTCTTGTTTATTTGAGAGTCCCACTCCTGGGCAAGCACTGTTCATCTACATGTCTTTGCAACGAGCTGTTTGCGAAAAGCGTGCTCACACCGGTCCACAGCCACAGAAGCTTGTCCTTTGTCGATTCAATAAGATTAAAAAACTAGAGACTCCTGGACACTGAATCAAGGGTGGGGAGCAGTAATTAGCAACAGCAGCACGAAACATAGCAGGAAGTCCGCTCAGCAGACCAGTGAACCCCCACAAAAAGTCGGATAATTTCAGATCATTCACCTTAGGTAGCGATGAGAGAGGCCGTGCACTGAAGGTTTGCTGCTGCCCGAATACTTCATAAAACTGTACACCATGGCCGCTACCAGCAGCCCACCCCGAAGCGATTTCATTAGCTAAAAAGTATCCTAGCCTCCAAAAGTCTCGTTATACCTAAGTTAGTTGTCATTATTCGTTATCTTGATCTGGGACAAATTGTAGTTCTATTCCCATTTGCTACCTCTACCGTACTGCAATTTCATCTTCGAAGCCCCGTGGCAGCGTGGACTGTGTGGTGAGGCTCAAACCCCAAACTGCGACTGATAGCGTGTTTGCTTTGGTGTAGCGCGAAGCACCTGATAGGGCAAGAATACTTTTTGATACCACCGCACAGCTTCGGCTCATCTTGGTAAACTCGATCACACTGGCTCATTCAAGCTCAAAGGTCATGGCTTTGCAAGCGTCTACCTTGACTCCTATTCTATAGTATAGAAGACATCAGCTGCCCTCTTGCTTTTTGCAAGGACGGGGGGTTTGCTCATTCACCTGCTTTGTGCCAGGCAGCGAAACTGGTGGTCCAGTAAACTGGCAACCCCTTGGGCCCCCAACCATTCTACTGCTTGTCTGTACGCCTGCAGACTACAAGCTAACCCATCTTTTTGCCGTCTCGTCTTAGCCCCTTCCTGCCTCGCCTCATGCACACAACATTACGTCTTCATCTATCGAACTACCAGGACTCTGCAGCAAATAATATGTAGACAATTAAACCAATCAGTTACTTCTTCACAAAGGTTTGATTGAATGTAACTAGAGTAGTAGGAAGTGCCCAAGTGGAGTTTGGTCCGCTACGCCTTCGCCCCCATTTCAAAACACACCCCGTCATGATCCACACCTATGCTGAGGCCAACGTCACTCAAGACAAGAGAATAGTTCGCAATCCATCTCCTGCACGTTCTTTTGCAGCAAACTTCACAAATAGTTTGAGGAGTTCAGAAAATTCCTTAGGAAGCCAATATCGATAGTTCTGTGGCATTGCCAACTGTAAAAGAATCGATACAGCACGAAAAAGGATTGATATTCGAGAGGATGGCCAATGGTTGTAGCCACCTGGACACAAGCTTCCCCGTCTGGAAACCTTTTGATGCACATCATAAAGCCTACCCATCCATCAGGACAAAATCTCCAGGCTCGAAACACCTTGCAGACCTGCCGCTTGTCTTGTTTCCGTGCTAGCCATTATTGAGATTTGCGCATACGTTCGCGTTGACTTGCCTGCTGCCCTCTCAATATCTCCGCTGTTATGGGTGGCTGCTAACATTGGCCCAGCTTGTCGTGACCCAAATGCTAGAGGACCTCTTCAGTGTAGATCAGGGATGCAAGAGAGGAACGGACAGGCAAGTGTGCCGCTGTATTATCAATCCGGTCGATGATTAAGAAATCAAATGGATTTGTGTGAGCCCTGAGTCGCAAAGACTGCGGAGCATTGCGATTCGTGCACCTTCTCTCTCTATTTGCCTCATGGTGCTTCGCAGTGGTCAATTTATGGTCAGCTTTTCAGCTGGGACATAGCGTCATATGGCTGATCCTGTGGAATCCGTGAAGCTGCCAGACAGGAGCCAAGAAGAACTGAGCGACCTACTGACGCGTGACAAAGTGGAGACAATGGGTGAACTGGGAGTACTTGCTGAGTCTGTCGAGAATGACGTGGATGCTATGCTAACCCTTGACCTCCAAGAGTCCGGCAATAATTGTATTTGCATAGTAGGCCAGATCCATTCAGGCACTGGAAGGCTTTGCAAAAATCCGGGTTTATAAGAAATGCGCGGCTTTACCCGCTGACAAATTGGGCATAGCAGTGCATACTTCTCTGCCCCGGAATAATACTAGGCCACTAAGAAAATCGTGAGAGATTTTTACTGCGGTGTGAACCCCATCATGGCCCAAAACAGCATGCTTTTATGCTTTGAGCTAACGCTATTGCGAAGGGCCGTCAAAATGGACAAAAAATGGAAGTTAATGACCTGCGTGGAGCCGAAAATTCTACAGGGAGTCGTAAAAGTACTGAATCGTGAGCCTATCGAGCGCATAGTACACAGCAAATAGGAACATTTCAGTGAAATGGTATGGGGACCGCCAGCTTCAGTAATTAACAAAGAACAGTTGCGGCTTCGTTGTCATTGCAAACATGTCTTGCGGCTGGTGTTACTGCTGGTGTTAACACTGGTGCTGTTGCTGGTGTTGCTGTTGAGGCTTTCCTGGTGCAGCGGCCGGAATCTCTCGAGCTCGGCAAAGGCTGTGCCTGTCACCCATGGATGGTGTGTTGAACACATATGGAGCGCAGTCATAATGAACAAACGATGGCCTTCTCACTCTGTTTTGTACCATAGCCGGGCATTCTTCACGAGAGAGTGCTTCACCATTTTGTTATTCTGGATTCTGGCGAAAGGAGCTAAGGCACGGGTGTCGAAAGTATGGGACGTACGCGATGCCGCATTTAAAAACCGCGAAGCATCACAGACAGAAGAGGTTGCGTTGCAAGATCTCTTGGGCGTCGTCAGAATGCGTTAGCCAACCCGTTGGTAGTACTTTCAATATAATAAACTATTTCGTCATACTGTAAGGCCCGCCGAAGCCAGGGAATAGCTCTACGGCTATGTCTTCAACACTTCGTAAGGAGCACCGAAGACTCTTTTCGGTCTGTTTAGTAGAATGCGGCGCCTATAAGTAGTCCCAGCTTTACCCTCGCGACCCACCAGGCTGCATTCAATTTTTTCCGCACCCTATACCGCTGCTTAGCTTTGGGGGAGCAATGAGAGCAGCAAGCAAGAATCTGGTGTTTTGGAGAACTAGTAGCCTGCTGCAAAGAGTTCTTGCCACAGCTATGTTGCTATTCTTGCTTGTTAAAAAAAACGGTAATCTCGTAAACTTAGTACCGGAGGCGCTGCAGGGCGGCTGATAGGCGTCCTTGCTGCAGCATCGGCCTCCGGCGTTCACAACACAGACTGCTCTTCGGTGAGTAAAGCAGTCAAAGAAGCACCAACCGAGTGAACAAACGAGTGAAATCTCGTACTAAGCTGCGAACCCATAAAACGTCTCAACGACTATGCAGGTGGGCTAAGGTAAAGGCTAAGCCTTGGCTGCTGCAATTTTGGCCGGATAGGGCTCAATTTCTGCAGCCGTAACACATTTGGAAAACATGTTCTCGTCGAAAACAAGCCCTTGCGCACCTTTGACTGCCATCGCTTGTCCCACCGCAGTAGAAGCGCATGCCATAACTACTGTAGCTATTCTTGAGAATTCAGGCAGAATACTGAGCCATCGTCCATGCGGACAGCCATTCCATCCCTCTTTGATACACACACAGAGCAGTCCCCGATCAAGCTGCCGCTGCAAAAGAGTTGACGCATTAAGATGTGTAAATGGCATACAGGTATGCTCGAGATTGCGGGTTCGAGTATGGGAGGCTGTTACGTGCTTGTGATCTGGGTAAAGGGGGTATGTAAGTAGGCATCTGTGGTTTCCGATGTCAAGTAGACTGTTAATCCGAGTAGTGCGGCAGATAGTTCGCAGCTAGGAAGCAGCCCAAGCATTTCAATCACAGCATTCTTGTTAACAGGCCCAAAACCAACACACACCCGCCGCCGTCCGTCCTATTCCAGCACCAACACCGGGTTATGCCCAAAAACGCTTATCCATAACTTGCACCATGCCTTTTTTAAAGACTCACTCGCTTGCCACTCAATCTCCCGTTTGTGCTGTAGGGGTTCCCAGTACTTTATAACATATCTTAGGTTTGGCCGGAAGTGAGCCCAATTCAGTGCTCTGGACAACCAGCTGGTGGCCAGCCTGCTGGCAGCTCGTCATTCTTGAGCGCACCAGCGAACTCCTTCTTGACACTTGCTCATTCCTGCTGTTCGTCAGCTGAAAGCCCAATTGGATTCCTTGACAAGTTACCGGTTACAGATTTGGCGGGGCGAAATGCACGCTCAGAACCGTCTTCTCTTGTTGCGCCACTAAGTTCTCCACAAGAAGTCTCTGCCTCACTTTGTCGAGGTACTAAACCTACGCTGCTTCAGATACATGAAATTAGCGGTGTTGCGGTGACCAAAAGCTGGCTTTTCTAGCGATTTTCCGCACACTTCCATCCACAGTGCGCAGGCGTGGTCCCCTGTGGGCCTTCTATTGGGTCACCCATGGCATATCAAGGATTACGTAGTGGTGCACATGCCCTACATGGAAGTTCTGGAGTTGCTGATAGAATCCGACTACGATATAGAGTGGTAGTTAATAGCAGTGGCCTTGCCAATCCGTGCGTTCTGCTGCCCGTCAGCAAACCTGAGTCCCCGGCCCTACGCTAGGCAGAGAACAGGCAGGCTGCAATTCCGCACCGCCTCCTCTGACAACAGATCCACTTCACATCCCAGTGTCAAGTAACGCTACCGATTGTTGAAAGCTAATGTAAGCTTGAGTAAGTACAGAGTAAACCTATGGTCAATTCGTGACCGGAGATCCATCCTCTATAGCTCCCTTCGCTGCTCCGCATCCTGGATGAGGGCCTTCCGTTTACCTGACGCGTCTTCTTTGTTCACCAAGCAGACTACCTTTACTGAGCCCGATCCCCTTGCTAAAGTTTTTTGTCCTTTTGTGTGCGCTTACAGAATCGGATTATACGACTTAGTCTCCCGCAACAATAGAAGGTGCGTTCCTGGAGGCCTGCCAAGGGCTAATCAGTGGTGGGGGTTCCCTCTGGCTCTCGCTTCTTGCTCGACTTCAACTGCAGGTTAGGGCCGGCTGGCACCGCTTCGACAAGCCAATAGGTCTGCGAATTCCCGAATCGGCTATTCCGTTTCAACCAAAGACGCAGGAACTGCGGTCATTTGATTCTCAAGCCTCAAGTAGTCCATCATCTTGGAAAGCCCCAACGTTCAGTTGCTTTGTCAGTGAATCGCTAACCAACCTTCTACCACCTAAGGTGACACTTTGGTTAGCGACGGTCGACTGTGTTGCAAGCCTGGAGATTTGATTTTGGGGCATCAGCAGGTTGTCTGTGGTGCACCAAAAAGTGGCCCCACGAAGTAGTTTGCAGCCAGGCGGTCATGACCATTTGCAATTGTCCCCGAATCAATGCGGTTTCTTGCTCTACCAGGCATCTCCAAAAGTTGGATGCGACAGAGCTATCAAGAATTGGCTTCTTGAAGAAACTTAAGCCACCCAGAATAATTCGCGGAACTCGCCGCGGAGGCATATGGCCCGCGTGGAGGCGGAAGCTTCCGCGAGCCGTGAAAGCACTGGTTTGCGAGACTACTGGGAGCAAAAAACAGTAGACGGAAGCTCTAGTACAGTGTGGTGGGGGAAGCCTGCATCAGCAATTGAACCGGCTGTATTTGCATGCGGAAGTTGCTTAGGGATGTGCAGAGGCTCCGTTGAACTAGAGTTTTGTCTTTATTCTCGCCACACAATCTACGTGCCTTGTATGTCTTCACAACAGAAGGCTCACATACTTTAGCTTCCCTACGAAAGCGAGCCATCGAGCCGCCATGGTTCTGTTAGTCGATCCTTCATTCTTTGTTGGCTAGTGTTTGTATCTTTTTCTCTTCTGCTCCCATTCAGCAAGTGATTCCCGTTTTGCTTTTCAGCTGCATTAATTATCGCATTGCTGCCTGCCTGAGTGATAGCGATGGGTCAGAGGCCCTTCCAGTGTCTTGAACGAAGTTAGCCTAGCCTCAACAGGCAGATGTAGGCCACGAGAAGCTGGATTTGCAGCATGGGCAAGGTGTAGCGGAGCAAGCTACACCAAAGCACTTTCTACCATACTAAGTTATGTTTGTCGTATCTTTCATGTATTGCAGAGTCAAAACGAAATTCGCCTATCAATAGTAAATTGCTGCTCGCTCAAGGCAACTAGCCAGCATATTAGCACATAGCCTCAGGGGTGAGACCAAACATTGGCAGGAGCACTTTAGCTACTACAAAGTGTCACTGGATAGTACATCTGACCAAGATGTACAGCTTCCAATGGAAGGCATGTTGATGCACTACACACTATGCTCAGAGCTTACTGAATCTGATTAATTGTCTCGTGGTACTGAGCTGCAGGGCCCCTGATTTTCAAATAGGTGTGATATTCTTGATGCGTTAACTTTGGAGTGGTTGAGTACCCTTATGAATCTACCGTATCCCCAAACTAGTTAAACATCTGATATGTAGCTGCAGTGGCTGCATTTTCAAATCAGTAGGAAAGGCCTTGAGCCAAGTTTGACAAATAGGAAACCAGCTTAACTTCTTTCCGGGTAGTGCATGTTTCATGAGTCCCGCCTGTTTCTGTCAAAGACCCTACTGAGGTGCGTTCTTAAGCTCTGGAAGCTAATGGGTAGAAGAGTGAGGGATTATGCTAAGAGCAGCTAGCCACTAATGCCGTCACTCCCCACACAACACCACTCCTTACAGCCCTAGACACGTAAAAGAATCCACAAATTGTTCTCAAGTATTCAAGGCCATCAGGCCTGGTGCTAACGCTTTGCAGGCCTGTCTGAGCTTAGCTAATGGTAGTTCACCAGTTTTCAGGAAGTGCCAACCGCGACTTTGTTTTGTAAAAGCAGCATTCCTGTACCATCAAACCTGCGTCAGGCACCACCATTCACTGCAAACATGAATCCAGATGCGGCCATACGAATACACATTCTTGCTGCATTCATTCATTTATACTTATCTTGCTACAACTGAGAGAGTTTATCTAAAAGAATAGATGCAGTTGCGATGGTGGAGTTGCTTAGCTCAGGGTTCGGTGTCTGCAATGCCATGAGCTGCAGTGACGGGTAGTCAAGTGAGCAGATCCCAAGAATACCGATTACGACAGTTACTGTATAAGTTAATCTGCCATGCTATGCAAACATCTCAAGAATTAAAGAAGAATTGAGTCATTTTGAATGGATTGACTGGGGCTACGAGGCCGCCGCTGCACAGCGCCCACCGGCCCCTCCAAGTCACCGATGTCCCAGTACACCCATTTTCTCACTGAGGAGGTGAATGACGGCTCTTCAGAGCGCAGTCGCGAAGCCTTCAAGAGCATTAGCCACCAAAAAGAGGCATAATTTCTACCCACGGGACCGTTGCATGTTGAGGGGCCGCTACGGCAGGCCCCTAGTGGACGCAGCTATTGTCCGCTGTTTGGCTGTGCATTTCAAGAAATTGGGTCTTGCCGGTGCTTATAAAGGGGCTGCCGCTGAAACTACACGAAGCCCCTGAAGGGCGAGAGGCAGGGTCATGCTGGTCCGCTGGAGCAGGCTATTCAGGGGGTTTGCTTCCCCGGCATTTACTGGTTTTTGACAGCTCTTCATCCAGGGGTTTTTGTGACATTTGGTCTTGCGCTCGTGAATGAATGCGTGGAAACCGCTTAGCTTCCCAATCCAGCGTGGCCATCGAGCAGACATCATTTTTACTGTCCGACTCCCCTACTCTTCTGCCACGTAAACTCTTAACGGAGTGCACGTACATAACATGGTGTACTCCCTCCATAATCATATCATCCGGTCTTTTCCAGTCAGCTAATCTGTCTGTCTGCGAGTTCCTGGTTTTCCCACCATTAGAGAGCTGCTCATTCGTCCCCCGCTAGGCGGCGGACTCTACGCAGGAGCACTCGAGACGGCGGAAAAAGTGAATCCCTGTGTGCCAAAAGCTGTTGGAGTACCATCGTAGAGCTGTAAGCATGGAGGAGGAGCGTTGCGCCTTTGGCGCCGTCCGTGCGAACGGCACGGAACCCCTTGCAGCGTCTGCGGCCCAGGCTGCTAGTCAGCATCCGACGGTGCATGCAGACACCGTGGTGATGCCTGATTCAGAGCAGTCCCAAGGAGACCAGCAAACGTGTGATGACTTGCCCACTCTGTCTGCTAGAGGACCACTGAACGGAGTTGTCAGCGGAAGTCGCCCTCCCACACTCCCCCTGCAGTCCTCGCAGGCTTCTCTTCTTACGGACCAGGAAGCGAGTGAGGAGAGCATGTTACGCAGCCTCACCGCAGCATCGGGAAGCTGTGCGGGAGCAGAGGCGCCCACAGCTTCACGGCCTCACGGGGAAGCAGCCATGGAAGTCGAAGCACAGGATAACCGAAATGGTGATTTGGGTCCTGAGCCGTTAGATGTGGGACCAGTCCCGAATGGAGTAGCGAAAGCAGTGAACGAGGCAGTTGCTGTCGAGGGTTCAGGAGGTGTTACTGCGGAGACAGTTGCACTCGGCGCTGTTGGAGACGACACGGGTGATGCGGGAGGCGCAGAGAGCGACGGCAAGGAAAGCAACGATAGTATCTGCAATGAATGTGGTGGGGGGGGGGAAGTTGTCTGCTGCGATGGTTGTGTCAAGTCATACCACGCAGATTGTCTTCCGGTTGTCGCCAGGCCTCGCCTTCGAGCCAACGCAGATGACTGGTACTGCCCAGAATGTGCCTCAGCAGCGGCAGCACCCTCCGCTGCGGCTGCATCATCTCCTGGGAACCCTAAGCCAGCCACTGGCCTCCCAGATTCACGCTTTGTTCGACAAAATGCAGCTCCAGTGCCTCCGTCGCCTATATATCATCCGACTGCCCCGGCGGTTTCGTGGCCCTCCATGCCGTCTTGTGTTCCTACAAGGCGCAGAAAAACAAAGGCAACGGAGGACTATGAAACAAGAATAAATGTGGGGCCCAATCATCAGGTTAGTTTTCCGTAGGCCGCCACGATCGGTGTGAGGTGTTGTCGTGACGGTTCTCCCGACATGGTTTGTCTTGCGTGCCATAGAGCTATGGTTCTCTGTACTTCCGTGCAATCCATTGTCAACAGGAGCCACACAACCGTCTGCCGGCTCACATCTTTCGGTGCGTGGCTCCCGCCATCCAGTGCGTTGGTAAATTACGCATACTGCGTTCCTTTAGGTGCCTCACCTTCCAGATTTTTTCTTGGCCCGCGGAGAGAGCGACTCGCTTTCGACCATTGCTGAACAATCCCTAGCTGATGGCGCACAGAGTCAGGCTTTGGGCCCATTACTCGTGTATTCCCCATATCTGATGGAGCGATCAAAACAACAGTGCTTAGCAGAACGGGCTTCGAAATCTTGTATCAACTCGCAGAAGGACTTGGCAGAGTTCCTTATCAAGTGAGGTGGCAATCCTTCTTCATGTGATCCACAGTCGGCTGGCGTGCAGTCCCACTGGTTGACACTAGCCAGACCGATGCGTTTATATGTATCTCTTTTGGGCCATTGCAGGTGCTCAAAACGCTGGAAGGTTCGCCCCGGCTGGCAACCTTTTTCACCCGAGTTCGCTTACAAGTTGTTGCACCGTGCCAACTACGACCCAGAGAGAGCACTGCGGATGATGGACGACTCTGCTTTTTGGTAAGCCTAATTTTTTAGAGGAAAGCCGCATTCCAACATGCAAGTAAAAGTGTCACTGGGACTTCCTATACTGCTGCAGGTAGAGTTATTTGCAGTGAGCCACAATATCCGCGGATATTTCATTGAACAGTAAAGGAGCATCCCTATGTGCCGTGGAGGTGCGTGGAGATCCATTTTGTATTGTTTACTCTTTTTTCTTTGCGTCGGCCTGGGTGTGCACAGCTTTCAGAGTGTATGCGATCCACCCCTCCGAAAGTACGAAAACAAATGGAAGCGACGGGACAAACGAGGGACGTTTCCGAGTTCGCCTTACCCTCCTCCGGTGGTTGTGCGCGGCTACTTGAATGAGAAGCAGAGGCAGCTCCGCATGGGCAGGTGAATTAGCAGAGGGAAGCGTCCGCTACGGTGGTCGCCACACACCAGTGTAGGGGCCGTGGCTCTATAATTGCATCAGGTTAAACGAGTAGCCACGAGATATCCCTTCTGTCATATTTCACAAGTGGATCGAAGTGTCAACCGCGCGGTCCTAGGAAACAAGTCGATATGAGACGGCCGCTTCAGTGTGGCTGCGGGTACGAATGGCAGTCGTGCGTAGGATTATCCGTCCAGGCATGTGCCCATCCACCGAATGGCCCGCCAATTTTGGTAGGGCAGGCCTTTCTAGCTTATGGCTCTTGCATGTGCCTTAACAAGGGACCTGTTGGGCCATTGGCGACCCTCCCCGCGGGCGCGCCACCAAGAGAAAGCCTTAGCCTTTAGACAATTTTGAGACGCCAATTTGAGCATGAACCGTACAAACTGGAGTCAATTTGAGCATGCCCCGCAGCATCAACTTGGAATGTTCCTCGTACTTCTGGTCATCCATATTCAGTCGATAAGCTAAACTCACAACATCCGCTATCTACATTGACTGGGCAACGAAGAACTACGGACCAACTATACGTGTTGTCCATTCCGTAGAACACTGTTAAGAATGCTAGTATCACACTATTTAATATTGCCGCTGGTCGCTAAACTCGATTTCGCAGTTCCTACGCGACGCGTCCAATAGGACCGTCATTCAAAGATAATGAATATCGAGGTGTACTGACGAGAACGTCCGATCCGCAGAAGAACCAACCAAATTCCACTTTATCAGAGGGCTGTTTGGTAGAAACTGAGCAGAAGATAATTCCTGCTAAACAGATCCCCTCAGAAGAGACGGAACTGTTTGCGCACGTTGCCGAAGACCTGGTTGCTCTCAACTTTGAGGACATTAAAACGAACTGTCTTCGATAGGGGCCTGGGCGCACGCAACAACAGAGGGGACCAGCCGTCACCTCTCCCTATGCCTGGGATTTTAGATGCAGGCGGAAGAAGTGGTATTCGCATTTCTGAACAAGTGCTCACCTGCACTGCCCGGCGGTGACAATGTCGCCCTCCTTGACTTGCTCGAAGCACGGCGCCAGGTGGCAAGACACGTTCTTATGCCGCTTTTCAACACGAGAGTACTTGCTCACACAATGCAAATATGTGCGACGAATCACCACGCAGCGCTTCATCTTCGTGGAAATCACCATACCCCTGAAAATCAATGTCGGCAAACACGCGTGCACGGCTAAAATAGCGAAAGCTCGGACATGGCCACACGAATACATTAGTCGCATGCAGCGGCATCATATATAAAGCCGATGATGTCTAAAATTCTCGGGAATGCGAGAATCCGAGCTTCTACTTCGTAAGAGAGCTCACTTGATGATGCGGCCACGAATGGACACATTACCGGTGAAGGGGCACTTCTTATCGACATATGTGCCTTCTTTCGCGAGGCGGGGTGTGGTGAAACCCAAGCCTACTTCCTAAAACACACATAGGCAAGAAAACCCCACAACCGGTTAATATATGCCCCTAGATGTGATCATGAGATACGATCTTCAAACGTCTCGTGTGACGGCCACCCTCCTCATGACCAGGTCATGGGAAAACGCATCTTACCCTCCAGTACCGCGCCTTTCCCTTCTTTCTAGAAGACTGGGCCAATGCCGATTGAGAAACCCCCTGCTGGCGCTGGAAGGCCTTCTCAGTCTGCGAGCAAAAAACATGCAAGTGGCACCATTTAGCCTGCTAATCACGCGCTTACAGGTGTGTCAGCACGGGGCCCTGCCTCCGCTGCTCTCGTACCTACTGCCCATCGCTCGCTTCCCTTAAAGCTCCCAGCTGACAGACAAAAATGAGGATGCAACAAGTGACTCGCAAGCATGAGCCTTCTCCACCCCACACGCATGAGCTCTGAAATAACGTGGGGCAGAGTGGTAAGATGCGTCGAAGACCAAATAAACCAGCTATTGCTTTGCTCATGTAGCGTCAAAACAGAAAAGAGAGCATATTGGTGGTTTGCAGCGGCAAGATTCGATTCTAGAGCCAACTCGCAGAGGCCCAACGGCGTGCTGCGCAATCCGAAGGCAGCGTACACCCCTGCCTGCCAGTCAGAGAAGCTCAATAAGCCTAGGAAACCATACAATTTAAGAATATGATCCCATTAGTCTGGTATCAAATGAACAAAAGTCCATGAGGCCCGCTGGAGGCAACAGGCCCTAGGGTAGAAATGCCGCTCTGCACGCACTTGCACGTCCTGCTGCGTTGCCGACATCTTCTGCTGCAAGAACTCGATCAACTTCTTGTAGCTGGGCCCGGCTTTAAAGTATACATGCCAGAAACGCTGCAGCTCCTGCCACAAGCAGAAGCTTGTTGCCCCCAATGTTGTGGAAGCCCCCACAGCCCGGGGTGCGTGGAGCAGCCCCAATAAAGACACATCAGTGCTGTGCGTCAATATTACACTAAAGAGTGCCCCCTTTAACTTACCACTGAATATAATTGTAACTTAGCGTTCTATATCTACCTTCTACCTTCTGTAGTGACAGGTTCGAGGCAATCTCTCCAGCTTCGTCGAATACTTTTGGGCATGCACAGGCGCCCAAAACCCTGAGCGTTTGTGCAACATGCTGTTATGCTTCCTCATAATGCTATTCCATAAGTACGTTTTTGCCGGTGTACTTAACATACAAATGGGAGCTTTTATTTGACCTTCTGTGGAGCCATGCATGTCCTGTAAGGCTCCAATGAAGCCACAATCCAGACTTTAAGGCTTCCAGGGTCTCAAAAAGGGAAATCTTAGGCCAAGCTCATATCAACACCTTAAATGTAATGCACCATTCTCAATAAGCTCTCCTCTCTCCGAGCCTGCACCCCCATGGCTTCATCCAAAGGATACTTACGTACAGCATTTAATGTTTCCGTAGGGAGGTATCTAGTTCTAGACTCGACGTATACTTGATACAGACTTGGTTCGTATTCTTCTAAAAAGCCCTCCTATTCCCCGTCTTCTTACCCCTTAAGACTCAAACATTTTGGTGAAACCATGTGGTGCTATGTGTCGCGCGCTACGCTGCACTAGGCCTTCCAGTGTACTACTTATATGTTAGTCTGGCGTGAGGGGATAGTAACAGCTAGGTCGCACGTTGCTGGACCCTCTAGACACTATGAGCACTCACAGCTAGTTGCACACAACACCTAGGGCGCACCCACATGCAGCGCCGATCCTTATCAAACTGAGCTACCGCTACTTTGTAGTAAATAAGAGAAATGAACAAAAAACCAAATAGTTGACTCTCTAATAATTCCGAACCACACATAATTTTGTGTAGTGGGAAAAGCCGTAGCGCAACGCAGTGCGCGACACAATGCCCCACAAGGGTCCACTTCTGCAGCAGCAAGAGGCTACAGGAGACTAGACTAGGCCATGGCTTATTACCTCTCTCTACCCTACCCCTACAGAGCTCGGACATGAGGGCAAATGAACAGCTAGGGTGAGGGATCTTGCATTCCTTAAGCTCTCGCAACATTCACAGCCAATTGCGCAAGGCAGCTAGCGCAGCATGTGCCGGGCCCAATTATACTTGGACGTTTCTCCTACACTAATCAAGTTAGATTAGGAATTAGCAAGGAATTGAATTTTTTGTTTTGCTGGCAGTTGCTGGCCGTATATCTTATTTTGTGCAGAGTAGCACTAGCTCATTGCGATAAGCATCCAAACTCTGCGGTTTTGCGCCAGCTGCTGCATGCAACTGGCTGCGAATGCAATGCTTTTAGAGCTTAGAGGGTGGAGCAGCAAGTAAGCTAAAATTTTTTCCTTTCTGTATGGCTATGAAAGGGGGATAGTGCAATGCACCATCTAAGGCCTTGATAAGGAGCTTAATACAAATTCGTTACGAGTATAATAGAGCTATTGAATGCTTTCCAAATCCCTTCTGCCTTCCCCCGCCCATCTTTCTCAGAGTTCTCGACCCGAGGGGAGAGGGACAGCTTGTGTGGGCATTGCTGCGCCCTTTAGGCACCCCGAGCATTCACAGCTATTTGTACATCTAGGGTATATGTAGATTGTATCAAATATCCTGTACTCTTCAGTTGATAGGATACACGAACAGAGGATCCGAATGATAGATTCTGTACTGATTCCCAGCTATATTGAACCTATGTACTGAATAACGTTTAAGAGTAGCTTAGCGCGCTATGTGAGCATTCACACCTACCCCTGCTGAAAACTACTTTAGAGCCGAGTACTTCTTCTGCAGTGGAACGTGTTATTTCTAACGGATAAGGCAGGGCATATCTGCTCATTCGATTTTCTCAATAAAACGAAACGTCAAGGGGGTGTATTGGAATGGCTGGACGCAACGGCTACTAGCTAGCCTGTAATACGGAATAACAGATCAATCTGCACTTTTGGAATCTTCTGATACCCACGTGGGCAGGCGGGAGCCCACAGCTGATGGTCGCTGAAAGCCTGAGATATGTGATACCCGCGCACCTGCTGCCCATTCTGCCCACTTTTCCCTTGACGGTGCAACAGCCTCAACAAATGCCTCCAAGCCACCGCGGAATGACACAGCCTGAAGAAATAGACACACACCACCACACTGCGGATACACTGACGTCTAACTGCTGTTTCGACACGTATCAACCCCAAGATCCCCTCTCCTAGAAGCACCTGTAGAAAGCTCGCTTTGGGATTGCGGTGCTTCCGGTTCCTACTCCGCTAAAGACATACCATCCGACGCAATTCAATCTGTACTCCTAGTGGTAGCACTTCGGAGATAAGTGGTCGCCTAGAGTTAGAAATGTCAGTAGACTGTAGTGGCGGCTTGTCGGTATCCGGGGGCTCGTGAGGGGCGCCAGCTGACCGAGACAGCTGTAGACGGGACTGCCAGCTGACGAACGCAACGCCCGATCCTGGAAGTACAAGCCCACCTAGGACCAGAAACTTGAAGGCGCTAATGCGAGCACTAATCGAGTCAGGCCGCCGTATTTGGTATGCAATATCTGAATAACGCCGGGAAACCACCCGCTCCATGGATCGCGCAGCGCGCCATCCCCAGATGCCAGTGAGCACACCAGCCGCCAACGTTAGATATTTCAATGGGTGGCCTTGCTCCTGTCTGGGCTCTGGCTCAGCCTGAATAGTTCGTCTTTCTGCTCCACCTTCAGTGTTTCCTGGGGACTTGCGCAAGAGCTTAGCGAGTGCAGCTAATTTTTCTGACACGCCGGCGACAAAAGAGGGCGACTTGCGAGTTTCTGATGCACTGGGAGGCTGGACGCTCCCTAAATCATCGAGAGGCGCTTGTAAGCTCAAGGGCTCTATAAGGGCCTCGAAAGCTTGGCGAGTTGGTAGGCTCTCAGATGCGGCATGCTTCCCTTCAGCCGCCTCGCAACGGTCCAGTAGCGGTGATTTCACGTCCTTGTTCATTGCATGAACTCCTTCAATATCCACTTTGGGCTCTGCGCATTGCGGGGTTACACTGATTGTCCAGGGGACAACCAACCAACATTATTTACGCGAAGCTGGAATGCGAGGATGAGCACCGCCTAGCCATATGACTCATATGGACTTGCTCATGGTATGCAGAGGAACCCTTGCGGCAAAATTTTGGGATAAGGCACTTCCACAAGGGCTAATACGTCCAAACATATGAAGGTGGAAGCGTGAACAGCATGCCGTTGGAATGCAGCGGGACCGAGCACTGCCAATTTAGCAGTTATGGACAACACTAACAATAACTGTTTAGCTTGACGAGATATCACCCTTTTAAAATGCCAATTAGTATACCAACTTGATAGAGCTAAGACCCTAGCTACTTTGTAGCCCCCAAGCGCATGCGCTGCTCCCATCGGCAGTATTTTGTTCCGATGGATTGTGAGCGCTGTAGCTGGCAGATAGCTGTATTCTTGCTTCACTATGGTGTGCCTGTTGTGTTAGCGGGGAGTACTACAATCTTAATCGGGGCCTGAGGGTGATTTCTGCCGGTGGGCGCACTTTTGGGGCCTGGTGCCACTGTTCATCTCACGCAGATCGGACTAGGCTCAACGTGAAGTTGATGGCAGCGGTAGCGTGTTGCTGCAAAATGCGCTGCTTTGGACAACCCTGAGAACAGCAACATCGGTTAGCTTTGGCAGCCGGCACTTGGCGAAGTGCCAGTGGAGTTGCCCGTGTGTGCTACGGATTGGGCCTGCACAAGATATGCACGGTTTTCATTAAAAGTGCGTTCATAAAACTCATCTAGGGAACCAAACGAAATTTCGCTACCCATCTACGGCTGGGAGTGTAAAAACACGTTTGGAGACTATTCACACGGTGATCGTCACTCCAGCAGCACACATTGGTTGCTGCTGATCTGCATTCCTACTAGTACTTCACGTCTACCGGTTGCCTATCCTCTATTTAAAATTCCTTTCCTCCTTCCCGCGAAATTTGGAATAAGCGAACATGAAGACCTCCAACGCATTGATTCAGCAGCTGCTGAAGGCGGAAGAGGAAGCCGAGGAGATTGTCCACAAGGCAAAAGAAAGTAAGCCACACCTGGCTGTGCAAACCAGGCATTTTATACCGGTGTAGCTGCTTCATTGTTGGTACACAGTTTCAAGGGGCATTTGCTGACGACTACATGAAGCTTCGCACGTCAGAGGAACAGTTCAATCGTGTCTGTACGTCCGCGTTCGAGTTCTGGCTTTCATCTATTGACAACCCATGTTTTGCTTCGATGTGTTCAAAGACCGCGTAAAGATGTTAAAGGATGCTCGCTTCTCCGCGGAGGAAGAGCTCAAGGCTTTTCGGCTCAAGGAAGAGGAACGCTTCAAGGTTGAAGTTGAGCAGGTAGAAAACTCGCGAGTTTCTGTCTATCCGTGTAGTGTTGGAATTACTGCTGAATTGCTGGTGTGGGGATAATCTAGCTACAGTGGCAAGAGGAAGGCTTTGTGTATGCCTTGTGGATGCATTTGCGGGGGTGTTTTTTGTACCCAGCGCCTCGGCCAGGACGATTCTCTGACAAACGAGCTCGCCGACCGCACTAAGTTGGACATAGAGATCATCAAGAAAGACTATATGACAAATAAGGACGCTGTGCTCGCATTTATTAGTGAAAAGGTTTTGGATGTTGACACGGTCGTCGGCTCCAAGAAAGTTGCCGTGCTTCGCACTTACGCCGCGCGAGGAATGGAACCCTGAGATTGATAGGGTTGTGGGCTTCCTGTGCAGTGGCATATTTTTCTTACCTAGGGGCTTTCCTAGCAAAGCAAGTAACTTTGCTCATGGTTGGCCCGGTAGTTACTCTGTGCTTCTCGACCGCACAAGCATTGTGTTTGCAGGGGGCAAGGAGGTATTCCATGGAGCGGTGCGTATAAAGCACCGTGCTCAATGTTCTATGGGGCCATGCTCCTAGGCTTGATTCCTTGTTGGGAGCAGGGCATTTGGGGTCAAGCCGAATCCTGACAGTGCTCTCATTTGCGACAAGTACAATGTGGCTGTGCTTCGTGCTTTGTTAACTACGGAGTGTGCTTTGGCACTCCCAGGTGTGTGAACAGCCTGTACACTCACGAACGTGAATAACTGGGGCGGTAACTAAAGCGTGGAAAATATTAGCTGCAGTAATTATCCCTCCAATCTGTGGGGAGTTAAGCATAATGTATACTATAGTTCTGCTATATCTGGCTGTGTACACAAGAAAAGCATGCTGAAGTCGTACTTCGATAATCAGGATCCTTGCCAGTTGCACTCGTTAACGACGCAGCACCTGTTTTAAGGTGTCACACTTTATGCACCTGCCAATCACTGCGCAGCTTGTGCACCTCTATATATAGCAGGAAACTGAGGGAGTAGCATAAGATGCAGCGATTACTGAATGAATGGTGAGTCTGATTAAAGTAGCCTACTGAAAATACGGAAGCCTATTTCTTTCGGGCTGGGCTTAGCCGGAGGCACGCAGAAGCTTAGCTTCACATAAAGTCTTCCCAGTGGGAAACTGTTGAATATCCAGTAGCTCGAGCAACACGATTGCGCTCCTCTCACGTCTCCGCAGGGAGACACTCGACCCCACACACAATGGAAACAGAATATGAAGTCGTCTTTCAAAAACATCTCTTTTCCTGCCCGCGCCCCACATAGATCTGAAGAGGAGGGGAGTGGTACGGCTAAGGTGCGCGCTACTGCAGCCTTCAGCGCTTCATGCATTCACAGCTAGCTCCACACAGCATCTAGGGCACGTGCGCACAATACACCCTCTTCTCGAATCGAGATAGCAGTATTCTCCAAGTAATAAGATATGTGATCGGCTAATCAACTAGTCAGGTGTTTACTCAAGCCTAGATAAACCCAGCGCTTGAAGGAAAGTGTATTCGCTTATTCTAGCCGGCTCTGCCTTATCCCATTCCAAACACACGCCAACTCATTCCTTTCCTGTTCTTCGTAAGCAACTGCATGCACGGCAGCGGAAGAGTTCCTTTTTATAGCCACTACCCAAGCAGGCAAAACTCAAAAGCAGTGCAGATGAATAAAGCAAATGCTGCGTCAACCAATTCGGAGAACTAGAAGGAAGAAAGGAAGAACCTTCCCCAACAACAGACGAGGGACCTAGCCTACACGACCGCGGTAGCACAATGGCTCGCTGTGGTTGGAGTGCTCAAATGTGTAGGCATCCTACAACGAAAAAGCAGAAGACAAGCATAGTGTGTAAAGGGAGTCGAAAACTCGCAAAAGTTCAACAGTGCCATCGTGCCCCATCAAACAATGTTTGCTTGCGAATACAGCAGGTGCATGCAGCATAGCCTATTTCAACCGCCCACGAGAATAATAAAGAAGAACGTAGGGATTACAAGCCAGCGAGTGGCTGTACATCAATCTAAGCGTAGAGAACACCACGACAACTATCGGTAACCTTCAAGGCAGCACCCAAATATAAAGTTAGCTAGTTTACGAAGAGCCTGCACTCAAGGAAGACGATTACAAAGAAGGACGAGATGCAGCGTTCACGGCGACTAGCGTTCTGAACCGAGCAGAGCAGCAAACTATCCCATAGGCAACAAAGCTAGCACTGCTCTTCGTCAGTCACTGCGCCTGGCGCTACCCAACCCATGTTACTAAAAGCTCCCTCTACTGCATCCTCGCCGCTCAGTGGTCTCAGGATTTAGCACATCTACGACTCCCTGTAGATCCTTCGCCTCTACACAGGCGATATCCCTGCGCGGCAAAGTCTACGAGTAGTTCGAGGAGCTTGGTAACTTCTTTAAGAAGCCAGTATAGTTCTGTGCCACCTTCGACTTTCAGGGTGATCAATACAGCAAGAGAAAGCATTGATTCTTGAGAGGATGGCCAATGGTCGTAGCCACTTGAACACTAAATTCCTCGTCTGTTAACCTTTTTATGCACATCGTAGTGCCTGCCCATTCACCAGTACAAAATCTCCAGGCTCAAAACACGGTGCGGACCTGCTGCTTATCTCAATTCCGGGCTAGACATTATTAAGCGTTGCGCATACATTCGCATTGACTCGCTGCTGCTCTCTCAATATCTCCGCTGTTGAGGGTGGCTGCTTACCTTAGCCCAGCAGGTAGAGGCCCGAATGCTGGAGGATCTCAGTGTAGACCAGGGATGCGAGGCACGCACGGGTGAACGAGTATACTGTTGTACTATGAATTCACTAAGCACGAGGAAGAAAACCACCATAAGCAGTTTGATATGTGAGATCAGGGCTCACAATTACTGCAGAGATGTGCGATTGATACATCGTCCATCTGCCTCATGGTGCTTCGCAGTAGTCAAATTATGGTCGATCTGTAGTCGGGTTGTACCCACACTCCAGCACGCAGTAACAAACTTTACATATTTTTGAAATTCGTAGTGCTGATCCTGGAAAAACCATGATGCTGTCATACATGAGTCAAGAAGAGTTGAGCGAGTTCCTGACCTGCGACAAGCTGAAGCACGGGATCGAGCGAGCATATTTAGTGAGGTTATCGGCAATGGCGTAGATGCTAACCTGACACCTGACTTCTGGTGATCCAACAATGAATTGGTTAGTCATAGGAGTCAGGGTCCTATCAGGAAGACCTACTGGAAGGCTTTGCGTGAGGCCGGAATCAGGAGAATTGCGCGGCTTCACCTGTGGACAAATTGGGCATTGCAGTGCACATTCGCTTGCCATAGGGCCTATCTCAGACCACCAGAAGGAGTGTGACAGCAAACCCACCGCGATATAAATCCCAACTTGGCCTTAATCAACATGGTTATGAGCTTTGTGCAAAACGGCACAGCGGAACGCAGGCAGAATGTACAAACGATGGGTTTCCTGCTCTATCTAGAATCACAACACGCTACGCTCAACGAGATACTGCTCTAACCTTCTGCCATTCTGAGTTTTGGCAAACCTAGCTGAAGCACCAGTATCAAAAACATATGACCACGATTACACCAGCTTGCAGGATGGCCTGTGTTGCCTTAACAGGCGTTGCTCCACCAACGGCCTCCATCACCAGAGGTTTTTTCTCCAAAGTCTATTGCGGAGGAGAAGCGAACACTGAAGTAGGAAGTAGCTTCATCAAAACCACATATATTTGAGGAAGATCTGATACCTTAGTGCGTCCATAGCCAATGGATGAAGGGGGAACAACTACATGTATCTATGCGGTGCTATTAATTGTAACACTCCATCTAAGGCTACCGTACGAACCTTTTTTCCTTCAGACTCAACACAAGCAAAATAGCAAGTTATTGAGTGTATTTTCAAAGGGGGCCCTGCCTTCCTCCCTGTCCCCCGCCCCCTCCTGCGCCAGTAAGTCCTTTCAGAGAAGAGGGGAGAGGGGCAGCTAGGTTGTGCATTGCTGCACCTTTGGAGCAACCCCAGCATTTACACGACACGGCATGCTCTCGTAGCGAACTGACAGTACTCTCTGACGAATAAGAGATACGAACAGACAGCCGAATTGTTAACTTTTACAAATCCCCATTTAAATATAAATAGTGTAGTGGAAAGTGTTTAATTATAGCTCAGCCTCCTATTGCTATCAACTACCTCAGTCCCCTTTCTGTTGGATATAGACTTTCTGCGATGGATCGATAGCACGTGGCTGTTCTCCGGCCACCCTGTTGTCTACATGTATAGAAGACTCTGCGAGCTTGCAAGCACGATATGACCTTTTATATGCTTCATAGAAACTGGCGGATGTAGACGGCGGTGATCGCCTTGGCCTTATGAATTATCATCATGGTTCTCTATAGTAAGACCAAAAAATGATAACACTGAAAGGTGGGACCGTTTAGAAGACCGTAGTTCGGTAGGCCACATTATCTGCCCTGGTTGAATGCAGCCATGAAAAATCTCGTTTATGCCATTATGGAAGATATTTTCACGTGGCTTGCAGTGGCAACGCATATTTCTGATTGTTAAAACTGTTCCTAATTCCTATTGATATCTTCTGGCTTGCCCGTATGTAGCTTTCATATGCAATATTAAGAAATCTAACCGTACTACAGATTCTTCTCGTGGTAGCTGCAAGCTAACAGCACTATAAAGCTGCAATAGGATTCAGTATTAGACCAAGTAACCTTTGGTATTTGTGTGCTATTGATTCTGTGGTCTTCGTCCTGAACTAATACAAAATCGCTCCATCAAATACTGAACAATGCATATTCAGTACGGGAGACAGCTGGCCTAGGCCCCTGCTCTAACTCTATCTTCCTTTGAATAGCATAACCCATGGCAGCTTGCTTCTCGATTCTTTAGAAATGCGATACGCCGCGTTGCTCCAACGTGCTAGGTCTCACGGAAGCTCTTTTCCATGGACTTGGGATACCATCCGGTCCTATGTCATAGAGCCATATGGATATTCTAGTTTATAAACCTTCGCTGTGCATAAAAATCTTCCAACGAAGATACTCGAGATCTTCGACGACACTGTGTAGTCGGGAGCAGGGTACCCACGACCCTCCCAGGATGCGCTGGTGGAGCACCCGAAAGCTACTCTTGGGTACAAAACTCTTCGGAAGTTAATCAATCCATTTTAAATCATGCCATATGAATCATGTAACCCAGGGCTCTCCGTGAGGGGTTTCATTGTTCTGAACCAGACTTCAAGGAAGGCCGCAATCGGCTCGCCATTTTTATTCTCACTGTACAAGCTGCCATGAACAAACTTATTATTAACCACCACACACATCAATCTGTGGAGGACATTAGGGTATACTCTGGTAACACTGTGGAGATCTGTGGGTAAAAGCAGGGGTTTCGTGTTTGATTCGCATCCAACTTTGCGAATTGCATTGATCAGAAAAGCTAACATGTTTAATCTCCAAGCATGAAGGGTGCAGTGCCTGATAGTAGGTCTGTGGACCAAGGGCGCTGTCGGAGGAGGAAAAGCGCAGTCTACATGCCGGGATGCAAGCTCTTATCGGATGTGGAAACAGCGGCTACACCGAGCCTTCAGTTCTGCATGGCATCAGAACGTGTGCCTCCCTTGCACAACCATTCAATAGGAAGTATAGGAAAGGCTTATCGTTTGACTTGTCCATCAGAGGTCGTCTCCAGGCCTTCATGGAGTAGCCAGAGAACCGAGCTGACAGGCAATGTTTTCATCGACTACAGACGATACAGCACCCGTCGGCTTCATGACTTGCAAGCGCTGCAGCACTCTTCTGAGGCAAGCTGTTTAGTTGATTATATTGGAGCATGCAGCGTCTGTCATCCACAGGCTATGTAGTTGCCCTACTCTATTTGGCAGTGTGCAATTCGCATCAGTTATATCCCTTATGCGCATCTCCCCTTCCCGCTAAAACATGTTTCGTCATCTGACCATGCCCTTTGTGCTCATAGACAGCGGCCATCCAGTCATTATCGCTCACCTGCCGTCGGTCGCTCTTGAGTTGCCACTCTGCATCTATCACCCGTCTATCCTTGGACCACACGAGGCAAGCCGCACTGCAGAATGGCCGTGTCTCTTTGGCCGTTTGAGCTCGCGTGGATCATTCCTGTGCCACTGTACCACCCGCATAACTGCATTCCATTTTGGTGCGTTTGAGAACTTTTGCGTTGATTCTGCAATGCAGAAGGTATCTACTAAGCAGCAGTAGGGACTGCAGTATCGCCCTCTACGACTTGGAGGCAGACATGGCTTGGAACCTGAATGGAGGATTCGGCCCAGATCCAAAGGTGCACCCTGTTGGTTATGTGCAGAGAAAACCTGACAGGCAAGTGAGGGAAGTACCGCGAAAACGGACAGGTCGCACATTTCTGTGCTGCACATTGTATTGGCTAGCATGTCTCTCTGGAGTGAACATAGCAATACCCACATATTTGGCTTTGCTTATTCAATCCATGCAGGCCTCCGCGGCGCATTTTGCGTCCACTGCGCTTTCAACCAGCGGCATCACGAATTGTCCAGGGGAAACGCACCACTCGGCAGGGCTTCAACGTTGCCTCTTCTACTGGGCCTCAAAGAGGTCACTCGCGCTCTGCTACCTGCGTCGAGTTCATGCCAGGAGATAACGGGTTGTTCGTCTCCGCTGGACTAGACAAAATTCTTAAGGTATCCCGATCTACTGTCGTCTGTGACCCCTCTGCTCTAGTTTCGTTCGATTTCCTCACCACGCACACGTCCACTTTATGTAGGAAGAAGGGTGATCCGGAGTCCAATACTATTCTGCTTATCAGGTCCGTCAAGCTCTTTCGGCTGGTAATGATAGACTGAGGTTCCTCTAGAAGCAAAAATCTATTTTGTGAACTGTTGTGAAATGTGGAATGATCAGATATGGGACACGCGTGCCTGGGACTGTGTTCTGGACATCCCAGTTGAGAGTCCGATCCTTTGCTGTGCCTTTGACCGGGTGGTATTCCAAACAAAAGCTGCTTCCAGCAGCACCAAGGCGCTAACGGCAGGTTCACAGTCTTGTTCGGAAGAAGCACCAGCGGATCTTCTACTTGCTGCAGGCTGTGAAGATGGCGGAATCCGCATTTTTGATATGAGATGTGGAGTCGCCCAGCAGACTCTGCTTGGCCATAATGGTGAGCGGCGTCCGCGTCCTGTGATTTCTAGGCATATCATTTAGCCCTTTTTATCGGACTGAGTTTGACGCACCTGGTTCCCTTGACATGTGGAGCCTCCTGTGTGGGTGTCTTCGTTATCAAGTGAATGTGCTTTATCATGCCGCTACAAGTTCTTATTAAATTTACTGCAGTTGCATGACCTAGAAATTTGATATACTGTTCAATACTTGCGGCTTCTCTCAGGTGGCGTGGTGACGGCAGCATGGGACTTGTGTTCTTCATACCAACTATTTTCGGGTTCTTCTGACAGGTCAGTGTACGCGTAATTACATTAGGTTACCCCATACTTTTGTAATGCACTCAATTGATCTTTACGAGGCCCCTGAATCGATTGATGTGTTTCTGTAGGTCGATCAGGAAGTGGGATCTTCGACAGGGTGACTCTCCTGTACTGATTTTCGACAAGAATAAACCGGATCTCGAGTTTATTGGTATGCTACAGCCATGTAGTGCTTTAATCTTTTCGTAGTGCCTTATGAATCCGCTCTGCTACAGACTGTGCACTCACGATGTTTTTTTATTAGTATTTTTGGAGAAACAAGCCGATAGGTGTGGGTGCCTTACATTAAACAAAACACCAGAGGTGTGGTAGATAGTCAGGTATAAGTCGAGTGCATACAAGAATGGTTTTATCACGTTGATATCTACTTACTTTGATGTACTGAAAACCTGAAGGGGTCGTCTTGGGGTACATTGTTGGCCAGTACGGCATTGTGCCTCACGCCTGTGGCAGGCAATCGACGATCCCAATCACCTGTTTTCCGCCAGCTGCTGCATAGCGAAGGTTTCTTCGGGCGGGGTTATCCCGGTGAACAGGTAGCTCTACACGAAGCTCAAAAGGGCCAACCATTTCTGGCTTTGAAGGACAGCATTTTTGGCGGAAGGGATTTCCATCTCGATAATGTGGCGGCAGCAGCAGCTTCCGCTGCGTTCTCCATGGACGCTTCCTTTTCCCCAGTCATACCATTGCAAGCGAGTTCTACTCTACATATGCAGAAGTCGTATGAGCCTGTGGCTGGCAGACTCCAGCCTCAGCTTCAATCTCAGGGAAAAAGGTCAACACTACACCGTATGGATGATCGGATTGACTCTAGCAGAGTGTCAGGGCAGAGGAGACAATCAAAACTTCAAAAAGTGCAAGATTCCTCGTCGCTCAGGAAAATATGCCATCCACGTGGCAGTCCCAGGCATGATCCGGAATCAGATGGCAGCCCACCATTTCATGAACAGAAAAAATTTGGCATGTACAGTGGACATGACATGGCCGATCCGCACACCAAGTTTCCAGCTGCAAGGTGTAACAGTGGTTCCTTTGGTGGTCAGGACTCAACCTCCGCTGCAAACAACGATCTTGGGTTTGTTCGTGACAGAACCTGTGCCAGCCATCACGTTCCGGAGAAACATGGTTTTGAGACAGGGGGCGATGCAGTCAACAAGAGAAACGTGGCTTTCAAACGTCGCTTTGATGATTCACCTTCCCATGAGAAAAGTGCTTTCCATACTCCGGTTTTGGCGGATCGCAATGCCACTCAGGGGGACCGTCTAGCGGAGCTGATGAGTACATATGGGAAACTTTTAAGGGCACACAATCGTGCATGCAAGGTCCCATCTGCAGCCGGAATCGATGGTATAGCTAGTAATGATCCGCAAGTACTGCGAACAAATGAGATCCGCGCAAGTCGAAGAGGGACCTCTACTGCCGAGAGCACACAGGGCGCTTCGGAAGAGGCTTGGCATGAGCTTGGCCAAGAAAGATGTGGAACAGCATCTAGTCAGTCATTACACAACATGCCCAGCGAGAGGATATATGTCCATAATTCACGTGACAGCGAATGGTGCGGACTTGGGGTGATAAGCGAAGATGGACTGCAGAGCACAATGAGTCCTCATCCACGCAATAAAAATGCTTCTAACAAATTAACTATGGATGCCAACCACTTTTTTCAGGTCTGTGCACATGATGGAGCAGTAACGTGTCTTGTACCTAGCCCAGCTGGTTCTTACCTTATATCTTCGGGGGACGATGGACAAATCCGCTTGTGGAATGCCGCTACCGGCTGTCATTGCTTTGTTTACATGAGTCTTAACATAATTCGCAATAGATCCAGCCCTGCAACCTCTAATTCTGATTCGCGGCCCAGACGTGCTGTGCAACATTCCAGTGTGCGAAGGTTAGCCGAGCTGGGAAGTGCAAAAGCATGCGGACGACTTTGGGGCAAGCAAGCAGCCATATCGTCCACCGGGCAATACGTTATCCACGGAAGAGGCCGGGTGCTTTGCACCTACGACGTTTTCTCAGGAGCAGAGCAGCAAATAATTACTCCTGGTCACACACATGATATCATCTGTGTTGCGTGGAATGGCCAGAAAGGAGAAGCATATTCCGGTGCTTCTGATGGAGCGGTTCTCATTTACGACTCGTTGTGTGAGTCTTGCGTCACCCCTGTCGTCGAGCGCGCTCACGACACCTTCCCCAGAATCACTAGTACCTTTGGCTATTGTTGAATCAACTTTTGCCGATATATGTTTGATGCAAATGCCGCAGGTGATGCAGATGGACAGGATGACGAAGAGGCAAGCGAGGAGGATGACGCTAACATCGTTGACGTCGTACCCAACAATTTCGTCTAAAGCCATTTCACGTCAAGAGAGTCTGGTTCCTTCCGCGTAGCATGTCAATACCAGATACCCTAAGTCCCCATCATCATTTGACGTCATAGGCTATTTTGTAGCCCTCAATTGGTATTTCATAGTGAGAAATTAGCGCTTTTTGTACAGCTAGCGATGTAAACAGGATACTTCAGTGCAATGTAGCTAACCGAGCAGTCTCTATGTGTTTTTCCTGAGACTCAATGACTGAAAAGGTTAATTTCGTCGCACCACTCGTGCGCTAGTGTAACACCGTAGACATGGGGCACGACCACCAACGTGCAAGCTACATTGTGTGCTAATATCTTTGCAGCTAAATACCGGGATGGCCATGGGCTGCATTGCTGGGAATTGTCAACAGTGACGAAAATACACGTTGGTTTTAGGGAAACGTGCATTTTCAAACAGTTCGTTCATGTCGTTGCCTGAATTCCCGCTGGTTAAGTTACTAAATGGATCCGTAGTGTACCACGTCGCACCTGTTCGGGCTCCTGAAAGAGGTTAGACACATTTTCAAGAAGACTGCGGAATTCTTCAGTGTCGGGTGCGTGACCACGAAGTTCGTCTAGCTTCGTGTGAACAGTGGATATTTTGTCTAGCTTTCGTTTAACCTGTTCACGTTGGCTGCGGGTTCGTAAAAGGCGAGCTCCGGCTCCATGAAAACTTTGGTGGGCGTGAATATGAAAATTCTGTAGTAGGGAGGCATGCAGATCATACTTACAGAGACTCAACGATTTCCAGAAAGGCCAGGCTACGCCTGCTGACGCTGTCTTCACGACCTCTCCACATTTCTTTTCCCTATTAGTGTGCTGGTGAGAAAAGGTGTCATTTATGTAGCCAGTATGTAGCCTACGTTGGCAATGCAATTCCTCCAGAAACGATCTTGGTCCTCGATGCCGAGAAGGTTCCTGACATGGAATGTGATTTGCCAGAGTGGTTACTTCAGACAGGCATACCCCATTGTTTTCATAGCCAGAGAAATATCAACGGCAGCCTCTTGACGGAGATCGCGCGCTGTCTGGAAGTCACCAGACTGCTCTGGTGGTCCCCCGTTGGTCGCCACGTTTCACGGCTGCAAGGTTTCATACTTGCCTGCTTGGGTCGCGGCCTCCTAAGAATAAAGTCAAAAGGGTAGTTGCTTCTTGAGAAGCTGAATTCGCTTACAATTTGATGCAGTGCTCGTGGCAGCAGAATCTCTGGATTTACGTAGTCTGCGTTAGTACCCGCTTCCTTCGCAACCTTCATTGCTCCTTGCCACACGAGGTACGTGTTGCGAGGATCTAGACATCCAGGTTGCGCAGTCGGCAGAAACTAGCGAAAACTCTACAGAGACGCACCAGCTGAGCTCTCGAGAAATGCCTGCTGCTCTTCTGTGAGCATCCTTTCCGGGTTCTTCGAAATTTGGGGAACCGGATTGAACAGCTCCAGGAAAGCGTCAACGTATCCTGGGGATTCGTTCCAAAACGAAACGGATGTAGAACATCAAATTTAATTACTTTTTAGTCGCGATGTATGATGAAGACGCTTCGTTGTATGCTCATGTTCAATTGACACGGCCGAAACATGGCTCGCCAAAAGAGGTAGGAGTATGCTGCTTGCCACTTTCACCATCTCCGCAAATCGTGGACATGAACACACACGATAGCAAAAATGAGTATGAATGGGGCCCTATGAAGAATCCGTGGTAAAGAATACAATTTACTGGGTACTGGGAGAACGTGACGGAGGGCGTTCAGGTGTAGCTACAGGATATCACTCCGACCCGCACATTTCGGAAATAACCCTCCAAAACCTAACCCATACGTTCTAGACATGCCCTATAACTGGGTGCTCGAAATTAGAAATATACACCGAGCGGTCAGGACAACACATTGAAGTCTAAAAACGCAGAGGTGCCCGAGAATTCCTTCAGCTTGCAGCAGCTAGTATCCGCCAAGTCGTCGGACTGGCTTCTACAATAAATCTCAACTTGAGTTCTGTAGAATCTGTGGACCTACTTAGTAGCTGCTAACACCTGCTATTGGTGACTAAACCGGTCCTCGTGAGAAACATTAAACGTCGTAGGCGGGGAAAAGGGCATTAATACACCATGGTGCATCAGCAGAGCAATCAAGGTGGACCATTTTAGTAGCCTCAGGGTTCATATCCGAATCAAACTCGGATACATTCACGTTACGAAATTTAGTCGCTGGACCCGTAAGCTAGCCCAGGTGTACCGCCACCCAATTGGCACCGCATCCTCATACACGAGTTACGATGGGATCCTTGGTCCCAGAAAGGAAATCAGACCACTCCTGGAAAGGCGACTTCGTGTACAGCCTCGGTTTCCACAGGTCAGGGGTCAAGTACCCATACGTCTGTCTCAGAGCATCAAACAGAGCCTGCAGAGACACAATCAGCACAACATAGGAGAATTAATCTATAATTCGAGGATCAGATGCCGAAAATAGCAACGCCGGTCACGGCCTAACCTCACCTTCATAAAGTTTCCCCTAGTCTTCGTTGAGCCAGTAGAAGCCGAGAAGCAATCCTTAATGCCAGCGAATGAGAGAATTTTCTTTGTCGTAGGAGCACCGACAATATGTGTGCCACGGGGGGCCGGAATCAGCCGGACGCGGACAGAACCACACTTTCCTGACACCTTCATGGGCACCGTATGCGGGTCGCCGATCTTGTTCCCCCAATATCCGCGCCTGAAAAGACCAATGCCTCATCATGTTCTACATTGATTGGTCGGATGCACAGATCTCCACGTCAGATGAATATGCGATGGAGGGTCATACCGCCTGACATACGTACCTGACAGGAATGAGACTGAGCTTCGCAGCGATAATGGCACCCCGAATAGCGCTAGCAACTTCTTTTGCACACTTCACGCCAAGACCGCAATGCCCATCACTATCGCCTATGGCAACAAATGCCTTGAAACGGGTTCTCTGACCAGCGCGTGTCTGCTTCTGGACGGGCATGATTTTCATCACCTCGTCCTTCAGGGGGCGAGAAGCTGCCTCCGGCAGGAAGAAGTGATCAATGATCTGAGCATTCGGTCGGAGAAACTTCAATACAGATACTGCACCGAATAATCCCTCTTTAAGCTACACAGCGTAATACCCGGCGGCAACTGGGGGAACTCGGGAACTTCACGCATGAATTATGCACTGCCACCGAAACGGCGTCAGAGGAACGCAGTGGAACACAAAAAGCGCTTGAATCAGACACAGCAATTGGACAATTATTCCGTCAGTTCTCCGGAAGGGGAATACGTTTGTCATCATACAAGCGCTTTAAATCCTTGGTTCATCGGACACAGCATTTGTACTCATATTTTCCCTTCGAATCCATTACAACCCTACAGGGATAAGTTGCTTATGAAGACCTTTCGCCACGCACTTGAAACTCCTTGACAGGAAGAGAATGCAGGTACACTTCCTCAATAGAAGCTATTTTCCCCGCACGCACGAGACGTCCGAGCTTGGTGATCGGCACCCAGTCCTTGAGATCATCTTCAGCAGTGCCACGGCCTCTGCCCCTGCCGCGTCCCCTGCCACGGCCACGAGAGCCGCCACGTCCAAATCCACGACCGAAACCGCCGCGCTCTGCATTAGGCACGAGACATCAGAGGCATGTTCATTGTGTAAATGGAAACGAGGTGCTCAACATAGGTAATGTCGACCTACTCCACTTCCACCTAAGAGAACCGCCTACACTACTACCAAGCGAAAAACAGATGCAGAATCCGTGAAGCACTCATATACTGCAGCGAATTGCGGAAGTAGAGAAGAACATAAGGGACCCCACGGATGAATTCCCATCATCTACATGCATCCCGCAGCCCGACGCACAGCACTTCACGGCACCTCACTAACCCCACAAGCTCCTCCCCCTAGAAGAGGCCACATGTTTCCACTTCAGAAAAGTAAATGCATCCAAACAACAATGCATTTCGGCGTGTTAGATGTTAAGCTCAAACGGGCCGGAGGCACCCCCACAGTCCTGTGCAGAATCAGGCTAGCAACTAGCAACAACAGAGGCCTGGTTTTTCGCATATCCTAACGAACCTGCCATTTTGGATGGGTAGCACAACGCCTTCGAAGGGGATCCCCAGAAAATACCTTCAAACTTCTGCCTTCGCAGCCAGCCAGTCCCCGTATGCCGTTTGGAAGCAAAGGCGGGGTGGGGTGCTCCCGAAGCCGCAGCCACCTGCAGCGTCTGTTGTCAATTTGCCACGCTTTCCAGTGTATCGTAAGCTGCGAAAAACTTACAACCCCCACAATAATTATATTATCTCCTCTGTATCCACCTATTTTACGTCCGCCCGTTGAGAACCTGTCCTGCCGTGCATTGGGTTGGCAGACGTGGGATTTCGTTTTTGTATGTCGGCTGAAGCGGTGGGGCTTGCCTCAAGAGCTCGCTGTAACAAGGATGCAAAACAGCAATATCCGGATATTCAAGCTTGTTGATATGCATACAAATGATTATGGATCCTTATAAACGTTCGTGCTTGGTGTCCGGCTTTTTTGGTTGCAGGACATTAACATTTAAAACGTAAGCGTTTCTGGCGCAGTTCAAGATAGTAGGGAACTAGCCTTTTCGAAGCATGTGAGCACATTACGTCAGTGTAGTATGAATGCTACATCTTGTGCCATTTTTGTATCTTCATCTCGTAGGCGCAATGTTCGTCCCATTCTGGCCGACAACCCCGCGTACAATATGGCGTATGACATTTTACGGCTTCATGGGTCTCCATACTTAACCCCAAACTCAATATAAGCCTAATAAAAAGTTACTGAGTATCTTCCGAAATAAACCTTTCCCCCCCTGACTGCGCCCCTCAGAAGTCTCGTGATGAGGGGAGTGGTGCAGCTCAGGTGCACGCTACTGCAACCTTCAGGCACTTCATGCATTCACAGCTAGCTCCACACAGCATCTAGTGCGCATGCACACAATACAGCCTCTTCTTGTATCGAGAAAAGAACTTTATGCAAATAATTAGAAAAACGAGTAAACAAACCAACGAACCCAGTTTACGAATCCTTATTCAACACGTTTAAAAGAAAGTGTTTACGTGTATCCTAGCCGGCTCTGCCTTGCCCCATTCCAAACACATGCCCATGTGTTCTTTGTCTTTTCATCGAAATCAACTGCATGCACGCCGGCAGAGGAGTTCCTTTTTATCGCCACTCCCCAGGCAGGCAAAAACGCAAAAGCAGTGCGGATGAATAAAACAAATGTGTGCGGCAATCAATTCGGAGAAATGGAAGGGACGAAAGGCAGAAACACACGCTAGCCAACAACGGACGAGGGACTTAGTGTACGCAACTGCTGTAGCACGGTGCCTCGCTGTGGTCGGAGTACTCCAATGTGTGAGCCTCCTACAACGAAAAAGCAGGAGACAAGCAAAGTGTGTGAAGGCAGTCGAAAACTCATTTCTATAGCTTCACCTTTAGGTATTATTTAATGGTCTCGGAGAAAAATTAATAAGCATTTCACAGAAATAAATACAGTCTATTTAAGTTTTAAAGTTAGAAAATGTATGCTTTCGAGGATGGCCAAGGATTCTAGCTAGCTAATCGCAAATATCTTCACCTGCAAACCCCTTGACACGCCTCATAAAACCTGCCCATCCACCAGAACAAAATATCCAGGCTCGTACCATAGTGCAGAACCGCAGCTAACCTCGACTCTGCGTTGTCCCTTTTGAGCATTGCACATATATTCGCGTTGGGTTGCCTGCTGCTCTCTCAATATCTCCGCTACTAAGGGTGGCTGCTAACCATAGCCCAGCAGCTCTTGGCCCAGGTACTAGAAGAGCTCTCAGTGTAGACCAGGGTGCGGAGGAAGGACGGGTGAACGATGATACTGTTGTATTATGAATCCACTCCGCAGAAGGAAGAAAACCAACACCAGCAATTTGATTTGTGAGATCACGGACTCACAATTACTGTAGAGATGTGCGATTGATACACTGTCCATTTGTTTCATGGTGCTTCGCTGTAGTCAAATTATTATCCATTTGTAGTCGGGTCGTAACGACTCTCCAGAACGCAGCAACAAACTTTGTGTATTTATTTGTAATGCTGATCATGGGAAATCCGTGAAGCTGTCGTACATGAGTCAAGAAGTGTTGAGCGAGTTCCTGACCTGTGACAAAGCTGAAGCAAGGGATGAAGCGGGCATATTTGGTGAGACTGTCGACATTGACGTAGATGCTATCCAAACCCTTGACCTCTGGCAATGCAACAATGAATTTGTCAGTCATATGAATCGAAGGCCTATCAGGAAGACCCACTGAAAGGCTTTGTGTGAGGTCGAAATTAGAAGAATTGCGCGGCCTTAGCTACTGACAAAGTGAGCATTGCATTCCATATTCGTTTGCCACGGGACTTATCCCAGGCTACCAAGATAGGCGTCAAAGCTTTTTATCTGTGAAATGACTCCTTCCATGACTCCAAAGAGCACGAACATGTGCTTTGCACGCAACAACACTGCGGAGCGCACGATGCAGTTCCCGCTCTGTCGTGAACCACATTAGGTCATCCTCAACCTGGGAGTGGCTCACGCTTCTGTCATTCTGAATTTTGGCAAAAGGGGCTGGAGCCTGGGTTTCGAAAGCATAGGATGCAAGCAATCTTGGTAAAACAAGTAAGTTTTACCGATAAGAGCGGTTGTGCTGCACAATAATGAGCTTCTTCGGCATCATCCGAGTGCATCCGCGACGACTTTGGTAGTGCCCTCAATGGATTTGAGTACCGAGTCGTAATGGAAAAGGCAGTCCAGCCAGAGGATAGCTCTAGGGCTATCAAAGGACCGAATTCAGCGTAGGGTACATTTGAGAGTGATTGTCGGTTTGAACAGGAAAATGGCTTCCATATTAGTAGTGCCGGATTTTTACACGCCTCATCAAGCTGCCTAGAGTCCATCTTCCCCCACGGGATACCGCTGCTCGGCTTTGGTGGAGCGATGCAAAACAGCCAACAATAATTTAGTGTTTTGGAAAACCGTAGCCTATTGTGAGAGAGTGACAAGCACCGTTACACCACTAGAAGTGGTTGTTGGGGAGAAATAAAGCTCGTGGTAGCGCAGGGCATGTACCGGGGGAGTAGCTAGAAGCCCGATAAATGTAGTTGATACGGCAACAGCCTCCTCTATCAAGGCTACACATTCTGAGTTTGGAGGTAAACTACTTAAAACGCCGCAACCCGAGCAAGCCCAAGAATGAAATCCCCTTGACAAGACGCAAGCCCGTAAAATTTTGCAGTTTCCTCGCGGGTGCCTGCAGGTGAAGGCCACGTCCAACCCGCTCCATTCTTGTCGCAAATCGCTCAATTCTTGCATCCAAGGCATGAATGTCCAATAGTTGTTCTCATGGCAAGCGAACACTTGCTTGCCTTCCTCTGAGGCTTGTCCCGCAGCAAGTTAGACTCACGGCGTAGGTGCTCTAGGCTTACGTGATTCACGAATATGAGGCATGGGGAGCTTTCTTAGCAGCATTTTAGTTTAGGGGCCTAACGTTGCACAAGCGTCACTTTCTGTCTTTTTCGTTGCCAGCATGGGGGTTTCCCCATAGGCGCTGGTCGATTCCTGCATTTCGTCGTTCGTCAACCAATAATGCGCCTGATGATCACTCTCCTCTTTGTGCTATGTGTGCTTCCGGTACCTAGGAACACAGGTTAGGATGACCTGCGGATGAGCTCAGTGCGCTGCGCTGGACGGCCAACAGGGGGCCAGCCTGCTGGCAATCCATCAATTTTTAGGCCAGCTGCGAGCCCTTCCTTATGCTTCATCATTGCCGCTCTTCTTAGGCTGAGGCTGTATTTGAGGTTCTTAAATAAATAAACGATTGCGGAGGCACAAAGAGAGGGTACGCGCTCAGAACTGGCTTTTCGTATCGCTTTGCTGAACCGCCCGCATGAAGGCTTTGCCTCACCTTTTGTAGGTGGATATTCTGGCTACTCATCATAAAGATTATTAGCTTTGTTGCAGTAGCTGGGAAGCTCTCCTTCTCATGGTATATTGACCTCCATAGCCTCGAGCTGTGGCCAATTGCGCGCCCTACAGTGGGGCACCAAAAGGCACACCTAGGATGACGTCATAGCTGTTGAGCCTAGCACAATTGTCACGGCCCATGGTAGTCGGAGTTAGCCCCGATTTATACAAGCATTCCACTGCAGTAGCGTTGTCAATCCATGCGTTTTGACCCTGATCCGCAAACCGGGTCCCTAAAGACTGACCTAGCGAGTTACAGCTAGCCTGCACTTCTGTACCGTGTCTCCAGATAACATATCCACTTCACATCTAGTTCCAAACGACGCTGCCAAATCTTTACCCTTTTCCAAGCTTGTATCAGCACAGAATCGCCCTGTAGTCAGTCTCCTGATTACGGCCTTGTTCCACCTTCACTGCGTCGCATCCTGGGTGGGCGCCCTTCCGTTTCCCTGATTGGCCTTCTTTGCTTACCAGTCAGCCCGCCTTCGCTAGGCCCGGTCTCCCTGTTAAAGTCCTTTGGATGTTCTGTGTGCGCTGACTGTACCGGATTTTGTGCCCCATCCCATAACAAAACAAGTGCGTTGTTGGGGGTTGTCTGGGGGTGCTCAAGAGTGCGGGTTCTTTCTGGCTTTCTTATCTTGTTTCACCTGCGGCAGTAGGCTAGGGTTGGTTGACAGAGCCCCGACACCCACAGGTGTAAAATCCAAAATCGGCCCTTTTTTTCTGCCATACACGCAGGAGCTGAGCTCATTCGCTTCTGAACCCTCTAAGAGTCCATCATTTGTGAAAGCTCCAAAAAGTGGTCGTTCGATCTTTGAGTGGCTGCCTACCATGTGACCGCTTGACCTAACACCTCCTACAGGCCTACAACGAGCCGCTGAGAGAGCAGCTACTCGTCTACGCTGCAGCGCTTGCAGACAAGAGTTCAAGATTTCCAAATATAGGCGTCCCTCGATGGTTTCATGCTGAGGCTTTCCCTGTTCTCGCAGAGCTCGCTGTTGACCTGACTTCGGCATAGATTAAAAGGTCGGTCCTTATTAAGAAATGGGCTGGAGTATTCCATGCAGGAAAGTGACTGTCTCTACAGAAAAAAAGCTGTGTCATTGGAATGCTTCTACCTTCAATAAGAATGCCGCCGGGGGCACTTGTTTCTCTTTATCTGGGGGCAGAAAGTGAAGTACACCGCCAACTGGCTGATGAAATGCTGAAGGACTCGCTAATCCTTACGGTCCATACTTTACTGGTTGGCATCAACTAATCGGTGCATCCATAGATATTCTTCGCGGCGGACAAACCATGCTTCGATGGTTGCTGTGAAGCTACTGCGTTCACTCGATTTTGCAGGCTGGCCTCTGTTTCTTCAAAAGACCTCGCGCCACTGGAACTTCCACAGCCAGATAGAATTATTCTCCCAACCTGTTGACAAAGTACTCGAAATATTAAGCTTCCACTGTTCCAATTAAAACCAGGCAAATTTTGGAGGAAAATTGGACATCTTAATAAAACTACAGCCACTGGATGAGCGGGCAAAAGCTACATCGATCCATGCGGTGCTACCAACTGTACCGCTTTAGCGAAGGCCCCGGGAAAAGGCACTCAACTTCACAATCAATATGATTTCAAGAGAGATTCATTAGTCGCTCTTTCAAAAGGCATTCTGCCCTCCCATTCCCGCACCCCTTAGAGGTCCTTGCACGAGGGGAGAACAACGAGGGTGTGCGTAGCTCACCCTGTAGGCACTCTAAACATTAACAGCTAGGCGCACACAGCATCTGGCGCACACGCGCTCTTGCATCTTCTTGTATCAAGATAGTAGTGCTGTGCGAAAAAAACAATAAACAAAAGAGTAACAGGAGAAATTCTTCAGTAATTCTTGGATAACTATATTCAATGCAGTAACATATACCCAAGTGCAGCATAGTCCACTACAAATCGTATAAAAGCCTGTGAATGTAGTGGGCTAGGCTATACGTGGTTCCTGATACCCAAGTCATACCTAACAAAGAACTAGAGAATTGACATTTTGTTGAGGCTAGTTATGTATCCGATTTATTGCAGAGTACGGTTAGGTCGACACAGAAAGACGCAACGTTATTTTCGTGTGCGCTAGATGTTCTGTGTAACTAGCTCAGAGGGTGCAGCTATGCACACTTAAGCTACTCCTACCCCCTCATCTCTAAAAGCTCAGAGGGAAGCCAGCAGGGGCAGGTGGGCGCTCACTGGGGTAAAGTCAATAAATTTATATCGAGAGTGATCGAGAGTGTGTTCGCTGTGAAGGTATCTTTCTACGGAGACCTCAAATAAAGCTTAACGATGTGAGTGTGCGCTAAATGCAATATGCAACTAACTATGAATGCTTGGAGTGCTCAGAGGACGGAACAACGCGTATTTTACCTGTCCTGCCCTTATGTCGAGACCTCTAAGGAACGCGGGCAAGGAAAGGCGAAACCTCTTTTAGGAGAACAACCAATAATGTTTTTAAATTATGTATTGACTGTGGAGTTAAGTATCCTTTACGGACACTCTTTGATGGAGAGTTGCACCTGCTTTGGTACCTACAAGCTCATCTTGTTGTCCACAGAAGTATGACATCGCGAGACTCGTAATAGTATGGTGTATTTCGCTGAGCTGTAGTGAACGTCATTTACATAGAGATGCAGTAGGCTACTTAATGCGGAAGCAACTAACAATGCTAACAATGAGCGTTTGGAACACTTACAAGGGGCCGTGCCATTACGCCACAATGGATACACAGGAGGTGCAATATCATGTTTTTTAAAATGGATAATGGGATTGAGTATGAGATGGCAGAAAACCTCTCAGAAAGGGGCCGTGCTGAGGGCAGCAGCATGCACATCACGAGGATCCTGTTCCCAAGTCCCAAGATAGGCACCGTTTTAAGTGACATGTGTTACAGTTGAGAGCACGCCCTCAACTACTATGTATTCACTAGCAAATATCTTAAAGGAGGGAAGCTTAGGGATGCTTTGTTAACGGTGAGGATTGAGGAGGGGCCGAGCAGCCGCGCACGCGCAGGACCCCATCGATCACCATCGGGTGGGTGACCCGTACTGTACTTTTAATTAGAAATCGATGTCTCAGTTTACCTGGGCCCCACTCATGAAGACGACTTGATGATCCAGTGGATCCAACCGCCGAGTGCGAATTGTACAACTGCAATGTGTGCACTCTGTTTCGGTCATTCGCTTTTTGGGCTGTCTTCGATGTGCTGGGTTCTGATGATCAGCACCTGAATACTGATTGTATTTCCTCATCGTAATGGCCCAGACAGTCTTCGAGCCAGTCGCTTCCTAGATATCGTAATATTTGCAGGGCAGGAAAAGGTCAAGCCTACGTGGTGCAGGCATACGAGCTACTGCTGCCTCCTCTAGATGGGTCCGGAGGCACTTGACTCCGCGTCAGCTTGAGCAGACAAAAGGATCAGTCTGGCGGGGGTGTCGTTGCAAAGGCCGCAAGGCATACTGCCTCTACTGCTGTAAGCTCTCTCGCCGCGTCACTGACCTTATTGGCTAAAGCTCTGAATCGGCGGAGAGGGTTTCGCATCTCCATTGCCTGGATGAATTCTGGAGTGTTGAGGAGTAGGATGGAGGCTACATCTCCTAGTTCGATGGCAGCGGGTGCAGGGCCGCCACAAGGAAGCTCTACGCCTTCTCCTGCCCAAGGTACAGCGAGATCGCGCGGCCCCCTTAAAGGATCTTCCATCACCGGGAATGGATCTGGAGCCTCACGTCAGTCTAAACCAGAGGTGTCTCGTCACCGACAAGGAAAATTCTCAGGGGCAGTCTCCCCTGCATCCTTTGGCGGGCCGCAAGAGTCACTGAGTCAAAGACGGCAGCGGAGCAGCGCAGTTGCATGCAATACGGATGATGCCACACCATCCGCAGATGATTCAGCGGGGTGGTGCGCATATCCCTCTTCAAATGACACCTCTCGACCTAAGAAGGGGCCCAAGGGCAACTCTCACACGCCCTCTGCAATATCCAAGGCTAAAGAGGAGGAGCGTACGAGTGTGCCAGTCGAAGTAGGACAGTCTGGCTCGAATACGGCCACGACCTCGCTCCGTGTGAGCCATCGAAACTGGCAATGCAACTGCATGCTGCTCTACAGGCACATCATGTCTCACATTTTGGAATGGCCTACGCTTTCTGTCCAGTGGCTCCACTCATGCAACCCGTACGTCATGGCCCCAGCTCGGCTCTGTGCAGTATCTATCTAGGCTTAAATAGGCGTCTACGTCTAGCCGAATACCACATGCACCTGCATGCACTTTATTTTTTATGAGGGCTTTCGGAGCCTTATGAAGAGGCTTAGGCTCCATCGCGTGGAGCCACAGATGTCGGGGGGTCTAAGCGTATTGGCCGTCTTGAATCTTCAGACGGGCAAACGGCGAAATTGGGCAAACCCTACTTCTTTCGACGCACACCAGCGGCGGCGCTCCAAATTATATTCTTCTCATGGAGGTGATTTCACCACTTTGTATCCGTAAAACAGCTAGATGAACTACCGAGATGCCGAAAACAGGCCCGGGGCAGACGCCACACAAGGCGTCGGATGCACCAAAGAGAGACACTCGCGACACCAGTCCAATCAAATTCAGGCTGGGTCCTCAGCAGTCCTTGCTGAGCAAAGAAATGAGAGGGACACGTTATCTCTAAGAGCGGTGTGCCGTGTGCTCTTCAGGTTAGCCTCCCATCCAGACCGATCGACGCCTCAGGGCTTCACTACGAGCAGAGACAAGGCAAGAAACTACGCCTTTTTAAAGCTCTGTATTACTGCCTCAGCATCATGAGCGAATAACGACAAAAGGGCCTGTGCATGTTTTACTCACAGACTACCAAGGATTCGAATTCGGCGATGAGGACACTAGAAAGTTCACTATCACCGCCCGCATTCCCCACGAAGGCGAGAGCAACAGGTACTGCTTTTGAGTCTTTCGAGACTGTGGATCCCCTTTGAGCCGCAGTCCATGCACACCAAAATAGAGTTTGACGCGCGGGTAGCCCATCTTTCTTTGAAACAGGTGCACAGGCTTTTCGTGTGTTTTAGTGCCAATCCGCAGGGTACGCGTGTTCCAGGGGAAAGACACACTAATAGCCAGCAAGGCGAACGACGGCTGTGGTGAGCTGTTGCAGCCTATTTGTGTTATTGCATTTTGTGTATTCTGCTGGCAGACGTCTTTGTGCTTGGTCATTCTACCGCCGTTAGATGGCGGTAGATGTGAATAATCGCCTAGCGGCGGCTCAAAATGCCGAAGCACAGACGTGATTAGCGTGCATTTCATGGCGGTTGTCCCCATTGATGCATTTGGGAATTTGTTTGGCTTTTATTCGTGCAGTCTACCTCTTCGACTCGTGCAAGTTTAACCCCGAGTTATCCAACATCGAGGCTAAAGAGGTCCAGGGCGCTTCGCAGCGCGCGCCAATGCAAGCCAATGCAGAACTTATTCTGACAGGGCATACTTCTCAGGGGTGAGGAATAGGGACGGCTATGTCGAACCTTGTACGGGTTCAAATCCACGTACAGGCTTGCTGAAGGGAAGAATTCTAACCAGAAAGGAAATATTTGTTGTTTAGGGCGCTCTTTACGATATGAACATGCGAAAACGGGGTACTTCTTGTACAAAAAAAACCACTTTGCATTCTAATTTTGCTCGTGTGTGGAATGGATTGGCAGATGGGGTTTGGAATGGAGTTCTAGCAAAGAAGGGTGGCTCGCTTCTTCGGGCGACGATGGTATGGTGTGCATCTGGGACACGCGGGCATCTTGTGAGTTTTCATGGCAGTCGAGCAAAGTTTACAGCTACACTATATTTTCCTTCTATGACTTCGTCCCGTTGCTCCATGCGGATGGAGATGTACGATCGATGCTAAGCATGTGCGTCAACGCTGCAAAGGCTTGCGGAGGGCTACATTAAGCATCTTTGCAGCTGCATATGCCAATTACGCAGGTAGCCAAGACAAACGCTTAAACGCGCTACACCGGTTGGTGGCCTCCAGCGACCGGAGACCTTTACAGGTATGAAGCTTCCTTGGTTTGCACGTCAGACGAGGCACTCTCGTAAGTTTGCACCGCTGCATGGGTGTTAATTCTCCTTAGAAGAAAACTGGAGTTAAGTTATTTTACCAAATATTCGTGCCCTCTCCTAGGTCATGATGCTGGACTCACAACGCTTTTGTTTTTAGGATGTTGCCTGGAAACGCGGAGAAGGCGAGGGAGAAGTTATTGTGGCTGTGGGCGACGATGGACAATTGAACTTGTAAGGTGGACACTGGCGTCTCCACGCAATGCGATGCAGCAGTAAGGGACGAAAACAAAACCTCTGTTTGTAGATCCAGCTATGCATATATGAATTTTTGACCTATTGATTATTCTTTTGCTTACTCACTGCCCCTGTGTACCGTTGCAGGTGGGACTTGCGTGTTGGTCCATCGCCTGTCCATCGGGTGGGTACAGTTACATCCAGCTACACGGATGCACTGGTTTCTGCATTAGGAGGAAGGCGCGGACTTGTTTGGGCTGTATAGACCAGCACAATTTTGCCTGTTAGCTAGGGAAAATTTTAATCACCGTACTGGTTGGGTTATCCTCAAAATACTTGCAGTAGCACTTTTCAACGCCTAAAAAGGTAGCTAAAGATGGATCTTGACCTGAGTTTTAATTTGCGGTCTCTCCATTGCGCTCTGCAGCAAGCCTGCAACCATGCCTGCGCCAACGTCCTGGCACTGAACCCTGTCGCTCCCAACGTTTTCGCTACTGGAGGAGCTGACGTGGTTGGTCTTCCTGCTGCACGATGCAATGCGTAGCTCGAAGCACTTTGAACAGACGCGATTTTTTCGTTCGGCGCTCACGTGTTTATGACGAATTCTTCCCCTTTAAGTGTGCTGCTTCAGACTGTGGTTTACCTGCCCCTCCCGCATGATGTATGCAACGTGGTAAATCAAAAAAAGACTTTTCAAAACGACATGGCCTGCTTTACGTTGCCGCAGGGTTTGAGTATCTGGGACTTCAGAGACCTCCGTCGACCTGCACATCGCCTGTTTTATTCGGAAAACGAGGCGCTGATGAGTCTGAAGTGGCACCCGACAAACAAAGCTGTGCTCGCTGCAGGTGAATATCTTGCTCCATAAGCTATTTGCTGCTCCGTGCCGAAGTCCACATTGTCGGAGCTTCAGCGTGCACTGCATGCAGCTACGAGGGCATTTTATCGCAGATTTGCTGTGTTTTTAGGTACAACTGACCGATTTGTACGCATATTCGACTGCTCGCTGATAGGCGCCGAGCAATCTCCAGAGGAGGCCGAAGAAGGCGCTCCTGAAATCGTGTTTGTGCACGGGGGCCATGTCGCTAGTATCACTGACCTCGACTGGAACCCTCTTGACGAAGAATTTTCGTGGGTAAGGGAAACTGGACATTGCATATGTTGTCCTTATCTTCTGTGCTACTAGAGTCGCTGCTTTCGGGAGAAGTGGCATCATTTTAGAAAACTGGGTGACGGTGATGTGTTTGCAGGTCATTGCTTCTGCCTCCGAGGATAACATCTTGCAGATTTGGCAGCCGGTAAGCCACGGAGAGTACCCTGCCAAAACTCTTGGCTGTATGTGACGTCAGTTTGGAGAACGCATGCGTAGACCCCGCTGGAATTTAGTGTGGCCACAAGGCGCCGTTGAACGAATCTTCAGGACCCGAGGCAATCAAGGGTCAATTAGTTGAGAAGGACGGCGACTGAGCATTATGACGTTCGGTGTGGCCTGCCTTGCCACCTCCGTTGCTGTATTCTATTTGTCACGGTTTTCTGCAGTCAGTGAAGGCCTTTGAGGCGGATGATGCAGACTTCATGCACGATGAAGGCAGCATGGACGAAGAAGTCCTGGACTAACCTTCCATTGTTTGCCACAACAGCCTATTTCACGTGGAAAGGGAAGAGCGCCGACTGGCCATGATGGCTGCACAGTGGACGCAGTCAAGAAGCAACTGGCCGGGGAGGGCCACCATTTGCTTTGCTACTTGCCCCTAGAAAGCGGTCACTTAATGGCTCAAGACGCTGGGCAGCAGCGTGCCGTGCTGCCTATCACGGCAGTTGGTAGCTAGCTAGGTATCCGGATGTATACGCTGCATTATGACCACGGCTGATTGAACGTCCTCCGGCGATTCACGGCACAGGAAATTAGCTTAGTGAAATACACTGTTAGTTTGTCAGCTGGGTGCAGCACATACGATAGGAAGCAGAACTTAACCCTAAGATGTCGGTATCGACCCGTTCCCACTCCTGCCTCCCCGTGGCTAGCCCGCAGCAGCAACGTAGATGCAGGGAATAAGGTCGCAACAAGAGCTTGCTCGTTGCACACAACACTGCAGTCCGAATTTCTGTGAATCAGGTAACAGCTCCTGGGGCTACGGCGGGAGTCCTCACGACCTTCATTTGCCTCTTATTAAACTACCCTTCGGGCCGTCGACGTAGGAATGAATCGATCCACAAAGTCTCCTGTGAATATTATCCAGAAATAGACGGAAAACAAAGGCAGAGATTGTTGTAGCCAGCCTTTATGGTCAGTGCAGCTGCTGCCTGGCGTATGGGCTATAGGCCCGCTCAGCAAAGAGTTTGAATCAAAAATTTCGCATGTCTTTGCAAAGGATGGACAACACCACTGGGCAAATGCAGCTGCATCACTCTTACACTACAGGTGTCCCCCCGCGCTGCCACCATGCCTCGTATCTGTCTTGCTGCTTACCTGTGCCTCGGTTTTTCGCCCTCTTTTTTGCTCCATGGGTGGCCAGGCGGCTTCCGTGTCCATGTCTAGGTCGGCGTGGGCAGCTCCCGGAGGAGGACTGCGACCCCACAAGCTGCTCAACAGAGAGTTCTTCACAGGGCGGATCCGCTTGCTGCTGCTGCCCGCCTCTGCCCTGGCCTGCATGCGCCTCTGGCAGCTTGCGGGGGACGCTTCGGGAGCTTGGCATACAAGAGTGCCGGCAGGAGCCACCAAGGGTGGCTCCTGCTCGACGACGTCTTTGCGGTCAGGTTCACGATTTAAGGGCTGTCCATTCTTCGCAGGTGAGCCTTTTGGCCCTTCCCTCTGCAGGCAGTGGAGTATTTCTGCGAAATCCCCTCTCCGCGGGGCCTCCTCCCCGTCCCTTGCCGCCGAGACAGTGGCTTGAGCCTCCCCTTGGGCAACGGGTGAAGCAAAGCGAGAGGATATGCGGGCACGTTGCGAACGCGGAGAGTGCAGGGATGCATGCGGCGTCTGCAGGCTGCCCAAGGCTCCAAGCAATCCAGCATCTCCTGCCCGGACAGATGCATCCTCTTCCCCTAGGGCAGTACCAAGGGACTGAGAGGCTGTCCAGCTGGACCGCAGTAGCGACGCTCCAGTCAGAGGCTGCGTAGACTGCTGCTGCATTAAGCGCGCTAAATCCGCCTGCACATGTAGGACAGCGAGGATTTGAAGCCCAGAGCCCTTGTAAACTGCACGACTTGCATTTTGCAGGGGCAGGCCGTCCTACTACAGCCACCATTCGGTCTACGCCTTTTCATAGAAAGTACGAGGGCGCCAGCGCTGCCTACAAAAAATGCCTACGAGTTTGTTGCACTTCTCTTCTATAAAGCTGAGAGGCTCCTTGTACGAGGCGAAAAGCCCCTCTGGACTCGCGAAAGAGAGCTGCTGCTGCGCGCGCTGCATGATGGCGAAAGCTGGATCTGCTCGGATCTTCTCAAGGGCCTTGACTCGCTCAACCGCCTGCAGAAATTGCTGCTGCTTTGTCACTAAGGCCATTGACAACTGAATGCAAGTCACATCACGCGCAGCTGCAGCTCCTTCCGCCATCTGTGAAGGCTTATTACTCACCCCAGCAGGGAGACCAGGCTACTAGCTAGCTGCTGTGTCTCAGCCTAGGAGCCAGCAGCAGTGCTAGAAAAGGCACACGAGTCGTGTGGCCCCCCGGCCTTGACCTACACTTCGCGCCTCCGAGACTGTTCCCTCCTCTTCCTGCTGTGCAGTGTGGGCTTCTTCGCGCAGTCTTGACACCTGTGTCTTGAGATCCTCGACCGCCGCCTTAGTGTCACTGTCACTTCCCGCTGAGGCAGCCGCAAGGAGCGTCCCATCCACTCACGAAAAAAGCGAAAATCTCAAGACAAAACACGAGAGACCTATTGAGCAGCACACCTCCAGAAGCATGATCACAGCATCTAGCAGCAGTACCACTTGTTCTAGAGGCTGCAGAAGCAAGCAGAGTCTGCCCCCGAAGGCGACTACTTCCTGCCTCTTTAGGGTCTCATGCCACCTCGCATGCACATAGTCGGTCCCAAAGTGCAAAATTGCCTTTTCTGCTCGGGGCTGCACACACTCTGCAATACATGCAGCTGTTTCCCTTATCACAAAGCTGCTTACCGTTGCCACTGCTGGCGGCGCTCGAGGCAACCTTCGAAAGTCCATCCAAAGCGGCTTCTGCACTGCCGCAGGTGCAGTGATAGTCTCTACACAGCACCTGCCAGCGGTCTAGCCAAATCTGCTCGCAAGGCATGCACACACATACACACACACACACACAAATGCACATGCAGTATCCGCAGGTGTTGCAGAAGTAAGTGCCACAGGCGGCACGCGGGGCAGGAACTGAGGAGGCCTTGCGATGCGAGACCGCTGCTGTTAACACTCAAATCAGCAATACGGCCCATCCCGTTGGCACAACAATGATGGAGGCGAGAGCTGCACGAAGGTGCACCAGGCGGGAGAGCATCAGCCGCACGGGATAGCGGTATGTGTAAGACAGTCTCTCACTTCAAAGACTGCCAGCCGACGCTCATGTACACTTAAGAATGCGACAGCTTGCAGAGCTGGATGCTTAAGAAGCTCTTGGGTCGCCTTTTCCGCGGCTTCTGCGTGGCCGCAGGGCCCCTCAGTCTGAGCAGCTGCAGCAGTCTCCCTAACAACCTGAACGAGCCGACCGACTTCCTCCTCAATTGCCACCTTAGCTTCTCCCCGCAGCTTCTCCAGCAGGGCAGCCGACAGTGCTGAAGGTCCTCCTAGGGCGCGCGAAAGGCAGAAGGTGCAACAGGCATTTACAGAGGAACAAAAGGCCTCGCCGCTCTTCAGGGCATCCCAGTTGCACCTGAACGAACCATCCGATTGCCGGAAGGTTGAGCCACTCTCTGGGGGCAGCATTTGGGGCCCTGGGTGCCCCCGCAACAAAGACAGGAGATCAATGGGGAAGCCGATTTTCCCCGCGTCGCGTGCATGCTCTGCGTGAGGCTCCGTGGACCCCTCAGGACGAGGAGGGCCCCTAGGAAGCCCTTGGCCTTCCTGTAAGAGCGGTGGTGAGGGATGATGGGTGCCTACAGCATCTGCAAGCTTCCCAGTTGCGTTGGTGCCGGCCATTGTAGCTCTGATTCCTCGTGTGCGTTTCTGTTTGCTCCGGGTTGCAGACTGCAGGATGAGAAAGTGGAATGAACCTCAGGCGCAGCCTGGGCCCCTAAGCGTCATTTAGATGCCTTTTCCCTGGGCAGCGTTAGAGGGAGCTGCCGTGTGTGCTCCTAGCCCTTGTGTTTCGCCGTATCTCTGCCGTGCCCGCTCTCTGTTGGGGGGTACTCAAGTCCTCTTCGGACAAGGGGTTAACCGCCTGGGGTCGACGGCCTCCAGAGATGCATGACCAGGAGGAACTAGGAACGCGCTGTGGGCTACTCGCTGCAGGCTAAAATACTCAGAGCGTCGCAGATCATGGTGGCCTTAGGGTGTATCGCTACGGGACTGAAGGGTCGGGGCACTCAAGAGGGCCAAATGCCCTCTAGGCTCCAAGAAGGGAAGGAAAATTCGATTTTAAATCAGAAAAGAGGAAGAATTCAGTGCGTACACTGGCTGTTCTTAAAGGTGCCCTTGTTGGGGCCCTTCCACACACCCCCTACGCCGTGGAAAGCGCCTGGCAGTGGGCTTCTGAAAGGGCCTTTTCTTGTTGTCTGCTGCTGCCGCAGATGCAATCGGAGCTAATAATTCTCGGAAAGAAAAATAATGGGAGGATAACGGCAGAAGTAAATGGCCTTAATCGTATGCGGACTCCCGTCCGACCACCACCACCACCCCCCGACCCCTGTTGCCGCATGACCACCCCAGAAGCCGCCCAGGGTCAGCGTGAGGCGTTGCTAGCTATGACTGAGCGGGGCCCGGGGGCCTCCGACGCACTCCCAGGGGCCCTCCTAGTGCAGAAACAGTTTGAAGAAAGCATAGGAGCAACTCGTTTGTACTCAGATCCGGTGCTAGAACTCCTTGCCCTCAGGCAAAGGGCGCCACGATTGAGGCCAGCTGCTTACGTATGCAGCAGCTGGGTAGACCGAGGCCCAGTGGTCAACGCCATGGGTATTTGGATACTGCTTCATCTGCATGGAACGACACCAACTTACCCAACTCAGTTTCAGATGATCTCCCTTTTATCCTTCTGTAAGACTCTCTTCGCTGCGGTCCGGAGTCGGATGCCTCATCCCCGCGCGCCAGCAATTGGCTCGCAGGCTTTAAGGCAGAGATCGCTTTTAGAGGGGCTCCAAATGGCCTACCAGAACTTCCTCTACACAGTCTTTGCTGCTCTCTAGTCCGACCCTCTGTTTTAAAGCGAAGAACTCGACCAACACTATGCAAGCCCTACATGCCCTTGGGGCTGCCGGCTCTGTGTCGTGTTTTTTAGAAAGCACTTCACAGAAACTCAGCTTCCCGAGTTTAATACGTCTTAGCAGCCGTCGCGTTGGCGGGATCACACCAGAGCCTTCTATTGACAAACTTCAGTGCTTCTGCTTTCTCACCCTTTGAGCGTCCCCCCCCACGCATGGGCTTCCCGAAATACAGGAAGATGCAACTGGGGAACACGACCAAATAGACCACACCCTACACGATCATCACAATCCCGCAAGCGCGACCACGAGCATTCTTCCGTGCAACTTCTGCGTGCAATGTGTATGTGTGCAGGACTGTTTCTTAGGCGGAGCCTCTTCTGTGCAGCTCGCTTTTCCTCCTCGTTCTAAAGAGGCCTGCATTTGGACATATAGAAGCATCTTTTGGGGTATCTGTCGTTTTCATTGACACCGTGAAAATGGGAGAGGCCACAGAACGGGTACACATAAAGAACTGCTATGGTGAGGCCACGGCGCGATTGCCTGTATCAGATTCCTTGCTCCTAGCCGGTGGCTTCCTCCAGTCTTCTTAAAAGGTCTTGACAAGACCCTTGTTTGTGTCACGCATTTTTGTATAAACCGGAACAGACGTGTTACGTGGGTACATGATCGCGGGAGGCGCGGCAAACTCGGCCTCAGTGCTGCACACCGGGCTCAAGCACCATTCGAAAATTAGGCCTCCCTCTTTTTGTGTCCTTGCCCGTATATTGTTGGGTTCCGTTTATAATGTCACTACTTGAACGTGCTTTTACTGGCCTCCTAGGTGTAAGATGCTCGTTTCGCGAGGAGGTGTCTGTCTCGGTGTGCATACGTCTCAGCCGAACCGTGGAAGGTTCCATACTCCGACATCCGCTTGGCAAGCAAGCAAACGGAGTCGGTGGGCATAGCTTGCAGCTACCGCTATATCGCAGTAAGCCGTGCAAGAGGCCGTATCGAATGATGTGTATCTACTTGTGAATATATGTTCGGACAAGCAGACCAAAAGAGACAGAGTTGGTCACACAGACACACCTATACAGAGAAGGATCTGTTACCATATTTTCATTTCTTTCCTAATCCAGCGACCTATGCTTTGGGAGGTATTTGTCTAGCATGATTTAGTACGATAGGAATCAGCGAAGAGACTTGCAGCTTGCACCCTGTTGGAGTAGGCGGCAGCACCAAGTGATTTGGTGGCTTTGCACTTGCTGCCCAGTCTGGCTCTGCGGAGGGGGATGCTGGTCCTTCCTGGAATCTGCCAACACGCGTTTTCGTGCCTCTGCTCCACTCTTGTCCGCATGGTGGCCTTTTGGTATGCTCTCGCGAATGTGGCGATGGAGGCGGACTCCCATGCGGGAATGCATGCGGCGCAGGCTCCTTGGGATGTAGGGGGTGGCGGCATGATGGGCCTTATCAATTTGGCCGACTGCGGGAGGAACCCTCCAGTAACGAAGATAAAGGGTCATACAGGCTCTATCCAGGACTTGGCTTTCAGTCCTTTCTACGAGTCCATTCTCGCTTCAGGATCTGAGGGTAGGGCGTGTAGCTGTGCTCTGTACTTGAAATTCATGACACACAGGCTCTAGGACGTGCCCTAGTTCTCTCTCTGTCTCTTTCTCTTCATGTATCTGCCTCCCTCTCTCTGGTTATCTGTCGCCAGTGCTATTATTAAGTGCGGTATCTTCATATAGTGCAGCGTTTTCATCTGGGCTTCACGCGAAGAGCAGCGCGTCTCTGTTACCGGTGCCTCGTCCGGAGTGTTTGTGCCTTTTCTGGGGGCCTTCCTGATGCCTCTACACGTGTGTGTCTGCTGGCTTTCTGCGTTCTTCTAGACATGACGATCCGCATATGGGACGTTCCCAGCGACCCCCCTCCAGGCCATGAGCTAAAAGATCCGGTGGCGATTCTCTCGGGATCTGCAAAGAAAGTCATTGCAACGGAATGGAATCCTGTGGCCGACTTCATCCTCGCATCGGGGTGCTTCGACGGCGTCGTCGCATTGTGGTGAGAAGCTCCGAGGTCTTAGCTCTTACGTGTGTTGTACCGAGGTGTCCCTCGGTTTGCGCTGACTCTCTTTGTGTTGTTCGTGTGTCTTTCGGCTGCATGGTTTTCGAAATAGGGACGTCGACTCGGCCTCCTTGTCAAGCTCTGTCTCATTGAGTGACTCGGTGCTCTCGGTGAAGTGGAGTTTCTCCGGGTAAGAGACACCGAGGGAGGGCCTTCAAAGTGTCCGCCGTGGGCTTCAGCCTGCGGCGGCTCTGGGTGTGTGGCTTTCTGCATGCGGGGAAGTCGCTTCCTGAGAGCCGTAGTGCTGCTTTTTCGGGGCTTGGAGAGGCACCACACGCTGTTCATGAAGACGGTTTCGAAGACTACTTGTGCGCGTTCAAGGGACAAGCTGGCAAGTACCAGCAAAGATAAGTTGCTGAACATCATCGATCCGCGGGCAAAGAATGTTGTGGCCTCTGTTACGTGCCATGAGGGTCCAAAGGCGACTAAATGCTGCTGGTGTGACGGCTTTGCCGGCGTTTCTGGAAACGTTTTGACCACGGGCTTCAGCAAGTCGAACGAGAGGGAGCTGCATCTTTGGGACCTCAAGAATTTGACCAAGCCGTAAGCAGCCGAGGGAGGAGGGGCGATGATAGAGGGGCACTGCTCTGTGTGTGAATGTTGGCAGGCAGCCACACGTGTGCACTTTCTTTATGGAGCTCTGTACGTGTGTGTGTATGCGAATACTTCGCGTGTTTATTGCGCCACACCGCGAATGCGCACACTGAGGCGGCTCGTGTGGGTGGGCAAGACGATGATGTCGAGTCCCCCCTTGTTTTTCCCCGACCTTGCCACGTCTTTGACGTCGCGGGTCCAGTGTCTTTCCTCCGAGATGCTACTGTGTGGTGCCTCCTCGTCAGTCTGTGCCGTGCTGCCGGTTTGCTGTGGCTGTCTCTTCTCCGTTTCCACTCAGACTGCTGCGCGTGGAAATTGACCGTGGGTCTCAGCCGCTGTATCCAATCTTCGACGAGACGCTTGGCATGCTTTACGTGGCAGGCAAGGTGTGCAAGTGTCTCCCCCGCATGCGGAGAGGCCTGGTGGCCAGTCAGCGAGCTGGACCTGCCCTCTGGCTTTTTGCCCTTCTATTGCCTTCTCGGGAGAGGGAGTGCTTCCATAGAGCATTGCTTTTGTCGTTTCGTGAGAGAGGTCTCTTAGAAACCTCGTCACCTAGGCAGTTCACATGCAGTCGTTGCCACCCTCGCTGCAGAGGCAGGGGCTTTTGGTGCACCGCAGAAGGGGGAAGTCGGAGTCTTGGGTATGAGGTCTTACAGGGTGCCTATTTGCTTGTAGGCGTGCTGCAGTGCAGTATTGCTGTGTGTGGCCTCCCGTATTTTAGGGGGATGGAAACTTACGATACTTCCAATTCTTTGGTGGAGAGATTCGCCGCGTAGACGACTACCGTTCAAATGTACCGATCAAATCATTCTGCTTTATCCCAAAACTGTGCGTCTTGGTTTGGCTGAGGCCTTGTGGCTTTCTCCAGCAAGCAACCGCGCGTGGGATTTTCCCATGCATCGATGCCACAAAAGGCTTTCGGGCTTTCGCGTAGTTTCTGCCCTCTTTTGGTTGGGGCGTGCGACGACATTGCATGCTGGCCTCTTGACAACGCATCACCTGTGCAAGCACCTTTGCTCCCCCCTCCTGCCCAAATTCTTCCCAATCCACACTCACACACACACACCACAAAAAGCCTCCCAGCTGCCTTTTCGTATGACGTGTTGCAGGGCGGTGGATCAAAAGAGGGCTGAGATTGGCCGTATGCTGAAAAACGAGAATGGAAAAGTCCTTCTGCCAATTTCTTTCATTATTCCCCGGAAAAATCAAGACGTCTTCCAGGCCGATCTCTATCCTCCAACTCCGGGGGTTGATGCAGCTCTCGTAAGTACGGGGCCTTGACGCGCCGTGAAAACTGAATGTGCACCTGTTCCACAGGCCATACAGATAGCCATGCCATATACCCGCTGAGCATCCTAGAGGAGGAGGTTGGCCTTGTGGCTTATGTCGCTGTGACGAGCTGCAACGACTCTCCATGCCCCCCAACACAAGCAGCTAGAGGGGCAGCGGTCAAGTGCTCGCCATGCATGCAAGCCCATAATAACGGACACGTGCCTGTATGTGCTCGAGGAGTATCTGCGTGTGGCCTGCGTTGCCTTACACTCGTCGCATTTTAGATGCAAGCCAGCCACCAAGCTGCAGACGTCATGCTGTTTTTTTGCACCATATGTGCCTGTCGCAAGTGCCCATACACACCTGTGCATCTCGTCGCAGACCGCGGCAGAGTGGCTCTCTGGAAAGAACGGCGAAGTCCAGCGCATAGCTCATCAGCCAGGTATGTTTATACTCTACATGTCCCTCCACGCTTCAGCCCCTTCCTTCCCCCTCTGAGCAACCCTAGGGCCCCACGCCTAGGCCTAGGCCGCGGGGAGGGGGGGGGGGGAATCTCGACTACTTGGACTTTCTCTATTGGGCATTTTGTGCAGTGCAACGCGTCTAACGCTTGCTTTGCACTTGCGCAGGGAACATTCCCCAGTTCAGAGGGGCGGCAAGGAGTGCGCAGGCCCCCCCGGCAGGAGGGAACCTCAAGAAGCTCGAGTCCACCCGAAGCATCTCAGGCCAGGCCCCTTCTGTCCTACAAAAGAGCGTTGAGAAGGCGCATGATGAGTCGCGCAAGGTACAAAAAACCCTTTTTAGCTTTATGGAAAGCTGACGCAAGTACTTCTGTGGCGTTTTCTAATGATGGGGGGCTTAGAGGAACGGAACGACAGGGGTAAACTGCGACTAGTGCGCTCGAAGGCAGCCGCCGTGAGCTTCCGTCTGGTGCTGCGCTGCAGTTGGACGAGGTCAACAAATCACAGGAAGCAAAAATTAAAGAACTGGAGGCGCGTATCAGGGAGCTCGAACCCGTAAGGCCCTGTCTGCACTGGCCTCTCTACTGCAGCCTTGTGCCTGACCTGCATCAGTCTGTGGAGCATGCTGTTCTTTATGAACATCAAGAGGCGTCTTTGGGAATTTACACGGCCCTAACGTAGCTGTCATTGCTCTGTGTTGCAGCTGGAGGCGAAGGTCAAGCAACAAGAGTCCAAAATCAAAGCCCTTGAGGTGCGTTGGGCTCCTTTTCTTTGTTCTTTGAACTCTTTTCCCTTTCGTCCTTCCCCCCACTACTCCTCGCACCCGGCCACCCGACTCCAAGTATTTATTGCTCTTTAGCATAGTCAGTCGAGTTGGCGGACAAACTTGTCTGGGAGTGGCTTCTTTGCTCTTCCCGTGGCTCAGTGCTAATTTCGTGAAAAAGGCGCATACCACGAGCGCTTAATGGTATTCTGGGGTGTGAAGTCTAGCATTTAGAGGGCTAGTAGGCAAAATTTAGCAGTGTAAAGTCTTTGGGGGCTTTGGGAGATCCCATCATGGCTTGGTATTCTGCTTGCCTGTTTGCGCATCGCAGAGTCAGGTCCAGCAGGCAGGCAGCCAGTCTTCGAGCGAAGGCGTAAGCTGAGATTTCTCCCTAGAGGGTCACTCATAGGAGAGCCTGGGAGTATTTGGGGTAGTCTGAGGTGATGCAATGCTGCATGTATATTTTTGACGCTTCTTCAAGGTTTTTTCAGTACTATACCTGGGGCTTGACAGAAACACTGAAAGGGGAGCTTCGAAGCAAGAGGGATGCAGGGCCGGCAGCATGGGCGTGGCAGCGGCTTGCTGTGGTGAGGAGTTCGCCCGTGCTGTGAGCAGTGCTTGCTGTATAGTGGTGACTGTTGTGGGTGGCTCTATTACAGTCCGCAGAGCTGGAGGGAAAACTGCGTCAACTGGAGGCAGAAAGTGCTTCTCTTAAAGCGCAGCTGGAGGACAGCTCCTCCAAGGCTGTGCAAGCAATTAAGGAAGGGAAGGCGAAGGAAGCCGAGCTTCAAAGCCTCAAGAGCAAACTGCAGGCTGCCGAGAAGCAGGTAGCGGAGCTTACCAGGGCGAATCAGGAGCTCAGCAATAGCATGGCAAAGGCAGAGGGAACGCTATGCCGGGCCGCCACTTTGACGGGCCTTGACGAAAGTGTACGTCAAGAGTTTAACGAGGTCAGTGTCTGCTTTCTTATTGTGCATGCTTTTAATACTTGTGGACGCGTTGATTGAGGCAGTGATTTTAATGCGTGTGTCCCATGTTCGACCTCTATTCAACGGTGCCTTTCACGCACCCTTGGGCGAAAATGGAGCTCTAAAGCGTAGTTGCGTGTGTCGTATTTTTTGCAGATGAGAGATTTTTTCAGGGAGATATTAGACGGAACGCTAACAGAGTTGAACAATGACTGAGCAGACAACCGCCGTATGCCAAGAAAAGCCTTTCTAGCAGCGCGGGGGCACGAAGGGGCTATGAATTGGTCTTTTAATGTGCAGTAAAGGCTAGGCTCTCAAGGTTCGTGGCCAGACTCGATTTGTATCTCGAAGTCCTATACTAGCTCCTTGCCATACGCCTGTAGAGGTTCCGAGGCTCACTTCTGGATGTTCTTGAATATTAGTCTCCCCGCTTCTGGCGCAGGCTGAACGATTTGTATGCACTCGTCAGAAGGTACCATCGGGGCTCGCCTTAGCTGTAGTTTCTTGAACTTGACAGTGCAGCCTTTTCAGGTACATCGTAAATAAGTGCGCTGTCTGAATCTCACTTGGCAGCGTGCTGCTTAGTGTGCAGGAGACTTAACAGTGGACGGGGAAAAGCAGGGTACAGCGTGCAACCCGCAGTGACCAATAAGTTGGATTTACTCTCTATGTACACTAGAAGCGTAGATAACGAGAATACAGAAGGTATTTTTGAGACAGGTCATGAGACGCTCGGGCCAGGCAGAACGATGAGACCTAGATACTGAACACTGGAGCCACCTTCCCGCATCGTGGGGTGCAGGCATTCAACGAAGCGATTCCATCAAACGACGTACACAGCACTAAGTATCTTGCTCGTGGTGTAGGTGTTCTGTGCAGTGGAATTGGGCTTGGGCTTATGTATAAATTGCTGCACTGGACACTGCCGAGTGTAGCGATACCCCTAGTAAGGTGATTTCCAAGAGCTCATTTACAGCGTAAAACTATAAGCAGGTTATTATCTTGTCCACCGAAAATGCCTAACACTTTGCTTGCCCCTATCCCAAGTGACCGATTACGCATGGAATGTTAGCAGAAGTGCTATGTATGGTCTTCAGCCAGTAACACACAGTAGCTTAGTGTAACGCTCTTACACTTCACTCCACACTAGACGCGAACTTAATGGAAATTTAGTAAGTGTTGCTTAAAAGATGCTTCCCCTCCCAGGCCGCCCCCTGAGAGCTCCCACCGTGGGCACTCTCACTATTCACAGCTGGTTGCATGTACCATCTGGCGCGCACGTACGCATTGTGCCTTCTCGTATCGAGTCAAGAGCCTTCTGCGATGAAGAAGATATACAAACAGACAAGCTAAGTAGTCAGTTCTTTATATACCCTTAGCTAGGTATAAGTAGTACAGCATATGCGCCTCAGTGTAGCCTAGACCGGCACGCTTAGAGCACTCTGTACTTGGTTTTAGCATGAGGCTTACCGAGCTTACAAGCACACAGAGTACACGAACAATCAATCCCGAGAATGTTTACTTCGCAAATGCCGAATTTCACAAAACTGGTGGCAGCAAGGAAACACTCTGTGCACAGCGCGGCGTTGGCCTAAGCGATGTGCCTTCTTGCGCAATGCCACGAAGTAATGTGTATCCAGGGAGGCATTTGGACTTCGCCTGGAGTTTTTCATCTCGCCTACACTTCAAATAGTCAACAAAGCGTGTACTATTACTCGAGTTCACAAGGGATGCTCTTGGGCCTTAGCCTACCCATAATGGGGTCTGCAATGCAAAGAGACTTTCTGGAGAGTCTTAATCTGCAGCTAGAGATGTGCCTTCAGGTTAGTCAAGGTGTGTTCTTTGCTCTCCGCCTTATTACCCCAGGGCTTACTATCAGCGCCCGCCACCATAGAGATGGCATATACTGGGATACATGAAACAACGGCTGAATTACTGAAGGATACGGATATGCAGATACACAACTGATTAAACAAGACATCCATAAGAGTCATGAGAGCACACAAAAGGTAACTCGTTTTACCCGGCGGAAAAAGCAAGGGGATGTGTTCAGCCAAGTTAGATGTTAATGCCCAGATGTCTTTCTGTGAAAGTGCATCCGCTGTGTTTCTCATAAAAGAGTGGTTTAACTCACTCATTATACAACAAATGGCTGACTAGGGCGCTACACTTGTTTACCAACGCTTGCAGCGATCCCAGAGGGAGCCGGGCCCACTCGACAGGCCGCACCATGAACAGTCTGGTAGAAGTCTACCCGTGGGCTGCTTTTCCAATTCCCGTCTCAATTTTCGTTTTGTTAACGAAGAAGGAACGACTTAGCTCCTAACTTTGCCGTCTTCGCTTTGCCATACAGCCCTAGGACCCTTCAGCGCCAACGCAGTTTGCTCTTCAGCCCTGGTCCTTCAGCGGCGACGCTACAAGCGGTTCTTTGTCTACTTGGCAGTTGGCTACCTCCTCATTATCAAGGGGGCAATTTTCTCTTTAGGAGCTCGTGCATATCACGATTCGTAGGGAGTAACACCGTTGCAGGTCACTAAACTCAGTGCAGCACTCTGCAGCTCACGGCAACAAACCGCGGCGAACTGTACCTCAGGATGCAAGTGCATCATTTCCAAGGCAGAACAGAAGCCTTATAATATTGGCACGCAGCCTGGCAAGTGCTACAGTTTGGCCAGGGGCGTGGGGGCCCCTGAGGCATTCGAGCACCTGCGCAGCCGCATGGGGGCTGTAATGGGCGTTCCCCCCGTCAGGAGGAGCTATATGAGCCAAATCGTATCCAATGGCGTCCCACAGAATCCAGCCGTTGGCTTTAAATCTCAGACTGCTGCTGTGGCTCACCTTCTTCGCAGCGCTGTCCCTTAGATGCAGGGCATCGGATTCAGGCGACTCTGTGGAGGAGGAGTCTTTTGAAGTGGAAGATGACGTATGTCACAGCGGCAACAATTGGCGTGCCCTCAGCTCGCTAGATGCGACCTTTGCACCGCTCACTATATGGCTTTTTTGCGAGTCCTGCGCATTTCTAGTTGTGCAAGTATTGTGTTAACCCGAGCAGCGCGCCGTGCTCTCGCGTTTGTTTGCTCAAGAACCTCCAGGATACGCTTTTGTGGGCTTCATCTCAGGGAGAATACTCGGATAGTCCGTGGCAGTCTACTAGGCCCCCGGAGGCTAGCACCTGGTCGGACGAGGCCTCCGTCACTGACTTGGGTACGGCCGGTCTTTGAAGCCGTAGCTTGGCTGCCTTACCCCTTATAAACCCCTCGCTCTGATGCAGCTTGTAAAGTTGTGAACTGTTATGAACGTGTTTTTAGCTACAGAGAATGTGCGTATGGAATTTTCGGCCCAGGGACTGTGAGGGGTTTTCCAGGCCGTGTGTGGTCCACGAATTAGGCCTTCTCAGCGCTTGCTGGCAGTTTTATAGCTTTCGAACGGGGGGCTTACAGGGGTGGATACGGTGACATGCTTGCCAATCCATGCAGCTCATCTAAAGATACTCGAGTTGGCTGGGTAGATGGCGGGCGTTCTGTGTGTCTTATTTTCTGTAGTCTGCCTAAGGCATGCGTCTCGCTATGAGGCACTGCATCTCGGGTTTGCGGTCGTGTTATGCGTGCTGTAGCTCTGCCGTGGAATCTAATAGAATATTTTTGCTGCTGTATAGGCTGCACGCAATCTGTGTGTGGTGTATGTTCAGCTGAGCTGTTGACGCGTCTCGAGCGTGCGGAGGACCAGTTGTGGTCAAACGTAGAGAAAGATGATGAGCTCGTGGCAGACTTGTTGAAGATTCCGCTGCGTTCTTTTATGACGAGCCAAAGGCAGGCTGACGCCATCGAGCGCGTGCTGAATGGGCTTAAGCGGAAAATTGCAATGTTCAAATGGCAATACAGAGAGCTCTTGGAGCTCATCAGCTCCACAGCAGTCGGGAATGCTGGTGAGATAGGAGCGCAGAGGGCAGAGGATGGAGAATTTTTTGCTACAACGCGTGGTGCACTGTGCCTTGAGTATGCACAGACGTGTTTGCACACAGGAAATGCACAGTTTATTCGTTGCTCAAGTTGCTATCACAGACTCTAAAAGCATTGTAGAAAGGGATGCACTCGTTGCGCGTTCCTCATGCTGATCGCTGGAAAGCCTTGACTGTAGCGCAGCGGGGCTTTTCTAGTGTGGCGGCACCCTAAAGAGGTAGTTGGCGGAAGCGGAGGCGCAGAGGCGTAACTTTCAGAGAAAAAATTTATGCGGGATCAACTGTGACTCCATGCAGGTGTCGTGAGGGAGAGGCTGGGTAAGCTACGCATGCGTTTGAGCGACACGCTGCGGAATGTGTCGCTGATCGCGTTGGAGGAGTTTGGGGTATTTGCAAGTCGTTTGAAGTCTAAACCGAAGGAGCGTGTTCTTGTGGCACGGGAATACGGGGCAGAAATGGCACTGAGTATGCACAGGGTGGAAACGATGGCCAAGAAGTACAAACTGGTGAGGTTGTAGAGGCGGGGTCGGTAGGAGGGGAATTGAGTATTTTAGTATTCACACTAGTCTAGGGGGACGGACTGCCGGAGGGCGGTGAAAATTAGCCGGGTATGTGGAGGAATATCTGGAAGGTTGGGAGGGTTGAGGGAACAACTGTGCTTGCAGGTAGCTTGAATATCAAGCTGCGGCATATGGAGCTGGATTTGTGTTACGCGGAAAATAAGTGCTGATGAGGAGCATAAGAGGGCGCTGCCTTTTGTAGCCAAGCTGATAGTTCGGATCTGTAGGACACATGTGCATGTGGTATGTGTATGGGATGGTGCGCAGCTGTGCGATGCACGCACGAAAGTATTGGAGCGAATGCAGAATTGGGATAAAGAGTTGACCTCTCAGTCGGTGCGAATGTCCGAACGCGCAATGGAGGAAATACGAATTCAAATGGACAGTTACGCTAGTGCAGCAGGCTCGGCCATGTCAGTGAAGGAGGCGGAGTTTACCCGGTTTGTTAAGACCTCCCGAATGGAGGAACTGTATTTTCAGTCGATCATTGAAGACTGCATACATCAGTTGAACACGAAAGGCGTCGCCGTCATAGATGTGAGCAAAGCGTGGGACCCAACTAACCCAGGTGTCCTCACGGCAGTTGGACGCATCAGCAAAATTATTGAGGCTATTTCCGCACTCAACGACTCATGGTCAATGTAAGCAAAGAACGGAAACTTTTAAGAGGGACTATCACGAAGCGAGGAGGGGGGAGGGTGTTCACTACATAGTTAGCCAAGCGTACATGCATGTCTGCACCGTCATAGGCAGTTTAGAAAAGTTCTGGCCAATAACAGATTTGGTCGATTATTTCTTTCTAAATTCATAACGAGTTGCTCTTGTTCTACAACTCTTTCAATTAAGCTGGGCAATACATCATCTGATTGCATACGGGCGCTTTTCTGTTTTCTCTTCAGCTACCCCGCGTTTGTGCACGTGGACGAGCAGGACACCAAGTACCCAGGAGGTTCAAGCCGTTTGCAGCTACAGCCCTCAGTGCGCACCATTCAAGCAGCAGTGGAACCACTGTTTCAGGAACCGGGCTTATCTCAATACTGTGTGATCTCGATTAGTCAGCTACTAACCCGCAGCGTTGTGGCTTCAGCAAATGTTGCGGGGATGGCCGTTTCACCAATCTCTGTCTTCGTCTCGACGGAACCCGCAGTTGTCTCCTCGGCCAAGCACTTTGGATTTCACTTCACGAGAAGACTCGCACACTTGGGGGCCTCGGACTTCAGTATCACCAGCGAGAATCAAAAGGTTCTTATCGCCTATTTGGGGCAAACTCCATGTAAGGATATAAACGCAGCCGTAGCTTGTCTGGTTACTCTGCTTCTTAGTCAACAGCCCAAATCGTAGATGCAGACTGAAAGCGCTGCAGCAGCATGCAGTCAGGCAGCTCAAGAGGACTCCAAAGCTGAGCATTTAGGTTTCAGGGTTCCCGATCCCCAAATTATTGACCCTTCAGGTGCAAACCCGCAGAATATGGCTGAGTAGCTAATTGGTTAGTTTTGCGGGCTGTCTTTTCTGGCAGATGGCCGTGTAAAGCGGCACTTCTCTTGCTGCGAATTGCATTGCTTAGAACTGGTAGGCAAGGTGAAGGGCACATCTTCAAGCTCAGCCTTTGCATGCCTGTGGTGCGTCTGTCTGCAGTAGGAGAGTATAAAGGAAACGAGACGCATTTGGGTTGGCTCTCTCAGTTGGGGAGCGCAATAGTGTCATTCCTGTCGTATGATGCATCAGGACCCTATGAGCTCCTCAAGCTGCGGTCCCATGTGAAAAGCGAGCTCGCTTATGTGGCGGCGATTGAGCGTAACACGAACACCAGACTGCTGTCTGAAGCACTGACTGATGGCTATGGTGCGCTGCTAGCGGACGGAGTCTCAGATCTCGGATATGTAAAACTCTTCGAGAGACATAATACCGCAGTCTTTGTTGGCATCACCAGGCTCCCCCCCTTGCAGTTGCCACTCTCTTCCTTCCTCAGGTAGGCATGCTGCAAGCATAATCAACATAACGGCGCCGTACAAGGCTCATGTTCGTGGCGAACTTGATGTTTTAGGGATAGGTTAACCAACTGCGGCAACCTGTAGTGCCTGATCACATTAGGCCTGGCGCGTCTGATGCATGTAGTAAGAATGGGTGTCACCGTCAACGGATTCATAGCCAAGTGTCAACACAAGCTTGCAACTTCAGCGTGCTTGCGAACCGTGCACTAGCCACGCCATGCGTTGCACCGGACGCTTTGCTTCTGCGTGTGTTATCTCAGAGCGGCTGCGTTCATTATGCGCATTGAGGTGGCGCGTTCGAAGTATGGGCAACGGGAGTACGTGGTGCCATCACGAGATACAGTGTTACAGGCCCTGACGCACTTGTTTCTCTACCCAGTGATCGGTGATGCTCAGGCATTGGTACGGACGAAGCTGTGGAGCGATACACGTTTCCCCTTACTGCGAGTGAAGTCAGGGTGTTCCCAAAGCTACCTTGTTACCTCCCAGAAGCAGATTCTGTTAGGGAGAGATCACATAGCAGATCTTAGGGGCCAGCATCTACACAGGGACTCGATGGTAGCCACGCTCACCTCGTATGTATCCACTGACTTTATCCCACAGAATATCGAAGCGTTCAGAGAAAAATTAGATGGACGCATCTTGTACGTCCAGGTTTGTATTGTTGGAGAACAGTGTGGATAGCGGATTTCAGGGGAGCCCTTGTTTGAGAAAGGCAAAGGCTCTGACGCGAGCTTTGAGCGAGCCCCTGAGCGCTATAAAATCGTAGCTGAGATTTAGTTTCAAGCGGCATGTTCAGGCCTAAGGCTGAGACGAAGGTCGGTAGAGGGCCTTTGGCTAAGCTAAAAGCCAAGCCTATGTCTATCGTGCACGGCAAGGGCTGAGGGTCAAAGGGCCCGCATGTGGGCTCTGCCTATGAATGAGATTGAGGCTAGGACATATGGTGCAGCGTGAGCCTGAGGCTGTGGCTGATGCTTTTAAGTGCGGCTGTATGCTGCGGAACCACCTTCGTGAATTGGTGAGTCGCCCCTTGGCTTTGCTGTGAGGTTTAGCGTGTCTAGGTACCTTGCCCTGCTACGTGCAGTCGAGTTGCTCGTAACAGGTTTTCGCTGCTGCCAGTGTGCGATGCGGCCCATCAGCAGTTCGTTCCCGACTTTGTAGTAATGGAGCAATCCTGCTTGCACACCTTTTTGCATGTACAGTGAACCGACGAAGGCCCCACCACACCCTGGCTTCCGTCAAAGTCCAGCATTTTGTGTTTTACTGAATATCAAGTCCGACATACGTGCAATAGGCACTACAGTTAGCTAAAACAGTAGGCGGATCTTCGATAGTGCTATGGCACTGAGTGCTCTTGAGACCAGTGACACCGGGGACATTTCAGCTCTCGCCGCGCAGTGCGCCCTCCTTTTGCCAGGTTAGCCAATGCTTTTGCCTTTCCAGCTATTTCTATCTTCGCTTGTCATGTATTTCATACAGGTAGTGCAGTTTTCCTCCTCCAACTAGAATATGTAGGATTCAGATGGACTTGAAGCCTGTTGAATTCGAGGCAGGCGCCTTTAGGCGAAAAACCCCTTTCAGGTGTGCCCTTGTGCGCTAGACTACAAGTCTTGGGGCCAGTGTGAAATAGAGCATGACCTGTATCGGGTTGCGGCACAGGTAGTGGCACTTGGACATAGCATCCACCGAAGCGACGTAGTGCTCGTACCTATCTACCTACCGGCCTTGGCTATGTCAAAATCTGCTTTCTTCTGTCGCCTGAAGCGCCTGCTTGCATCTTTGATTCATCTGTCTCAAAGTACGTGTAATATCCGCCTAATCGCGGTCCGTCTCTGACTAAGTGTACCCCCGTATCAACTCTTTTTGACGCAAGCGGCCCTCCCCTACGTTTGCAACTACCCCAGGACGCTGGGCAACCCCACAAGTCGTCCTGTAGGGCAACAGCCCTCAACAGCCTGTCCTCGGAAGCCTACAAAACAGTGGCCTCTGCGCCGCTGCAGTCAAAGCAGAACGGCGATGCCGCGCTAGATATGGAAGGCTACGGTCAGAAATCCGTGAGGACCAAAGGCTGCAGTGGCGAAAAGCCCTTCCTACGCGCCCTTGGTAAGCTCTACAGGTGCTTCAGCAACCCGTGGCCGTTTCGCTGTCGGTAAATCTGTCCCAGGCTCCGCCTGCGCACACGTACCCGAAACTTCCAGCAAACACACTAGATGCATCTCGGCCGTCTCTCTATCGGCCATAAACTGCGCGTCGTATTAATCAGTGCACACATCCCACAATTCCAGATCCTTGACCAAGAGACAGTGCAAAGCGCCCGATTAGGGCCCCACATGTTAAAGGCCAAAGCACTCCGGACTTGAACTAGGGGTTTCCTAATAAATGTATACCTTGCTCTGTTCTTCGCTAGCCGCTGCTCGTGCTTCTTTCTGGGAGTCATTGCTGCTTTCGTTCCGCCTTTTCTCGCCCCCGCTCGCAATCGAAGCCTCAGCTGTCGAAGAGGCATTCGAAGAGGTGGTAGAGTCTCTTGCAGGAGCTACTTCAGTGGCTTTGGGGGCACCTTGCTGGGCATCCTGCAACTTCCCGTGCAGTGCGTCCAATACCACTGCGGCACAACACAAAAAGTCCAGGAGCACAGTGTCACGCCTAACTAACACGGGATTAGGTGCTCCATACAAAAGGGATTTTCTCAGCCTCCTAACTTCTCCTGCTTGCGATTGCACAAATGCCACGTCCAGGGTAGAAACCCAAACACCTACGCGGCCCCTTCCAAAGAAAAGCACCAAAACAATGCCAACCGAAACCTTAATCCCCAAGTGCACTGGCCCGGCGAGAGCGCTTTGTGCGGCTATCTGCCAAAGCGCAATATTACGCGGGTAGATCCACACAAGCAAATAAAACTACGTGCCAGTCGGTCGCAGCCATACATACCTTGCGAAATGCCCTCTTTCTTCAGGGCGTTGGGGTACATACCCTCCAGCACCGCGCAAAGTTTCTGAATCGAAAGTACACAAGAACACTCAGCTGTGCCGTCGACCATTCTCTTATCTCCGATGAAGGGCTATTTGTCAGCTCTGCGCGTAAGCTCATCCGACAAGAACGAGGCTTTGCTGTTGCCTCCATGCACCACGTGTATATAGGCGCCGCTTCATTAAGAAGCCAATGATGCATCGCCTTTAATAAATACAAGCCCATGCAGCTCTCTGCCTGCCGTAAGCTCGTTTACGCAACGAGGCCTTTAGTAGCCCGCCAAGCCCTTAACTGGAAGAACCAGAGGCCTTCACTGCGCCGACTTGAAGGCTATTCCGCTGCAGGGCCTTACCGCCTCAGATGATCCCCTTGCCCAGTAGAGTGCTCGGTGCGCTCAGCTCCAAAATCTACTGGTGAGGATTCTATTGCCTTACCTGAGGTTGTGAAAAGGACCAGCAGCGAACTTGTTTGGTGATTTTGTTCCACGCAATTCCTGAAAGCCACAAACCCCCAAGCGGCCCAGCAGCTTCCCATTTAGAAGCCGAAATGTCACGCACCAGAACCCCGTAGACAGTGCAATGATGCACCCCTTCCCCTATCTACCCCTTGTGTATGTCCCCCGTGTCTCCCCCTCCAACGGCCACACGCTTTCCACTGAGCGCTACATTCTGCCATAGCCCCCACACGAAGCAGCCTTCCGCGAGTCCGCATGCATACCCACCCCGGTTGGGCTGCGCAAGAGCGCATCTGTTGATAACCTCGATGCACTCCTTCTCGCCTCCGTGCTGCAGCTCAAAGGCCAGAAAAGAGGCCCACGCGTCGCCAAGAGACGGATCAAGCGTGACGCTTCTGTTTAGCCATTTTCGAGCCTTGACAATTTTTTGGTCCCTCCAAAATAAACGCGCTACTGCATGAATTACGTGTGCATCGTTCTCGCACTTCGTCAGGGCATCGACTGCTTTGTGTGTCTGAGAAGCAGCACACACACACACACAGAGAGAGAGAGACGTGAGGCCTTAGATGCAACGGATACGCGCAGCAAGGAAACAAAGAGATGGCTTTAGAGTTTGCGGCCTTTTGTGGACGCTCATCTCCATTCATAATCAAACTCTCCCCCCCTTCCGCCTTCCCTCCCTCCCGCCCTTTGCCCCAGTTCGCCAGCGACGCAACAACACGGCAGCAGAGACCGCAACAAAGCTTGTTTGTACAAGGCTTCTGTGATGCAGCCCATCACAACACCTCTCCGCAGCCTCCAGCCAAACCCCCCGTCTTCCCTCCCTCCCCCCACACAGACACCTCTTCACGCGAAGCTTAGAGGATGTCATGACCTCATGTGCAACGCAGGCGCTCACCTGAGCATTTTCCTCCTCAAGAAAAATAGCCTCCGCCCAGATAATGCCAGCGTTGGGACATGTTTGTATCGCCTTAGCAGCGACGTGCTGCGCGACCTCCTTGTTGCCCGCCTCGATCTCGACTTGCACGAGAGACAGCCATAACTCCGGACTGTTTGGCACCCGAAGCTTCGCCTTCTCCAAAACAGCGCGCGCTCTATTCCAATTCTTCTGGCCCCGCTCACAGTCCACCCAGCAAAGCCACAAGGGCACACTCCTCGGACAGCATACCGACCCCTGTCTGTACACCTCAATGGCCATGTTAAGGTCCCTTCGCGTGGGGTGCTCTTCGTGCAGTTGACCACGCACCATCCACAGCTTCGCAAAGGTTTGGTGCTGCTTGACCGCCTCCTCTGCAAGTGCGATCGCCGCATCGTAATCTCCCAACTGTCTCTCCAGCTGAATGGACTGCATCCACGCGTTCGGCGTGTTGATGTTCTGTCTCGTGCGCTTTAAGAGTCTCCGTGCACGCGTGAACTCGTTATTCTCCCTTTCCAGCTTGACGGCGGCAAGAGAAATAGCCTCACTGTTCTCATTGTGTGAGAACGCCTCTGCCAGAATACGCCGCGCCGCATTAATGTCGCCCTTCAGCCACTGTTGCTTGGCAGCCATAAGCCACAGAACATCCGCTTTTGGACAGCATGCAACCGCCTTCTGTAACACCTTCTCCAAGGCTTCCCGCGTGCCGTGCTTCGTCTCGAGATCCGCTAAGGCTAGCCAGAGACTCTTCTTTGTCCGAAGACGGTCCAGCGCATGCGTATAGAGCGCCCTCGCCACTGCAACTGAGCCTCTGCTAAGATACTCCTCTGCATCTTCACTCCACACACGCTTCGCGTTGATCCCCTCGACCCCGACTTTCATGGATGCCTTCACGATAGCCTGCGCCGTCTTCAGGAAGCCCGAACTCTCAGCCTCCTCAGCGAGCTTTAGCCACACATCGCGCGTGTGCGCTACCCCCCGACCAATAAGGTTCTCCACAGCCCTCCCAATAATAACGTCTACCATCTTCTCGTTGCCTTGCGTCTCTTCTAACTTGCACGCGGCAACCCAAATCTCCGGAGAGGTGGGGCACTTCTTCCTGGCCTCATTCAAAACCTTTTGAGCCTCCTCGTAAGTGCTCAGCCTCGCAAGGGCAAGCCACATCTCATGAGACTGTGGTACACATTCGACAGCGCGCGTAAGCAGGATACGCGCGTTGCGCTCCTCCTCCAAGCTGCACGCCTCCTTCCACAGACGCACAGAGTTTGGAATAAACTCCAGAGCCTTTCGGAGAACTAAGCGCTTGTCATTGAGGTCCTTCTCACGGCCGTACGCATCAAGCCATAGTCGCACCTGCAGACGCACGAGCCGCCAACAAAACTCACCCCTTATGCAACAATCACCGGGGGCATCCTGCACTCGTCCCCACGAGGCGACACCGCAGTATAGACAACAAAAAACACACTGCATTGCACTGCACAGCATGCCTTTCGACACATTGTCATAGAAGACATTCAAAGATCGAAACACCCCTACTCCCGAAAAAAATATCCGTGCCTTGCCATTACTTGCTGTATCAACACGATGACCCCTTTCCAGATAGGTGTGCTGCGTGCATGTGCTCCAAGCGCACCCAGAACGTTCCTTAGCCCATTTAAATTCTCTAAACGCCTTTATCAACTTCAAAATATGCCTCACTACACATCGTCCTCGAGCCACTACACACACCCCCGACGAGCTCTTACCGAGTGCGGCAGTACAGACACCGCCTTCGCGAGAACGGCCTTCGCGTTGCGAGGCTTCTCAAGCCGCGCTGCCTCCAGCCAAACGTCTTCGCTCTTAGGACACCGCTGACAGCCCAAGGATATAAGCTCGCGGGCTGCTTGCAACTTTCCTAAAGTACAAGCGACGCGCACACGCGCACAAAACCTACTGTAAAATGCAGAGATATTTACGGGCAAGGTCCGCGGATACAAAAGGAGAAGGAGAGAGGCAAACAAGCCTCCCCAAAAAAGAGCAACATCGGACGGAGAGGAGGGGCCAAGAGGGAGGACGACAGGACGAGACGGGGTAAGCGGTCTTGGTCACGTGCCGCATGCGGAAAAGATTTGCAACGCTCCATGACTGCGCAGCCTCAGGTGCAACGAGGCAAGACACAGCAAAGGCAGTTATCATGTCGCACCTGCTAACTCTTCTAAACGCGCCGCCGCGATCCAGCCGGGTGCGTGGTTCGGGTTGGTGGAGATCACTGATTTCAGGAGAGTCCTCGCCTTTTTGATATCCGCGATATCCGCGTCACTTTGCAGCTGCATGCAGACATGGAGAGGACGGGAGCGTTCCTCAAGAGAGGTAGGCACAGCTGCATCCCGTCTGGTGCAGCGCATCCACCGAGCTAAACCCCCCTCCCCCTCCCCTGATTGCCGTCCTCGTCTGTGTGTATTGCAAGTGGCGCCTTCGGAACAGCCCCCACCCCCCCTGAAACACACCTGCATGGAGTTCAGATCGGTAAGGTAACCCTTGGGGTCAATAACTGTTTGGCCGGAGATGCTGTCCATGACTTTGTCGAGCTTCACCGACAGCACAGTGCCTCTGGCTTCCCCCAGATCGTTGAGCGACGGAGTGCTGCTGCCCATTGGAGTGCGGAGGCCTAGAGGCGTTTGGATTCCTAGAGGAGTTTGAAGCCCTAGTGGAGTCGACAACCCCCCCCCCGCCATGAGCGGTGTTGCCATTCCAAAGCCAATCGGCGTCGCCGAGCCAGCGCTTGCTATCGAGTTGGAAAAAGATTCGCGGTTACGGGCTTCTAGCAGTCCGCGATCAGAAGCAGGGGTCAGCAGCTGCTGCTTCTTTTGCTTTCGCTTCAATGTATAGTCCCCTATATCCGGGATTGATTCCCACTCCTCTGCGAGAAAGCAGTCCGCAAAAGAAAGCGCACCCCCCTCACTCACTGCAAAGTACTCGCATATCAGATCCAACGGCAAACGACAAAGGCCCGGGAGGAACACACACCCTTAGCTAACGGTGCCTATAGCCATGCGATGCTCCCTTTTGCACGAGCGCGTGGTGAAAGGAGGCGTGCGCATCAGATGCCAGGCCTCTTGGGAGAGCGTTTTTTGCCGTCCTCTCGCACATGCACGGCCCCTAACGAGGGTTTCACATTTGTTATAAGAGAGAGAGGAGGGGGGATTTTCTGAGCCAGTCTGCTTCTCGTGATCGAACGGAAACTAAGACAAGGCGAGCACTCCATGAACGGCGCCTCAAAGGGCTCGCTGGTAGCCGTCAAGAAGTTTCTCTTCTCCCCTTTGCCCTAGTTGCGCTTGCTGACCTTGTGTGACAGTCGCAAGTCCCTTCTTTAGGTCGGCAAACTGCTGATGGATGGTAGGCTTCTCCGCGCGCAACTTGGCGATCTCTTCCTTGAGCCGCGCCTCTCGACGCGACTTCCGTCGACCATCCATGCGCTGGTCTATGGACTCGTAAACTTCGTCTGCTACTCTGTCCTCCTCATCGTACCTAAGCCAGCAGAGCAGGAGGCGGAGGATGCGCGGAGAAGCAGCCAGAGGTGAGGAGCAGCAAATTGCAATACTCAACACAAAAAGCCCACCACCACTACCCAGAAAGCCACAGGGAGGAGAGAAAGGCAGAGCGAGGGGAGGGGAGGGGAGAGGGGGGAAGGAAGGAAGCGCTGTTAGCAAAAAGAAGCGGCTTTCTCCGCAAGACAGAAGACGGGAGCGCAGCGGCGTCAGTGGAAGCACATGCGTGACACCAGAGGAGAGTAAAGGATAAGACACAGACAGACAGGAGCATGCGCGACGGCAGCAATAAATAGATGGGCGTGTTCGAAGCCATCCTTGTCACCGAGTGGACTCTGTTGCCGCGCTGCCCATAGCTACTTCCTAGCCTCCACGTACTCCCCTAAAGCCTCTCTGCCCCTTGTCTTTCCTCTGCCTTACTCGCCGTCATTAAACAAGTTTTCAGCGTAACCCGTAAAGGGGTCGAAGTTGGCGTCGCTAAGATCGCTCTTGTCTGTAGGCCCCTGAGTATAATCCACTGAGTCATCACGGCTAACACCCCCTGCAAAGCCTGTAGCTCCCCGACCACGACCTGGTATGTATCCGGGGGGGGGCTTTCCAAAGAGTCTGAGTGCCGCCACATCGAGACAAGAGCACAGCAGAGTGGCTAGGAAAGAAAAAATTGCAGAAACGTCAAAAACTTGGAAGCACACGGATGGTGTGAAGCAGAGAACACCCGATATATACACATATATGTATGTCTATATATACAGATGAGGACAGAGAGAGATAGAAAGACAGACAGAGAGGCAAAGAGAACGACAAATAAAACGGTGTCGCGTCACGCAGGTCCCAAATTACATCGACAAAAGTGTTTTATCACACGGCTAGCCAAAAATTTTCCTTCTCGTTCCACAGCGCACTTACTCTGCAGCACGCTTCTGACTCTCTGCACGAGCCGCTGCATCCCGAACTTCTCTCAGTTTGATGCTGGATGCCACAGGGGCCGGAGCCGTCTCAGCTCTTGTAGTGAAAGAAGTTGCCCCCCTCCCGATGCCAGGCACGTAGTTCGGAGCAGGTGCCTCATTTGCCGCAGTGGGGACAAATTTTCGAGCTCCTGGCAATAAAGATCGCGACATGGCCTCCGCCGTCAGTCAACGCTGAAACCGAATGCACAAAAAGATACCTGGATGGGAGCGCTCCTGCACGCGACACACAAAAAGGCTGTGCTGTAGGAAGAGGGACAGGAAAAGGCAAGTACTGCGGCGAGTCGACACGCATAATTAGCTGAGACCAAGACGAAAGAGGAGGGGCGGAGGCAGACGCAGAAGGGGGGGAGCGTCGCCCCTGCGTCATGTAATTGTAAGAGGGTAGCAACAGATGCGGCCGCAGTGTCAAATCAGTCGTGAAGGCTTAATGACCAAAGAGGTCCTATGCTGTCGCTGCTGCTCCGCGGCAAGAGCAACTTCACCCCCTCTCCCCAACTTGCCCAAAAAGATGCGCACTCGACACACCTCGGCAGGAAGAGGAAGGCGTTTGAGGCTCTAGGGGCCGACTGCCCCCCAGAAGGAGCGCTGCCCGCAGTTGGCACGTAGAGCGCAGAGAGGGATCCTCCCTTAGGACTCTAAACCTAAGAGAGGTCGGCAAATTAGCTGTGGCGTGGTCTGGGATGTGGTCGCAAGAAAAGCATGCAAGGCGCGCCAGGAAGCCTCAAACGGCGTACACAGAGAAGAACGGAGATAAGAAAAGGAACTAAATGTTTATTTTCCCCTGCAACAAAAGCCACGGGGGAGAAAGCCGCTTAGATCAAAACACTGCAGTGCATGCGCTACATGGCAGCCCATTGTCCCCTGGGGGCCCCCCAAGCTTCTCCAAGACACACAGACAAACAATTGTGGAATTTACCACAGACTTTCTTTAATATTCTTTCCTACAGACTTTTTATTCCGAAGCGCATTAACCATAGTGTGCCGATACAGTGGTTTCAGCCTGCGTCTAACCGATAGTGCAGTGCTGAGCAAGGAGCAAATCCCTTAGCGTAGCCTCCCGCTAAGTCTTTGTGAGGCAGAGCCTCCCACAAAGGTGTAAGCGAGCATCTAGTGGATGAGCTAGTGTGGCTTTGTAGAGAAGCAACATAGTGTACGATTTTGCATCGAGGAGTTAAAACACGAATCTGGTTCTGGATTTGTTTCGCGACACAAGTTTTACGGAATGGGAGCTCGGATTTAAGTGTTAAAGCTGCCTAGAGATATCCAGTCCTCCTTGGTAGCTATGGCTGTGAATGTTAAGAATGCTACATGCTTCTTTTCTCCCCTTTAGGCCAGCTAGCCTGGGTATGAGGGGAAGCACACTAGAGCAACATGCGCGTACGCTGTCTGGTTGTATACTACCTACTATGCATAGCAGATGCTAACCTAGCTTGAAGCATGGTTGCGCGTATAGAATATGCTTTGTAATACAGCATTGGCTGTGCACCACCTGGTATCGTGGGATCCGAGTGCAAGCAAATGTGACACTGCATCCAATTACCCGGACCTCTTCGAGACTTCCGGTAGACATTCCCGTTGATCCGTTTTCTGCTAAGCTGAAACTCGAGGTCGGGGACCAGAGCAAAAAGGAGCCTTTGAAACCTAAGAAACAGTGACTGCTCCCACTTCTCTCGTAATACGCCTGCCTGTTTCTTCGCAAGGATACCTGGAAACAAAAAATCAACCAAGGGCTGAAGGAAAATGCCAAAGCGCTGTCCCATTCTGTAGTGGGTTAAGCTGCACTTAAGCGTTTCGCACTGTTCCAATCAGAAAATACTAACAATGAGCAAAGAATTGACTAGTTGGTCTGTCAATTCATGTGCTCTTTAGTATCTGGCAGTGTAAAGCCAACATAAGAAGACACAATGCTTCGTGCGTGTGCACTAGGTGCTATGTGCAACTAACTGTGAAGGCTTGGAGTGTTTAGAGAGTGTAGCTACGCTCAGCGCAGCTGTCGCTCTCCCCTCATATCGGACATCAGAGGGGCACAGGCAAACGAAGGAACCCTTCTTTTAAAAATTTGGGTAATTGACTATTAAGTTTGTATTGGATGTGCAGGGAAGTGTCTCCCTACGGAGGATCTAAGAGGGATCGTTTCACAGCTTAACATTTTGCCAAAGATCCATGTAACTGAACAGCAGACATGCTCCACAAAAAGTGGAATGTGGATGCGCCGAAGCTGTGCAGCCAGAGAAACATGAAGCCTCAACTCAAAAGCAAACTAAAGTCGTCGGACGATATCAGTCTCATATCAGGTTAGCCTGACACAGAGTCACTTGGTCATTTGAGCGATAAGCCGTTTAGAGCTCGGGCAGGACCTACAAGTATACAGGCACAAGTGGAATGCATGTGGAATCTAGGGGACTCGGTATGCATTGGTGGACTCTGAAGAACATCCGCGGTCAGTAAACTGCAAAAGTAGAGCAGATCTCCGAAGGCCAAACACTGAAGTGTGGCCATATGCACCCGCCTAACAGGTGAGGGGAAAGCGTTAACTAGATGGAAACACATGGACAGTATTTTGTATGTAAGGCGAGCTTTTAGCACCGATGCCGTCATGAATGTCGAATAAAGACAAATCCAGGATGTAAGCTATGTTTTAGTCCTACAACGTCTTGATTCCGGTATAGGACAGTCCTGGACCGAAGGTTTGACATGCCGAGGCATTCAACACGCGAGGAGCTCCGGACCTGCTTTAGGTGCGCTCACAACATCAAAAACAAGGAGCTACCTCAGACCAAAAAAGCGTATAGTGTGACACCAGAAAAGTTTAAGGTTTCCCGAAGAATCATGGATACGAGTGTGGCCCCAGGGATAACTGTGCACGCACAAGTTACAAAATATACAGAAGAGATCTGTTGGTGGCGATATTTCTAGGTAGAAAGGCAAGCCTATGGTGCGAAGGCCAACACGGTGAGGAGGCTGCATTCCACAATTCCCCGTCATAGAATAACTGTACATTCTGTACTTCCAAGCAGATCGAGAGGCAATGTTATCTAAAGAAAAAATACTGATAAAAGCTTTTACTCAGTGTACGTTTTAGTGCATTAACGTGTGCTGGCTATTCGTATTTGAAGGCCGACGTGTTAGCAGTACCGGCAGCTCTTACGGGGGTATCATTGCGGTCCACGACCCAGTACGGAGACAAACTCATTTTTCTCTTCTCACTGAAGCCTTCTCTCCAGGTTGTGGATAACCATGGATATAACTGAGGTCTTGGAGTGCTGCTTTCCGGCGTATTGCAATATGATTTTCCAAGTACCCATAGCCTGGGTATATCAAAGATATTTGGTGGGGCAGCATCAGAACTTTGAATGTAGTTAAGGCATTCTACTTCAGAATTTGGTGGGATACACAACTGCTTTTATAGTGGGGGCTTCGAAAAGCTTGCAGCGGAACATTGCCTCTTACAGATGTTGGTCTTCCACTGAGACACGACAGCTACCAAAGGACAGAAAGCACTCTAATACTCAGCCGTTCTTATAATGAGAGGCTACTTCATCAGAAAAACTTCAAGTAGAGCAATAATTAAAAGAAGGTTGTCAATATTCTAGAGGACGTAGAACGCGGGCACACATGCGGAAGACCCTAAGTCCGTCAGACTGTGGACTCGGAACCCTACTAAATACCTTTAAGAGCATTCTCTAGCGGGCCAGAGCCTGTTAGACGGCTTCGCAGTCGTCTCTCTAACATAACGCTATGCCTATTGGTGAACCTATGGTGCAGGTAACCCCAATGTTTGCTCCATGAAGTGTCCCTACAATGTAGCAATAAATCCATTTCTTTGTTCACTGCTTTAAGTTGCTTCTTACTATGCGGGGAGAATGCATCGGGGAGCACGATTTGGCTATCCATGGGCAGCAACAGCATACCACAAGATGCGTGACCACCAAGAGGAGCGTGTTCGGGTTTACCACAAATGTATCAGTGTATATGTCTGATGTGCCGCGTACCAATGTGGCGACGCAACTGCCTAAAAGCGTTGCATGCTGAGCACACGTTTCTCAGCCCTATGCCAAAAATAGTCTTTCACGGAGCATGCAATTCTAAACCGTGGTGGGCATTGGCTTCCAGTGCTTGGTGTTGGATCGAAGTGCTATTGCCCTCACATCAAATGGGCATAATTTGCGCAAACGCATCCTTTAGGCTCTCAGCGGTCATCCGTGGTGGAGAGTAGAAATTTCCCAGCTTGTTATCTCTGTTAGCTTCTACGGTTTCTCTTTTCCGTTTTCTCCCCATGACGGGATGCCATATCTTCATCGACTGTGAGCCCTTGAGACGTGTGCTTCCCGACTGTACCGTATTCGTTCGTGTGTGGCTTCTCCAGCCCCAGTAATTTCTTAGCGTACGGTGTCTATCTCTAGGCCTCTCTGTATTTCATTGCTGCCCATTTTTGGCTCCCCTGCGTGCCGCTTACAACTGCGCGCCTATTGAGTCCTGAAGAACCTTTGGAGCTGCCTATTGCGGCCAAGTCTCTCCAATTTCCATAGGCGTATCTAGTAAGCTGAGCTTAAGGGGGGCGCCTTAATCAGTCGACACCAAGCTTTTGTCCGTTGAGGGTCACGATCAAAACCAGAGCCGTCAAGAGGGGGGGCCCCTGGGGCTGCAGTGAGGTGACGGCTTGTGCGTCCGAAATTCTAAGGCTCATTCCCCCTCAGGCTGCAAGTAAGCCAATTTATTATTCAGGTTGTTCCTTCTCTTTTTTAGCTGTTTCAGTGGAGGATCTCCGCGGAAGGGCCCTATTTTGGGCCCGTTGCTGTGGGGCCTCTGGAATCCAAAGGTATTAATCCGTGGGAGCTTCTTTTGCTATGGAACCAAGGAGACCTTCTCCCCCCGATAATTGAAGCAGTGTTATTCGGCCCTCTTCAAGGACAGATTGTTGGCAGGATGAAGCGAAGGTCAAGGACGACGGGCCAAAGCACCGTGGCAACGTTCGATTTTGCCGCAAGGCGGTAAGAGTTTGGCGTTTCTTCGCTGCAGAGACGTGCTCACTCGCCCTCAGTCGACTCCTGCTACCTCCAAATCTTGCTGATGGCGGTCGTGGGACTGCTGCTACTGCCCTTGTTGCTCCAGGGGTACGGTTTTCTGGTATATACCAGCATCTCGCGTGCAGGTTTAGGGCAAGCAAGCACATAAGTTGCTATGGCTTATCCTATGTTGCCGACCGCAGTGAATTCGTGACTGGTGCTACTCACCGCAAAGAGCTGAGGAGGCGCGATGCTCAGGCGCGGCTTCTCGAGAAGCGGAAGGAAGAACGACGTCTACTGCGGGCCGAGGTGTGCGTTTCACAATTCAGCTCTCCTCCAAGCCTCCATTATTTTGCTACTTTGAGTTAGGGCCCCCCAAATTTTGAATGGCCTTCCACTTTTCGTGACAAACAGGACTCTATTAATCGCTATTCTTGTATGATGTAGCCAATCCAGGAAGTGATCTGCAAGGCTGAAAGTGACCAGCTGTACATCACAGTATTTACATGAAAAAACGAAAATGCGCCTACATAGAGGGCGAACATTGTGCACTTGAGCGTATCTTTAAGGTGCTAGCATATGCCCAGCTGAAACGAGTCAGTGTGGTTATGCCAGTGCGGATCGGGCTTCTCACTGTCTTTCCTTACAGCGCCGCGAAAAGATAAGGGAACATATTAACCACGTGAATCGCAGTCAACAGCTTGCTGCAGCCGCCGCTAATCCAAATCTGAAGGCTCACAGCCTCAAGGACAACATCAGTTGCAGCAGTAAGACGACCAACGCACCAGGTACGCAGCCATACCTCGGAATGAGGTTCAGCATTTGAGGCAGAGCCCATAAACGCGTATCGGCGCTCATTCTGACTGTCCTTTGGGTCTAAATTGCAAGAGGGGGCATAGGAGTGTCGCTGCTGCTATTCTTCGGTGAACAGAGTGAGCCAGCTAGGCATTGGTTGGACCTGTTCCCCTTGCAGGGGGGATGGCTGCATTGTGTGCTCTTAAATCACTCTGCATCTTACCCAATATCCTGGACTACATGCCTGTCTCTCACCCGCCGCTGTTTCGCTCAGACGATGTCTTAAACTCCAGGAAGGCTTGCAGCGTTCAGCCCCCCCAACGCCCCTCAGCTAACGTCATACAGGTGTGAACCTGTGTCGACCCGAGGGGCAGGCTATCAGTCTGTTTCGTACATTTTTGCTTTCAATCTCTGCGGAGTCTCGGGTGCTTTTTTGGCGCCTGCAGTGTATACACGAGCGCACTCTCTGTAACCCTCGGGTTCTGTACTGCATGTGCGCAATGTGAACTGCAATCTCACGCAACTCCCCCTCGCATGTTTTCTTTTGACGCTGCTTTCCTCAGGCCGTCCGCCTGCTGCCGGCGGAAGCTCCTGAAGGTGCCTCAGTGTCTCCTTGGCATATTGCGTCGTGTGTTAGCCTGTCGCTAGGTGGTTTCCCACAGCCTCGGGAACCAGAAGCCGAAGCATCCCCTGCTGCCAGCACAGATAGCGGGCTGCCTTCTTCCCGACCCCCGCTACGCTCTTCTTTACAGGTAAAGGAAAGCAAAGCGGAGGTGAGTCCCTTGCCTTCGGGCGAAGCCGAAGTAAAATCATATGGCAAGAAGCGGCACGTGGGAGCCCCCGGACGGTGTAGAGGTGGCAAGCACAAGCCACAGAAGAAGCGGCACAAATCGCGCAAACCTCAAAAGAAGCGCAATGGTCGCTAGTGAATTAAAGATTCTTTGTTGTTGTGGGCAATGCCTTTACACCAGGAGGGTCGCATTACCTCCCTCGTACATGTACACCAGGGCTCACGTAGCAACCAGTGTTTAGGGACGGCTCGCATGAAGTCTGTAGTGTTGCTTATACACACAGTAAACAGCACGCAACAACAGAAGCTCCAGGGGTTTGACTTATGATGCCACTTCATCTTCAATGCCCTCTCTGATGTAGCGTGATACGCAAAACCCTGTAACTTGTTGGGTCGGAGTACAACGGATGAATCACAGATAAGAGTTGTGTAAGTGTAACTCAGTTAAGTACTTCTCAAGGCTCCCTGCCCAGACCAGCTTCCTGTGTACAGGCAGCTTTCAAACTGCTGGGCTGCGGGGATTTCTGATCTGTATTCCCACGGGAACGCAAAGCTCGGCTCTTTGTGTTGCTCGTCTGAGAATCGCAAACAATTGAACAACCTCTCGAAGGGCCCATGCGGAGGCCCTGGTGCGAGAGTTCGTGGATTCCGCCGTACGCAGACGACATGAGACAGAACTCGTTTCGAAGACGCTGCATACGCATTTGGACGAGGCAGAGCTGCCATTTCCAAAGTCACAGCCGCCACCCCGCGTTAGGGGGTTCCATGATGAAGGAAACGCATCAGGCTAAAAGCGGCCTCCCCCTGGCGTCATCAGCGAACACCACTCCGCACTTCGTCATGGGTGGCAAGCACGTCTCCGACTAGCTGCCCCCGTGCCTTCTTGAAACTCCTTGCCTCTTCAACCCGTGAAATCTCCTGTATACGCCGTAAGCTCAGGTGCCCCTAAACAGCGGTTCCAATGGCCCTCCGATGATCGATCCAAGAGGAGAGTCAGAAAACGGCGTGACATGAAGACAAACATCCCCTGAGCTCTTGCCGCCCCTGTCCTTGTAGCGAGCGGGCAGAAGCCGCAAGCGGGTTGCTGCTCCCCCTGATCTCTTCAGGGGTTGCCTATAGCTCACTGGATGGAGGTACCTCCGGTATTCTATTCTTCGAAAAGATGAAAAGCGGGCAAAGGACAGGGGCTGTGCTTGCAAGGTGCACGCACGCTTTTGCACCATTCTCAAACAATCCGTGCTGGCGTATCTGCGCGGGCAGCCGCTTCGGAAAGAGCAAGCAATCGACGACATGGCGGCTCTAGTTTGGTCAGCCATACAAAAATGGGTAAGACGCAACGGAATGGCACAGAAGCAAGGAATCAAGAGGCAGGAGGCGGAGACCTGGGCAGAAACGTCAGAAAACCACGCAGGAAAAAGAAACGGAGCGAGGGCGAGGGCAACGAAGAGAGGGTAACGATAGTGAAAACTTGCCCGCATGCATGCAAGCAAGTATTTGCATCATGCTTATTACGTGCCGCACCATTACATGAAATTTTCGTCATCGGGACCCCATTTCCTCCATTCAACCTCTTCATCGTCATCAACCAGTACGGGACGCTTCTGCGTAGCAACGTTCTCCTTTTGTTGCAAGGAAGGCGCATGCTTTGATGCCGAGTCGAGGGGGTTTATCCCGGAGCTGAGCGTCCACAGGTGTCCAAGAGATGCGAGCCTAGGAAAGACAGGTGGTCCCTTTGGAGGCGGGGATTCTTGTTGCCCTGCCTTCGTGACGATAGAATTCATGCTTTCACCGTCGGCTCCAAATAAAAACAAAGGGTTGTGCATTGTTTCATTAAGGGCAGCGGCGATATCCCTGATGTCTTCGGCCAGCCAGGTGGTATCGAAGGTCGGCACGAGACTCCGAAGACGTGACATGACCCCAGTAGACGAATCGAGTGTCTCTGATGCTTCACTCCCAATCGATGCGTCCTGCGAATCAGCAGGGGGAGGCACCTCTAAAGGTGGCGTTGGTGCCGGCTTCCCGGAAACCTTTTCCACACGGAACGCGTCACCAGTAAGGCTGTCATCTGCTGAGACCACACAATCAGGTTACCGCCGCAGAAACTTGCAGAGCGGTAAAGCATTGGAAAATCACGTCTTATTTGCAGGATAGGAAGCGAGAACGCAGAAAGAATATTTAAGTCAAGCAAGGTGCGAAATAACTGCTTGACAGAGGCTGTCAAGCAGTTATTTCGCACAAAGGTAATAAAGTAGAACCAAGGGCACATGAAGCATAGAAAACAGCTCAAGCGCCGCGACGCCGTTACATGGAAAAGCGGTTTTTGCACGAATGCAGCAGGAAAGGCTGGGGGATTCCCGTAGCCACAGGGTTGGATTATGTCGCTCCCCTGTGCGCGGTTTCCAAGCCTTTCCGCTGCTCCTTAAAGGCAGACACAGCACCTAAAGTGAGCGGCTCTGTCTTTCATGAGCCCTAAAGGCCAATGCACGGGTCAAGGAGGCTATTCTTCACTGGCAGAATACCTGTGACTTCCATGAACCATCCAAGGTGCCGCTGTGCACGGCTTTAGTGGGGGGGGGCTACAGGTTCCTATAGCATCTGTAGTTTGCTGTCACTTTTGTCTTACCGGAAAAAACAGCGGAGGCCGAAAGCAGAACACCTGCCGTAACCAGAAGCAGGTAGGGCCCTGGGTGTCGCATGGTGAACCCCTAAATAGGTTCTTGACGGCTGCTAAAGGTCTTGCATGCCACCACAGGCTGATAGTGGGACAATATCCGGAAGTAAATGGTCAGGAAGCCGCAGAAGTAAGCCTACAAGCACCGAGACTGAAGGGAGTAGCCGCCAAGAAGAGGAGCCGCTCGACCGACGCGCTCTGGCGGCTGGAGGTTTTGGACGTTTTACCAAGAGCAAGAAAGTGCTCTCATTGAAATGCTTAAAGAGCTTCGACAGAATTTTGTAGGCATATAGGGGTCATCAAGCTCTTGAAAGAGGCAAACTCCTGGCCGCTCCTATGGGAACTGGGCCCAGCCCGCACCTCCATGCGATCCCCGCAAGCAATTCTGGCGCTGGAGTTTTCCCAGCAAATGGCCCATAGCCTCACTGCTAACAAAGCAGTAATATCTGCACTAGAGCTTCATTCTGGCTCCGTGTGCTCCCACTGACCCACAACAACAAGAAAATGTGTGCGCTCGATCACGCTTACTCAATGTGCCATGCCCACAAAGCAGTGTTGCAATGCCATGGTAGCATAGCTGCGTTCTAGCAGGAAGCACATCAACCAGGAGCAATGCTGCAGAATTTTCAATCGCGCTGAGCATTCTCGAGCCCTATACGTATTATTTTAGCTTCTAGGCCGCTCAACTGCATGATGGTTGTAACTCTCCGTCTCTAAGAATCCCTCGAAAACTTCACTCAAAGTTACTTATGAGGGCCTCTCAGGAGCTATTCCTCCTGCTTTCGTTCACCTAAGCCAGAATTCCGGCATCAGACGAGAGGGGCACCAACGGTGTGCGTAGCTGCGCCCCAGAAGCACCTTGAGCATCCACCGCTGGCCGTATATACTGCACCCACCGCACACAAGTATTGCATCAATTCTCACCGTATTGAGCAACTGCTGCTTCGCAAGAAAGAGGACATATGAGCAGCTACAGCAATTTCGCATACCCTTCGTAGCTCACAGTAAAGCGTGACAAAGTGGAACTGCCAAATTGTAGATTAGCCCGCAGAAGTAATTTTCCTGCTGGATTACTAGGAGCATAGTTAAGAAAGGTTGCGATCCTTAATGGCAGCCTGCGGCCACTGAAGGCTTTCGATAAGTAGGCACCCACAGGCGAACGGAGGAAGGAGAGGCCATGGGGCAGGAGTGGATGAACAGTGTACATGTACGTTACCTCCGCAACAAAAGAAAAGATGGTGTCAATGCTCATCGCCTGTGCACACTGGTACACCGCTTAGAGAAGCCAAAGGCTCTATGTGTGCCTGTGTAGAAAAATAGAGACAGAGGGTAGGCATCAACACCCTAGTTGGTGCATGTCATCCTTGAGCAAAGGCCACGACAATCTTCTCTCTACCAGTCCAATTTTAACAATTCCTAAAGAAGGCCTTTAACACTTTCTGAAGCTCTAGCTATAGTTAACCAAAAGAGTGAAGAATTGGCCAGCTGGTCTCGGTGTTTGTACAGCACTTGTTGCCGCAGATCAAACTTTTCTCACTACGAAGAAAAATCGACGTTGTGTGCGCGTGGAGGAAATACAATGTACATCGAGCCATGTACGCTAGCAGTGCTTAGAGGGTGCGTCAATGTGCACCCTAGCTGTCACAGTGACCTTATGCCAGAACCGTGAGAAGTAAAGAGGGAAAGATAGCTCTTTCTGGCAGAATCCTCAGTAACTTTCTGCCTATTTTATATTCAGTTTGTAGTGGAGTGTCTCCATGTGGGAACTTGAGATAAAATGTTGAATCTTCTGAGGTCCCTTATTTCGACTATCTGGGTGCAGTCCGATTGCCTGTGAGGGGAACAATGTCTTGTAACACTTCCCCTCACTGAACCTTGTTGATGAAGCGACATACTCGGTAGCAGCTGACGCCTCGCAAAGTGGCGGCAAAAATGGCACAGTAGACGCGAAAGAACAAGACAAAGAGGCGCGTTCCTAAATATACGTGGCGACTCGAAAAATGCAGTGGAAAAGAAAAGTCTCGAGAGCTGGACATCTTGCAGGAGGTATGCAGTTGTGGGTCTCGGGAGGGCCTCCCACACTGAATTTGACTATAAACACATCGAAGGTAGTAGTTGCGGGGTTCACGTTACAACGATCTCAGAACACGAAACAGAATGAAGGGGTTAAGGAGCAGGAAGGGATAACCCAAAAAATACCCACAAACAGGGGGGTGGCGTAAGGTGGGGGGCCCTATCTAAGGGCTCGTCCTATGGTGGTTGTACTGGCTGAAGCCAACTTGCGGCTGCAGCGTCACAAACCAAGCAACTCCAGTGCCTTGGTCCTTTCGGATAGGGAATACTTTGCCAGTTCCCCCTAGCGTGCACTTGGAAGCGACAACCAGATCGGGGGAAAGAGTATACGCCGGCGCACACACTTGTGTAGACACAGAATGAGACGGGCGCTGTGTCATACGCCTTAGGATCAAGCGGAGGTGAATACAGATGCTCTCTACGCTAAACAGACTTCTAAAATGTATATCTACCGTCCTCAAGGAACAAAGGGGCGACCGCATATATTGGGAGACAGCCCTCAGCACGCACATCGGTTCGTGCATCAATCTGCGTTTTGGGTTGCAGGAGAGCCACGGTACAGAGAGGCCTACACTGGATCCACAGGACCCGAAGCTGCATTAGGCGGGTAACCTCCCGCAGCCCCTTCCACCTGCTGCTGCCGTTCCTGCTGCTGCTGTTGCCGCTGTTCCTGCAGCTGTTGCTCGTGACGTCGCATGCGATAAGCTCGATACATCTCTGCAGTTGCACACAGAGGACAAAAAAGGCCCACAAAAAGCCCTTTTGGATCGCTCTACTTCACTAGACAAGGGCACCAGCGGGAAGGGGCACAGAGAAATGATAGGAGAGGAACACTGGGTGCATGCGCTAAGCGCACAAACGGCTCGAGAGGGCCTTCCCTGCCAGGTCTCCCGCAGCTACAAATCCGCGCAGTGACATGAACGTTGTACATGCTGGTGTGCTAGAGCCGCACGAATTGGCACAAGACGGTCCACAAGGCCGGATAAGCACCTCGGGTGTAACGTACTTCGCACGTGGGCTATGCATCCCTTTGCAGCAGTATCATCCGGAAACCGAAGGATCATTAAGGGCTGAACCTGAAGCAGCAGAGGTCTCACAAAGAGAGAGCACAACGCGACATGTGGTGTCAGCACTGCAAAGCTTCTCGCATAAAACGGGCATAAAGCATGTCTCTCCCCAAAGGGGCCCGCCTGCCGCGCATCGGATAAGATCTTACACGATCCGACTGCCGTAAAGCCCTCCACGCAGTAAAAGGTCGTTTTGGAGGGACTCCTCAAGAGCCTCCTACATCCCCCCAAGGAACGCGTTCCCGTAACATCCCCAGTTGGTCTGCCTGTCCAGTGTACCTGACCTTTGTGGCGTTAAAGTAGAAGCAAAGAAGCCTCGCATCGTTCTTTCTGCTTGTTATCTTGTGAGTCTCTGTCAGCTCCATCGAAGCATAAAAATCGACATAATCTGCCTGCGCCTGCCCCTCCTTCCCCTGCTCTTCCTGCTGCTGTTGTTGGTGCTCGTCGCGCTCGTCGGGGAGGGTACCGGCTAGCAGCCCGAGTAGCTCTCCAATGAGCAGCTGGGGAGAAACACCCTGCGATTCCGCTGAGCAATGGACACAGTGGGTGTCTCCGCCACAAGAGAGGCCAGAGGAGCCCTTTACTCCTCCCCCCTCTCCCCTAAGGCCGTGAGGCTGACAGCGTTGCTGCTGGGATCCACTGACAAGAACCAGACGGCTGGGTGTTACAATGATTTCACACGGGCTTCTATCTGGTATGTTGAGGAACCAAGAGCCCAAATGCGAATACCCCTCCCCCAAGGCGGCAGTGTGGCCAGCTGTTGGTGTTATGCCGCTGCTACCCATTCTGCCGTTGTGGCCTTTGTTTCGACTGCCTTCTTCTTTCGTTGTGCCCTGAAGGTCCTCCCGAGGAGCAGCCTGCTGTTGCTGCTGTCTTCCTACGCCACTGCAGTCCAGAGAAGACTGAGAAGAGTGGCAACGCGAAATCCCGTGCGCTCCGCCCAAGGGCCCCTCCCCCCGGTCGGGCTGCTCTACGGAAGGCCTCCGCGGAGCGATGCTATGAAGCATGGCTCGTTGTTTTGAGAGGCTCCCGAGAGCACGTCTGGCAGCGGCAGGGGGGGCGTTCCCAAGGGAGAGGCTGCTGCTGTGCGTTCCTCCTTCAAGCGCCGTCTCACAGAGGGGCTGAAGATGTGCGTCATCCTCTGCTCCTGCGGTCCTTGCAGCGGCAGCCGCCTTTTGCTGCTGCTCCACCAGATGGAGGGGCGGCTGCAGCACGGCCTCAATGAAGCAGGGAAAGCGGCAAACCTCGAGGGAGTCCACAAACGCTTCGAAGGCGTCCCGGGGAGCTCTGAGCAACACTACGCGATACGTGGGGAGACACAGCAACGACACCCAGCGTTGCGCCGGCAGGGGGGGAAACACGGCGTCTTCAGCAGCAGCAGTAGAGCTGCTCCTCAAGGCAGCCTCCTCCACTGCACCCAATCCAGAAGGTTCGTTCACCAGAGAGGTCCCCCCGCAAGACGGGCAAGCCTGCCCCCCAAGCTCTCCTCCACAAGGCCGCAGTTGAGACAAGGTCGGCGTTTTGCTCTGGAGACAGCAGCAAGCCGCCCCGCTGCCACTGGTACAGCCGATGTCAGCACTCTTGGTGCTGCTGCAGTTGCTGCCGCTGCAGTGTCTGCACAAGCCTTCGGGGAACGCTTCATGAGGCGGCATGTACGGAGCATCGCTAACGGGAGTTGCTGCATCTTCGGTTGCAGAACATGTCGCCTTGCGCCCTTTCAAAGGCCCTCCTCTGGGAGTTCTCGCGCTAGACAACCGTCTCCAAGCTCCCAGTATACCCCCCAGGTTAAGTCCTTGCGAGCCGCTTTGCCTAGCCGTGCTGCTGCTGCTCCCCCGCTGCGGCTGCGGCACTTGTTGCTGCTGCTCCGTACGGAAGACGCTCGGCGAGGGCAGAGAGCCGCAAGAAAGAGACTCAAAGGACGTCAAGGCCACCTCCGTGGAAATGGATGCAGCGCTCCAGTTGCGAGACATTGCGGACTGGCAGCTGCCAGCAGAGTGCCGTTGCCGCTGCCGCCCTTGCTGATGCTGAGCCGCCTCGAAACACAGCGCACATACGCTAGTCGTATGATCCACCAGCTCCAGCTGCTGCTGCACCGCTAGCCAGTGACACGCCATGTAGCCTCCGCGTACGAAGGAGACCCACCTGAGAGAAGGACACCCGCGCACAGCGAACCACAGTGGCGGCCAGGCACAACACCGCAAGACAGGCATACACAGCGCATGCAGCACCAGCCTCTACCTCCCCAGTGCGGCAGCAGCAGCGCCTCGAGCAGCATGCAAGGCTCCCTGCGATCCAGGCTATCTATGCGCAAACGACTTGTGTAGAACTTATGACCGCGTGCTCTTGCACATGTCCTCCTGGCACTGCCCTTCATGGATTTCATTGATGCTGCCGTTGCTCCTGCTATGCAGAGGCAGCTCTCTAAAAAGGGAGCCAAACGCACCGCAGTGCCATTTCCCTCGTTAGAAACTGATAAATCTCCACAGCATCCGGCCCTAAGGTTCCGTTCTCCGTCAACAGGCAAACGTGATGCGTAGGAGTCTGCAATCGATGGAGGCAGTAGGTCTCTCGGTTCTCTTCTGGCGTTAGAAAGTTGCAGCAAAATAAATCAGGTTCACAGCTGCCCTCCCGAGAAAAAGAGGCCCCCAAAGAACTTTCAAAGCCCCCGTCTCCTAGGAGACTGCCTCCCCCGTATGTGGCTGAGCCTTCGCCAGTTGTTGTGCTGGTAGTGTCCCTTTCACCAGTGTGCCGCAAAGGCTGCTGCGCTCCCCAAGAAGCCGCCTGCAATCCCAAACCGATATCACAGCTCCCACCGTCTAGCTCCTGCAGAAACTGGTGCTCTTTGACTTGCTGCTGCTGCTGGCAAAGGCCTGCCTTCCCGCTGGCCATATGAATGCTGCTGCACGCTTCCCTCTGCACGCCCTCGGTTGCCGGCTCCTCCGTTGCCCCCTGCCTATGGCTATCGCTGGGAAGAGGAAGAGATGACAACTCAGACTCGCCAGTCTCTCCTTCCGCACTTGGCATTTCCAGCTCCCACCGAGGATTCCTCTGAAAGCTGCTGCAGGCAAAGGCAGTGTCCAACTTATCATGTGCTGGCGTTGCCGCACCATCACAGGATGGCGTCTCCGTCGGAGATACAAAATTAGCAGAGATGGCGCCATCTATGAGGATTTGCGTTGGCGAGTTAACCCACTGAGGCCTAGGGAAAGGATCCGACATGCAGCGGCTGTGGTGGCGTTGCGTTCCTGCCAGATGCTGCTGCTCATGCTCCTGTTCATGCTGCTCATGCTCCTGTTCATGCTGCTCATGCTCTTGTTCATGCTCTTGCTCGTGCTCATGCTGCTGTTGTCCTTTATCTATTCTCTTGTGACTACACCCAGAAGATCTGCGCTGTGAAACTGTGGAAAAGCCTCGGTCCAGCAGGGTTGCCGCAGCAGGTGCCTTCCTCGTCTTTTCAGACTTCGCTGCATGCGTTTGTGCCGCCGCCGAAGCTGCAGCAGCAGCAGCAGAAGTGCTCGAGCCTTCTTGATGCCCTCTCCACTTTAAAGTCCGCAACAACCGCGCGCCTCTTCGCCGTGGCAGACGCCGCGTCTCTTTAGGCCCTCGGCTGACTGATGCATCGCGTCCAAGACTCCATGCTGCCCTTCCCTTGCCTTCTGAAGAGCCTGCAGCACAGACATGAGCCATAAAGGCATGCACGTACACCCTCTCTGCAGGTACGGCGGCGCGCAAGGAGTCCCCCTGCTGCCCAGCTAGTGTCAGCGGATGCTTTGATGCCACTAAAAATCAGGAGAGTCTCCGCAGCACATCCATCCATCGCCTTGCTTTCTGTACTGCTTGCTGCACACTGATACCTGGTGAACACTGTCTGTGCTGCTGCCTGTACTGTACACGCTGAAACTCCTTCACGCGTTTTTCCGCTTTCCCTTTCTTTCTGCATGGGCGTGTAGAAGCGCACCCTGTTGTAAGGATGTTGCAGGATCAACAGCGCCTACAAGAGCAGAGAGGGCCTGTCTCCAGTCCCCCAAAGCGTCCACATGAATGGCTGGAGGCAAACGTCCTCCCTCGAAGAGCCACTCAGGCCGAAGATCTAACAACAGCAGCTTCCAGCGGTGCCCTAGAGGACAGCGGTGCTCAGCAGGAGTGTTGCCTCCTTTTGCATCATGAAGGCTCTCACATGGAGTTACACTGAGAGGAACGCTGCCGCTGCTGCAGCGGCTGCCAACGGACCGGCAGCCACCACACATGGGTGAAGTGCAAAGAGGCTCTGAAGCCCGTCCATAAGCATGACTGAAAGGGGGCACACACACAGCAGTAGCAGCAGCAGCAGCGGCTGGGGGTGGTGCATGCACAAGCGGCGACGGGGAGAGAACTCACAAGTAAAGAGAAGAGGTAGCGCCTCCTCCTCTCCCCCCCTTTCCCCCCGAGGCAAGGCAACACAGCGGAAACACGTACATAGCAGCAGCAGCAGCGGCAAGGCGCTGCAGGAGGTAATTCAAGATGCACAGAAACACACAGCACAGCAAGAGGGAGAGAGACTACGAGCTGCAAGAATACAGGCCCATCCTATCTCACTTGAGAACTTCTTGCGGCAGCATAAAGAAGGCGCGTTCAGACTCCAATTGATGCAGTGGCTGCACATAGGCTTCAGGACCCCCTGTCTGCAGCGGGAACGACACAGAAGCAACTGGACAGACACCTCGACATCTCTCAGTGCTCTGTCTGCGCCGCCAGCAAGATCCCTTCCAACGCCCCTTAGACAGCGGCACATTGAGAAAAGCCGCAGCAGCCACGGCATGCACAGCGGGAGCAGCAGCAGCAGCAGCACATGCATACTTGCGAAGCACAGAAGATGTGAGCAAAGCTCAGCGGTGTTTGACTCCTGAGCTCCTTCGCTAGTTGCCACAACTGCATCAGAAAACTCAAAGACGAGCCATGAGAGCAATCGCATGCTGAAAGCCTCCTTGTGGCAACCTCCCAGTGGACGTCTATTTAGAAGTCGCGGCAAGCAAGCTCTTGGCAGTGCGCTGTATCTTTCGCAGCTACGGAGGAAGGAAGGCGGCCAATTCGCAGAGAGGGGGCAGCAGTCGATGGAGTTTCAGTTGCACCCTACCCCCCTTCCCCCCCATCCGCCTTCGGGAGCAGCAGCAGCAGTGGTGGGCTGTGCCTGACATTGGTAAGCTCGGGGATGGAACGGATGGACAGCTTGCTGAGCGTTTCTGGAAGTTGCGAAACCTCCGTGCGCAACAGGATAGTCCTGCTACAGAGGAGGATGGCGAGCGAGAGGAAGCAGAAAAAAACACTATCCCTTTCCAGGAGGTATCGATCCCATAGAACAAAGAGCACCGGCAGCTGAACTTTGGACGAGAAAAGGGTCAGAAACCACGGCGTCACGTATAGTTCTGGAGTTGCAAAGTGTTCCTCTAAGGACAAAATCGCACATCGGCGCACGCACTTAGCACGCAGAAAGTGTATCTCTGAATACACTGAAGGATACGCAGCGAAGGAGAGGTTAAAGAAATGTGCAGGCTACTCTGGTCAAAAGGGGGGATGAGGAACGTCTCGCAAAATAAGAATGCATATGCAACGCACGAAAACATGCCCTGGAGGCGTGCAAGCGACAGTGTGCCAAAGGAAATCATGGCTCTCTGTCCGAGGCTCCTGATAGAGCATACCTAGGAAGGTGGCCAGGGTGGGGTCGTGGTAGAGGAGCAGCAGCTTGAAATGATGGAAGGCGCACTGCAATGCCGTGAAGTCGTCATCACAAAACATCGCTGGCAGGAACCGCCGAACAAAAGCCGAGAAGCAGCAGTAGGCCTCCACCTCGCTAAACCCATTAGAAACACTCTGCAAATACAAAAAAGGGGCTGTACCCGCAAGCGCCAAGACAAAAAACAAATGCAAAAATTTAGGGTGTATCAGCGTCAGCTTTCGACATTGATACCTCCAAAGGGTAGGGACCGACCGTCAGCCAGCTGCGCTGGATGATCGATGGAAAAGGGCGTCTCTATTGCCTCTCTCTCTATCTCAATACGGGCACCATGTCTGAGGGGATGTAGATGGATAAACCCAATCAGTTATAATATGTACAAGTATATAGACGCCTATGTCGTACTACATGTATAGATATGTATATCGTAAAACATGAATAAACGTGCATGTCTGAAGACATGCACATTGACATGAATGTATCATAGAACATGTGTAGACATGTATATCGTGAGACATTCAGGAGGTCGTAGATTTCATTCAGTCTGTCCGCCTTTCTGCCAACTCGCTTCATTCCGGATCTGATCTAGTCAATAAGCTGCTACGAGAGAAGCATCTCAGCCTAGAGGGGGTATAGCCGACGCTCGTTGCACTGTTGGCCGTTTACACGAGGCCGTTCTCTAAAGTGACTGCAACCTTCTCCTGCCCCTGCTAAAGCACACTGCAGTGTACACGAGAGAGGAGACCCTCCCTAAGGGTGTGTGTGGCGAAGCGCTGCTCCAGGCTGCACAACCCTTCGCACGGAGAGTGGCAGCTAGGTTCTCCGCCTGCCTCCCTCGCTGCCTCTATTTATAAGAGTCAGCAAGTGCGGCAAAAGCATGGCTGCGCCACTATTCTGCGTACCTAAGATTTCATTGAGGCCTTGCTTGTACTTTAAGCCTTGCGACTTGCAGTAGAAAGTGAGCATCTGCTCCATCAGCCTCCGAGTTCGTGGTTCGCGAAAGACTGCAAGACGTGCCCGCGTACGCTCGACGTCGCTGCGAATTACCCGCTGTAGCAAGGCAGCAAGACCAGCAACAAGGCGCACACGTTCACACGTACGGCTTTACGAATGCAGCAAAGACACACAGGAAGTAGAGCACGCAGCATGCAGGGCATGCCGAGACACGGCGCAAGGCGTATGCGCGGAACGGCAGGCACACGCTGAGAAGAACCCGAGAACCGATGCGCACGAAAGGCAAAGAAGACCATGCAGGTAGGCCCACTAAGACGAGGGCAAGAAGCGGAGAAGAAAGAACGAGTGGAAAGCGCAGAGAGGGAGAGAGGCACACTCGCGGGGGAGAAAAGGGGTATGAAGCACTCCACATGCCGACGGCAGCGGCCGAACCAAGAAACAATCACGACAGCGAGAAAGCAAGGGCAGCACCGTCAGCGTCAAGTGAAAGGGGCACACTTGATTCGGCTCATCTAGGGGTGTTTGCTGGATGCCGTGAGCGATCCGCTGGTGCTCCCCACAGTCCTCATCTGCGACGTCTAGCAAAGCCAGCCAAATGCGGCAACGCAACTGAGATGGGAAACCACTCTTCAATAAGCAAAGTTGCTCCACTAGCCGTTCTTTCGCCGCAGCCACGGCTGCAGCTGAACTTTCTTTGCCTTCAGGGGTTGACGCGCCTTGGGTAACGGCCTCTGCCTCAGCATCCAGACTGCATCGGATAGTCGACGGTCCGCAACAGAATGCGACTGCCCTCTCGATCCCCTCTTGCGCCGCTCTAGATGTGCCCGCTGGCGTCAAGGCTGCCTCCAAAAGACCTTCTTCCGGTGCCGTTGCTGCTGCAGCGGCAGAAGCCTCCTTCCCCGCATCCAGCGTCTCCTCGGGAGAGCTAAGGTATGCCCTGCTAAGGAATTCACATGGAGCTCGCGGCAGCACCGCTCGTTTGACAGGGGGCGAAGCAGCAGGAGCTTCAGGCTCTTGTTGCTGCTCTTGTTGCTGCTCCTGCTGCTGCTCTTGCTGCTGAAATAGTCCCTCTAGAGTGCCTGCATGGTGTCTCCTAGGAGGTCTAGACGGCTGCAGCTGTCGATTTTCAGTGCTCCCCACACCCCTGGAAGGGCTGCCGTCCTGTAGGAGGTGCGCCTGCTGTTGCTGCTGTTGCTGCTGCTCATGTTTTACACTCGCTCCCGCGGGCGTAGCAGTAGCAGCAGCAACACCAGCAGCAGTACTGTCTGCTGCTGCTGCGTCTGGTGGCGTATTCGCCTTCCCCACGCGAGAGCAGAAGGGCACTGTCGACAGCCCGACAGCATTTACTGCGTTTTGCTGGGAACGGACTCTGCGCAACGCCACGTCCAAATCTCGTAAGAGAGCTTCCACCACCTCTGCTGAATCATCGCTATCCTCTGGATGTCTGCCGCTGTCGCTTTCGCTCCTCTCGAATTTTTCCGCAGTTCTACTTGCTCCTGAGACTGCAGCGCAGCTGGTCGAGAAAATCGGACCTGGAGGCACAGAAGCGGCAGTACTCTGTTGACAAGACACGCCACTGCTGCCGCTGCTGCTGCTGCCACTGCTAGCAACAGCGACTCCGCTTTCGCAGTCCTCCTGCGGCTGGCATTGCTCTAGCTTTTGCGGCGTTCTGGCTCCCGGAATATGGATCAACTGCTGCAGAAGAGACAGGGGAGGCGGTCTAGGGCACCCATAGAAAAGAGGGGCTTGTGCGAGCTGAAATGCATCTTCGATGCCGCTGCTACGCGCTTCGCTGACGCCGCTGGTGCTGCTGCTGCTGTTGTTGTTGCTGCTGCTGCTACATTCCTTCCAAAGCACCGCTGTGCTGCTTCTACCGCGAGACACTAGGCCTCCGCTGCTACTGATGCTGCAGGTTGTGCTGCTGTTGGTAGCGCCAGGACTGCTGCTGCTGCTGCTGCTTACAGGCAAACGGAGGATTTGATCGGTGCTGCCCTTAGGACTGCTGCTGCTACTGCTGCATTCGTCTTTGGCTGGCATCGAACGGCTCGAGAAGGAGGCTGCAGGAAGCATTCTGCCGTGCAGCTCCCGCGTCTTCTCTGCAGCCACCGATGCGGCTTGCAGCATGGGGGAGTCCGCCACAGCCGCTGCAGCGGCAGGGGATGCTGCACTGCATGCGTCTGTCACCAGCGTTTGCTGATCCAGTGTGCTTGTTGAATGGCTCCCTATGACAAGGAGTGTCGGCTGCGGCTCCATTTTGTTGCTGCAGCCGCAGCAGCCAGTTGCCGCTGCTTCTCTGTTGCTTCTGCTGATGTTGCTGAGGCTACATCTGCAGCACCTGCCGCAGGAGCAGCACACACATTTCAATGGACAGTGGAGCCAGAAGGAGCGCCCATGCGGGAGAATGAAGCTGCTGCCGTTATTTCTCAGCAAAGTCTCCTCCTACGCGGCAACGAGCTCCTCCGCCCCTTCATCTAAAACAGCCTTACTGCACTGAGGCTGCTGCTGATGTTTGAGTCGCTGAGAATGTTGCCGTCTACTTCTTGCCCATAGAGACGCGGCAGCCGTTGGTTTCTTCCTCTAAACTGGCTGAAGCAGCTGCAGTGTAGCTGCTGCAGGGATAGCAGTTGTTGCTCTTCACAGCGGCTGTTGCAGCGAGGCGCGCCGATAACATGAAAGGCAAAACGCCCCTTGGAAGCATCGGAAGCGTTGAGAAGCCCATGGGGGGGCTCTGTCCCTAAGCGACTCCCGGGTAAGCGCGGAGACAGCGCGATACGCTTGCAAGAAATGACTGCAGCTGTCTCGGGGAGCGCCTCCTCCCCGAGGGTTGCAACACACACTTTTCAATAGAGGTAATTCTTGGAGAAGGATCGGAGCACCTCCTGATGCGCTGCTTTGGCCGCTTCTGTACCTGTTGCCGCGGCTGGCAGCTAGATGTGCCCCCGTGGAGAGGCTGGGGGGAACTGTAGCAATTTCCGGGTTAGAGGAAGTGTTAAGGAAGGGTTCAGGTCATTTGAGGAGGGAGAAGAGGAGCGAGAGGCTTTGGACTAGTCTGTCGTTAAGCGCCGAGCACCAGACGAGGGAACGCTACGTACCTCTATAGGGAGTCAGCAGCCCCAGGGAGCGCAGGGTGTAGCAACAGCGGCAGCAGCAGCATTATTTGATATTTTCTCTCCCTTTCGAAGTTTCCAGCCTCCACGATATGAATTTGTGCGAGAAGCAAGGAAATCGACCTCTTTGGCCACCGCGTGGTCACCCCCCCGTAACAAGACAGTCCTCATCAGGGAGATCCGGGGGGCAGCACGATCGGAGAAAGAGAAATATTCTCGGGAATGCTCTCCTTCGAGACACCTCCGAGCTCCTTCAGTTTCCCGAAGAGACAGTGCCGGAGGCATCCAGAGCCTCCTCCGGGGCAGGAAACCTCTGGAGGAATCAAAGGCCCCTCCCCAAGAAGCAATGGGCGATCTCGGGCTTCCCGAGGAGTCAGGGGAAAGAAAAGGTGCAACAGTTTAACCTGAAACGAAGAGAGAGAGGCAGAGGAGATGGTAGCAGAGGGGGACAGAGAGGCAGAAGGCATGTCTGGAGGTTTCCAGTGGGCAGAACTACACACTAACGCTTTCTACTACACTAGTTATACTTGAGTGCGAATCCGCAAGGAGAAATAAACAACTCGTTTATCACAACATGTATTTCCTAGCTAGTGCAGAATATTGATGGCTCAGTACAAAAAGGCGCAACGACTCCTCAGTTTCCGCGCTACATGTTCTATGCAACTAGGCGTTGTGCCACCGTATACGTCCAACACAAAAGGGTCTTTTCAGATTATCTCCGATGAAAAACGATGATTGAATTACCAAAAGAATGGTAATGAGACAACAGGTGTTTGTAGAAAAACCTGACACCCCCCTGCATCCACAGCCAATGAGTGAGCGAAGCAGAGCTTCATTAAGCCATGCAATGCTACCAACGGCATCGCTCCCTCTTAAGTCTCCGTAGGGAGACACTTAACTCCAATTTCAATGCAAATTCACCAAGCTTTCCCCCAGAGCACTCTTTCATTCCCTGCCCGCGCCCCTCAAGGAATTCAAAACAACGGGGCAAGTGAAGCCAGTGTGCAAACAAACATATGCTTTAGCAGTGATTTACCTCGAATTTACCCGATTGGCCGTTCCACGTGGCTTCAGGATGCTCCGCGTTCCCGCGATCTGACAATGGGACAGTGGAGCCTCCACAAATGATGGAATACTTGAGGTTTCAGGAGCCAGTGAGCACAAAGCAAGCGCCTTTGACTAAGAAGGGAGAGTCAACCCGGGATTTACAGGCAATGTACTTCTGGTCTGTGTCAACAGGCCCCACCCTACAATCCAAGGTGAACGGGAAAAGAAGACCAAAGAAACCAGCGCTCCCAGACAGCCCCACAAGGCCTTCGAACACCTCACCTGTTCCAAATGTGGGAAATGTTGTCATACAAATCTGCACTGCAGGCGCATGCAACGATCCAAGGAAACTTAGTAGCGGGTGCATCTAGCGGCAACAGGCTGCTTGGCGAGCAAAGGAGGTGCACCAGGGAAATGGAAAACCCCCATGTAGGCTGCGACTTCGCGAAAGGGGTAGCAGTAAAAAGAATCGCAGGCAGGGAGCCACCACAGAAGGATCTGTCATTTCAAGTCGACGGTGGAAGAATGTTTAAGAATCACTAGCGTTTCCTGACACTGTATGCGCAGTGGATCAGTTATCCAAGTAAACGTTGCAGAAATGCAATCCGCCTTTCCACTCCTATGCGCAATCCCTACGCCTCAGGTTTGCTGATGGCCGGCAGGACGCAAGGATCGGCAAGGCTACTGCAGTAAAGTGCCGATTTGAACAAAAGCTGAAGGCGACCAGCATGCTGCATAACAGCTATGTTGGAAACGTGCAGCGTGGCGCAATCCTAACAATGTCACAGGTGGCACAATGGGACGCGCGCACTTGGCTACATTTACGAGCTGTGAGGTAAGTGGGCTAGTAAGCGCTAGGAATAAGCGTTTCCCGGGCCTCACAACAACATCAATATCATACGTGATGAGCAGCTAGCACACATATACCTCAACAAAGTGCGCCAGAGGCTTTTTGGGAGCGGCTCAGAAGAGCTTGACGAGAGGATAGTCTTGAGCATGCCTCCCGCCTTTATGGCTCTGCAATATATTTTCTGTCTGAAAATGAGACTGCACATTTCGCCGGCGGATACCAGGAAACGGGCAAACACTCAGGAGCTTGCGAATATGCAAAATAATGGCGACCTACCAGCAGGCTGGTCAGCTGGCCTTCCAGCGCACCGCATTGGGCTATCCCGAAGTCAGGCCCAGACTATTTTTCGCAGTGTCAGAAGCCCATACAGCATTAAGAGGAGCAGATAGGCAGATGGTCGATTTGCTGAGAAACCGAAAAGTGTAGGAATCGATCAGCGGATTTTAGCATAACCTGGTGCAGGGGCCAAGAAGTGAGGGGATCCATGTGCGTTAACCTTAGGCCCCTGAGCAATAAAAATGCTGAAGAAAAGTTCTCCATGCATTTTATTGGCGATGTACTTGGCAAAATGCATCAATTAACAGAATTGGCATTCGACTTCATGGAGGATATCTTACAAATCCACATCTAGTATGACAGGCAACAAACCGAAATTCCTCTCTCGCACTCGCACACTAGGGTATGCCTACATGCCGCTTAGACCTGCCAAAATCCTGACCGAACTGCAATGTTGCACTTGGGAAAGAACTTGATGAGGCCATCAAGGCGAACTGGACGGCTGTGTAAATGGACGACGTCTTGGTATCCGATGTTTTAGACTACCCATAGCACCCCACGTGCGCTTGAGCTGCTGCGGCACAAACACTCGTATCTCAAGGCCCGGTAAGTGTTTACTTCTCAAGAGAACCATTGTGGGAATTTCGGTTGCGAAAAAGGAGCCGGATACGGTAAAAATTAAAGCTACCCAGTTGTGAACCTCTTCTCAGCCGCCCCTTTGAAGGCTCTGGCTCACCTTTTTGAGGTATAGGCGCAGCTGCTCAGCATGTATGACATTGGTCTCACTGTGGCGGCCAGGAGATGCTTATCCCTAGCGTTTCCTGGCCCAGTGACCTCACAGCTCGCAACTATGGCCAAATGCGCGCCCTCTATTGGCTCACCCATAGAACTATTAGAAGAACGTCACGGCGCACGTTTCCAACATAGCTCTCACGGAACATGCTGGTTTGCAAACTTAATGAGCAAATATCAAGTGTCTCCCCAGAGTGCTCTCTTCTTCCTTTGCCCGCGTCCCTCAAATTTTATAATACGATGAGGTAGGTGAAGTTAGGAAGCACGGAGCTCCACGTTCTGAGCAGTTTGGACATATACTGCTATTTGCATTATGCACTCAGCGCAGACACAGACAACTCGTTGCGTCTTCTTCTGCTGAGCCGCCGACACTCTGCAGTGGCTAGGATTTTTGTATAGCGACATCCGAGTCTTGCAATATGTTGTTAATTCTTATACAAGTAGAACTAAAGTAGTCCAAATCGTTTATGTGTAGCGTTGCCCGTAACACCCTACGACGAACGCATTCACAGGAGAGTTATGCGCAGTGAGCGCCCTCCAAGATACAGGGTGGGAAGAAGGAAGAGTTTGACGGAAGGTGGAGCTACACAGTAAATGCGAATGCAAGTACGATCAGGTTAAGGCATCAATCTCCAGCGTTCAACGTGTATAGGGCTGAGGCTGCGCTGTGTAGGGTTAAACACATAAAAATGCAGCTCCCTCTTTAATTAGTGTAGCAACTCTGGAGTAGTTAGACCATTATACCGTTGGGAAATACTTCTTTTCTCATGTAGATACAGCTGTAGGGCTTTGGTTTTTGCTGTGAAGCTGGGCAGCCCCAAAATTTCGCGGCTCCCGAATGCATGTGACGAGCCAAGTTGCTTTCCTTGTAACTGGGTTGTGCCATTCTCCTTCCCCTCCGAGCTTCTCGTATCCTGTTTTTCGTCTTTTGATCTGGTTTCGAGGGCTATTTAGTGCTTTATAGCCACTCAAGCGTCGTCTTCCCCACAGCCGTGGGGCTGTTATGTTTTCGGCTGCCTCCCCGTTCCTTTAGGCTCCTTTCTTGTATATCTGTTTTTCCGAAATTCAGCAAGATGACGACAGGTGAGATGGATAGCCTACTGGTCTCTCATGAGCTGCTGGTGCATCCATGCGCCTTCCGATGCTCTGTGAAAGCCCCCGATGGAGTCTTGAGAGGCTGCTGGTGTCATTTCTGTCGCTCTGTCTTCCTCCAACATTTTTAAAGCATTGAAGGGGGGTGGGCGAAGCATCAAGCAACTCTTTCTTTAGAGCTCTCTGCTGTGCCGCTGCCTTTTTCCCCTCCTTGCCCTACGACATCGGCATGATGGTGTACAGCTCTTTCGATCCCCGCGTTTCATCCTCATTTGCTCGCTTTTTCCCTTGGCTCCCCCCATGTTTAACTGCCGGAAGTTGAAAAAATGCCCAGTGCACGCTGACTGCCATCCTCTCGTGGCGTCTCGTTGCCCCTTGCTTTTTGTGTGTGCGTGTTTCGCATGAGCTGGCGTGCATGCGCATGTCCGTGTGTATGTGTATGTCTGGGCATATGGTGCTTTCGCGCCACTCCCTTTCTTCTCCGTGTTGTCTGCATTCTTTAGACCGGAAGTGGGCGGATTTCGAGTTGGAAGACGATGGAGATTTGGGGGATTTGGCCGCTACCCCAGGTGGCTTCGAGACGCGTCCAGACAGTGACGGCATCAAGACCGTTACCAACTACATACAGAACTCAAAAGGAGAGACACTCAAGGTTAGTTGTAGACACGTGTCGCACCCACAACACGAGACCGCAAGCGCAATTCATGCCCTTCGCTAAACACATACAAATATGTCGATATGCAAACACAGATGGAGATATGCGGTTTTTCGCACAGCGCCTCGCATACATATATATATATATATACATATATATATATATATATGTATACTAAGGAGACACTTGGTTGATCAGTGCTTCTTTTTCGCGCTTCTTTATTACGCGCTTCAGGCTCGTTGCTGCTCTGCCTTTTGCTTTTGCTGCTCCTGTGGCGGCTGCTGCAGATTATCAAGCGTGTCAAGGTGACACATGTTGTGCATCGCATCAACAAGGCGGTCCATGAGCGGCGCAACATCCCTTTTTTTGGAATTGAGGCCATTGAGGGCAGCAATGCCAAGGCTTTTACCGTTAGGTATGCAGCAGCCTGCTGCCTGATTGGTCCCCTCCAGCAGATAAGACGCATGACTGATGACAGGCGCGCATTCTCACGGAGAATTGCAGCGTCAGTGTATGTTTCTGTGTCGCACGCCTGTCCGTATGTGTGTGTCAAATAGATCCGTGGAGGAAATTCCTTTGGAAGTCTCGAAAGAAACTTTGCTTAGGGCCAAATTTAAAGAGGATGAGGACGACGAAGACATTCAGTTCGCAGTAAGCAAGGGTTTTTTTTCAAAATGAGTGCTTCTGCTGTTGCGCTGATGCGTTGATGCTCGTTGCTCGGCTATGTGGTCTCAAAGCAACCTTTTAGCTGTTTGGGATGTGCCCTGGCCTGCTCATGCAGTCTTCCTCGCTCTCCTTGGGGGTTATAAATAGTTCCTCATCTGCTCCAATTTTGACTGGCGTGTTGTTTGTTTCCCTCCATGAACATGCTGGTCTGCCCGTGGCGCTTAGAGCCTTTGCTGTGTAGGTGTCGATGTACAGGACCTGAACCCGGCGAAGACGTCGCGAGACTTGCGGCAAAAATTCTTGTCTCTGCAAAACGAGGATGAACCTGTAAGCCACCAAGCCGCTGCGACGGCAATAGGCGGGGGGTAATCTAGAAAACGCAGTTTCCTCTCCCTACTCTCCCTTGATAAAAGTTCGCATAAGACATCGTTCGCAGGCACCTTTATTCGCTGCTGCATGCGTTCAGGTTGATACAGCAGAGGCGGATCCTCTAGGCTCCCGGCTAGGTGTCGGGGCTGCCAAGTCAGTTTCTGCTTCTTTTTTTTTTCTCTCTCTCTCTATTGAACTAGACGCCTTTGCATATGTATACATATGTATATATATGTATATGTATGTATATGTATACAGATATATATGTATATATGTACAATGCCGCTCTTCTAAGCCTATTTCGATGTGTGTCTTGGCTTGTGGGCCTGCGCACGCATGTTTAAGGCCTTTTTTCCGCTTTTCCGTATGCCCCTTCTGCGTTTGCAAGTGCCTCCCTCGTTCTGCCTCACCCCGTGCTTGCGACCATGGAGCTGCATTTTCCCACTTCCCCGTTCAACTCTCGGATTTGCGTCTCAGGGGTTTCAGCCGTCTGCGTGGAGGTCCTGGAGGCGATGCTTTGAAGGATCTTGAAGCGCGGCGTCGTGAGGAAGCGACGATCCGTGTGACAAACCTCAGTGAAGACGCAAAGGAAGAGGATCTGACAGAGCTCTTTGGAACGATAGGAAAACTCGAGAGGGTTTTCCTCGCCAAACACAAGTCAGTTGCTGCTGCGTGCCAGTCGATGTGCCCTTTGCAGCGGCCCCTCCCCGCTTCCTGTTGTTCTTCCACTCGCTCGGCGCTCAACGTCTGAACGGCGTTTCGCTTGTCTACAGCCTGGCAGACGCCGTGGGCAAGCGAAAGTGCCACTCAACACGTGCAGCAAAGCGAGCAAGCCGCGAGGCGGCGGGCAGAGGCTATACGAAGCAGGCAGCGGAAAAGGGAGTTGGCAAAGGACGGCCTGAGCAGACTTTCACGGACGACTCGTTAGCGTGAGGAGGAGCCACATGGCGATACTTTGGGGGGTGTCTGTTTTGTTGCAGGGACAAGAAGGCTAGCAAGGGATTCGCTTTCATTACATATGCCAACAGAGAGCTCGCTGCGGAGGCGATCCGCAAGCTGAACAGACACGGTTACGACAACCTGTTACTCAACGTGAGGCCTACGCCTTTGCTTTGTGGTGCTTCTCAGTATGTGTCTCTGAGCCTGCTTATGTCATGCGTTTCCTCGTCTCTGATTGCATTCGCTGCGCGTCCCTGTTTTCGGCTTCCCGTGGGGTTGGCTGGCTGCATCGCGCCTCACCTCGAGCTCCTTCATGGATTGCTGCTGTCTCTCTGTTGCGTCGTGTCAGTGCCTGTTTTCTTCGCCTTTTCGGTTGTTTGCCCGGCGAGGCTCTTATAACGCCCCGTCTTAAGCCGTCATGCATGCAGGCCGCTGTGCAGCGGCCACAGCAGCAACTGCTCGGTGGCGAGTTTTTTGTTGTTTCGTTTCGCCCCCTGCTGCGCTGTTGCCTCTTCGCAGGTCGAGTGGGCGCGGCCAAACAACCGAGAGAGGTGAAAAGGACGACGCTTCAATGCATGCAGCCGCAGTACCAGTGCCAGCTCTTTCTACCGTGGGAGGAGTTGCTGCTGCTGCTGTCGCCGGGGCAAGTGTATTTGTGCGCCAGTAGCAGAGCACGCGGGACGGTTCCTGCGCATGGCAGCAGCAGCAAGCGTTTTCGAAGGAGGAGGGGAAAGGAGACCCTCTTGAGGCTCTCACCTGCATGCAGATGTGGGCAGTCTGCGGCTGTAAGCTTGCAGCCATGAGGCCGCAAGCTTACAGAGCACGCCATTAAATGTGGGGAGTCACCTGGTGTCTACGGTTGCATGGGACTAGCGCTGTGTGTGGATCTCGTAACTCATGGCTTTTGCTACTTCGCGCTACACCTACTAGAAAGGCAGGGGATGGTCAGGTAGATTCTCCCGTAGGCCACATGGAAGCCGTACGAATTTAGACACGGTGCATTAGCCACAGTGTGTAGGCTTTCTGCTGTTGCCAGCTCGTGTCTACGTGCCTCAAGTGTTGCTCCACATATGGCTGCCCACTGGCCAGGGTCCCCCTCCAGCGCCATCTGGACGTCAGTTAGGCATCTCAAAATTACGCACGGCGGCGCACTAGCCACGCGAACACAGACTCGAGTGCCGCGGAACTGGCCTGCAATAGAACCAGGCCCCAATGAAACAAATTCAGAAGCAATGGCTAGTCAAAAAGACGGCTTCTAGCCGCAGACGCGTATCTAGGCGGCTACGCATTTAAGGCTCAGTCAAGGCCTCCTCCCCGTTGGCCACTTCAGTGTAGCGTAGCTCGTTAGGGGAGCGCTCTCTCTCTTTTCCCTGTCTCTCTCTCTCTCTCTCGCCCCCCCCTTCTGGTGTAAGAGCTGCTGCAGGAGCCAAGCGCGGAGATGGCCGCTGCTGCATCCTCGTAGGAGTGCGGCAGCAGCGGCAGCAGTCGTTGCTCCTGCCTACTCCGTTTCACCCCGCGCTTTAGTGGTATCCGCGGGGGGAGGCCGTCTCCTGCTCTTCACTGCTGCTGCTCTCCTGGCATGCGTGCTGCATCGCCGCCGCTTGATGGCCAAGGGAAGGGCACCTGGCGACCCCGCTGCTAGCACAGCTATCGCCTCCTCGTCCTGCTGCTGCAAAAGCTGCAGCAACTCGGGGGAACCCCATGCCCTCTGAGCCGCGAATACTCGCGCCAGCAGAAGCAGCAGCAGCGAGGCCAACTGCGCCTCTTGCTGCTGCTGCAGAGAGCGCTTAGGCGACACTCTAGCCCCCGAGACTTTTGTGCCTTCTCCCGCGTCAGGCCTCTCCCGCCTTTGCTGCCGCTGTTGCTGCTCCTCCTCAAGAGCCTGTAGCAGCTGGGCATTGTGTTGCTGCGCAAGTCTGCTCAGGTATACGGAAAGGTGCTCCACCAACTCCCGCACAACTGCCGTCTCGCGCGCTGCCTCGCGAGCGTACCGCCAAAGGGCCCCCGCAAGCCGCCGCATGGGGGGCCTCGTAAAATGACCCAGAGGGGGGCCCCTAAGAAAGCTGGGCGGACTTGAGACGGCTCTTCGCAGTAGCTTGAGTCGCTCTTCTGCATCGGCTGCAGTGTAGGACCCTTCCCCCTTGGCAGCGCTGCTGTTGCCGGAGGTTTGATGGATCGAATAGGCGGAAAGCAAAATATATCCTGGCCCGCAGCAGAGCGAATACGGTGCCTTTGCCGCCGAGGCAAGCTGCAACAACATCAGCTGTATGTCTTGCTCAGACGGAGGCGGAGAGGGCGGCAAAAAGTCATGTGAGGTGGACAGACACCCCAGGGCTCTCCCTACAAGGCCCTCTCCCACACACACCCCCAAGTCCAGGTGCTTGTGCAGTTGCAGCACCTGCAGCCAACACACATACACACCAGCGCACATCGCCACACAGACACGTGCTACGCGAGTGCTTCGACGTTCAAGAGAGAGAAGGGAGAAGGCAGCAGCAGCAGCAGCAGCAGCAGCACGGACAGGAGGGGAAGAGCAGCAGTTCACGGCTACCCAAAGCGCCGCAACGGGATGGAATAAGGAGGGAGGAGGCTGCAAAACTAGACGTTGCACTGCGGTAGATAAATATATATATATATACATATATATATACATATATATATACGTATATTTATCTGCCTAAGGAAGAACTAGGTTAATATTTCATGGAGAAGACGTCGATGTGCCGGCAGCCTCATGAAACGTCTGCTGCTGCGTGGCTGCAAGCTTACTTGCCGAATATGATGAGCCGATAGTTCCTCAGGGCCAAGTGGAATTCCTAGAGGTCCAGCGAAGTCTCCCCCACTGCCCTCTGACGAAGCAATCAGCCGCCTTCGCAGCATCCCAGGATTGGGAAATCCCCTCTGAACAGCTACAAGACGTCCACTTGCCCGTGCCAAGATCACGAAGCCTCCACAGCACCAAACGTTCTGCAGGGGATCTGCTGAAACTCCGCTTCCTGAGACTGCAGCTCCCCCAGCTGCCGTCCCCCAGGTGTTGTAAAGGCGAAAAATCTCCTCCTCACGCAGCCGTTGGAAGGCTGCAAAATGATCGTCAGCTTCTTCGGCAGAAAAAGCCTGAACAAGGCTCCCCCCACCCCTTGGAGGGCTGTTTGAGGCGGTGAGCACAGACGCGCTCGTGTTGCTGTGAGCGCTTTCTCTAAGGGATGCGGAGAAGACAGCGCTGGCTTGTTCGCTCTGCGGTGATGCACAATCGCTGGACGCAGGATAGGGTTGCTGCTGCGAGAGACGTGGGGAGTCTGCTGCAGCGGCACCAGCAGCAGGCGTGCTTGAGCTGGGTGTATCCTCTTGCTGCTGCAGCGAGCCGTCAACAGCTGCTGCAAAATCTGCTGCGGCAGACAAGTATTTCACAGGTTCCACCACTGATGTTGGTGTTGTCAAGGCTGCGTCGTTCTCACCAGTTCCCTGCCGAGCTTCAGCTTCGCCAGCGGCACTGGAGGCGGCAACGGGTAAGCAGCAGCCCTCTTCTGCTACCTCTCGGAGCCAGTAAGAGTCCACTAGGCGATCAAAAATCGCTGTGCTGCTGCTGCTGCTGCTGCTGCTGCTGGGGAGCAGCGCCTCTATCTCAGCCTTGGGAACCGCCTGCAGCAGCCGCTTGAAGTTACTGGTGCTGTAAGGGGCTCTCGAGCTGCCGCTGCTCAGGTGTCCATACAGCTGCGCACCGACGAAAAAAGCATCCACACTCCGACACCACTACTGACGCCTCCGGAAGCAGTGTTGGCGGTAGGCACGGCTACATGTGAGAAAGATAGAAAAGCAACAGGCACAGGCAACCTCTAGGAGGGCCGCTGGTAAGCGCAGATGCTGAGAGTACAACCCGGTAGTGGCAAGGCTTTTTACTCACACAAACAAAACAGACACACACACACTAACATACACACAAATAAAACAGACACACACACAAACATACACAGACACACACACACTAACAAAACAGACAGACACACACAAACATACACAGACAGACACACACAAATAAAACAGACACACACACACTAACATACACAGACACACACACACAAACATACACAGACACACACACACAAACATACACAGACACACACACACCCAAACGGCACACACAGACACACACACACAAACATACACAGACAGACACACACAAACATACACAGACAGACACACACAAATAAAACAGACACACACACACAAACATACACACACCCAAACGGGACACACAAAGACACACCCAAACGACACACACAGACACACACAAACGACATACACAGACACACCCAAACGACATACACAGACACACCCAAACGACACACCTACATACACACCTACATACACACCTACATACCACGCCCTTCCCTTGTCTTACCAGATCGAAGCACAGAGGCGTGACTTCGAGGGGTTCTGGCACGCTCGGTCTGAGCCTAATAAGGGGGTAGGGGTGGGGGGGGAATCGGCTGGCTCCTGCGTCCAGCAGAGGCGCTCCTAGAGAGAATTCGTGGAGGATGCCGTTGCTGCACAGCGCGAAGGCGTCAAAGGCAGTGCTGCCGTCGAGAGGGAAGGAAGGCAGGGGGCACCCGAGGGCGGCGTCGATAACAATGCGACCTTCGAGAGAACCGCGCATCTGTAGCAGAGCGGCAGTGCAGGCAGAGGCAGAAGAGAGCTGTTTGACACGAATACACGGCGACGCGCTTTCGCGCATGTGTCTACGTGTACGTCTGCGTGTGTGTGTGTACAAAGGCGCATTCGTGTGTGTTTCCGACGATGCGGCGTTCTCAGGAAATAGACGGCAGCCCTTTGCTGAGGCAGCCAGAAGGGGAACAAACAGCGTTTCGCAGCCTTCCACGGGGGAGAGCAGTCGTGGCAGCAGCCAACCTGCGTAATGGCGAGGGTAGACGCCCGCTGATGAGGAGAAGAAGAAGAAGAAGCAGCACTGGAAGCGCGACGAACACCCCACTGAAGGAGGTGTCCACTCTCTAGCAGCAACAGACCAGCCTCCCCACCAGGACCGCAGAGCAGCTGTGTCGCAAGACGCAAATGTGTCACACAGAATACGCGTGTGTGCCTCCTGGAGACGAGGAGAGGGTTGCGGAAGCGGAGGGGGAAGACGAGACACGGCCTTGTTTCCGCAGCGTGCATGCTCGCCAGGAAGCGAGCATGCACGGAGGATCAGCGCCAGGAGCACGCTGCCTGCACCTCCAGCATGCATGCAACTATTCTTTTGGTCGCGGAAAGAAACACGCAGCAAGAAAAAGCGCACCTTGGCAGGCTTGTGCGGGAGGGGGCAGAAGAGCCGAGAATGCCTTCTCCCCCTAACGACAAGTCCATACTTGGAGGGAAACAGCCGAGAGCGAAACACCGCTGCATAACGCACAGGGGTGCTCCCCTCTGCCGCCGCTGCTACTGCGCTGGAGGCTTGAGCTACTGAGCTCGACGGTGTAAAGCCTGAGGGGTCGATTGCTGCTGCTGCCTTTGCTCCTCCTCCTGCTGGAGCGGCAGTAGGAAGGCGAGTAGGCCTCGCGACAGCCTCCCCGTCGGGCAGACAGAGCATCACGCAGGGAACATTATTTTCTGTGGCTGCAAGCACACACATGCGATGCAGCAGCAGCGGCAGCTGATGCTGCTGCTGACGCTGCTGCTGCTGCTCTGGCTAGCGGCTGTGGATGCAGCAGCTGCAGTTGCGTGAACTCGCACGAGCAGGAGCAGCAGCCACAGCGCCCAGTACAGCCATCGCACGGCAGCAGCCTTCGGAGGAAACGCAGACATACCTCGGCTTTGCTGCTGCAACGGTAAGCGTCCAAGCTCGCGTTGCAGGGGGCAGTGAAGCTGCCGCAGCTGTGCGTCCGAACTAAAAGAGGATCTAGAACTGCTGTCTTCCTCAGAGACGCGAAAAGGCACACCACCAGTTTCAGGATCTATGTGGCAATAGCAGCGACCCCCCCCAACTAGATCGATGTTCGAAGCGGCCTTCTCACTGCAGCTGTCGTCATTACTTTGCTGTTGCTGTTGCTGTTGTTGTTGCTGTTGTTGCTGTTGTTGTTGCTGTTGTTGTTGCTGTTGTAGCTGCTGTTGCTGTTGTTGCTGCTGTTGTTGTTGCTGTTGTTGCTGTTGTTGCTGCTGTTGCTGTTGTAGCTGCTGCTGCTGCTGTTGCCGCTGGGCTGCCGGTGTCTGAGCGACCCCACTGTGCTGACGGAGGCAGCAACATGCTGTACTCCAGCCAAGCCAGAGATTCCCCTCTGCGTCAATAGCGCCCAGAGCGAACTCTCCAGCAGGATCCTGCAAGCTGCAGCAGCAATCACATCCCTGCTGCTGCTGCTGCTGCTGCTGCTGCTGCTGCTGCTGTTGCGCCTCCGGGGGGTCTGGTGACGATCGGGGAGTGGCACGTTCTGCTCCTGCTGCTGAGGCAGATGCAAAAGCTACCGAATCAGAAAAGAAAGCGAGGGGATCTGCAGGCAGCGGGGCCGAAGCAATGGAGACTTGAGAGAACTGACGCTGCAAAGACGCTGGCAGCAAATGCCAGACTCCGCCATAGGCCTCTTGCCAAGGATACATCCTGCAGCAGCAACACCATTAACAGCAGATGCGAGCTTCCTCCAGAGCAGGCAGTAGCTGCAGTGTCGACGTCAGCGCCCAACTGCCTTTTGAAACGCTTCCCTCCTTCCCCCTTCTCCCCAGAGCGCTTCGCGCTTTTCGGGAAAAGAGCGAAACACAGCTTGCTGCGGTAGGCAGTCCTCCTGCCAAGCTAGCTAGCCAGACACCGCTCAAGCGCTGGAATAGCCGTCGCTTTACACCCCCTTCCCTTGGCCCCTTGGCTTGAGCGCATGCTGCGATTTGCGCGCCTAGCTGGCAACGCAGCGATGACTGGAGAAGCCTTCATAGAGCCAGCAGCTAGCTGCCAGCAGCTATACGTGGGGGAGTCTCTGTGCTCGCCTCCTTCACATTCTAATTGACCAGCGAGGTCCTCCTCGAGAGGCCTCGTGTGCGCGCGCGTGGCTGGCTGTTCTGGCTAGCTGGCACTGGCACTGGCTAGATAGCGAGCTAGCTGGGCAGCTGCTGCTTGTTGGTGCCAGGCAGCCAGATCGACAGATATGCTCCCTGCAGGCACCATGTGTGGGCACGTCTCCGCAAGCGCAGGCTGACAAACTCACGTATGTATGAGGACAAAAATCCGTCCTGAGTCCGTTAGTAGTGCCACATGGCGCGATGCAGCGCTGAGCTGTCGAACTCGCAGGGCAGGCTGCAATCCAAACGGCCGCAGTCGTAGCCCAAGCTGCAGCAGCACACCCCCGACAGAGACTGCCCTCTCTCGTGAAAAACGCCGTTGCCGCAGCGCAACAGTGGCAGTCGTGTAAAAAAACGGATCAAAAGAAGCAGCAGCAGCAGCAGCAGCAGCAGCAACCGCGAGGATATCCGCCGGAAATGCCCACACACACACACAAACAAAAACAAACATACACATACACACAAACACACAAACATACACACACACAAACATACACATACACACAAACACAAACAAACATACACATACACACAAACACAAACACACAAACACATACACACAAACACAAACAAACACATACACACAAACACAAACAAACATACACATACACACAAACACAAACACATACACAAACATACAAACACAAACACATACACAAACATACAAACACAAACAAACATACACATACACACAAACACAAACAAACATACACATACACACAAACACAAACATACACATACACACAAACACAAACAAACATACACATACACACACAAACACATACACACAAACACAAACAAACATACACATACACACAAACACAAACATACACATACACACAAACATACACATACACACAAACACAAACACATACACAAACATACACACCCCCGAAGTCTCGACAGGCATCCTTCAAGGAAGGCTTTCCAAAATCCTAGCCCGCACCAACGACAGGAAGCAGCGGAGGGTGCGTACCTTGAGACTGGCTTTCATACCGTGTGCTGTCTCTTTGAATCTTGAGCGATCCCTAGCCAGAGCCTCCCGGGAAAAAGTTGCCCCCCACCCATAGACATCTTGACTAATGGAAAACCTCCGCAACAAGTCTGCCTCCGTAACTTTTGCTTTTACAGGTTCTGCTGCTGAGACTTCCGAGGACTGCCCCTGCTGATCATTCGCACTGTCGCTCGATACACCCGGGAGCTCTGGAGAGGCCTCTAAAAGATCCGGAGAGACTTTCGCGGAGGCTGGCAGTGTTGTCTCCGCTCCTGCCGGACCAGGAGCCAGGAAGCGCTTCAGTTTCGTAGCCATGTTTGTTTATTGAGACAGCGGCTGCTCACGCCGAGTGCGCTGCTGCGCCTTCTCTGATACGGCGGCTAGCTCTGCCGCAGCATTTGCTGCCAGGCCGCTCCCTCCGGAGACAGCACGCGGTGAATACGCCGAATAAGAGAGCTTTTTCTCAAGATGCCAGGATCCTGTAGAGGCCAGCAAGGCAAGACTCACCACAGGGCGACTCCCCTCTCTGAAGCGGAGCGGCTACGGAGAGCCGCCTCTCGCCAACTGTGCTGGTGGTGGTACAGGGATGCCACGAGAGACACAACAAGCACCGACTGCACAGGAGTCTAGCCCCCTGATTGGCAGGCGTGAAGGGGGTTCTTCGGGTTGTTGGGAAAAATATCGAGGTGGAAGGGTCGAGAAAAGAGGTGGAGCCGATGCGCCGGCCATGTGGAGGCTCCACGAGAGTCTCAGTGGATCTCGCAAGGAAAACAAGCCAGGGATGCAGATGAGGCTCTTATGCTCTCGCTTCCTTGCAGCTGCCACGCGCATCCGAAGGGCAGACAGAGGCGATGAACGACAGCTGCCATACCCCCAATAAAACAGAACGGCAATTGTCTCACAGTGCGCCAGGGACGGAATCATACTCCAAGACACTAGGAAAACGCCGCATATAGCCCAACACCGACGAAATCCGCAACAGCAGCCAGCGGAAGGCGCATGCGCTACCAGGGGACTCGGTCCCCCCTTCGAATGAACCGCGAGTCTGGTATCTGCTTTCTTGGAACGCACTTTTGAGAGCTTTCCGGCTCATCCGGAGTACAGACGAAATGGGCAGAGGAGCGGCAATGCCGCCAGCCACAGTGCTGCTGCCGAAAGCGGGCTCGTAGCTCTCTTGACAGCGAAGCTGACGAGGTGACCACCGTTTGCAGCGGCAGCTGCTGCCGCTGAAGACCCCATAGCATCCGGCACATTCAGAATTTTCCGGATTCCCTTCTTCCTGCTTCCACCAACTAGCTAGCAACGAACAGGTAGCGGCAGGGGGGGCTCTCTGAGTGAGCCGTAAGCGGCTGCTTTGACGATGCTTTCGCGCGATCTCAAGTCTCAGAAACCCTGTAGTGTCTCTAAAGCTGTACCCAGTCTTGGAAGCAGCAGGAGAAGTGGCGGGAAAATCGCAAGTGCGACTGCTTCCTCTGCAAAACGACCCGTGAGAGGGATCCCGCAATGCCGCGCACCCGCAGCTCATGAGGAGGAGGCCGGTGTCCGTACACCCGAGCCCATGGCTCCTCGTGTTGCAGGAAGAGGTGGAGCCTCTGCAGCAAGCGCAAAGACAGGAGGCGCTAAGTCTACTGCGGCTTTTGGTGTACCTTCGGATCGGTCAAGACTAGTGCAGCGGCATGAATCACGTTCTCATGTCGCAACGACCTCCCAGCAGCCCCTTAAGCAGCGTCAGCAGACGGCGTCTCTTGAGTCGCTAGCGGGCAGTGCAAGCTGCTGTGGTGTCTGTGGCACCAGGGTAAAAGGTGGACAGTCTTATGTATGTGTATCTCTGAAGCTGCCCTCTGTTGCTCAGTACAAGGCCTACCGACGGCTGCAGCAAAGGCAGGCAACGAGTGCAGCAGCAGGAGTAGGAGGGCGGGGGGTGCCTGATGAGGCTCCTGCTACTGCCGCCAGAGAGGACTGTACGATTTCGGTGCGATGCCACGTTTCTTGTTTGCGCTGTGCGCTGTGTGGCTTACCCGTGGCTGTCAGTGAGGGGGGCCTTATGTATGACGCCGCTGCCGCAGCAGCCGCCTTAGCAGCAGGAGTCTCGTGTGGGGAAGCTATCCATTCAGGGGTTTTTCACACTGCATGCAAACAGGAGCGCTGCGCCGTCTGTGGAAATGCTGTAAAGCCTTCTGAACCCTTCATCCGGCTCCCCCGAAGAGAGCTTTTGAGTTCAGGCGTGAAGGCATCACTCGAAGCGGATCCCACGTTGACGGGCAGTCGAAAAAGGGAAGGCATTGCAGCATCTCTGAAGGGGCGCAGCGTCGTTCAGCATGCGAGGTGTACCCGCTGCAGCACATGCGGTACAAGTCTACAGGAGGGTGGCTTCCTTGTCGATGGAAGGGGCGCCCCTCACCATAGCAGCTGCTTTTGTTGTTGCTGCTGCTCCAAGCCACTGTCTGGCACTTTTGAGTCTCATGCCTTCTTTTCTTCGCGCCAGCTACTGCAGCAGCAGCCGCCTGTAACTTCGCGACAAATAAGAGCAGCTGCTGCTGCAGTAGCTGCGGAACCGCAGCAAGTTCCGCCTGACATGGTAGCCATCTACGGGGGCTGTTGCTGCACCCCCTGCAGCAAAAAATATCCAAAATGCATTGCCTGCGATCGCAGGGTTGCTGCGTTCGTCGACGGGAGCTCTAAAACGATCCTCCCGAGGGCACTTAACAGAGCAGCTGTGCAACTGATGAGAAAGAGGGGCCTGCCCTTTACGATGTGCAAGCCATTTGCGGTCGGGTATCCTCCTGAAATAGCCGGTGCTGCCCTCCTGGATGCTGTTGCTGTTCTATGCGGCCGTTGCGCAGCACTTCCAGCAGCGACGACAAACGAGGATGCTGCAGCTGCACTGCAGAGCACTTTGCGTGTGCTTGAGCGTGAGGGTGTGGCCTTCTCGGATCCGATGCTGCGGCTGCAGCAGCTGTTGTCGAGAACGCTCGGTGAACAGAACCAGCAGCAGCTGAAGAGTAGGGGTCCTCCAAGACTACGGAAGACTCCTGAGACAGCTGCTGCCGCTTTAAAAAAGAGTCTGGGCAGTAGTCAGTGTTCACCTGCCCTGCCCGTTCCAGTCGTTCTGACAGAGTTCGGCGCGTGCGGTATTTCTACCGCCGCTGTTATCGCGGCTACTGCTGCACGACGTAAGGGCCCTCCTATCGGGAGGGGGGAGAACTGCCACTTGTTCGGAAGTTGCGAAGTGTTGCAGTTGCAGCTGCGCCCTGTGCCTCCTCCCCTTGCCCTCGCGGCTGCTGAGGTGACAGGAGTCAGCCTTCCTTCTTCTCTGCTGTCGCCACAGCATGCGCCACAGGGAAAGCACGAGCGATCGGCAGCGTCCGCTGATGCGACAGGGCACCTTACATCGGAACTGCCCGCAGAAAAGCCCACCATCAGCGGCCAGAAAAGCCGCAAGCAGCAACTGCAACCGCAGCAACGCCACTCCTCCTTGACGCTCAAGGCTCGATTTACCAAACAGGTTCGCCTCATTGGAGGCCTTCCCATTCTGCTGTTGCAGCAGCATGCTGCCCACGAGCTTTTGCATGCGTTTGTTGCAATCAAGCAGCTCACTCCCCACCTCCTGCGTGATGAGGAAGGATTGTGCAACGTTGCAGCCTCCCGGGCGCTCGCTGTTGCTCTCAGAGACCTCAACAGCAGCACGAGCAGCAGCGCGGCGCAGCAGAAGCAGCTTGCAGAGGAGTTGATTCGATATCAACTGTGGAAACTTGCAGTGTCGCGTGATGATACCTATGGGGAGGGCTACAGACGCTGCGCCCTTCAATTAGAAGAGGGGCGTGTCTCATTGGGGAAGGCCCTTGAGTGTCTCCCTCGCAGCAGTGATATATTTATTTAATGCTTCTAAGACATTTGGCTGCGATGGTGCTAGTACGTGTCGTAATGGTGCCAGCTGTTGCTACTGTAGTTCCGCAGAGGCATAGTCGCGTCCTGCACATTTTTTTGAGGCGTGCACAAGGCCATGTTATCCAGCATAAGGAGCATACCCCATTGTATGCATATTCGAGGTACGATATGCTTTCTCAAAAAGAGAAAGACGTGTATGAGAGGGGCATGCCACTCAGGTAGTCAGTCTTACGGTCCTTTTGTTTCTAACGGCGTCAAAGCGAAGAGCAGCGGCCGCGCCTGCATCTCGGCCAGATGTTTAGATGGACGAGTCTCGATTGTCGCAGGAAAGCTCTAAGACTCTAGCGCCACGCACAAAATAAGAGTGTCCTCTTAGAGAAGGACTGTTTAGCGTGACCCTTTGCTTAAGCTGAGTTCCTCCAAACTGCACAGCAAGTTCATTAAGGGCAAAGAAACGCCGAGGCTTCGTGCAGCGTGGAAGCCTTATACGACTTTCAAGCACTTTGCGACCAGACAAATGGGGTACCATCCAACGCATGCGAATCAGCAAGTACACACTACGGCAGGAACCGAAGGGAATATGGGGAAATGGCCCTTCGGTCAGCCAAAGTCTCAGCCGCCGTGGAGCGCTTTGCCCTAAAAACATTGTGGGAATATAGGGTATTCTGATGTATCTACAGGAGCACACACATCCGCAACAGGCGTGTAATACAGGCCCTAGGCGCCTGTGAGAGCGCTAAGAGGACCCCTTTGGGGAAGCCTGACGAGCTGCTTCACAAATCAGTAGTAGGCGACTACAGACCTTCCTGTCACCTGCACTTGGCAGTTTGCCACTTCTGAGAGCGTGACTGTTAACGAGAGGAGCACCTAATCATAGGCACTGCTTAGAGCCGATACCCCAAAGCTGTTCGCGCCAATGCACCATTGGGGGCAAGCGCGATCGCATTTAAGGCGCTGCCCAGAGTTATCTAGTTCTTGTGTTACCACCCATTTCTGCACCCGTTTGCCCCTTAATGGTTTGTAGAATCACGCATCAATCTTGTTCTCTTCTGCATCTCAGTAACTTCGGGAGCGGCCCCGACGTCCTCCCTCCCCTTCAGGGATCTGCTAGCAGTATCTACACTCGTCTGAAAAACCGATTCTTGGGCAACAATTCGCCCGCTGCTCTCTCGTGTTATGGCTGAGTAGACATTTTATGCTCTTCCTCTGATTTAACAGTATTCCCTAAAAGCAAGTTACCTCTAAGGGGCCTTCGCAAGTGAAATATGCGGTGAGGGGATCAGGAGTGACCCTGGAACGGACAAGACTGAATCGGTAGGGCTTGCGGCTTCCGTGCATCCTGACACCGAAAAAAGCCATTTAGGGAGTTCCACTTCTTCATAATCTTCCTTCGGCGGCACTTTTTGCATTCTCTTTCGATCTTTGAATTTGTTTCAACTCTGTTGTCTGCACTCCACCGGTCGCAGTGGGCAGCAGAGCCTCAGAACGAAGGGCACTCAGTAGGGCCCTTGCATGAAAATCGTCACACTTTAACCCCTTTTTATGTACTTTTTAGCCATATGAACCCTCTTCTGGGGCGTGTGGCCGCTTTTTCTGCCTTGAACGATCGCCGCCTCTACTGCCGCTTTGTTTGCAACTTCTTCCGCAATAGAAGGAAGCGCTCCTGATTCTATCGCTCCAAGTAATCTAAGACCAGCCAGTCCTTCGACTGAGAGCACTTTTTTCCTCGTCTGTCCTATGGGTCCATGAAATCGCAACCCTAGTGTCGGTCTGCTGCCTCCCTGTGCAGGCCCTCAAGATGCCCCTTCATTCTAGAAATCTCCGCTGTTTGATGCCTGATGAGGCTGAGTTAGAGTTAGCTTCTCAGCTAGCTGCTCACGAGAAGGCAGCACTGCATCAGCTCTTCAAGGAGGTTGATCTGGACGGAGACGGAAGAATAAGCGCCAAGGATATCGCCAAGGCAATGGCAGCGGAAGGGATCTCGGTTCCGATTAAAGAGCTGCAACAATGTGTCTGGTAGAATAACCACGACCAAAGGAAAAAATAATTTTTCCTCAACCACCTGCAAGCCACTGTGTCTTTTAGATGTCTCTATTCAACAGGAGCCGGCAGTTCCTTCTGGGCTCTTCACACTGTCCCTCACGCGCCTCACACAATAATATGCCTCCTATGCGACACCGTACATACAGTCTAGCAGAGAGACGTGCGTCACAAAGAGCTAAAGAGAATTGGCTGGATGCTCCCACGCCGTTGTAAGGCATTTCTTCAACGGGTAAACGTAGACGGCTGGCCGCGCTGTTTCTCCTTCTGTTGTGATTGATGTTGTTGTTGTTGGTGTTGTTGTTGCATCTCATCAAATCTCATTAGGGAGGCTGATACGGACGGAGATGGGTATCTAGATCTTTTGGATTTGTTTTGCCTGTACTCTCGAGGGAAGACTTTAGGTGTGCTTCGGGAGGCGCAGTTGGTGCAACATTTTGTGCTGTATCTGCTGATGAAATCTCGCGAGACTCCTAAGGGAGTGGTCCGCTTCGAAGACGCCCTAATGTACCTCTGCCAAGTTATGCATACGGACGCCGCACTCAAAAACCTCGAAAAAATTTTTGGATCCAGAGCGACCCCTTGTAAGTTGCTGTGGCTGCATCTGATCCTGCCAGTCCTGCTGCCACGTCATGTAAGGGTGTAACTACTTCGACAGTGATGGTTTCCGGTGCTGATAGATGTGGTACTCTAGTTTCTGGTTGGGCCCTTTCGAGGCAGCCAGCGCGAACGGAAATCGCTCCTCCTGAGCATCCTAGGTCGCACTGAATGGTGCCTCAAAGTGATCCAGGGAGGCTCCTAAAGAACAACAAAACGAGCACGGGTCGTCACCCCACTCTTGAAATAGTGGCCGAAATGAGACTCGAAAGAAAGGATAAGCATGCACAGAAAAGCACGCAGATTGGTTAGTGCACGACCGAAAAGAGTGGAGAAGTCGCAAAAGGTAGACAGCCAACCACCGGCTGGAGAGAGTCGCAGGGCAAAAGGAAGGAAGCGCGTGCGCGTGCACAAGAAGCCAGGTCACGCATACGAACATATGTATATTTTGCATGGCAGATGCGAGGTTAGGAGGACGATTTGTCTTATCTTATTTCATGTTCAAAACGCTTTTTTCCGCAGCACTGAATGCCAATGCTTGGCTGAGTGTTTTGGGTTCGGCGTTGTGGGCCGAGGCATCCCCCGTTGTGGACAAGGATCAGCAGAATAGAGAGCGATACAAGTGCATACAAAGGCCCTTCCAACCAAACTATCGCCCCAAGTCTCAAGTCGATACAGTACTCGATTTGCAGAAACTGGTCAGTTTGTGGAGCATGTAGTGGGATTAGCGGTAGGGCCCTAGCTTGGAATGAGGTTCGTGCAAGTCTGAAGCTCAGCACTGAGGATCTGAGTCTTGGGACTAGCAGCAATTCAGGGTTTTGAATATGCATCATGCAGTGGCTCTTTTGAGGAAGCAGCCAGAAGAGCTCTAGCGGGGAAACGTGCGGTGGTAGATGCCTATAGGTAGTAGTGAGAGTGATAAAGGGCCCCTCAGAGAAAGCATGCAGCTGCAACGCCTCTTTGCAGACGGACAGGATGACAGGGATAGACAGAAAAGCAGCTAAAATTTATCAGGATGGGTGCTTACTTTGCTGTGGAGCCTGCCCCAAGGGCGGGTTTCTTCAGCCACCAAAAAACACCAGGTCAAGCACCGTAAAAAAGAGAAAGCCACGGAGGACGCGCTGGCGACTGCACCCTATTCGAGTCTTCTGGGCTGATAGCGGCACGCATGTAGGCAGGGGGGTGCACACCAACATAGAAAGAGGAGGAAGCGAGTCTTGTGAGAGCAGAGCGCAGCCAGGAAATAAAATGTGCATTGGAGTAAAGGTCGAACACACTGCAGCATCATACACGCAACACTCTTCGCTGAACCAGTGCAGCATGTGAGGCCCCATATTTAAATTTGTTGCTGTTAGTGGCATCCTTCACGTGTCGTCAGTGAGCACTATCGCCAGCCTGCTGCCGCTGCATGGATGCGTAGTGCTCTAGCGTTGGCGGGTGCTGTTCGAAGCATGAGGAGTACCGCGCGGTGAAGGCCTCTCTTCGTCCCTCCGACTCCGGGGGCCCCCAAGGGGGCCCCCCAACCGTAGGCCCTTCTGATTGCCGTGGCAGAGCCAAAATAGCCCGCGTTCCCCCTAACAGTCGTAAAACGCGGAAGACTGTGGGAAGCAGGACTCACCTGGGTGGCTTCACATGAAGCCAGACGCTGAGACAACGACTCCCGAGAGACTCTGTTCAGATCCCTCCACACCCTTGCTCAGCTTCCAAGGAAGAGAGAGTTTCCAGTTCTTGCCGCACTCATCGTTGCTGGTGCAAGACTATTGCTCTCTCTCGGCAGGGACTGGGGTGAGAGCCTGCGAGTGACCCCGCAGGCTGTCAGACTTTCTCTAAACACTGCACCATCCTGTCACTTTCGTCCTCTACTGCTGCTATTTGAAGCAGTCAGCCTTGTGCTGCTAAAAAAGAGGAGGAGAAGCCGATGTGGAGACAGGTAGACTGGGTAGGCAGAACGAGCCGCAAGCACGGAGAACCCAATGAGTGCTCTCTCACGGCGCCAGCAGCTGTCCGTTGCTGGGGCTGTTGCCCAAGAGAGCGTGGCAGTTGCGCGTGCAGGGAAGACAGAGAGTTCCCTAGAGCGGCAGACACCTTGTGAAGGTTCTATTCCCTGTATGTTGATTCGGCTTTGCCGGAATCGTGCAAACGCCACCCCAAGAAGCCACAGAGTAGACGCTAAGGCCATAGCGGGGGGTGGGATGGTCTGTACGGCCAAGCGCCTTGGCTCTAGAGGGCCCTGAGTGAGCTCCCTCACCATTTTACTGTAGATGACGCGCAGAGAATAGAGCAGAGAGGAAGGATTCGCAGAGAGAGAGAGAGAGAGAGAGAGAGAGAGAGAGAGAGAGAGAGAGAGAGAGAGAGAGAGAGAGAGAGAGAGAGAGAGAGAGAGAGAGAGAGAGAGAGAGAGAGAGAGAGAGAGAGAGAGAGAGAG